TCTCTCTCATCTTGGCTATAAAAAGCCCCGACAGGTCTCAGTTTCTTCCCACATCCAAAGATAGAAAGAAGTAAGATCTAGAGTCTTGTTCTCAGTGATATAACTTAATATACATATCTCTATATATGCATATAAAAGTAGCTACATAGTAGATATATAACTTGAACTCGGTTGCTGTACTAGCTAAGGTTTTGGAGCATGGTCACATGCGCAGAGTATCAAAGGTAAGAGGAGGTGACAGAAGAGAGTGAGCACACATAGTGGCTTTCTTGCATGCTTTTTTAAGTTAGGGTTTCATGCTTGAAGCTATGTGTGCTTACTCTCTCTCTGTCACCCCTTCTCTCTCTCTCTCTCTCTCTCTCTCTCTCTCTCTCTCTCTCTCTAGATCTCTTGAACTTTCTCTCCAACAAGGTTAATTATAGCTGATAAAGAATCTCAGATGATATGGTTTGATTATCATCAAACGGATCAAAGCACTTTCAGCCTTTGAGGTATGACCGGTATACGCTACTCTGATTTTCATTGTTAAACAATTTTGTAAACATTTTTCTAAAATAGATCGTTTGTTTGTATATCAAAAACAAAAGATTGAACTGTAAACGAACCTATATATGGATTTTGATTAGATATGTTATACCAATATATATTTTGTTCTTCGATCTAGTATGTTTAGATATGTTTTTCAGAATTATACGGTACATAATAATTAGTCATCACTATTCTGGCATTTTTTGTTTTTGGTATTAGATATTGAAAGTAGCGCTCGTATTTGTGTAACATAATATATGCAGGGTTAAAAAACAACAGAATTTCGGAGAAAACACTAGGGGAGATATACTACTGTCAAAACAAAAAAGGCCAAACATATGGACAAAGAAGAAAATAGATCCTTGATCATGCATTCGCCTCAAACTTTTGAAATTGCTACTATACACCTTCTACAAACATAATATGTTTCATGATTGTACATGGAGAATTTTCCATTTTTAATATAAAAGATGCTGGAATTAGACATACTGTATTCGATATATTGACTATATGCGGATTGCGGCCAATCAACTTGGACATGCACTCCACTAGTACAAAAAGGAAAGAGAGGACTCTGGAAACTTTGAGAACCTTGTTTGACGAACAAACGATCGGCTCTTCAAAGTTGTATTTCCTTTCATACAAGACACAGACATTTCGGATTAGCAAAGGGGATTGTTATATGAGAGATAGTAGTGTATATGCAAAACGAATCCTTACATATTTTTCGTGTTCGGTGGGAATGGAAATGTGTTAATAATTATGTTTGAATTTTAATTATGGATATACACTATATCTCATATTCTACTTGAGAATTTTTGTTCTTTCTTCCAATTATTCTGATCTTAAAAATTATCTTGGATTGATACGTATATAAAGCGATTTGGATCAAGTCTCAAATCGTAATCCTATCAAATTTATACCATAGAGAAAATCAAATTGATGTTTGTCTTTGCTTTCTGTTTTTTTTTTTTTTCATTCTTTTACAAGAAAAAAATTAAGAAAATATCTCAAGACTCGATTGGTGTTGTCGTCTCAGGTATCTGCAAGGGAGCGGGACTGTCATCGTCTTTCTCGTTGGGACTCTCGACTTGTTTTTCATCGACTGGGGAAGTTACACCGTTCTCTGATGCATTCTTTGTATCGGTGCTGGTGGTCTTTTCTAGTTTCTTGGATGGTTCTGGAGGGGACGAGGCGGCTAAGATGCGACCGAGACCGTCGTATACGCTCTTGGCATCCATAACGATAGTGGCACCACCTGGATAACACCGGCCAAAGCACGTGGCGCAATGTGGGAAAACCACCTGTAAAATCAAACAACCAGAAAGAAACAGAGGCAATGCGAGTTAGATCATTCCAAAAACTGGACTGAACGCTCCTAGTTAGAAAAGTAAATTGTGGCTACGGACTCTTTAACTTGTTGATACAAAACTGAGATGAGATGAAAAAAAGTACCTCGACAAAAGCTCGGCAAAGAGAGAGGAAGAGATTGGATTCATTGAGTCGAAGCATCCGAGTTGTGTTGTATCTTAGTAAAGAGTCAGACACAGCCTGAAGTCCCTTGATCAGTTCATGAGCAATAACATTCTTCAGACTTAGCGGGGCACAAGGACGTAGCTCGTTTAATGCAGCAGATACACCTGCGTGCAAAGCCGGGATTATCAATAACAATCAGAATGCAAAACAGAAAGAGCTACACTTTGTATTTGCAACATTTGTAATAGTTAGAACACTGTCCACAATACTAGAAATCGATACTGTATAATTGTCTCACCGTTTAGGAAAACTGCAAGAGGCGGGTGCTCCATCAAGTATGATGGAGGTGTGACATCATCTTTGCTATCTTCATTAATACCACTTGATGGGAACCCAACAGATGGTAGTGGCACCCATCGATGCGAGTCCAAAACTAACTGAAAGTAAAACATCATGAAGACATTAATGGAGAATTTAGAGAAAAAGTTTGAACTTTTGTATCTACCCACCTGAAAATTCTCAACTGCTGTGCCCATGTTCTTGGAGAATAAGTTTAGAACCGCCCTGTAGAGAGGAGCATGTGAGTTTAATACTGAGCATGTAAAGATTATGACAGAAAACAAAAAGTATACTAAGAAGAATTGTTACTCTTCAAAAAGTGGAGGAAGCAAACCCCGGAAGTCTAGTCCAACCCATCCAAGCCCCATAGCACAGTACTGTGTTGTCACGAGAAGAAGGTAAAAATGCCAATCAGAGTTGCACGAGTTTTCAAAGAGGAATACATGAGATGCAAGAGAACTCAACCATGCACTGATCCAAGATATTCGATAGAGATCCTCCTTCAGTAATCTTTGGGAGCATAATTTTCAGAGTCTTCAGGTGCGATGTTATTTGGTGCATGGCCCAGCTAAACAGAAGTCCACCATCGTAATTTTCCTCACTCCCCGATGTATCATCAGCAAAAATAGCTCGATATTGATTAACTACGTCAAATAGGTGCATTCTGTGACAGTTTATCATGCCTTTTAAATACTCATAGGCATTTTTCTGGTCTAGATCCTCTAGTATTCCAGTGAGCCATGCCTCTCGGCATCTTAAGAACTGCACAGACAAGAAGAACCATTTAGAAGTGAAGGCATATATTACAGAATGAACACAACTCCATAGATAAAGGAATACAATGCAACGGAAGGATAAATCCAAATGGTTATATGTCAGAATAGCTCACCTGCAATCGCATTTCATACTCGCCAAAGACTCCTATTCTGCGTAAGTATCCAATAATCCGGAGACATTCTGGCAACTGAAACAGAGACAGTGGCAAAATACTGAGGCTCCTAGATTGCTAAGCCTAACCACAGTTCACTGAATAAAACAAACAATATTCACATGGAACCTGTATATTTGAGCGCAGTTTCTGGAGAAGCTGCGAGAGCAGTGACTGAGTAGTTTGTCTAACCTCCACCGCAAGTGCTTGGATAACAGGCAATCTTGACATTGAGAAAAGATTCAATCTTAAGAGCTAAAGCTTGAATTTTTATGCCTTAAGTAACCAAAGGAAAAAAAAAATATCAGGAGAAAGATAAAAAAAAAAACTCACTTGGGATGCATGGTAGCAAGTTTCGATACAAATGCTTCCAAGTCAAGAGCCTCATCAAAATTCCCGTTTCTCACGCATCTGATAAAGATACAATTCATTTTAAAGAGCGCTTAACGTCTTTACTTTACTCTCATGAAAGGCATAAGAAGAGATTGACGAGAGAACAGATTAGAGTTTATGGCATGAGGTCTAGTAGCTTACGTGTCCATAAGCTGAGGAATCTCAAGCAAGTCAAGAAGAGTGCTGTGATTTGCCAGCAAAGCTTGGTTCATCTTCCTCTTCTCCAGAATATTCTCAGCAGATTCGATAAATTCTGTGCAACCAGACGTTAGTACTGGCACTTCGCCTATCTGCAAAAGGTGAAAATTACATTGGTTGTGCAACTTGATTTGATTCCAATCGATTTTCAAACTATCTACCTCCACTTGAGACTATAGAAGGATCCAAACACTTGCACTCTCACGAATCGTAGTTACTCAATCAGGATTCAGAAATCAATTTGAAATGGAACGAGAAAGGTATAATTTACCAGAGACTCAAGATGCTTATCAATTGAGGATACTTCCTGCCGGATCGCAAGCAAAGCATCTGCAGCGGTGATAAACGCGCGGTAATTTCCAACTGCCACCTCTTGCATTTGCCTCTGAATCCTCTCTGCGTCCACTCGAAGCAGCTCCGGCTCCTTTCCAATTCAGTAATCGACATGATTCAATATCCATGCGCGCAGAGATGTCAAGAGATGAGAGAAGAGAGAGAGAGAGAGATAAACCTTGTGGAGACGATCGAGAGTGAAGGAGAGGAGCTCGGAGACGTAAGGATGCTGAGAGGCGGAAGCGAGAGAGAGAAGACTCGCCGTCTCCTCCGGCGGATACATCATCTCCCCAACCTCCATTGCCATTCTGGATCTTCCTCCTGTGGACGATCCTATCAAAATCTCCTAGAAGAAAGTAGACAGATCCAGAAACTATAGAGCAGATTTTTCACGATCTTTCAAGGAATTAACATCAAATGTTTCTGCAAACTCAGCTGATTTGATTTTTTTTTCCCTGTCTTTGTTTGGATCTGAAATCTCTCTTTCAATTTTATTTTTTCGCCTTCGTTCATGAAGGATTAAAACGTTACTTTAATAATTTTGGTTCGGTTCGGTCCGATTTGGTTGGTTTAATTTCGTTCGGTTAAGTTGTAATCACCCCCTTAATTAGTCCGGTTACACATGGCTAAATCGAATACTTTGATGTTGTTTTGATTTGTGGCGTCTACTTTGAACCTTTGATATTCGATGATGTCGCATTGATGAAAAAGCAATCTTATATTTACATCCAAAAATTGAATAAACAGTATTTCCATATTAGTAGTATGCAATAACAATAGAGGAGTCTTTCACACTAACGAACCATTAAAGAAAAATAGATAGAGAAACTATAAAAAGAGAAATAAAAAAGGAAGAAGAAAGGAGAAGAGTGGCATCTGATGCCGTGTAGAAATAGAAATAAGGAAACGGGTAAGGAGTTTGCTGTCCCTGTGACTGTCCCTTTGGCGGTGACGGTGGCTGTGGAGGTGATGGTGGCGAGCCTTTTTCATCGGAAGAAAGTGGTGGAGGCGGTGGTGTGGACTGAAAATAGTAAAAACGTGGTGGTGGCGGATGGATGACGGTAATTAACGGTGGCGAAGGAGAAAGCGGTGGTGGAGAGCGTTTGTGTGGCGGTGGCGGAGAGGATGACGGCAATGTGGGAGACGGAGGTGGTGACGTGGAGGGAGGAGTTTGGGAGGGAGGAGGAGAGCAAATGGCGGGACACGAGGAGCATTCGCTGATGCAAAGAGGAGTGAGGACATCTGTTTGGTCGGACGGTGATGATGCAACTAGTATAACCATGACCATCATGATGATGATCGTGACTGTGAGGCCCATTTTTGATGAGCTAAATGTTGGTGTTTGAAGTAAAATGTTCATTGCTTAGTTAGTTGTGGTTGAGGATATATAAATCATCAGGGCCTCAGGGGTGGGTAATACAAAGATGCTTTCTTGATGGATTGTGTTTTGTTGGAAAGTTAACACTAAATTTGAGAATATAAAAAAGACGACGTATGTTAAGCTTTGGATGGTTAATTTTGCTAAAATGCTCCTTTTCTTTTTTTCTTAGGGTTGGAGGTGAGAGTGGGATGTCAATGCTTTTCTAAACTGTTTAGAAAGAACTGTTTAATTTATTTTTATTTGATTGAGTTAGAGTATTCCTTTCTCAATCCATACTCAAAAGAATCCATTTTATGGGATAATTAATTCTAGAACCAAAAAGTGTCACACTCTCCAAATCTTTGTTGTGTCATTGTTCTTTAATACTTTGCTTTCCAAGTTGGCTTTGTATCAATCTCATTGTCAAAAGTATTGTAGTGATTCTTCCAACTTTAAGTTATATGCTTGTCTTTGTTTTCTAATTTCTTTGTTCCTTTGGAACCAAATGATATTTTAGTTGTAACCGGGTGTTCTTATGTGTTGTTGTTGTTCAGTAACCTCATATATGCATGCATACATGATATTTCCAGCGTAAATCACTAACCACATCAACCAAGAATTCCAAAAACGACAATGTGTTTGAATAAATCAATAGCTTTGTCTTAGTCATGCTACGAGAACACAAACATATAAGCTATTGTTTTTTGTTCATTACTTTTGATCGGAAAGCCAGAAAAGGTGGAAGTATTATGTTACAGAGATGTAATATTGACAAAGGTAGATTGAAGTTCGGTCATCTCTTCATGGCCACTTCACTTACCACTTTCTTACTTTCTTTCTTGAGAAGCAAGCAATCTCTCTATCCAGTTCCTCACAAAAGTCTTTGAAAAGATTTAAGAAAATACATGAACTTCACAACCCAGTTGTTACTTCTGGCCTAGTAAAGAAAATAGCATATTGACAGTGTAAGCAAACTTACTTGGTAAAAATTTCAAGAATTTGTTTAGGGTTTTATATGTATAATAATACCTGATTCGTTGTCCATCCCCAAGTTTTTTAACCGGAGAAGCTCTGGAACTATATCCTTTCCAAGATCTGGTCTATCTTTCTTCCTTAGCTCTGCACATCGTAAACACAGCTTAGCGAATGCTGTAGCTTCTTCGACAGGCCAATCAGTCACGACCGGGTCAAGCATATCCTTGAAAGTTCCTTTATCGATTGCCCTCGACACATGATGAGCCAAGCCCATTGGACTCTTAGCAGTGATGATCTGAAGCAGCATTATCCCTAACGAGTATATATCTGATTTCGTCGCTAACATCCCCGTTTGCTGGTACTCAGGGTCTATGTAACAGAACGTTCCTGCCGCAGATGTCATGTGATATTGCGTGACGTTATTAGCCACTGACGCAGGGACTAACCGAGCTAATCCAACGTCACTGATCTTGCTCACATAGTTTCTATCTATTAGTATATTGGCTGGTTTTAGGTCACGGTGAACCAGAGGTTCTGGCTTTGTTTGGTGAAGGAAAGATAACGCCATAGCGATCTCTGCTGCAATCTGAAACCTTTTCCTCCAAGAAAGAGGCGGCGAGTTTCCTCTACGAAAGAGTCTATCCTCTAAGCTCCCATATTCCATTAACTCATACACCAAGCAACCATATTCCGGACAAAGCACCAAGTAGAAGAACCATGTGAGGATGTCTTATGCAACTTAGAACCTCGACTTCTTGGTTAAACTGCTTCTTCCCTTGAGCAGCATCAGGTCTCAAGACTTTAATGGCCACAGGAGTGTGATCAAGCGTGCCTTTATACACTGGTCCGTATCCACCTTCTCCTATCTTTCTGTTGTTTGCAAAATTATCAGTAGCTTCTTCAATCTCTTCTATGGAGTATTTTCTGTACCAAAGCACTAATAGCACGGTCTTTCTCCTGCGATTCTCTTCTTGCTTTCATCTCTGCTTGCTTCCTTCTCTCTCCTTCCAATCCCGCCATTCTCTGAGCTTTCTCAGCTGCTTCCAATGCAGCTCTGCACTTAGCCTTCTCCATCTTCGCAACAGCAAGAGCCGCCTCTTCAGAACTCCTAGCTTCCTCAAATCTTCGAGCTTCTTCCATTTTCCACTGATTAAGCTCATGTGCCTAGAGAAAACGTAAGAGCCAAGAAAGTATTAGACAGAGCAAGAAAACATTCTTTATCAAGTATCAACTAGCTAATTTTTTCTTACCTTCTTTCTTGAAGTAAGTGCTTCTTTGCAAGCTGAGCTATACATGTTCATGGTTTGCCTGAGCTCAATCTTTAACCTTTTCATCTCAGCTTCAACATCTCTCTGCAAATAATCATCCAACCAACTATTTAGTTCTTACTTCTTTAACACAATTTATCATAAAAGTTATAGTTCTACTGTTAACATACAGTTGACTGTGGAATTGACTCATCAGAAGAAGCAGATCCACCTCCCATGATACCAAAAATTACGAGCAGTTATATCAATGGATCCCATCATGAGAGATCCACCATCCGATTCATCTGAAACCGAACTATGACCACCAGAGTTCCTCTGACCCTTTGCCGGCTGAAAATCATGATGAAAGTTCATTGATCCATTTGTAGGACTTCTGAGCCTTTCTCTCCCTGCTTTGAAGCCGTTATCATGATTAGGATACCTCTCTGGAGTTGAGTTTCTTGAACTACGCTGGCTCCTACAATATCTCAAAAAAAAAGCCTTGCTGATTGACCAAAAACAACATATAAGAGAAGAAGAAACTATGTGTGGTTTTTTATATACCTAGGTACAGGATCTTGGTCATTGTCAGGTACGTTTAGGTGATGAAATGTAGATGATGGTGCACGTGGTGGGACGAGTGTATTGGTGATAGTTCTTTGAGCTGTCCTCGAGGACTGGACTTTGCCTTTAGAGATGACGTAGATGGAGCAAAACTCAGGGGTTGATTTGAGGATCGAAGCTGGAACATCATGGGATTTAGTCAGCTTGAGAGATCTTGCGAATGGGTTCTTTGAAGACGATGATCCCACCACGATGTTGTTCACGAGGTTGTTGTTAACGTAATCCAAGACTGCTTTCGCAACGTCTGTATCTTCCAGAACAACCTCCATCATCGTAATCTAAACAATGCAACACAAAAGAAAGAAACATTATAGCCTTATTTAATGCATAACAAATGCGTTAGAAAAAGAAAAAAAAGAATCATACCCCTTTTCGCGCGCAATATCCTCTGTAAGGAACAAAAAGCTGATTTAAGTCATCGTTATCATTTCCACTATCTGCAACAAAGATTAAAAGATAACAACAATTATTATTAAAGAATGGGAATAACAAAAACAGAGGAGAAAACAGAGGACCTACGGTAAGAATTTTTAAGACGAACATGGACAAGAATCATGTTGGGATTGTTGATCAGATTGAAGAGATGGTCGACGGCCCAACGAACAGCGTAGTGACTGTTCTTGTCTTTGTCAATGGCGACCACCGTCGAGTTCACTGGCGGGTGGCCATCGTCCGATGAGTGACGAGCCATTTTTATCAATCGATCTACAGAGAAACTCTGAAAAAAATCCCAACGAAGATTCAATAATAATAGTAATCAGGTGTTACCCAGACCTAGTAGTCGTGTCTGGGAACAAGAAGAGAGGAGGAGAGAGAGGAAGAAGATGGTGAGTTTCCTTCTCTTCTCTGGTCTAACTTTCTCTCCTCTCTTCTTCCTGGTTTTCCAAAGGGTGTTGTTGCTGGGAAAACGATTAACTAACGTCTTCCTTAGAACAAAATCAGAGAAAATACCGGGAGTCAAAGATTTATATCAACCATTGTTTTCGAAAATTGCTCTTTTTAAGGAGGTTCTCTCTTTTTGTTTTTAAAGTTTTCAAAAATATTCTAGAAGGTGGCGGTACATGCAAATCCTTTTTATAGTACTGGTTTTCAGTTGCATTCCTAAAAAATGGATATGACTCTTCATTTTAGGATCATTCATAGATATAAAATTATTATCCAAAAAGACAAAAGTCACAAAACTGATTAAAAATAGGACACATATCTCGCTTGTCGGTTTGCATCTGATCGGGTGGGTCCAAAAAGAGAGTGGCTGTCATTGGTGAGCCGCTCGCTAAGTAATAGCCACTAGACAAACAAGTGACGTATTACCCTCAAAGCCTAGGAATAATATGAAATGCGTGTCGCTTTTTCACTGAAATAGCATAAAAACATGTTGTTTTTCTGCACCACAACACTGAAGTCAAGGTGATGAAACCAGCCTAGTTGAGTTCACATTCCATACAAATTTACAATTGAACCACCATAGGATGAAATCTCATTATACTACTCATCAAAAGAGACTGAAATTAAATTATACAAATCTCACTCGTATTGTGTATATAAGTTTCTTCTATTACCTCATATAACACCTGTGACCTAAAGGTACAACAATAATACAATATGCATAAACCAAAGAATCAAAGTTGAGTTTAGTTTATCATATATATATATATATAGAGGAGAGAAACCAAAAGAACATTCCCAGAGTCTTTTACATGAAAGAAGTACCAGCGAGTCCATGATGCAATAGATTATGCGATATCGTATCTCTCGCCTTCATCGCATTCACCGATCTCAATGCGTTCTCAGGGAAAACCTCATCATCAACCACATCAACCATCAGCTCCTGATCCATCTTCTCGTCTCTCATCTCACATATGTTGTGAAGCACACAGCAAGCACCCAACACCGTCGGCAAATCCTGCAGCTTCACTTCAGTCCGCTTCTGCAGACACGCCCACCGTCCTTTCAACCTCCCAAACGCTTCTTTAGCCACTCTCTGCACATCGCTCATCTTCTCGTTGAACGCGTGCTGCGTCCACGTCAGGTTCTGTTGCGTGTATGGAACCAACACCCAGTCCAATAGCGGGTGACCGGGTCCACCAGCGACCCACAAACCTTTCAAAAGACCTCCATTGTTGGCTCTTTGGTACAACAATGACTTCTCCAAGACCTGATCATCAGGCATTGATCCAGGCCATCCGATGCATAGGTCAGTAAAAACGCCTTTCGGATTCACAACGGCTTGGATTGTGATTGAATAAGAAGTCTTCTGGTTCCTCTCTGTATGCCGTTTGTTGAAATAAGCAGCTACACTGATCTTAGGTGCTATGATCGGAATGTGAGTGGTGTACATGGACCCAACAATGTTTGGAATACCAGAAATCGACTCGAATCTTTCTCTAATGTTTCTTAAAGATTCATCATCTGGCCATTGGAGGTACTTGGGCATGAGAACATCTTTAATCGCTTTACATACCTCGAGAACGAGCTTGTGGCAAGTGGAGATTCCTAAACCGAATTTCTTCGAGACGAGACGGAGCGGCTCTCCCGTTGCTAACCTCCATATGCAGACGGCGACTCGCTGCCGCACCGGAATCGCGTTTCTAAGCGCGGTGTCTTCTTTCGCAACCGCCGAATTCAGCTCCTCGCAGATTAGCTCGAACGTCGATTTGGACATTCGAAACGCTCTTTTGAAATCCTCTTCTGGGTAATCCGATCGGGTACACTCTTCCCACCACGCTCGGCTCCGATCCTTCACCCATAACCGCCTTTGCTGACCCGTGCCCGTACCGCGACCCGATCCGGATCCGGTGACTTCGACACTCTCCGCCTCCATTTCCGAGCACTCAGTCGCGGCGGCGGAGACGGAAGCGACGGCGCGTGAGACGCGCGACTTCTTCCGGCTGATGTCTACGCTTTCCTCGGCATCGGCGTAGTAATCGTTGAGATCGGAGTAGTAATCGGACATGGTTCTCGCTCTTTTCCGGTAATTAGACTGAAAATCTGACATTTCTCGGCGGGAAGCGGCGTTCCGAGCTTCCTGGTCCTGCTTCTCGTGCTCCTCCATCAGAAGCAGGGAAGTGAAAAATCCCTTGAGGTTTTTGGTGTCGTTGCTTCTCTTGGACGTCGTCTGGCTCTCTACCTCGCCGCCGTCGAAGACATTACAGACTTCTTCTTCCTCCTCGTCTCCGTCTCCGTCTCCGTCGATTCCTTTTCGGAAAACGGCGGCGGAGGCGGCTTTCATTCGGAGTCGTGTTCTTTCACGTTTCTCTGTGAGTTTTGCTTCGAGAAAAAGGCCTTTAATTTTGTATTGGATGGAGAAGAAGATATCTTTTTTTGGGTTCATAAATAGAAAATAGAAATCTGATTAAATTTTGGGATGAGACGAACCTTGTGGGATGAGTGTGAACACGCAAGTTGACTTTAGTAGGGCTCCTCTTTTTCTTTTCCAATCTTATTTTAATTCTTATATTTTATTTATTTATTACTCATTTTATTCTTGTTTACATTTTTTGGTTTTCTTTTCGGCTTTATACAGAGTACAGAAAAAAGACAGAACCAAGTTTAAGCTACTTAAGAGATCCAGATTTGGAAGCTAACTATGTGATAATGTGAATACCGTTTTTTATTTAATTAAACCAGATTTGGAAGAAACTTCTTTGATTATGATCGAGCCAAATCTTTTTAATTTGCGTGTTGCGTGCTTTATCCAGATCAATTTATTGACCAACGTTTTACTATTTTTGTCACTATATATTAAGCATGTCTGATAAAGTACTACACATATCGATTTTGTCAAATTAATTAGCAATTTCTGGTGGCGATTCATAATTTTATAAATTGTAGTTAAAAAATTAAGCATTCATATACTGTACTAAGTTATGCGTGGAGTTCCTTAATGACGAATACAGTATCAGGTTTGTAATAATTTTTGATTTCTTACACACTAATATTGTATACGTTGTTTTTTTTTTTAAATACTGTACCAAATAGTTTGTGATATTTGTGTTGGCAAAATTTCCAGATGATAATCGATATTTAGAGGAACAAGAGCCAAAACGATACACGTATGATTATCTCTCTTTAGATGGGTTTAGATATGGACATGTATCTCCACCACTCTTTTATTGTTTTTGTCAACAACATTTTGTAAACGTTGTTATACACTTGTGGAGTGAGTGTTCACACGCATATCTTATATACTAACCGAATAATATAAGATCTCAAATGATTGTATCCAGAAGATGAGAGAAAGGTGTGTGAACACGTCAAGGAAGTATCGGACATTAGTAGTCTATGTTTGGCGGTGTGGAACGTTAGGTGGTCGATGGAGACTTTTGGTCCCACGCTTTGTTTCTTTTCCTTTTTTCTGTTTCTGTATATACTCAAGTCGCTAAATTAAGGCACTAGTCATTAGGGGATCTCCTAATATTTAAGTATTATTCATAACTGACACAATGGCCTCTTCCATACCTAGATTCACGTTTTTTTTTTTTTTTGTTTAATCAGATTATCAGAGGTGTCACTTTTCAACTTTTCTTTTCTAAACTAATCTTCTCAACTCACAATTGTTGTGCGAAATTTTCGGCGAACGAGAAAAGAGTGAACTCATATAAACTCTCCATCTTTTGTTCTGAAGTGCATCTATAACTCTATCGGACTTTTAACATTCATACCAAAAAGAAAACTTCATTTGGACTCTCTAGGTAATGGTGAGAAGCAAATTTGGGTTAAGTTGGCTCAGAGTTTATGTCTGCTCAGCTGATCACTTGGAAGAGAAATTGTTTCAACTTTATTCGAAAAGTATCGTATTGGCTCATGATTTAGACACTGAAGTGCTTATCTTCTCCAATTTATTTATATTTCCAGTTCTCTAGATATGTTACATTTTTGCAGTAGATATGTTACATTAGTAGTCCATGAATATCTACTGTAGATATGTTACCAGTTGCGCATCATAAATGTTTAGAGCCAAAATCATTAATCTAAAGACGCAAGAAGGAGAAAGATCAACACAGAGGAACAACTTTTATTCCATCTTAGAACACACACATGCATAGCATCACTCCGATTACATTCAAGCCCGAAAATAACATAAACATTGTTAAAGCAAAACAGAGAAATCCAGAAACTCAACAAACTTGGACCTGAATAAGAACAGAGAAATCCAGAAACTCAAGCGACTTGGACCTGAATAGTCTTCGGTTTCTTGGGCTCAGGAGGAGGAAGTTTCTGAACAGTCACCTTCAACACACCATCATGACAAACAGCAGAGATCTTCTCCAAATCAGCATTCTCAGGCAACTGAAACTTCCTCATAAACTTCCCCATTCTCCTCTCCATCCTCACATACTTGACGCCTTCGTTCTCCTTGTTCTCTCTCTGCCTCTCTCCACTCACCACAAGCACATTGTCGTTCTCGATCTGCACCTTGATCTCGTCTCCTTTGATCCCAGGCATGTCCACGACGAAAGCGTACGCATTCGGGTGCTCCATGACATCAGCAGGTGTAGCCGCCATCGCTTTCGCATCGCGCATGTAAGCTCTCGACGGATTGTTACGGCTCTTCTCGCTGTGCTCTTCCGGGACTTCGAGCATGTCTTCGAGGATTGAGATTATCGGAAACCTTCCCAAATCCATTGTAATTCACTTGATCTGCTTTGAAACTCTTGATTCTTCTTTGTTTGTTTTTAGCTTTGATTGGATGGAGATTGTTAGAGATCGATGGGATTTAAATAGGAAGTGAAGATGGAGTTTTCTAGAGAAATGTAGAGAGAGTGGAACTCGGTCTGATCTTTTCAGTTTCAAGTGCTTCGGTATTGTTCCAGAAGCGTCTTGTTTGGTTCTGTTTTTGTGAAATTTTAAAAACGATTTTTTGAATCTAAAGTGTGGGCTTTGGATCATAGTACTGAGGCCCAATCCTCTTTTTTTTGGATTAATCCGGTATAGTGTCTAGCGCGTATTCAAAAACGGTTTAAGAAACGGTTGAATCGCAACCGCGCAAAATTCACATGAGCGTGTAATGGTTTGGGATGATATCGTCGACATCGATCTGATCGCGAGACACACGGTGGGGTAAAGTAAAATGAAGTCAGCAGTGTCATCGTCACTCCTCAATTCGAAGATCTTTCTATTGAACCCTATTCCTCTTTCTCGCTTCATCTCTCTCAAATCCGTTTTCCTCCCTAATTTCTCGACCAGATCGATTGCTAATCACACTCCCAATCTCCCATCTTCGTCAACGTCAACGTCAGCTCGAAGATCCATCTCATCCATGGCGTCCTCTTTCAACCCCGAACTAGCCAGAGTTCCCTCTGCTCTTCCACTCCCAGCGCCTCCGTTGACCAAAGTTAGCTCTCTCTCTTCTTCTTCTTTTGTTGCTTTCGATTTCTTATGCTCTCGATATTGATCATCGTTTCCTGGGAAAATTTGTAGTTCAACATCGGATTGTGTCAGCTATCTGTGACGGCTGACAAAATGAGGAACATCTCTCACGCGAAGGACGCCATCGAAGACGCTGCTTCCAAAGGAGCGAAGCTTGTTCTCTTACCCGTTAGTTCTTCTTCTTTGCTTAATTCGCTAAATCCTGCAATATTTCACATTGATTTTGTTCAAATCTTGGAAATGTTTTAGCTGCTCGTGAATTTGATTGCTTGTGCCTGAAAAGTTTGGCTTTCTCTTGTATTGTAAATTGATACCATAAATATCTGAGCTCACAGTATAAGCTTATCTCAACACTCGATGGATTTGTTTCAGGAAATTTGGAACAGTCCGTATTCGAATGATAGTTTCCCAGTTTATGCGGAGGACATTGATGCAGGTGGTGATCATTCTCCTTCAACCGCAATGCTCTCTGAAGCCTCTAAACGTCTCAAGATTACAATCATTGGTGGCTCCATACCAGAAAAATTTGGGGATCGTTTGTATAACACTTGCTGTGTCTTTGGTTCTGATGGAGAGCTAAAAGCTAAGCACCGCAAGGTTAGATGACCTTGAGCTTGCATGCTTATATAGTCAGTTTCTTAGAACATCTTGTTCTTGATTATTGGTGCTTGATTTTCTATGGACTTGTGCCTACAGATACATTTATTTGATATAGACATTCCTGGGAAGATTACTTTTATGGAATCAAAAACTCTTACTGCTGGAGAGACACCAACAATCGTTGACACAGGTTTCAATCTGGTTTTCCCAAATATCTTTGCCAGGCTTGCATAAACAATCATGTATCTTACATAACCTTATCCTTCTAGTATCTAAAACATATCTGGCTTAGGATATAGGAAATACATCTCCAATGATATTTGGGATCCTAGTTGTCAAGATCATATTAATATTATTGGTGAACGAGTTTTCTTCTCCATGATCATTCATAAACGCTAGGCCAGCATGATAATGAATCATTTCACTGGCTACGGAAATGTCTCTATTAAGCAGTGATGCCATAGTAGGACCGTTCACATCACCTCTCACTTTCTAACACTTCAGAGAAATCTCTAATGAGAACGATGGTTTTGGTGGTCATTGCAGATGTGGGGCGTATTGGAATAGGCATCTGCTATGATATCAGGTTCCAGGAGTTAGCTATGATATATGCTGCAAGAGGTGAGTCTTCTTATATTGTATGAATAATCCAAATGGACTTATTGCTTCCTCTCTCTTTTTTTTTTCCGGGGTCCCTTAGCGTCTTAAAGAACCTCATCATCTACGTGTTTGCTCTATTAATTTCAGGGGCTCATTTGCTGTGCTACCCTGGAGCTTTCAACATGACAACCGGACCGCTGCATTGGGAATTACTACAAAGGGCAAGGTACAATTCACAATCTACTAACTAAATTTTGAAACTTGCTTGGTTTAGTAACACTCACTCGGTATATATTGTCCCATTTCAGGGCTACGGATAATCAGGTACATGAACCAAGTTAACAACTTGTATTGGTAGCCCAGTGATAAGAACAAGTTTTGAGAGATAACTTGCATTTCTCTTTTGAGTTATTGAAACAAGTATTCTCTTCTGCTTTACTGTATCAACTTTATCAAAAGTCTTGGAGCAGTTGATAGAACTATGTATGCTACTTTATCCAGTTATATGTAGCAACATGCTCACCTGCCAGAGATTCAGGAGCTGGCTACACTGCTTGGGGACACTCTACACTCGTCGGGCCTGTAAGCACTATACTTTTTCCCTGTTACTTGATTGATAATGAAGCTCTGTTACTTGATTGATAATGAAGCTCTGCACTAAACTCGTAAAAATTATTTGTTAGTTTGGAGAAGTACTAGCAACGACTGAGCATGAGGAGGACATTATCATAGCAGAGATTGATTACTCTATCCTTGATCAGCGAAGGTAATCAAGAGAGCCATAATTTTCCTTGTTTTTAAAAGTCTCAATTTTGATCGGATAATCCGCTGACTGAAACTCCATTTTTACCATATCAGGACAAGCCTTCCTTTGAATAAGCAGCGACGGGGAGATCTTTACCAGCTTGTAGACGTAGAGCGTTTAAATTCCAAATGAGTGCAGCAGAGACGACTGTACATCTGAATTTTCTGTTTCTGAGAGACTTGTGTGGGCTGAGCACAATTTGGTTACTTACAGACCGGTCATTTCTCTGCAACTTTGCAAAGATTAAATAAATAAATAAAAAACTCTGTCCTTGCGTAAATTTGAACAAAATATGAAAAAATATAAATTCTGCTTGAACAATATATAATTTTGAGCTTTTGAGGGAAAAACAGAGCAAATTTGAGCTGTTCACTACTCTTTAGATAAATGCTTGGTAATAGGAAGAATTTAGCTGCTATATTAGTGTTATGCTAATTTCCTCTAATTGTTGTCAACCTTTTTGTCACATAACTCTTGATGCGTCAACGTAATGTAGGTATTTAGATGAGAAAGAAGAGAACTATGCCATTTTGAGTTAGATATTCATATTCCTACAATTTTGAAAAATGGATCCAGATGGATAAACGAATTGAAAACGATATTACATAATACCTTGTCAGGCTCAACTTGATTTTGATGATCCGTGGAAGATTGTTGAATGATAAATGACCGGACGACAAAATGCAGTTAAACTTGCAAACATTCACAGTGTGCTTTGTCTTTTGGAGGAGACACGTGGCCCAATCCTATAAGGTTTATAAGTGTGGTCCATTCCCTTCTGTGAAAGAACAAGTACCGTACGCGTGTGGGAGAGGAGGCCGCACGTGCGAGGGACCCATATGGAGAGAAAGGAAAAACACAACAATGCTTCACGTGGCAGGTCACGTGTGGGACCCCACAACACAGTTCACTCTTCACCGCGTGAATCTTTCTTCTTTTTTGTGTCAGCTCTTATTGTCTCTCCCTGAGCGGCTCAATCTCTGACTCGCCCGTGCGATTATTTTTGCCTTTAGTTTCTGTTTCTCCGCACACATCCCTAAAACTCAAATAGTTGTATCCATTGCAAGATTCATTTCCATTTCGTATTAGTAGTTTAATACTGTAACAGTTTTCTTTTCGTAAATTATAATTTTTTGTTTTCATTAATATCAGGTTTTAATCGGATTGTACCACGAAAGTACAACATTACTAAAAAACACGTGTTATTATCAAATTTATGAGTCGACCGACACCCTATTTCACCTAAATTTAGTAGCCTGCCGAACATAAATTTACCGTTTTGTTGCCTTAAGTGTGTGCATTGATATTTTTTGTTTGTTTCTATGATGCGTAAATGATGTTTGAGTAAAAGTTTAATCTATTATACCTTTTCTGATATCATGAGCACACGTAGAAACAAACATGAATGTTTTTGTTTTTGTTTTCAAGCAAAATATCATTTTCATGTAATTTTGTGTTTTGTACTATATATCTTGTTTGATTCAAGTTTTTTTTTGCTTGTATTATCCTATTTTGTACAAGTGTATATGGTCCAACTTGAAACAATATTTAGGGGGATCTTCGAAACTGGATGTGATGATGAGATCATATAAAATGAAAACATTGGCCGAAGAGTGACAAAGATGTAGAACGAAAACAAGAAGACATAAGTGTTGATGAAATGAGGAACAAAGAAGGAACAAGAAAGGAAAGAAGCATGTGAGACTGAAAAAGACGCAAATCAAGTACAATTCCTTAACCGGTCCTTGTCGAGACAACCAATGTGAGACTTTCTTTAAAGCTATTTAAAGTATTAAACATGATAAAACCATCTTTAATTAGTCACAAGAGCCTGATTGATTCTAAGTTCTAATCACATCCTTTTCAATAACCCACCCACGCTTGATATCTGTCTAGACAATCTGAGACAATTTGATATGGTTATGGTATCGCTACAATTTGAATTCGGCGATTAGTTACCCAAAAAGGAATGTTTCGCCGCAAACACATGTTATTTTTCTAAATATGTCATTGTAATTGTTCCATCATGATTCAGTGCAACCACAACTGAGTCCAATTTTCGATCTTCAATAAATACTTCATCAGGGGAAAATATAATTTTAGTAAAATTGAGATGTAATGATCTATCCAATACGAAATCCTCAGTTCCTAACATAATGCGGAAAACGACATAAAACGGTTAATTAGACACAATATTTTACGTACATGCATACATAAAATAAAATAAAAACTGAAGAATGCACTTGTTTGTGTGGTCCATCTTCATGATCAGCATGCGTGAACAACACGCGCCGAGATCGCCACTTGTATATAAGTCCACTCTCTCCCTCTCGTCTAATCTCATTCGTCGTCTTCCTTCTTCTTCTCTCTGCAATTTTACCTCAATAAGACAACTTCCGAGAAAAAAAACAAAGCAAAAGCAGCTAAGAGACATAATCTCTTTGTTTTCTTTTGTCTCTTCTTCTTCCAAAAATCATTTTTTTGTCGAGTTTCTCAAACCAAATCATGCATAGATCCAAAACCGAATCCAGAAACCCGTCATTCTCCTCCACTCTCCTCGATGAAATCTACAATTCCATCGATCCTAAAACCCACAAAGCACAACCTTTTATCGGCTCTGTTAACACTTCCAAAAAACAGAGCATAAGCGTAACCAGATCGGTTCCTGACCGGAAAATTCACCGAGATCGGTTCTTCGGCTCTGTTTCGTCTTCCTCTGATTCCAGCTCCAGCATTTTCTCCTCTTCCGACACTGAGATCACGCACGGTAAGAAGATATCTTCTTCCAGGCCATTATGTTTCGGCCCTTCCAAGACAAAACCAAGAAAAACAGAGGACAAAGCTCTGTTCCATCAAAACAGAGCAATCCGAGTGTCCCACGACTACGATTACGCCTCCGACGCTACGAGATACGACGAGAATTGGGAAACACATAGAATCAAAAGATCTTCAAAGAGCTCGAGTAATCAAAAGAAGACCAAAACTCCAGCTTCACCTGGAGGACGAATCGTTAGTTTCATCAATTCTCTGTTCAGCAGCAATTCCAAACAGTCCACGGCGGTTAAGAGTTATCCGAGGAAGACGAGCTACGACGATTCCGGTTTCGTCCGGAAACCAAATGATTATCATCCATCTACGTGTTCTTCAGCTTCTTCCTTCTCCAGGTCGTGCATGAACAAAAGCTCCGAGAAATCATCTGACCGTATCAAACGAAGCGTTAGGTTCTCTCCGGTCAATGTTACCGTTCCAGAGAGCAGATCCTTTGTCGACAAATCTTCGCTCTACGCAGAAGAGGAAGAGGACTATTTCGGTAACATCAGAAGAAAGTCGGTGAAGAAGAATGTGGAGGATGGAGGGAGGAGATCAGTGGAGGAGATAGCGAGGGAGTTTTTGAAAGACTATCACAAGAATCATGAAAACAGTTTGGTGAAGAATAATAATGATTTCGAGGATTATGAAGATGAGGATGATGATGATGCAAGTGATTCGAGTTCGGATTTGTTTGAGCTGGATTTAGTTGGAAATCATCATAACCTGTACGGAGACGAACTTCCTGTGTATGAAACCACTTTTGCTGGTTTGATCCTGTGAAGCTTTTTCTTTCTCTTTTTTTCTTTAGAGTTTCGATTTTAATAGATTTTAAATCCATGTAATTGTTGGAGAAAGAAAATCGCATGTGATTCTCTACATCTGTGTTTGATTTTGTAACTATATGTCAGTGTTATAAATTTTGTGTTTGTATAAATTTGATCCAATCATGTTTCTCATAACATCATCTTAGTTTTCAGTTTTTCTGTTAATTGTTTAAATTAAAATTATATAGCAATTAAATTTTTTACACTAACTATTTCGACCAACCAAAATTTGATTTACTGTGAAACTGAATTTAAAATTCATGTTTTTTTTTTCATAACCGTAATACAGTATAATTTTTTTTAATAAACGATATTGTTGAGATGGATCCGTTACGTGCAAAGTAAAATGATTTGTGGAGGATAATAAAGTGGTTGATGATCCCAAAGGAAAAATTCCCAAGCTACCAACTTTCTCTTTTCCTATGTATCTTTCACATGTTTTAAATCCAAAGTTTCATGGATGCAAACACTTTTGAAATACAAATATAAACTGAGTTTTTCTTCTCTTTTTAAACATTTTATACCAAGGAAGCTCATAAGAAAATGCTAAACATTTAAGAGGTCCGTATAGTTTTACCTAAAACAATTGTTTTGCTATTTATAAATGCCAAGAATTACAACAAAATTATAGTTACTATATAAAGTCTGTACAAACACATTTTGTTTACTAAAAGACTAAAGTACCACACGAACAGATATAAAGCGTTTAGTTAATAAAAACATCGAGACCAAGTCGAAGATATGCGAAAGTGTGTGTTTGTGTAACAAAAGAAAAGAAAGAGGGAAAATCGAGAAATTCGATATCCAAATGGGAAGCAAAGGGTGATTGAAGCCGATCGTGAATGGACATATTAAAGCTTTGATATAATTGAAATATACAATTTTAAAAGAGTAGTTTTAAAATAAAGTAAAAGGGATTGTAGCGATGGATGAACATGAAGTACTGATGCTTCCATGGGAACAGAGAAAGTCGAGAGCTTTTGCTTTACTTCTCTTTTCCACTTTGATCATCTTTAAAAGTTCCGATTACACAATCTTCTCCATTACTTCTCCCAACAATAAAGAAACCAATTTACGTGAATAATTATGTATTACACGCACGGTCGCACGTACACATGGCCTATTTTCAGTACACGTCAAGTCATTTTGATTATTATTTTGTTTGTTTCAAATTATTGAGGTTGTTTCCTTTTAGTTTCAATATTGCTTTGGAATGTTAGCTTTATCATGTACAATGCGGTAGACAGTATCTTGCTTATATCAAAGCGTAATATCTTACATTCGAATCAGTTGGTGGACTGAAAAAGTTTTAAACTTATAGCTAATACCATCACAATTTTGTTTACTTTGGCCTCAAAACTTAGTCAAACAAAAGAAATAATTCGATGAATATATCATTGGGCAGTTATTTTCTACTTAGTTATGCGGCTGATTAAATTATTCTGCCAAGAGAGCTCATTTATTGTTATCAAAATCAACGACTAAGTATATAATTAACGAAGTAAATGTTCTAACCAAAGATCGTGCCATGTATATGTACACAACAACACTCCCTCAAACTCGTAATGATTGAACATACGTAATGGGTTTAAGTAAATTATGTTTGTATTAAGATCATTGGCTGAAGGATACGCGAATAATTTACAGATACACATATTACAATTTTGGTATCACATGTGACATGTAATGTCGGGGATGTTAACGCTCTCTCGTTAGTGATTGAGAAATAATTATTGCTTTTATACAACGAAATTCAATGCTCGAGTATACAAATGTTTTGGAAGCTGATTGTTAGTTTCTTCAGTTGTGGAGGAATGAGGATGAATAGTCTTTTTAGTAAATGTTTGCATAATGATGATGTGATCTAAAAGAAAATAAACTATGAGTTTGTAGCTTTGGAACGAACAACCTTAGAGTAATTTAATAAGGAGCTAATAATGTTCTATAAGTGAATAGCACGATATGGTTTGGTAGGACCAAAGCGACGCCTCTCGTTGAGCATGTAATATATATGAAGTCGATCAACAAGATCACATGATTACTTTCTACTACTTAATACGTAATCAGTAATCACACATACAAGTTTACATGTATATCACGCCCGGAGATGTATAAACTTTCTATAGAGAATCATATTCCTAATCATTAGTTTTAGTTGGAGAACTGTGTTGTTTAAACCAAATCTGAATTCGAGCTCATATTTTAAACGAAATCGTTATTAAAGAGCATTGAGCCTAATGAACAAATTTGTTGAAATCAAAATTTATATTTTAGCTTAAAACTTTGTAAATTGTTTTTTTCCTTATATTTTGTCTTTTTTTTTGCTTATGTTTTACTTATTTTTTGTTTCAATTTCTCTTATTCTATGTTTTACAAATGGTTATATTTTACTAATTTAGCCGAAGCATCGCAGCCCTAAAGTAAGACAGTATTTAGATTAGTCAAACATTTATGGATATATAAACAAAACAAGATGATGAAAAAATTAAAGGCTACCTTTACGAAGTAATCGTGAAAGAAGAGTCGTAGTGTGGCTGGAATTGTAATTCGAGTTTGATTGACTTTCACTTCAACGGCTTTTCTCACGATGTTTTCGACGTCCGGGCAAACTCCAGCATAGTGACTTAGCCGGAGAGCCGTTGTACCGACAATTGTACTCGGTCCACATTAGTTAAGCTTATAAAGTTTGTTCCAACATCGATCACGGTTCGGTTTTTAACCAAATAAGAAGATCATTTTTCTAGAAAAATAAATAAAATTGAATAGAATTATTTATTCCAATCATAACATAGGTCAAAGAGATTGTTCTCTTGGTTAAATCTGCATGGTCTATTTTGGGCTATATTCCACGTACAGTCGATGCATGGATTACCCTGACGAACACCATCTCTGTAATCATCGTAAATATCAAACCAGTGTGATTCTTGAGCCCACCGAAAATAACAATAAAAGAGTGTTGTTCCAAATATACCCGGTCTAAACTTAAATGACCAAGAAGTATTCGGTGCAAGAGTTTTGACACCGAGATCGTTGTTTCCAGACTTGCAATGGAGGATTAATGTTAAACCACCACCAAGACGATTGTTAATCTCCACCGTTGTTTTAAACAAAGCCCAATTTCCTTCATATGAAGGAGCATGTACGTTTTCAAATTTGCTTAAATCAAAACTTATATTTATCTTAAAACTTTGTAAATTGGTCTTTCTTATTTTTTGCTTATGTTTTACTTATCTTTTGACACCCTAATTATTTTGTAGCAACAACAAGAAATTGCCATCTGTGTATACATACCATACATACCATCGGTAGCCTCCCTTCCACGCTACCCATGGTCGAGGTCAAACCATCAAACCATCCAAAATGCACGATCGGTTTGATTGAATTCAAGGTTGGTGTCTTGTTCACAATTCAAGTCATCACATATATATACCCCTTACTTTCAAAAGATATATGTACGACATGAGACAAACAATAAGTAAAAAAACATTATTTTCGTTGCACCAACACAAACTATTACCTCTCATTTTTTTATTATTAAAAAATGTTAACCTACAAGCATCAAACTATTCCTTTGGCTGCCCGTTCCAATAATAACATATATCAAAGGCATCAGTTGCGTCGTTAAACCTGCAAGGCCCATCTCTGGTTATATCCCAGAAACAGTAGATACATGGAATACCCCTCTGAACACCATCTCTAAAATCATCGTATATATCAAAATGTTCTGATCGTCGAGGCCATGTGAAATGACAAGAAAACTTTGTCGATCCCAAAATACTTGGTCTAAACCTAAACGACCAAGAGCTATGTTGGGCGAGAACCTGGAGGCCGAGATCGTCGTCTACGGACTTGCAATGGAGGCTTAATGTCGAACCATCACCGAGGCGGTTTGTGATCTTCACTTGCGATTTTAAAGTCGACCAATTAACATCAACATCTGAAGCAATTGTAGTTTCCACTTGTGAGAGAACTATTTGGATGATCAGTACAAATATTACCACCACATGTGTCTTTTGGATGGTTGCCATCTTTTTTTTTTTCAGATCGAATTATGTATTTTCTGCTTAATGCCATAACGCTTAATTTTCATTAGTATATATAATAAGTCTCCTATGAAAACGTACATGGCGTTATTTGATTTTGTTACCAAAACACTTGTGTTTGAATACATGAATACATATGCAGTAGGTAACAGTAATGGTTGGATATGTATTGAAACAAAAGGAAAGTTAACGGTAATGGAAGAATATCAATTCATATACACTCTAAAAAGAGAGATAAATATTGATATTGGTCAAAATAAAGATTAGTCAAAACTTAAATAAATATTTTTTAAATGGTTGAATATCAATATTTATATATTTGTACGTAATCTAGATTTCGGTAAAGTTTGACATGAGACTTTTGAATTTATGAATTTTCAGTTATAGATAACTTAATAACTATGAGGCAAATTGTATCGGTCCACATTAGTTAAGCTTATAAATTTTGTTCCAATTAATATCGATCACGGTTCGGTTTTTAATCAAATAAGAAAATCATGTTCTAGAAAAACAAATAAAATAAAATTGAATAGAATTATATATTCCAATCATAACATAGGTCAAAAACATTGGTCTTCTGGTTAAATCTGCATGGCCTATTTGGAGCTATATTCCACGTACAGTCGATGCATGGATCACCCTTACGAACACCATCTCTGTAATCATCGTAAATATCAAACCAATGTGATTCTTGAGCCCACCGAAAATAACAATAAAAGAGTGTTGTTCCAAATATACTCGGTCTAAACTTAAATGACCAAGAACTATTCGGTGCAAGAGTTTTGACACCGAGATCGTTGTTTCCAGACTTGCAATGGAGGGTTAATGTTAAACCACCACCAAGACGATTGTTAATCTCCACCGTCGTTTTAATTAAAGCCCAATTCCCTTCATATGAAGAAGAAGCATCTACACCAAGATCTTCCACTTGTGACAATACCAATTGGATGAATAGTGATATAACCATCACATGAACTTGTGTTTTCTTCATAATTGCTATATTTTGTAAGAAAGATTAAAGTGTTTTTCTATTGAAATGAGTGGAATTGGATAATTCTATTGATCGATGAGCTCTGTTTATATATACAGAGGAGGAATCTACAAAGAAGGGAATACAATATTCACAAGTAATTGCAGAGATTGGAGAAAACCAAACCGGTTAAGATTGGAGGAGAAAAATGAATTGTACGGTTCAACTTCCGGTTAATAGATGCTCGACATGTAAAAATATCTTATTTGAGTGGAATCGGTTTAGAGAACTCGGAAAAATAAATAGATTTCAATTTTAATCGTCTTTCTTCTGCTCTAAAAGTCTAAACAAAACAGTACCGGCGCAACGTTTATAGGTAATATCTTAAAAACAAACGGTTTAGTTAGAAAACCAAACCGGAATTTCAATTTTTCTCCACCTTGGTGAGACTAACATGTTGAGGAAGGAGAGTGTACTCGATGTGAAGCTCCTCCAACATTTTCTTAACCGCCATATACTGTTCGGTTCTTCGCAGATTCCTCTCTCTGTACTCCTGAAACGTGAGGGTGTGGTTGGTGTACAGAGCCATCTTCAGCTTGTTCATGTTCTCTATCTCCTTCAACACCACACTGTGTATCGGTGACCAATGCTGCGGATTCAACTCCAAGTACCTGATTCGATCCCAACCAATAATAACTCTTTTCAACATTTGATATCTTGAAGTAGACATGAACAGTTTCAAATGAGTGAAGAGTACTTACTCGGCGATTCTTTCTTTGAGATGAGCGATTTTGGAGACTGGTGTCGAAAATGAGATTGAGAACTCAACTGTTTCTCCCATATCTGGACTTCTGAAGTAGTTGCTTATCGGTTTGGTGGCCAAAACCGCGTTTGGATAGTACACTTTCTCGTTGTCAAGCTTCAAGAACACTGTTGTTAACAGATTCATCTCCTCAACAAGCATCTGAAAAAAACCAAAAAGAAACACATTTTCAGTGTAAAGTTCTTATCAAGAAGTAGAGAGAAACAGAATGGGTTTAATGGAGTCTTTACCGGGACACCGTCGACAACACAGCGATCACCGACGTCATAAGGATGCATAACGAAGACAAAGACGATGGATTCAAAGAGACTTTTGCAAGTGCTTCCGATTATGAAAGCCAGAGCAACCAGTTGGGTGGAGAAGAAAAGCAAAACTTTAGTCGTTGCTATCTCTAGAAGCAGCAGCCAAATGACAACAGTAATCACGATCAAGATCGCTGTCACAAGTTTGTTCAACTGCTTCACCGCTGTTTTCGTGTCGTTCAACGAATGAGCTAAGGCTTTCCGGCTCGTGTACACCTTAACCTGATCAAATTCCAACACAACACAAAAGGGTTAAAATCAAGAAACACAGACAATCTTGAAACTCTTCAAGATTACCAAAACTTATCTTGAAGAATAAAGAGAGCATGAGAGTGTTTGAGAAGACTTACCACCCATTCTGTAAAAGCTTTTCTTGTGATTTTGCCGGTCTCAGCAGCACCGTCAAACAAAGGGAACACAAGATCAACCTCTTCCTTAATCATGAACCTAAGCAAGTCCTCTTCCTCTATGTATCTGAAAACATAACCCAAAATTCAGAGAATGCACACAAAGAGAAGGGACAAACAAAACATATGGATATTGTTATCTCACCCAAAGCAAGGCTGAGCAACGTTTCTAAAGACATGGTAAGCAGCAGCCAAAGCCTCCATCTCACTAGTAATCTCTCCTCTATCAGCTTGCTCTTTCCCCTCACCGAGTGCTGTCTCATCCAACGTGTCAGAGATCGTAGAGAGCCCTGAAGTCCTAACCGCTTCCACCAAAACCCGCATTGTCCAAGCGGACACTTTCTCACGCTTCATCTTGTGAACTTTCCCCATATCAATCACTTTCTTCTCCTTCACCGTTCCTTTCTTCACCACGGTAGCGAAACTCAGCTGTCCTGTTCTTGGCTCACGCCCAACCCTCTCCGCCTCTTCGATAAGCGGAGGACCTGAGAGCGTCTGCAGAACATATTGGTGGAAAACAGAATCTTGAATCCTATCGAAAAAGTTCACCACGTTGAAGTTCGCTGCAAGGATCTTTAGCAAGAGTGTTTTCACCAGCCAGAGGAATGATCCGGTGAGGAGGGAGATCAGAGACCTTGTTATAGCGTTGAGGATCTTCGTAGCTGCTTTGGATCGTTTCACGTCGTGGTTGAAGAGAAACACCCAAGCGACAAGAATCAAGCTGAGCCATATGAAGACTTGGACGCTCTTCTTCAATCCGTGCACAAAGTAGAGCACTTTCCTCCTCAGAAGAAAGTTTGTTTCAATCAGGAACACAACCAAACGCATGAACCAGTTCGCCACCAACATCCCGCTGAAGATAACCATCACAAGCACACACCATTTCCACACTTCAAGCCCCCAAATGTAATATTTTTTCAGGGCATCAATGGTTAAACTAGCAATCAAAGAACTCAAAACCGCCACAAAGAAAGCTATCTCTATCAATGTCAAAGGACTTATCTTTCTCCGCATCTCCTTGCTCAGCTTGACCTTTTTGTAGATCTCTTCATCTTCATCTTTCTCCACCTCAGCAACAGCTTTACTTGGAGTTAGTGGTGTTGTTGAACCGACACTCCTCGTCGATTTGTTGTTCGGTGAGCCTCTGTTGAAAGAGAAGCCAGCACCAAGCTGCTCCCTAACCTCCTCCTCTAGGATGCTTGCGTCTACAGGACAAGATGGATCCACGAACCGGGACTTGGGTTTGGAGTAAACCGACCTCGCAAAAGATTTCCTCTGAGTTAGACCCGGATTGCTGGGATTTGGAGATCTAGGAGGCTTGTTAGGACTACCAACAAGCTTAGAGATTTCAGGAGAATTGCTGCTGTTGATGGGCACTGCTCTCTCAGACTCTGGTGAAGCCATCTTTGAGGGAACATTTGAAGCTACCTCACCTGAAACATTGATAACAACTTCTCTTCCTCCATTACTACTACTCTTTCGTTCATCCATCTCACCACAACAGCTCTGAAAAACAAGATTAAGAACAGTGTAGGTGATAAATTACCAATCTTTTTACTTTCTAGCTCCATCAAGATAAAAGTAATAATATTTCGCCTTAGGAAAGGGTTTAAGAAAAGTCTAGCTCTTGTTCTTAGGTTTTTAAGGGAAAATGTGGAATCTAAACCCTAAGTTCATTAAGCAGAGATGTGTAACAAAGTCAATCGATTTACAGAGGAAGATTAATTGAAAGAACCCAGCTTTATCCCAGCTAAATCTGTAAGAAAGATCTAAACTTTCCAAGAAAATGGAAACCTTTTAAAAACTACAGTTCAAAATGGTGGGAAAACGAGGTTACCAGTAATGAAGTAAGAACAAAATCTTCTATTGTAAGTATCAATCAGCTCATTTTTTAAGAAGAAGAACCAAAGAAAGAGCAAGATCTTAGGAGATAGTACAGAGCACGACCAGGTTTTAAAGAGAAAAACAATTATGAGAGATGGAAGACTTCAAACATTTGGTAAAGTCGATAATGGTCTTCTAAAAGAAGCAAATAAATAGCAGCTGAGAATGAGAGGCGGTGTGGAAAAGCTTGCCTGAGAAAATGGCTTAAACCCAGAAGCCAACAAATACGAATAGCCAACTAATTAAAAACCAAAACATGGGATGAGGAAAAATCTTACATGAACAAATACAAAACATTCAGGCGGGTCCGTCCAAAGAGTGAAAGAGGAGAGAGAGATATCAAGACCTTTTTAAGCCTAGCTAGAAAATTGGGTACTGTAATTTACTAATATTGAAGATGCCAAGTTGGGGAGTTGTTTAATTCACCATTTAAATTCTTAAGTGTCTTGAGAAATAATTGCTTAGCTCCTAAACTTTGTCGTCTACAGAAAAATTACTAATTTGATATTCGTTAGTTGGATGAAAATGTATAACCAAATGTATTGGGAAACATGTGCTCGCAAAACTTGGTTTTTAGTCAAAGTTACTAACCTATGTCCTGTGTACTATCTGACAGCAAAAAACACTGTTCTGTCCTAAAATGTCATTATAAAATATGGATTTAGTAAGACTTACACGTACATCAAATTTTCAATTTTCAAATTTCAAATTCCAATAAGTACCACTAAAATTTTATCAATTCAGATACTGCCGACATGCTAACACAAACACAATTTGTTGGATGCTTGGACTCATAAACCCAAATTTTGCAGTTTTTTTTTATTGAATCACAAGAGTTAGTTATTTTTGTTGGTGTCATGAACAAAATGATTTTTTGTTGGACTGCTGACTAGTGACCATACCACAATCTGTCGCCATCAATTCCATTATGTCTTTGTTGCTCAATAGCTGTTTCTAATCATTTCGTTAGTTGATGCGCGAGCATGTTTGGCATGTGTAGTATTATTCTACAAACTAATTGGTCATTGGTCAGCTATCTCTATGGGATCTTTTTGTTAGATTAATAAACTCGTTGTTTTCGTTATACTTATATAAACTTGTTATCACCATCTAAAAAAGACTATTATTGTCTAGATCCATCAATTTCATTTGATCCATCAACTAGTAGCTGTTTTAAATCATTCCATTAATTTACAAGTGAACATGTGTTGGCATGTATCAAAGTGATTGATTGGATTGGTCATGTGATGTATCTCTGAGTTTCTTCGAAAAATAGGCAAAGTGAAAAAGCAAACCAAAAGGTTCGGTTTCAATGTGGCAAGAAGGAAGGCCCAATTTCAAGCCCATATCTCACTGATGAAGAAAGATGAATGGGCCTAGTGACCTGAGAAAACAATCGTCTCAGTCTAAAATACAGTAACATTTAGGTGGCTTCACTCCGCCGAGCGTCTCCGGCAGGCCAACGATGGCGACTCGCTTACGATTCGTTTCGAGATCTTCTCGTTACGCCACCGTCAAGCTAGCTGAGTCTGCCTCGGTATGCTCATGTCGTCTCTTCTCTGCCTCCTCAGACACGACTCACCCTGAACCCGAATCTCAACCCGAACAATCCCCGTCTAATAATGCCGTCACCGCAGACGGAGAGCGACTCGAAAAGCTGCGGAACATACGAGTCCTTATCCAGCAGAATCGAATCGAAACGGCGCGTGGAGTTCTCACTTCGCTGGTACGGTCGGGCTCTGCGCCTTTCACATCGCCGAAAGAGCTCTTCTCTGCCTTCTCTCTATCGTCTCCGTCGCTGAGAAACGATTTCTCCTACTTGCTTCTCTCCGTGCTAACCGAATCGAAGATGATCTCCGAAGCCACTGATTTGTTCTTCGCCTTGCGGAACGAAGGTATTTATCCCAGCTCAGATTCCTTGACGCTTCTGCTCGATCATCTCGTCAAGGCGAAACAATTCAGAGTGACGATAAACGTGTTTCTGAATCTCCTGGAATCGGATTTTCGTCCGAGCAAGTTCATGTACGCGAAAGCAATTCAAGCCGCCGTCAAATTGAGCGATTTAGGTAAAGGTTTGGAGCTGTTTAATCGCATGAAGCACGATCGAATCACTCCCACTGTGTTTATATACAACGTCCTCATCGATGGATTGTGTAAAACGGGAAGAATCAAGGATGCAGAAGAGTTGTTCGACGAAATGCTTAAGAGAAGATTGGTGCCCACTTTGGTAACGTATAACACCTTGATCGATGGATATTGCAAAGCTGGGAATCCTGAAAAGACTTTTGAGGTGAGAGAATGCATGAAAGCGGATAACATCAGTCCCAATCTTGTTACATTCAATACTTTGCTCAAAGGGATGTTTAAAGCAAGAATGGTGGACGATGCGGAGAATGTTCTCAAGGAGATGAAAGATCATGGCTTTGTACCAGATGCGTTTACTTTCAGTATTCTGTTTGATGGTTATTCAAGTAACGAAAAGGCTGAGGCTGCTTTGGGTGTTTATGAGACAGCGGTTGATTCCGGCGTGAAGATGAATGCTTATACGTGTAGCATTTTGCTGAATGCTCTGTGCAAAGAAGGAAAGACGGAGAAGGCTGAAGAGATTTTGGGGAGAGAAATGGGTAGAGGGCTTGTTCCGAATGAGGTTATCTATAACACGATGGTTGATGGATACTGTAGAAAAGGTGATATGGTTGGAGCTCGAGTGAAAATCGAAGCGATGGAGAAACAAGGGATGAAGCCAGATCATTTGGCGTATAACTGTTTGATTAGGAGATTCTGTGAATTGGGGGAAATGGAGAATGCTGAGGAAGAGGTTAAGAACATGAAACTGAAGGGATGTTCTCCTAGCGTGGAGACATATAACATCTTGATCGGAGGCTATGGAAGACGGAGCGCGTTTGATAAGTGTTTCGACGTTCTCAAAGAAATGGAAAACAACGGGACGATGCCGAATGTAGTTAGCTACGGAAACCTGATACATTGTTTGTGCAAAGGCTCTAAGCTTCTTGAAGCTGAGATTGTTAAGAGGGATATGGAAGACAGAGGGGTTTCACCCAATGCAAGGATATATAACATGCTGATTGATGGTTGTTGCTCAAAGGGGAAAATAGAAGATGCTTATCGGTATTCTGAGGAGATGCTGAAAAAGGGAATAGATTTGAACTTGGTGACTTATAACACCCTCGTTAATGGGTTGGCCATGGCAGGGAAATTCGCAGAAGCCGAAGACCTGCTTCTCGAAATCTCAAGAAAGGGTTTTGAAGCAGATATATACACGTATAACTCGCTGATATCTGGATATGAACATGCTGGAATCTCGCAAAGATGTATGGCGCTGTATGAAAAGATGAAGAGATCAGGAATAAAACCTGATTTGAATACATATCATCATTTGATCAGTGCGTGCTCCAAGGAGGGGATAGAGCTCACTGAGAAAATACTTGGAGAGATGTGGATGGAACCAGACTTGTTAGTATACAATTTGGTTCTTCAATGCTACGCCGTACATGGAGATACGGATAAGGCTTCTAAAATGCAGCAGGAGATGATGGAGAAGGGAATCGGTTTGGATAAGACGAGTTACAACAGTTTGATTATGGGACATTTGAGAGTAGGAAAGCTGAGTGAGGCTAGAAGTTTGTTTGAGGAGATGAAAGCACGAGAATTGGATCCTGAAGGTGATACGTATAACATAATGGTGAAGGGGCATTGTGAGAGGAAGGATTATATGGGAGCGTATGTTTGGTATAGAGAGATGCAGGAGAAGGGTTTGCGGTTGGATGTTTGTATAGGGGAAGAGCTAGTGACTGGGCTTAAAGAAGAATGGAGGTCTAAGGAGGCAGAGATTGTCGTTTCTGAAATGAATGGTTGCAAGCTTGATGATGTGACAGTGGAAGAGGCTCTATCTGCAACAGAGAAGCTGTGAAAATCAACAATGTGCGAAATTCTTTTTTTATTTGGTTTGGACTAACTAAAACCAAACCAGATAATCCAGTTTCAGTTCGGTTTGATTTGGTGTTTTCTAACACACCTAGACAGCATGAGTGATACTCACTTTGGGTTAGACTTTAGGCTAAGCTGTGGAGTAATATTTATCTGAATTTTTTTTGTTTTCCTCGAACAAATGTTTACAGAACTAAAAGAATGTGATTGTAAATGTATTCATATGCATGGATATAATTAGATGAGTTCTTAAAAACTCTCTGCAGACACTCGAATCTGCACAATAGGCAAACATGAAAAAATCAATTAAGCAAACAAAAAAAAGAAACTCGAAAATTCTGTAGAGTTATCAAGCGTGCGAGTCGCACGGTGGGAGGGATGCCTCTAGAAAGGAAGGAGGGCCCCTTTGGAGGCATCTTAAATCTCACTGTAATAAGGCCACGTAGGATCGGTCCGACCGATCGTGCGATGGAGAATATACATACAATCCTGGTTTAGAGGTTTCTAGAGATTCATTAATTTTTGTATTTTACAGAGTTTTTAAAGCGCCCTTGCTTCTCTTTACTCTCTCTCTCTACTACACTCTCTACAGAAACTTACTGAGTCTGAGCATATCAATGGCACTTACATTTTCAGATTTGCACACCGAGAAGGGTCTCAAAACTCTCGAAGAACACCTCTCCGGAAAAACTTACATCTCCCGGTAAGCTCGCATCTTCCTCTGTCTTCCTCTATTTCGTATTTTGATTTGTATTATCATAATTCATAAGCTTGAATTACTTACCTCTTGGCCTTTCAGCGATCAGCTTTCGGTAGATGATGCGAAGGTTTACGCGGCCGTATCGGAGAATCCCGGCGATGGCTTCCCAAATGCTTGCAAGTGGTACGATTCAGTTGCTTCTCACCTCGCTAAAAGGTAATTATATTCTCATCCGTTTGCTGAAATTCTGAAATCTCGGTAAGTTCTTTGAATGCTCATTTTATACTGTTCCAGTTTTCCGGGGAAAGCCGTCGGAGTGAGAGTTGGTACAAGTGTCACTCCATCTGAAGCTCAACAGACTGAGGTACTAAAGCTATCTTGACTTCAATTACGTTTCTTAAACAGGCAAATCTGGGATATACTTCGTCATCCAATGTTGAATTGAGCATTTATTTTGCTCTGGAGTTCCACTTTATTAATCTGTTGGATGCTTTAGTTTAGATTCTTCCCTGAGCTTTTTGTGCAGGCATTTAATGCTGCTGCTGGAGCTGATAATGATGATGATGATCTTGATCTTTTCGCTGATGAGACTGAGGATGAAAAAAAAGCAGCAGAGGAAAGGGAAGCTGCGAAGAAGGACACCAAGAAGCCTAAAGAGAGTATGTCTTTCTCTAATTTGGATTGGATCACTGTGACCATTGTAAATTTGTATTCTCAACACATTTTGTGATTTAAAGCACTGAATTGAGACTCAGGTGGAATAGTGTAGAACTTTGCGATTTGAGCTAGAAATGAATGAACTGGGTATGGAGACCCTGCTGTTGTCTGTTTAATACTTACTCTCATTATTTGCTTTTGTCAGGTGGAAAGTCTTCTGTGCTACTGGAAGTAAAGCCATGGGATGATGAAACAGATATGAAGAAGTTGGAAGAAGCTGTTCGTAGTGTTCAGATGCCTGGTCTTACCTGGGGAGCTTGTAAGTACTAAGTAGAACATATTTCAATCTAAATCTACGTGTCGCACCAAAAAAAGCTTTGGTGTTTTTCCTGTCTGATGTGAGAAAAATTGTTGCAGCGAAACTGGTTCCGGTTGGTTACGGGATAAAGAAACTCACAATCATGATGACAATTGTGGATGACCTTGTCTCTGTCGACAACCTCATTGAAGACCATCTCACCTCAGAGCCGAACAACGAATACATCCAAAGTGTCGACATTGTCGCTTTCAACAAGATTTAGAGTCCTCCAAAACCCTTCCAAATGATAAATATTGAGTCTCCTTCATCTGGTCTTCTTGTTCCTTTTCTTGTAAGCTTTTATTCCTGGCTGTTATGTTAATAATACATGTTGGGCTTGGTAGCGTTAGCGTACGAATCAAATTGCGGTTAAAAAATGTTAATCCTTCGGTTAAGTACTCAAGTTTCAAAAGATGTTAACAATAAAGCAGAGGAACACACGCATCATCGGTGATATAATTTTTTAAAAAGCCTCTTTGTGGTAGCTCCAGTGGTAGCTCCATGTTAAGATACGTTGAGATAAAATATGAGGAAATTTGAAAGATCCATTTTTGAGCAAACAAGCAAGAAACACTTGATAAAACCAGTAACCACAAACTCCATACCATCCATCCATCATCATCATCTCTCTCTCTCTTTCCTTGGATTTTTCTTTATTCTAGAAAGCATTTTTTTCACCTTCAGAGTGAAGGAGGCACATACTGTCTAGACAAACTAAACAGATCTTTACCCTCAAACGGCGAAGTCCATTCTCTTCCATTCCCAACTAAAGCAGCTTCTTGCACTCCCATCGCCATGCCCATCCCATTCCCATTCCCCATCATTCTTGTCCTTCCATTCATCTGTACTTCGTATGGGGATGCACTCAAGTACTGTTGTTGCTCTGGTCTCGGACAAATTAGTCCTTTGTCTAGACTCCAGTCGATGTTGTTGTAATCCAAATGCCCCACTGTCCCATCCGCGTTCCAGTCCAGCCCAGTAGATCCTCTTGAGTGTACTGATCCGTACCCTGAGAAGAGCCCAAGAGATGCAGCTGGAGCCACAGCAAGCGGTGAAGAAGCTCCTCCCATTCTGTGACTGTTGTTCCCTTGCCCTTGATATTGTTGTTGATACTGAAGCTGCTGGTACATGAGGTTCGAGTTCAGGTCATTAGGAGCCATACTTCTTGTGGGCATGTATCCATCAGATTGAGCAGCTGCCTCAGATCTATTTGCAGGGTACCAATTGTTGCCTCCTCCTCCTGCTGATGCTGTTGCCGCTACGGTGAAGGATGAGTTCATGGTAGAGACAGGTAACACACTTGTGTTAGCGGATTGAGAGCGTTGCTGTTGCAGTTGTTGTTGATGTTGTTGCTGCTGCTGCATCATCATAACTGGTTCCCTCATCTCTTGCTGCTGAAGTCTTCTATATTGATCACCTAGAGCCGCCACGTAATGTGTTTCTTCTGTTGGCCGGGGAAGTGGTGTCTGTTGATATGGCTGTGGCATGCGTTTCCTCTCTTCCTGGGCAGCATTTTGTTGCAATTTCATCAACTGCAACTGCATGTGGATTCTCTCCAACGATCCACCTTCGTTTCCAGGTTCTCCACTGGATACTCTGGGGTAACCAAGATTCTTCGCTTCATCAACGCCTGGAGGATACATACCTGAGTTAGGTTGCAGCTGGACTACTGTGTTCTGACTTGTGTGCACAGAAGGGACTTTGCTACTGTTTACAGAAGTATTATCACTAACATCCTCTACTTTTCTAGAAGCAGTAGACTGGTCTTGCTTCTGTCTTCTTAATGCTTCTTCTGCTTTCTCAATATCCCCCTCTGCTGTAACCACAGCTCTTTCTACATCCTGCTTCGAGCACTTGAATTTACTTTCCAACTCCAAGATTCTACTTAACTCCTGCGATATGTCAAGCTTTAAGTTGCCAGAGGTAGGATCTAGTTTCTTATCTACTACTTTTGCGCCACCATCATCAAACAGCCAATGGACGGATTCCTCTATTTTCCCTTCGTTTAACATGAGAGCATAAGTAGCCCGCTCATGAGAAATCCCCATTGCTATGAGCTGCTGAGCAAGGACTTCAAGCTTTCTCGACATGAGAAACTGACAGCAACGCTCGTGCAACTCCTGAGCTCGCTTTTCCTTTTGACGCTGGTGCTTTTTCTCATTCTTCAGCCGCATCTTCTCCCGCTTGTCATTGTCAGCTCCAGGGATAATAACTTCCTGTTTTGCAGCAGTAGTAGATACTTTCTCTTTGTGATCTTCTGAGTCACCTGACCAGCTACCATTATTAGAGACGGAATCACAGTCGGCGCCAGTTGAATCCGACTCATCAATGTTTCTGAAACGGCCATTATGGTGAAGAGATGAAGAGCCGGTTGCTGAAAGCGACTCAACAGTTTGAAATGTCCCCAAAACTGGATTGTAAGCACCAGCAAGAACACCACTACTTGCAACCGTAGATCCCGAGGGTTTACCAGGTATCTTCTGTGAATCATTCATTGCCTTCTTGTCTCTTGATTTCGTCTTTGATACGGTAGACATCGTCTCTCAAAACACTGCACTTCTCATACAAACAAAAGAATAGTCAATACATAGGGTTTTTAAGCTAAGAAATCTTCACATAGCACAATCTTTCTTCTCGCAAAACCAGAAATAAAATACAGTGATCATATCAATGGTCAATCGAAATTTCCAAAGGGAAATACAAAAACAGAAGTATTACAGAGACGACGACTACATCGTAATCGATGATGAAGAAGTCATGGAAAGAGAAGAAATCTTAACCTAATACCAAATGTCACAAAAGGCATAGATCCGTCGCAAGAGCGAATCACGAAATCAAACACGCCACAACAATCTGCGAACTAAATCAACAATATTTCTCCGGAGACATTTTTCATCGAAATACGGTCAAAACGCAAAAATTCAAGGCTGGAACAGAATCCGAGTAGCTGAATCAAATCTAATACCGATAGAAAGGTCGTGTTTGAGCGACGGAGGGACGAAATTCTAGCGAATCAAGAAAACCTAAAGGCGTAGAAGAAAGTAGAAGGAAATGCAATTTGACGAGAACCTAAATCGAAGTATAGATCAGTGACGGGAATAGAGAGAGAACCTGCTTGATCGGTGTCGTTGACGGAGATGCGAGATCTGGAGAAAAAGAGAAGAAGAAGCTGAGCAAGGGCGATGAGGATGAGGAACGAGAGGAGTGCGATGTTATGAATAAAAACCAAAACTAAAAAAAAACTCGGCGTTTCGAATCCCCCAAATCGAAATGCCCCAAAAAAATTAGGGTTTGGTTAAAAAAAAAAGAGAGTGAATTTGTTTCCTTTTTTCTCTTTTCTAACAAACAAACCAAAAAAAATAATTGCAAAAACCAAACCAAAGTCTTCGCAATTAAAATCCTTTTATTAATTCTGAGCCATTGATTTATTTTCTACACAAATTCGGTTATATTTTCTCTTTCTCAAGCTCATTTCCAGTTGTCTTTGTTTGATTTCAGTTGTCATAAACTGAATAATAAAATAGATTTACATGGGTAAGACTCGGACATAGCTATCCTAACTGTTGGTAATCCAATTTATTTTTAAATAAAACCAAAATTACGTGTAATAATAATTTATTTAATAAATGCACTTTACTGGAAAATAACGTCTTGTTGATCTTTGGTGGGTTTAGATTTTGTTAAGCTCGAGAAACACCTCTCTATAAAGCTTTAGACTTTCAAAGTCTCACAGAGGAGCACAAGGTTTCAATGACTTTTGGACGATTCATAATACAGAGTATGTTCTAATAAATGAGTCATACCTTTGGAACTAGCGATTCAAGGATGAGACTGAAACCAAAATGTAGGTCATACAAATGGCCGTGGATCACAAGTCGAACCAAATATATACTTAAAAAGTCAATTAAATACTCTAATTTTAGGTAAACATTTAATGATTATTTTGATTAGAACGAAACTCAAAAGTCAAAACTCAAAACCGTGCCTGCCAAATCTATCCATAACAAATCAGATTTTACTTTGACTAAATTACTCTTAACCAAAACCGGACGGGAACCCATTTAATGATTTTAATCACCCAACCGAAGAGGCGGGTCGGGTCGAAAAACGACGTCGTTTGAAATGTCTTCCCCGGATGATAGTGGGTCACTCACCGTTTGTAATTGGATTTGACGCAAACGCTATGAGCTTAGCTTCAGCTATCCACCACGGAATTCTCGCCCCGGCGAAACCGGATCGAATCTTTGCTAGCATTCCGGTGATCCCGCCGGATTTCCGAGCTCGTGGATGGACTCAGTCTCGTTTCTCTCTCCTTCTAAATCCTTGTCTCGTCTCAGGTCTTTCTTCTCCTTCTTCAGTCTACACATATATGCTTGTGAATGAACATATTCATCACTCTGATTCATGCTAAATTTACTTTGGTTTACGGGCTTTTCAGCTACAAATCGTCGTCTCCCTCATCTTCCTCCTGTTGCTTGCTCCAGAGATGTTGATCAGGAAGATGATGTTTCTTCTTCAGGTGAATGCTTCTTCTCCAATATGTTTCCTCATTTTTTTTTCTACATTTTTCAATTCAATGTCAATGATTATTCGTAAGCTCGATTGGTATGAAACATTTTACACCTGAAAGAGTAAAAGAGAGATTTTGTTTTGTGACAATAATTTGTTTGTGGCATGTTAGTACAGAGAAGGAGAGAAGAGATCTTCTACCACACAAAGATTCGTCATTAGCAGACACTGGAGGCTTGAGAGATAGTCGACAAGAAGAGACATACAAAACTTCCTTCCAGACTGTTGCCTTGTGTGTTAGTATCTTTTGGCATCTGCTTATACTTCATTTCTCTATAAAAAAAAAAAACTAATGTCAGTTTCATCTCAATAGGTAGGGGCTGCGGTGGCATTTGGAATCGGAATAGGTTTGAAGGAGGGTGTAGGCAAGGCATCAGAGTTTTTCGCAGGGTGTGTAATGCTTGATTATGATATTTTGAAGTTCGCTTAGCTCTGAAGGAGATTTACCATGTTAACCGTTTTATTTTTATAACTCTTGCAGCTATTTGTTGGAGCAAAGCTTGTCAGTGGACAACTTGTTTGTTTTCGTTCTTGTTTTCAAGTACTTCAAAGTGCCACTCATGTATCAGGTACCAAACTTGTATATGCACAAAGATTTACCTTTTGAGCCTTTACTATACAGTGGATAATCTTATTCTGTGGCCTTCTTTATAGAACCGGGTGCTTACATATGGTGTAGCTGGTGCAATTGTCTTTCGCTTCACGCTGATATTACTAGGAACAGCTACTCTTCAGGTGTTTCCCATGTTTGTTAGAGAATTTAGTTCTTTAGTTGAATTTTCTTTCTGCATCGTTTGATTCTGAATTGTCCCTACTATCTTTCAGAGGTTTGAAGCAGTCAACTTGCTGCTTGCAGCCGTACTCTTATATTCGTCTTTCAAGGTGCATGTTGCCTCATCTTCGCATTTATTACCTATTATTACTCACAACTGTTGGTTTGGAACATAAATGGTGCTCTTTCATTTAGTTTTTCTGTGCGCAATGTGTTAAATACAGTTATTTTCAAGTGAAGAAGATGATACAGATCTATCGGACAACTTCATTGTAAAGACATGCCAGAGATTTATTCCTGTCACATGTAACATCTTCCTGTTCCTGCTTGCCATTTATGTTTGTTAAAACTATAGTTTCTTTGACTGGATTATATGTAGTTATTATGATTCCAAAGCTGATATCTTCCTCCATTTCTTTTGTTTTAAACTGTGGGCAGCAAGTTATGATGGAAACCGATTTTTCACAAAGGATGATGGCATTTGGAAAGTAAGTATATTACAAAAATTTCATTGATATCTAAGGTTTATGTACTAGTCACTGTAAAGTCTTCTTGCATGTGGATTCCATGGTCAAAATACTCATCGTAGTGTCTTCATTGTTTGTGTTCTAATTTATCTCAAAACAATTTGGGCAGGCCACACCATTGCTACTCACAGTAGCAGTGATCGAGCTCAGTGACATAGCATTTGCTGTATGTATCCTCCATCACCCCTTTGTGAATCTGTTTTGGCTATTAAAAAAAATGAAGCAAATCACTGATACTGGTTGCCCAATTCTCTCTTAGGTTGACTCGATACCAGCTGTTTTCGGCGTCACAAGGGATCCTTTTATTGTCTTGACCTCTAATCTCTTTGCGATCCTAGGTATTTGTTGCCTCTATTTGATCTTGCTAGAGTCGATCATGTCTCTTTAATCTACTCTTGGAACTTTGAATTGAAATTTTCATTTTTGCTGCTGCAGGACTAAGGTCTCTCTATACACTGATTTCAGAAGGAATGGACGACCTGGAATACTTGCAGGTACCCTTGGTCACTTCTTTTATCTTTCATTCAGCATGTCAATGCTCGAACAATCTAGGCAGCAAATACATAAGACAGTTCCTCAACTCGGTTCATTAGTTAGCAGTAATGTTCATTAGCTACACATGGACTAGTATGAATTGAAACTAATCTTGTCTTTGCCTCTACCAGCCATCAATAGCAGTGGTTCTTGGCTTCATCGGATGCAAGATGATCCTCGATTTCTTTGGTATATATAAATATCTATTCATCCGCAGTTTCTGCTTGAACTGAAAAGCATACATATACCACAAAACTCAGCTCTGTCAAAATTTCCACCTCCTTGCAGGCTTCCATGTAACAACCGAGGCATCACTTGGTGTTGTGGCACTTTCTCTCAGCACCGGAGTATTGTTGAGCCTAACAAACAAATCCGGCGACAGCTAACTAAGAATGGTGAACAGATTCCAAATGTAATCAAACCGTTCGTAAGAACAAAATCGCTTTGTTCATTAAAGCATTTCGCAAATGTTTTAAACTGTAGATATAAGTATAACACAGAGAAGGGCATGCTTTGCAAGACGTATTTTACATCTTGACTTATCGCTAGTTCTGTTGAGAGTTGTGTTATGCATCATGGTTGTTATCACAAATCATGATGATGAAGAACAGAAGAAGGCGTAGGTAAGTAACATACAAATGACAAAACGTCTGCTTCGTAATGTCATGGGGATACTCATCACCGATAGCTTTAATTATGGGGCTAGATTACTTTTTGTAAAATCATGACATATAAATATAAAAGTGAAGAGTTTGCAACTTGCAATACACAAACGAGAGTCAGAAGATACACAAGACCAGCACCATACACACCACCCATCAAACACATGGACTGGATTCACATTCACTTTATTTAAGGACTCTCTTATCACGTGGTCAGGAATGGGATTAAACATCGTGAAGGTGGGTGAAACCTTCCAACTGCTTGAGATTCTCCCAGGCTTTCTCCAAAACCTTGGCCTCGTAGACCTTGTTGGTCTCACCATCGGCTACCTCCACAGTGAGATGGTGCATTGTTCCTGCCACAACCTGTGTTTTCGCACCAAGGAGTCTCTTGTACTCCAGAGTCACATTCTGCGTACATAAGGAAACAATTTGTTTTTACTTAATCAACAAAATTGCAGAGATTCATATATTTCTCAGGCAGTGATTGTGTTTAAGGTTACTGATATGAGAATAAGACCACGACAAGCAAATCGATTGAGAACAGTGTCTTAGAGATAAAACTGATCAATTCTACAGAGCAGATAACGTAATCCCTAAATTCCCCTGGAAACGTAAACAAAAATTACACCCTGTGAAGCGATTTCCATTTTCCATTCGAGTTTTCATCTAAAATGACCGATTAACCATACGATCGGACGAGAAAATGAGAGATCTGCTATAAGAAAAAGAAACTTTCGATCGAGCAAAGGAAAGAGAAGGAAGGTAAAAACGCACCTCCTTCTTGTTATGCTCGTCGACAGCGAAACGAGCGAGACTCTCGACTTGAAGATCATTTGCATTAGCATCAATATCGCGAGTTCCGCCGAGGACTGTATGATCCGCCATTATCGCCTCTTTCTTTCTGAATTAGTATCTCCAAATATATTTTGATTCGTAGATAAGTCTCACTTTCTTCTCTTGTACCGTGTAAAGAGCAACTGTTTATATAGAGAGAGGATTCGTATACCGCGTTTTTTATCCCTTCAAGAATAATTCTTTTCACAGCACTAACTAGAGAATCTTTTTTAACTTTATAAATTCTTCTTTCTTTTTTTATGTCGGCAAACTTTATAAATTCTTTATCAAATGAATATAACTCTCTCTATCTTCTCCTTCTTCATTTTTCTACATTTTAAGAACATGACAGAGCAATACAAAAATAATTTTTCTTACAGACCCCTTCTTCTTTGAAATCCACATGTATCATATACTAACATAGAAGCAAGAGCAAACTTTTTCTCATCAATCTGTCTTGTCTATAAATATAGGAGTTGGTTTGATCTTAAACCGGTTTTTACATATGAGTCTGCAAAGACGAGACTTTTTACATTTTCGAGTTTTTTTCTTGGACAAGGCCTAATTCCACGGCGGAGAAGAGGATCGGTGCACAGAAGAAGAAGAGGAACCATAGTTGAGATCAAGATTATGAATCTGTTGCATAAGCTGTGTACGTCGTTCCTTGAAGAAATCCAGACGAGTGGTTAGTTCCATGAGAGCTGCAGATGCTGCAGGAGGATGGTTATGATGTTGATGATGTCTTGCATAGTCCATTACCTACAAGACCAAATAGTTTTGCACAATCACAGTCAGAGTTCTGAAAATTGCTAAGATTGTTCTTTTTTGCTAACAAGACAACAAAGGAGAAACACTAACAGGAGAAAACTCTTCCATTGGAATGCCTAAGGATGCTTCATTAAAGCCCGGTGAGCCCGGTACTTGTCTGTTGTTTCCTCTACCGTTTCTCCATTCTGGTCTTAGGCTAGTTTCATCCTATATGATCCAATACAAGTGAATGTTATTAAATGATAATAGAAACTTGGTTAGGAAACAGATAACAAGATTTGTACCGTTCTCTGATTTCTTTCGTGATTAACGAAAGCAAGAATGGAATCAAAGTCCTGCTGGAAAGACTTCCTGCGACATTGTGAAAGTAGAGTAAGCAATACAATCACAAAGTTAGCGAGTTCAGTTTACTTTTGTGTAAAACCATGTAAACAGAGCGTAAACTCACAGCTGAGTATTGTGATTCTGGAGAAACTGGTGATGGCTTTGAGCATCTGGGAGTGAACTTAAGTGATGCTGTCGCTGCTGATTAAGCTGGTGATGTAATTCTGCTACTTTATGCTTCAATCTTGCGACATCAGCTTCAGCAAGAGCAATCTCCTCAAGTTCAGCCCTTGTCTTCGCATTTATTGTCATGTTAGAACTAAGGAGAGCAAGAGATATACCCGTAAGAGAAAGAAAGAGAAAACTGATTACTGACTTTAGTATCTGCAGCTTGTGAGCTAAATTGTCCACAAGAGATGCTTAAACCAACTTCAAGAGCGGATCGGAGGTCTCTCTCAGATTGCAGTTGCTCTTGTAATCTGCCCACCTGAAAATTCCATGGCAAACTTGCTCAGCAAAAATGGAAGTTTATTTTCCCTCAAAAATAATTCAAGAAAGTTGGAGAAACGAAACACATCTCGAGAGAAGGTTTATACATCTTGTTCAAGTGCCAACCGTCGTTCATGCAAAGCCTGCTTCCTTCTCTCCAAGCTAGCTTGTAATACAGCATTTCCCTTAGCCTGGAGTGGTCGACTCAATCAATACAACGACATTATGTAATAAGCTTATAATACTTCTTCTGCCAGAACAAGTACCTCCTTAGCGATACGTTGCCGTAGCTCATCTTTCATGAGCTCGAGCCTCTGTATAAGAAGCCTACAAGTAGTGAAGAAGCATTTGCGTAAGCATAAGTCTAACCACATAAGGACAAACACAAGCTATTACTTAGGAAAAAAAAAGCTCTAAAAACAGATGTCCAAGCTCTAAAAGTGGTTAAATACAGTTGCCAATATATTAAATTGCACTGTATGAATCAAAACACTAGATTGCAAGTACGAGTTTTACAAAAACAGCAATATACACATTCAGGATTAAATATCTTACTCGTCATTTCCTGAATTATCAAATGATCCTTTAGCAGGTGTTTTTTTGCCCTGCACACAGTAAACAAAGAAAGGAATTCAGGTGTGACAACAGAATTATCTCTTTTCATACAAGCAGTGGAAAACTTACGTTTCCCCTTCCCCATGAAGAAGAACGCTTCGCATTGACTGTTGATCCGCTAGTAGTTTTATTTGCAGGTTTCTCAGCTGATGATGTGTATCTAGGAGCAGTGAGAGGAGTACTGGGACTGACTGATGGCATAGCCTCTTTCCCTGATTGATAACACTTTCCAGTAGGTGATACGCTGGCAATTTCTATATCTTTAATAGGCTCTTCGATTTGTCTCTTCACTCTAGTGTGAAAGTCTGTACTCTCGACTGCACAATGGATGTCTCTAGGAGACTCAGCATCTGAATCTTCAACACCAAATCCCTGAGAAAACGCACACTCAAGTAAAGATTAAATAAAATGGATTTTATTGCAGCTTTAGATACCACCAGTTTCGCTACGAAACACCTAAAGTTCAAAAACCAAAAATAGCTGAAACGTGACACCCATCTATCATAAGACCACATAAGGCGTAACAGGAGGTAACAAGACAGTAGCTAATGATAATTCAAACACTATTCTCATATTTAAGGATTATGAATGCGGGTGTACTCTGACCAAGAGGTTTGTGCAGTGTGATAAGATGGGAAGAACAAACCTTGTAGTCATAGAGATCACTGCCAGTATAATCACTGCTCTCACTCGGTTTTCTGTTCAGCAGACCATCATTATCATCATCTGATTCCTGTTCTCCTCTGTCTAAATTATGCAAGTCAGGACGTTTAACCTCTACTTCCTCCTCATTACTTGAGTTCTCAGGCCCACTGTCGCCAATATGAGAATCCGTAGAAATGGAGCACCTTTCAATATCTTCATCCTGCAAACAAATAGCTGAGCATATAGTACTATGTGGCACAAACATATGAATTAAGTGATTGAATCGCATCTTACATTGATCATGTTCCCGTAGTCTTCCAAAAGGGCCGTGACAATGGCTTGACCATTATTGGCAGCATTAGCGGCAGCAAGAAGCTGGGCAGAGTTATCTCCTAGAGTGTCAAAACCTTCTAGATCGCATTCTCCAGCCAGTAGAGGACGCAAGAGCAGTGGGGACATACAAGCAGCTACAGCTGATGAGGTCATGCGGTTCTCACACGAATGAGAGGTGACAGTATGCATCATCTTTAGAATCCTGCAGAATACAACCCACACTGAGGATAAAGCTGTTTGAAGTAAACTAAATAGATTTGTAGATGGGAACTTAAATATTCTCCTAAATAATAGACTTCTCATGTTTTCAAAAACAACATCTGAAAGCATACCGCAGTAGTAGTCGTCGGTTTGGTTCTGGAAATGTTTCTGTTATAGCAGAGCGCAGTGATTTAACCCGGGCTTCTTTCTGATCAATTTCTATAAAAAAAGAAGGTAAAAGGAGAGTTAGATACACACAAACGCCAAAGTAGAAACACAGATTCCGTATACTGAAAAAACTTACTATAAGCTTCCAGCAAAGCAGTGCAGCAGGACGCTGGAACTGGAGAAGAAGGCAACTGCCGCAGAACATGCTGCAGATGCAATAACATGGCACAAATGTTTCAGCAGAATAAATAAAACTGAAAATCAAATCATAGTTACACACAATATAGTACCTTAACACAGTCTCCAACAACATGTGGATCCTCTTCAGGACTGAATTCTGTCTTGCCTAGAAGAGTATGTTTGGAAGATTTCCAATTTAGAAGGAATTTCTAAGAGGAGCAAATTGGAAACGTACAGGAAATGAACTCATATCCTAATCACTACCTTGTTCGTATTCTAGAACTCTGCGTTCTACCTCCTCAACATCTGCAGACTGTCTTAAGATTCCCTCTACTTTGGTTCCTGAGCAGAATAGAAACGAAAACATTTATGTGGGCAACTAAGAACAAAAACCACTTCTATGATAGCCTATATGACGAATTAAAAAGGAGCCAATAAACTCACCATATGTCTCAAGAAATTGAAGTGCTTTCTCAAGAAACGATGGACTTCCATCAATTTCCTCTAGAGCAAGCAAAATTGGTCTCCCAACAACCGAAGACTTCAATGGACGCTGATCCCTCCCTGCATGCCAGAGTATTATTGATATATACAGGGAGTACGAAAGAAGCCATAATATAAAATAAATGAGAACTTACATGAATTAAAGGACCCCTCCACTGTATTGTTCGGTTCTGTTCGGAATATTCCATTTTGACTAATCACCAGTGCTGCATTAGGAGCTTGTGCAAGGGCTTGCTCAAGGGAGGCCTTCCACTCATACAAGTCGTCCAATGTCTCAGCCTAAGTGAGACAAATAATTAGCATTTCATAGAAGCATATCCCAGGAACCATACAATAGCCACATAACAAAAGAGAGCGACCAAGAACTAAGTCAGCTTGTCAAGATTATAAATCACCTTGAGGGTGAAGGCTCGTCCATCACGCCCATCTGGGAATAATACAGTCAACAACTTCTTATCCTCTCTCACCACGACACTGCAAACAAAGATGTTAACACAGGCTAGAAATTTGGAGATATTCGTATGAACAACCACATGAAATTTATACCTCCCGGAACTGTTCAAGTCAATGCCTCCAAGAGTCAAATTTACTTCACCCCCTTTTTGTGGTAATGCACTCTGCCAAACAGTTGAAACAATAAGCTAGCAGGTATAACATAGTTCAAGAAATAGGGGACTTGAACTTGATACTGACTGGATCATTTTTGAAGAAGACCAAAGAAGTTCGGGTAAGGATAAACCAACGCTTCTTCCAAGATGTCCAACCTAGTCCTGCCAATTACAATGCCATCAAAAAATTTAGTAAAAAACAACATGGTTGTCACTAAGGAATCGAGACTGATACACAATGCGTAGCAAAGTTTGTTATCTTGAAAGAAGGGGAAAGTATAGAAGAAGTTCACCTTTTGATGAAATGAAGAGAGGACCACTCTTATAAACCTGCCAAAAAAACATTATGGATTACAATGAAGGACTATCATCAGTTTGCTTTACTTTGAAATTGTCATAAATATTCACTTCTAGTTTCTAATTCAGTGGCTCCAACTTGGTCTCTCGACCCAATAAATACAGCTATTTGAGCAAAATATAATAATGTACCTACTCAGTGTCACATTAGCCATCTAACAGGAAAAAAACGCACTAATATTAATCTCATCAGTATTCCACATTCCCACAAAGCAAACAGATGATGAGAACCGAGCAGAAATCATCATACTAGAGACTGTAATTTACCGTATTCGAAGCTCCAACTTGTGGCCGCTGCATAGCCGCTAAAGAAGCCGCCATTGCAGAAGTAGACTACTTAACCAAACCACGAATGACGCATCAAAAAAAAAGAAGCCGAAAACCGAATTGCTTTCTCTCAGAGAGCTCCCAGACGAATCAAAATGAACACATTAGCCCGAATCGAATCGATAGCCTCGTCTACTCCCATTTCCTCGCAAAGCCTCCCTTACTTTCCAGCGAGTGGAGATGAAACTAAAGAAGAAGCAATTCGTCGTCTGACCTACTGCAGCTACAAGTGAAGATGAGTGAAGGGGAAGACAGAAAGGGAAAGGTCAGGCACAGCGCGGTGTAGTCTAATTCAATGTATCGGCCCAATGAAAACGCGCCACGACAACGACATATCTTACCCTTTTTCTTTTGACTTTTGTCGTTTCACACAAAAAAATTACTTTTGACAAAATCACATCAAAAAAACATTCTCAAATTTGATCCTCCAAACATATCCAAGGAAATTACATTCGATTTAGGAGCGCGACGATGGTCTCATTAACGGAATCGTTGATTCTCTAATCCGATGCTCCATCTCCAAATTAAAATATAAAGAAACATATATATACCTTTAACAAATAATGTAGAGTTTATTCCACTCTGTTATTTGTTAAATGTAGTGATTTTGTTCAAATTGTTTTCTTTTAGCACTTGGATCACTAAAACTAAGATGTTCAACAAGTATAAAAAACAGTTTTGGAGTATTCAGTATTTAAGATAGAAAAATGAATAAAAAACCTTATTGGGGTAAGTCTCTACAAATGATCGATGAGTGTCATTTAACTAGAAGACTAGGGGTATGATTGGTTGTGTCTGTAGCTTTTGATTTTTTGCTGCAGAATTTAGGTTGTAGATTTTTTTGCTGTGGCTGTAGATTATAGTGATGTAGGATTTTTATTATAAATATATTTTTTATAAAATATCATAAATGTAGCATTAAAAATAAATAAAAGAGATATAGGAAAGAAACATTAAAAAAAGAATAGAGAGAGTGAGATTAAGGTATAAGAAGAGAGAATTCTCAGAGCCATTAAATTTGTGCTCTGAAAAATCTTCTCTGCAGAGCCAAAATATTTCCATATTTAAAATTATGGCTCTGAACTTAAAAAATGAAATCAAAACATGATTGGTTTAACACTAGTGCTCTAGAAATAATTATTGCTCTGCATAGCACTCAGAGCACTTACCAATCACGCCCTAGATCATGCGAAACATAGCATAATTCCAAATTTGCAAATCAAAGTTACTAAATTTGCTGTTGAACAATCTTCTACGATGTATGTTTTTCCATCACAATTGATGAAAGTACGTTCACAAAACCATCTTAGATCAGTTAATTGTTTTATTGATTTGTTAATTATTGAATGATCAAATTGTAATTAACGGTAACATCATGTATGCTTACCTCGTTATCATAAATGGTTAAAATTGTCTTCTCAAAAATAAACTGTGCAATACTTAAAAACACTTTTCTACTTTGTACTATTTTGTAAAAAGAAAAGTTGGGCAGGGTGTGTTAATGCAAATTGTTTCAAAAAAGGTAATAATTGAAAGAAAGAAAAAACGAAGATAAAAAGCCCAAGTCCAAGTCACTTCCGTCACTCTCTCTCCCTCAAAACTAGCAGAATCGGTTTCATTCGAGCCTAATCCACCATGGCGACGACTTCCCGCCGGTTAACCACCGGCTTGATCGCTTCGATCAGCTCGGTCCAATCGCATTCCGCGAACCGACCTCAATCCGTCTCCCTAATCCGTCGAAATCACATCAATCGTCGTCTACCGTCGATCGCTCGAACTTCAACGCGGTGGTTAATCGAAGCGGTTCCACCGGCGAGATCCTGGGATGGATCTGATGACGGAGTCGAGGCGGAGATTAAAAAGCCAGGCGTGTGCGGTTACGCGATCAGCGAAAACGAGATCGAAGGGAGCGGCGATGATCACGTGGTCGACGGAGAGCATGCAAAGACGATGGAGATAGTGATTTGGGCGGCGGCTACGGCGGCGTTGGGCGTCGGAAACCGCGTAATGTACAAGCTCGCGCTAGTTCCACTCAAGCACTACCCATTCTTCCTTGCGCAGCTCTCCACTTTCGGGTAAAACCATCTCCGACCTCCTTGATTTCTGTTTTGCTTACTCTCCGGATTCAAAATGCGTTAGCTGTTAATTAATTTGTTCGTAGTACAATTAAACCGATTTTTTTTAAAATTAGGATGTTACGTAATATAAATTTAGAGATTAGTAATGCTAAAGAATAGTTCATAAGTCCGGATTTATTTTGTTTTTTTTTTGGTTTTAATTTGTTGACTAGCAGATTTAGTTATTTACACAAAAAGAACTATCAGTATATAAACTTTATAAATATAATGTAGCTGTATAGTTTTCTTTTTGTTCAAAAATTAATAATGAAAATTCGTTTCTTCGCCCACTGAAATGAAAATGCGATGGTCTACATTGCATGTATAATCTTTTAAAAGTTTGGAAAAAAATGATAACTTACAAAATTTGAGGTGTGGAGTTAAAATATTGAAAAAGTAAGAGGCAAATAAGAACAAATTAGATGCATTTTCGTTTTTATCTTTGTCTTTTGGGAATCGGGTCAGCTTTGGCTTGCGGTCTATTTCGTGTTGGATACTTTTACTTGGGACATTATTGGAGGCGCATATCATTTCCCTAGATCCAATAAATAATGTACACATTTATTAATGGTTTGATCACGAATGCTCGAAATTTATCATCTAACAGTTTATTCAGTTTTCATAGTATCTTACTACATGATGCTTTTGCGTTGAAGATACTTTATATAAGCACTAATTCACTTTTCTACATTTGTATGCAAATTGAAATACTATGAATATGCTAGAGGGAAAGAAACACAAACGTTGTAAGTTGGTGGGAACCAAATTATTAAAAACGAAAAAAAGGTGGTGGAACCAAATTGAACAAAGTCCGTCCATGTCATTATCCACCCCTTAGCAACCTCTAAGCAATATTCTTATAGGTCCCACTGGCCTCACACTTGATTAGTATATCGAACCAAGTTGAACCAAACCAATGCAAACCCAATTGATGGTTTTTTTTTTTTTTTTTTTTTCATTTTTGTAATACATTTCTCAATTCCAAAGTAAAACCAAACAGAGAAATACATCCAACTATGTATCATTTGCTATTTCTTTCGTGTAGGTACGTAGCTGTATATTATACAATCTTGTATTTTCGATATCGTGCTGGAACTGTTACAGATGCGATGCTCTCGGTGCCTAAAACGCCGTTTTTAATCGTTGGCGTTTTGGAGGCTTTAGCTGCAGCTGCTGGGATGGCAGCCGCAGGTAACATTACCCTCTCTATGCAAAATGTCTACGCGATCCTTACCGTAGTTACATATTCATCTTACTGATTTTTGTTTTCCTTTTCTTTACTCAGCAAATCTCTCGGGGCCATCTACTACAGTTATATCTCAGGTTAGAAGCTGCATTAAGAAAAAATTATTCATGGGTTATGTTTGTGAAACATCTTGGTTTAAAGTGTGACAAGCTGAAAGCTTTTATTGCCTTCAAACCATGTTTTCTTGCTTACAAATAAAAGGATGATGGGTGATATCAAATTCAAATGACATACTTGTTTGGTTTCCTTGCAGACATTTCTTGTCTGGCAAATTTTCTTCTCCGTTATTTTTCTCGGGAGGAGATATAGCATAAATCAAATACTCGGATGCACTCTCGTAGCTCTTGGTGTAATCGTCAGTGTGGCTAGGTTAGACCTGCTTGCTCCACACTAAACCTGATTCCTATATTTGTTTTTCTTTTGATATATTGACAAAGGACACTACATGGATCAACATTATTGCATGTGCAGTGGATCAGGTGCTGCTCACTCGTTAAAAGAAGCCGGATTATTTTGGATTCTTCTAATGGTCGTTTCTTTCCTGCTTCAAGGTGCAGATACAGTCTTAAAGGTCCGCTAACCACCATATTACAAGCATTTTTATATTAGCACCATTATTCTCTTTAATCTCAGATTCCTTTTTCTTATAGGAAGTCATCTTTATAGACAGCCAAAAACGACTAAAGGTACATTACATATTTCCCAACTCTCCAACTTGCGTTAACAGAGTTTTTGTTTTGTTTGAAATACTGAAAAATCATATGCTTTTACTATTACAGGGTGCTTCACTCGATCTGTTTATAGTAAATTCATACGGTTCAGCTTACCAAGTAGGTATTTCTTACCATTAGAAACCCCCTTCTCTCTCTGAGCTCTAACTTGCAATACAAGCTAAATAATCTTTTCTATGTGGTGTTTTTTTAACCAATCAGGCCGTCTGCATCGCATTGCTTCTTCCATTTCTTTCAAAACTTTGGGGAATACCGTTTAACCAACTCGGAAGCTACCTCAAAGATGGAGCGGTTTGCTTTCTCAATATCGGGACAATGACAAAAGGATGTGATGGGGCTCCGTTTCTGCCTCTATTGTTTGTGATAGTAAACATTGGCTACAACATTGCGCTTCTAAGACTCCTCAAGATTTCATCGGCGGTGGTCTCGTGTCTTGCATCGACAGTGTCAGTGCCAATTGCAGTGTTCTTGTTCACATTGCCATTGCCTTACCTTGGAGTCGCATCATCACTTCCAAAAGGGTTCATGGGAGGAACAATCATACTTGTTTTGGGAATGCTTCTTTACAGTTGGTCACCACAAGGAACTAATACTGATACAGTCATTCCTTCACCTCCTCCCACTTAAAAGAGGTGTTCGATTTTGTCAAAAGTCTGGAGAGGTTTAAGAAAACCGATTTGGAACAAGATCGTATAAGGTCTGAATATCGTATCTGAAAATATTTCGATGATGTTAATTGAAAAGTTGACATTGTGTTGCTAGCTGGATTTTTGTAGTACATTTATTGGGTGATTGTATTTTGTTCAGCCAAAACGCAGGTTAACTCGTCCCCTATATTGTGTGTGAGATTATAAATTTTTATAGTTTACAGTTTCTATCATTGAATAGTCAATGAAAATATAAAAAATTTGCAGTTTTAACTTTGAAGTTAACACGTATCAGAAATGATGAATTAAAAAATACTCTGCTAGGTGTTAGTTTCTGTGAAATGCGCTCAATCCTATAAAATATAAAAAGATTAGGCAAACGTTATTAATCTTGATCGTATAAAAATTTATAGTGTTTGGAAGATACGATCAGACAGTTTTTTTTCTAACAGAGATGCTCTCAACCTTTTGTCCTAAATTATAAATCTTGTTTTACTTTAAATACCAAAATTACAGACAGGCTTTGGTCCTAAACTCCCTCCCTATCAACAAACCCTATAACCCATCCTTGGAACCGAAGGCCAGCGAAGAGAAACAAGAAAACATTCTATTCATAGCCATTCACAACCAAAACACCTAAATTTTCCTTGCTAAAGAAGAAACAAAAACCACAGGAAGGAAAAAAAAAAGATAAGAGAAAGAAAAACACAAGAAAAAAACCTTTCTATTTCTCTTCCTCCTTGAGCTTTTGCCTCTCCCCCTCCCCCCACCCTTTCATGCAACAATGGGAAATTGTTGCTCTCACGGCCGTGACTCAGCCGATAACGGAGATGGTCTCACACATGAAAACGGCGCCACCGCTGCCAACGCCGGAGCTCACACTACTCCGACTGCTGAGCCTTCTGTAGCACAATCCAAACACGCCCCTCCTTCTCCTCCTCCTGCTACAAAGCAAGGTCCTATTGGACCTGTCTTAGGCCGACCCATGGAAGATGTAAAATCTTCATATTCTTTAGGGAAAGAGCTAGGCCGAGGCCAGTTTGGTGTGACGCATCTCTGCACGCAGAAGGCAACAGGTCAGCAATTTGCTTGCAAGACGATTGCTAAAAGGAAGCTTGTGAACAAAGAAGACATTGAAGACGTGAGAAGGGAAGTGCAGATAATGCATCACCTGACTGGTCAGCCGAACATCGTGGAGCTTAAAGGAGCTTATGAGGACAAGCATTCTGTGCATCTGGTCATGGAGCTTTGCGCAGGTGGAGAGCTGTTCGATAGGATCATTGCTAAAGGACATTACTCGGAGAGAGCAGCTGCTTCGTTGCTGAGAACGATTGTTCAGATTGTGCATACTTGCCATTCCATGGGGGTTATTCACAGGGATTTGAAGCCTGAGAACTTTCTTTTGCTCAGCAAAGAAGAGAATGCTCCTCTCAAAGCCACTGACTTTGGGTTGTCGGTTTTCTACAAGCCAGGTTGGTTCCAGCAATTTCGAATTCAGCACCATTGTAAAACCCTGCATTAAGTAAAAAAAACGAATAATACTCTGTTTCCTCTGTTTTACAGGAGAGGTGTTCAAGGATATTGTGGGGAGTGCTTATTACATCGCACCAGAGGTTTTGAAAAGGAAGTATGGACCAGAGGCTGATATTTGGAGTATTGGTGTCATGTTGTATATCCTCTTGTGTGGTGTCCCTCCATTCTGGGCTGGTAAAACATATTTTCAGTTTCTTCCTTTTTGGATTATAAAGATTTGTTTCTTGTCATATTAATGTGTTTGTTGTATTTACCTGATGATATAGAGTCGGAGAACGGGATATTCAACGCTATCCTAAGGGGACATGTTGATTTCTCAAGTGATCCATGGCCAGCAATTTCACCGCAGGCGAAGGATCTTGTTAAGAAGATGCTTAACTCTGATCCCAAGCAAAGACTAACTGCTGCTCAAGTTCTCAGTAAGCTATCTACAAACAAACATACACCAAAAATGTCAAAAGCATAACAATCTATCTATCCATGCTAAATATCTTGTGTTTTTTTCCCTTTGTTAAGACCATCCATGGATCAAGGAGGATGGAGAGGCACCAGATGTTCCTCTTGACAATGCGGTCATGTCCAGGCTCAAGCAATTCAAAGCAATGAACAATTTCAAGAAAGTTGCATTACGGGTAACAAATCATATCCCTTTCCCAATTAGAAAATATGACTCTCGGTAGAGAATCCTAACCTCAAAGCCTGAAACCTTTGAACAGGTAATAGCAGGTTGCTTATCAGAGGAAGAGATCATGGGGTTGAAGGAGATGTTTAAAGGTATGGACACTGATAGCAGTGGAACAATCACACTCGAGGAGCTAAGACAGGGACTTGCTAAGCAAGGTACAAGGTTGTCAGAATACGAAGTCCAACAGTTGATGGAAGCTGTAAGTTCTCTTTCTACTTAAAAAGAGTTTTAGCTTTGGTCAAATGCTGAGAAACACCCCTAATTTTCTGTTTTTTGCTGTGCGTATCATGGGATTTTATAGGCTGATGCTGATGGTAATGGAACAATAGACTATGGTGAGTTTATCGCAGCCACAATGCATATCAACAGACTTGACAGAGAAGAACATCTCTACTCAGCCTTCCAACACTTTGACAAAGACAACAGTGGGTAAGCACATGGCACTTTTCTTATATACTTGATTCTTAAAGACTTTTAAACACCAAAAACAGAAATAAACAATTCTTGTTGTTCTCAGATATATCACAATGGAAGAGTTGGAGCAAGCTCTCCGGGAGTTTGGCATGAGTGATGGCAGAGACATTAAGGAGATCATTTCTGAGGTTGATGGAGACAATGTAAGGAAACAACAGTCCCTTCACAAGCATCTCACAATCTCATTATCCACACTAATCAAATTTCTAATGAATAAAAACATTTGCAGGATGGTCGGATAAACTACGATGAATTTGTGGCAATGATGAGAAAAGGAAACCCAGATCCCATCCCAAAGAAACGGCGTGACCTTTCATTTAAATGATCAAATTGTTGGAAGTTAGAGGAAGAGAGGTGATGAAAAAAAAGAGAGCAAACCATGAGTCGAGAAACTCATCTTCCTTTTCACAACGAAGATAAGACTATTGCTCGGATTGCTAATGCTTGAACTGGAGGAGAAAAGGCTCAAGAAAGAGGGAAAAAACATTAAGTGGGGATTAGGGGAGGTGTTTGGTTTAATTACATTTTCTTTTCTGGTTGTCTACTTCTGCTTAAAGTGCCATGGGTTTCTCAATGTACTTCAATTCTTTTTCTCAATTCTCTTTGTATGTGTTAGTCATATTTGTTCTCACTTCCTAGCAAAACCCCTGAGAAACCAATCCTGAAACGTTACAAAGCTAAACACAAGATCAACAATGGCAAAACCAAAACTATAAGAGATACTTTCTCGCAGAATATCACTTAGAAAGCTGTAGCAAAATCTAAGCAAATTGATATGAATCATTGTTATCTAAGATCATCAACTGCATCAAAGCACAAAATTTAGTAACAAGCAATAGCTAATTGGAGTTAAAAGAGGTATCTTTTTCATTGCTTGGTCGATGTAAAAGAGTAAACAAAGGTTCAAAACACACTAGATTTTTCATACAGATAGAAAAAGTTTCACATTCTCCCCCAAATTAAAACCCTAAAATCGCAGGACGGCCATGAGAAGATTCGAATCGAAGACTGTTTTTTACTTATCTTTGGTGGAGACTCCATACTTCTCCTGCAACTTGGCGATATCTTCTTCGTTCTTCTTCTGGTCGACCTTCTTGCTCATCTTCGCGTGCTGGTAGTACAGGACGATGAGGTAGCGATTGGCGACGTTGAAGCCGGAGAGATGGTCGACGGCGTTCTTCGCGTCGTAGATATCCTCGTAGACGACGAAGGCCGTTCCTTTCGTGTCCTTGTTGCAGCCGATCCGAATCTGGCGAATCCCGCCGTACTTGCCGAAGATATCGTACATCTCCTCGCTCGTGATGTTGAACGGAAGGTTACGAACGTAGATCACTCGATTCACCTCCGGTGGGAGCCTGGTGTTTTTGTTGCGGTTGTTGTTTGTTATCATAGCCATAGCTTATCTCCTTCTCCTTCCTAAACCACAGCCGGGGATTTCTTATACCGTCGCCGAGAAAATCTTCAAATCGGAAAAGAAAATTCTAGTCCAATTTCGATAGATGTGGTTATTTATTTCGATGGCATTGGAAGAAGAAAGGGTATAACCGTCTTTGCGACACGCAGGAATGGAAATTTATTGACGGTGTTGTGTTAAACCAAACCAAACCAACGTACCAAACCGATCTTTGAATCTGTTTTGTCAAAATATGTTCTTTTAACGATTTAAAAATACAGATTACAAACTTTCACAAACCTTTTGTTATGTACAAAGCTTTTATGTAGGTAGATAAGTGCATTTTATGATGTAGGTTGATATCTGAGACGCTTAACAGGAGCTCGAAGAGAAGAAAGATAATTAGCATCAGATTTCTCAATGCCATTGAAAAGGTAACTGAAAGGAGGCATCTCTATGTACTTGCCACTTCCTGGAACAACTTTAAGCTCATCGTTTTCCCATACGATTCTTCCTCCTGCTATTGTCACCTCAACTTTCCCCTAGAGATTTCAACACAATCAAAGTCCCCAATAATAAGATGTTGTCAATGGACATTATACTGCATATCAGCTAAGAGAGGAGGCTTTGTCAAATGAATGTACTACCTTTCCTCTTCTTCCTTCATAAACGTTTGTGTCGGATCTTGAATGATGAGACTTTGAGCTAATCTCGTAGGTTGAGTTTGGATTTAGTATTATAATGTCTGCATCCGAGCCAGCAAGGATAGCTCCTTTCCGTGGATATATGTTGAAAATTCTTGCACTGCATAATTTTAACCATTTCAATCACACAACACATAACTTTCTAGTTAACGCTCACTAGTATTGAAAGAGCATGTACTGTACTTACCATTCGGTGCTGGTTATTCGAACAAAATCAGTGGCAGAGATTTGGCCAGTCCCCTGGATTATGATACAGAAGAGATTAAAACTTCTGTGCAAAGTGTAAAGAATGAATGCTTTAGTCCAGAGGTACTTACCACCATCGTGTCCCATATTAGGTGCATCCGTTCTTCAAGGCCTAAAATATACGGACGAGTTTCAGAGCAGCAGAGACAAATGAGCACAGAAAGCAAGAGAACGAGTCAAGTCAGGTATTAGTACCATTAACACCATTAGGTATTTTGCGGAAATCATCAAGTCCTAGAGCTTTTTGTGTTGAATTGAAAGTGCAGTGATCAGTTCCTACAAGCTGCAGATATAATAAACCAAGAGAAGGAGACAAAAAAATGTTTAAAAAATCTCCACAGTTTTATGCTACAAGCAATCAGCATGTTTCTCTACTTTATGCATAGCAAAACCTGAAGGATTCCTGTAGAAAGGGCTTCTTGTAGGGCTTTCCCATGTCCTACTGATCTTATAGGTGGACTCATCACATACCTGAATTTATTGAGATATATTTTTTTTTGAAAACTTGAAGGTATAGATGGGGAATCAATGGAACAAGAGACCTGAAAGCATTTCTTACTTGGATGCAATTGAGAAGTCAGGATCCCAAAGCCAGTGATCATCGAGGATTAGTCCAGACACAACAGGCTCTCCAATAACCTTCTGCCCTGATTTTCTAGCTTTAGCAATCTCATCCATCGCATCAACACTCATCACATGGACAACATAGAGAGGCGTGTTCACAAACCGAGCCAAACGTATCGCCCGAGAAGTGGCTTCTCCCTCAAGCTGCCATATTTTCAAACAAGGATCCTCATCTTAGCTTGAATAAAGTTAGTAGAGTCAGTATAATACTCAATGACTCAAATTACCACAGGAGGCCTTGAAAGAGCATGACCCTCTGGACCTGTAATGCCCAGCTCAATCATTCTGTTCTGTCCTTCGAACACTGCATCTCCATTTTCAGCGTGAACCATAGCCAAGGCACCGAGTGATTTACATCTTTTCAGACCTTCCAGGAGAAGGTCATCAGTGACCATAAGAGATCCTTTATACGCCATGAAGAATTTAAAAGAGTTGATACCTACAAGTTTTTAGAGATACACACATGCACTTAGTTTCATGAAAGTCAGAGCTTAAAAACACAACAAAACTGTGAGCCATCGAAACCATTTTACCCTTTTCCTTGACTAATTTCTCCATGTCCCTGGAAACACCTTCGTCCCACTTTGTGATAGCCACATGAAAACCGTAATCCATGCAAGATTTCTTGGATTTGTGTTGATAGGCTTCGAAACCGGCCACAAGATCGCCGTTAACCGGTATAACAAAGTCTATATGCATAGTGGTTCCACCAGCTAATGCTGCTGCCTGACCAGTGAAGAAATCATCAATGGTCTCAGTACCCATAAATTCCATTGCCAAGTGCGTGTGGGGATCAATCCCTCCTGTTTTTTTACATTGAAGAAAAAGTAAACAATAAGCCATAAATCATGAATGTGTATCAACTATTTTGTTATTTGACTAACCTGGCATAACAAACTTTCCGGTAGCATCGAGTACAGTGACTTCATCCCCAACCTTGTACACAGGAGTCATAATAGGAATTTAGACTATAAAAAAATGAAGGAATTAATGAAATTTATAATACCTTAATGTTTGGCTGCACTGCGACAATGACCCCATCTTCCACATAGACATCAGCAACTTGTTGATGGTGTGCATTCACAACTGTGCCTCCTTTGATCAAAATCCTCGTCGATGGAGATGGAACACCACAAGATGCCACATCATTCCCGCTGATCCCGGCACTACAAAACTGCCAAAGCAAAAAAAAAAAACATTTCAAATCTCATCAGACAGTTCAGTGTTGTCGATTGTCATGTCGTTGTTTGGATACTTATTTCTTTCAGAAATTAGAAATCAATCTTCAAAATCTATTCTTTTCACTTGACACAGTGAAGGAATCTAAGCAAACTGAAGTTGATACAGTGAACGATTCGAAAGAGAGAAAGATTAAAAGCAGAAAGAAGCTGCTGTCATTTGAAGGGCAGGAACAACGGCGATAGAGGATCAGACACATACCTGAGTAGCTGAATCTGAGACTGAAGGGGACGGAAACAGAAGAAATAGAGAGAAGATGAAGAAGAATGGTCTCATCGCCATTGATGAAGCTTGACTAAAGATGTCCTCCACCTCTGTTATTACAGCTTCCGTATTATATTCTCTTCTCTTTCTTATTAGTCAACGCAACACGAAATCAAATGAATATGGAACCGGACCGATCGTTCGGACCGCGATCCCAAAAGATGTCCGGTACGATTCCTACTTTAAAAGCGGGTTCAATTAATAAAACCGGTATTGAATCGGGCCGGCTTCTTTGTTTCGGTTTTGCGAGCAAGGCCGGCCGGTTCGCAGTTTCCACAGAACCCTTTAGCCAAGAGAAAGGGTTCGACTTTAGAGAGAAAGGTCAAGTTTCTCTTCGGTCTTGATCGCGGTTTCTCTTCTCGCTCCAAGCTGATGAGCTCTACGTCTTCCTCCAAGGTAACCATTTTCCTTACATGGACATCATATCGTTTTTTCCATCTGAATGTGAGAGTTCGATTCGGTCTTTGTATCTGACTTAGAGCTATCGAGTTTTGATAAATGTGCTTATTGATCAGTCTCATATGTGAAATGCTTCAATTATATCACTATTCATTTCTACTCATCATAGATGGCTTATGCAGCTGAACTTTCTGTGATTCTGGATTAAAAATCTATGTTTTTGAGTTCCATCTGAGCATTTAGCCGCTTTTTATAGTTAAAAATATATGCTTTAATGGCGATTCTTCCATTTGTGTGAAGTATTACTGAATCTGCTTTCAATAATTTATTGGCAGATGGCTCCGCTTGTAGCTGACAAGCATTCACGATACATTCTGATGGCAGAGAAGGTAATAGAAACTATATGTCCCCTTTCCTCATTCTTGCTTTTTTATGTCACTATGATTATTACTTATGTTTTCCTTTTTACTTGGTAGAAGAAAGAGAGTTTTGAGTCTGTGGTGATGGATCATCTAAGAATGAATGGTGCATACTGGGGACTGACCACTCTAGATTTACTCGAGAAGCTGGGCTCTGTTTCCGAAGATGAAGTTGTTTCCTGGCTCATGACGTGCCAGCATGAATCTGGTGTGTACCATAGTCTTATTATTTCTCTACCATATGGATTGCAATTTGCAGATCAGCTACTTTTACTTGCCAATAGAAGTTGATAACAACAAGGTGATTCTTTTCTGAGCAGGTGGTTTTGCAGGCAATACTGGACACGATCCACATATTTTGTATACACTCAGTGCTGTACAAATCTTGGCCCTCTTTGACAAGCTAAACATTCTTGACGTTGAAAAAGTATCAACTTGTATCCTTCGTTCTTGTTACTGTCACTAAACTCTTTCTTTTTCACCAATAGTCGTGATCTGCAAGTTATTATGGTTTCCTATATAGAAAATCAGATGTTGCTGGGTTGCAGAATGAAAATGGATCTTTCTCAGGAGATATGTGGGGAGAAATTGATACAAGGTATTCTCTTCTTGGCCATGTATTGGTAAGACATTTGTGTTATTTGTTGAATCTTAACCGCAAGCTGTTTATGTAGGTTTTCGTACATAGCTATATACTGTCTCTCAATATTAAAATGTCTTGGGAAGATCAACGTGGAGAAGGCTGTTGATTACATTATGAGCTGCAAAAACCTGGACGGTGGTTTTGGGTGCACACCTGGAGGAGAGTCTCATGCAGGACAGAGTATGTGTTGCTATTTGAGTATTTGAGATGATGATATTGTTACACCCTTGTGCAGATAGTATATGGTAAAAGGACGGTTTATTCTTCATTTTGTTTCTGCAGTTTTCTGTTGCGTGGGGGCTCTTGCTATCACTGGGAATCTCCATCGTGTTGATAAGGACGTATTAGGGTGGTGGTTATGTGAAAGACAAAAAGAGTGTGGGGGTTTAAATGGGAGACCTGAGAAGGACCCTGATGTTTGCTATTCTTGGTGGGTCCTATCGAGCCTAATCATGATAGATAGAGTTCACTGGATCGACAAGGCAAAGCTTGTCAAGTTCATCTTAGCCTGTCAGGATTTGGACAACGGAGGCATCTCTGATAGACCAAACGATGCTGTTGATATCTTCCACACCTACTTTGGAGTTGCTGGTAATTCTACTTTAAGCTCATCTTGTTGATTTTGAAGCCAAAACAGAGTGTGGTCTCACTTTTATCAAATCCATGCAGGTCTTTCCCTCCTTGAGTATCCTGGAGTCAAAGCAATTGATCCAGCCTACGCTTTGCCTGTTGATGTCATCAACCGGATTATCTTCACCAAATGATTCTTAATGGTCAGATGTTATGGCAGTGAAGGCTTTCTTTGCTTTGTTCATTGGTTCGTTTACTTGGACGGATTTAGAAGTTCTAACGAGGAGATTGCAATGTGAATTCAGGTGGTTAATAGTGGGAATGTAATGATGATGAAGTTAGATGTTTCTTGGTCCGTTCCTTTAGCACTTAGCAAAACTCAACAGTATCAATGTTTGACTGTTTGTATAACTTGCTGAGAGATTTGAAGTTGCTAGTTAATGGAAATGAAGTGGACTCATGCCGTTTGTATAAACCGAACCAAATTTAATAAGATACTGTTCACTAAATTGATATTTATACACAGGAAATTAAAGAAAAAAAAATTAATAAAATTAATCTAACGACTGTAATAAAATAAAATTCCACAATTTGCAATTTATTTCCATTTTTCGTTAAGGTTAGATTAATAAATAAATAAAAATTCTGGTTTTTGCTAAAACCCTAGTACGCCATTGGAGAGGATTCAGCTCAACTGTTATTTTTTCTGCCAAGTTTGTTTGGGGAACCCTAAAGGCTAAAGCTTTCGAGCCGACTCTTCAATGGAGGCGCTAGCGGGAATCGAAGCAGACATCGAATCGTTTTTCAGTGACCAGGATCAACAGAGACCTTCATCGGACGGCTGCAAACAGGTCCCGTGGCTGAGCTGGGAAGAGTGGGACTCCGTCAGAGAGTCTCTCTTCTCTTCTTCTCCTGATAGAGTCGCTTTTGCCTTGGAAAGGGTAATCCTCTTCTTCAATTCATATTAAACTTACTTATAAGAGTAATTTCTTCCATGAATACCATTAACCTGTTAGAATTGGCTGAATCAAACTTATTTCTTCAAACCATAGAGCTCAATGGAAGCTCAGATTCCTTTATATGTGTAAAGTAGAGCTTTTTATTCCTATGTTTTCATTTTTCAATCAAAATTAAATCTCTTTGTGAATTTCAGGTTGCAACATGGCGAAGCAGAGGATCTCTTCCAGCGCCTGTGGATGTCACTTGTTCCCTTATTGAAATTCAACTCAAAGATGGCTTTATTCCGTTAGTCTCTTCCATCTTTTTCAGGACTCTCAAATGTCTCGTATATAACATTTTTGGATGTTTATTGTTGTTTCCGTCTTCTCATTTTCTTGTTTTTGTAGGAGAGAGTCACAATCAGCAGATGCATTATACTCTGAGCATTTACTGCAAATGCTATACTGCATGGGAATTCTCAGGTAAATATGAGTTTGCCTTTACTTGTTTGATATTCCTGGAACCATTATGGTTTGAGTCCCTTCACTTGTTGACTGGCCTTGTTTATGTACCAAGGCTTGTGAACTGTGTCATTGAAAAGACAAGGAGGAGAGCAGATGTTTCAATTGCGGATGCAGCTAAAGCAATCGGTATCCCACGTAAATTGATTGATCTTCGTCATGGTAAGAATGCTTTTCTCCTTGATTGTGTGTAGTAACTTTCAGTGCTGCTATATGTTTATCAATTTGATTTGATTGTTCTGATTGCAGAGGGTTCTCACCGTGAGCTCCCTTCACTCTCAGTGCTCCGGGATGCTTCAGATGAGGTACACTTTTTTTCCCTTGTTTCAAATAGCATAGCCTCATAGGACATGAAGGTCTGCGTTTCTATAAGGCGTTATGTGTGGTGAGGTCTTGTTTTTGGACGAAACTTTAGATTTTGAATTGTGTGCATGCATTCGTCACTGTAGGCACTTGAATGGTTGAAATCATATTACTGGGAGACTCAGAAAAACCAAATTCCATTGAAGAGAGATGGAACGGCTAGCATCAGAAGAGAAGTCAAATCCAAACTCCGGAAGCTTTCTTTCTGCTTTCAGCTTAAGCAGAATCCTCAATTCGACTCCCCTTTGGTCAAAGATAAATGTAAGACAACTTATCTTTTACTTCTTTTGGACCTTGTGCTGGGGACTAGTAATGGTCATATGCTGAGGTATTTTTGTTGATTTCAGGTTCTAATAAGAGGATAAGGAAGATTGTAGGCAGCCTTGTTGAGTTGTACCCTTCTTTCTCGGCAGAAATTTCATCTGTGCTGCTTGAATTCTTACTCAAGGCTTTGGATTCTTCAAAGTCGCAGAATCAGCCTGGCCAAGATATCAGGGTCTTTCTTGATGAATGGAAACCTGTAATCCTGGAGTTCTCAAACAGAGAACCCGAGTTACTTTTAACTCTACTCAAGGCAGTTCTTGATATGATCCAAAACAATGAACGGAGAAGATACGAAACAGGTGACTATTGGTTTGTCCTAAATGCTTTTACTCCGCGGAATCTCGATTTAAACTCCTGGTCGGTTTTAACTCGTATGAATTGTTTTCCAGATGTGCATCTTACAGAAAAGTCAGTGGAAGAGGTTTCTCAAGCTGAGCAGGTCCCTGTCTTGTTTGCATGGCTTGTGGGTCTTCTCAGTGTGTCGAAGCATTTTCAGAGGAACAGTTCTCTAGAAGTAAAATCACCAAACGTGTTCCTTATGGAACTTGTACGTAAATGTATGCTGCTGGGCGCCTTGGGATACGAGCTGGTCTTGAAATCAGGCTTTGTACTTGCAGATATTGTGGGAGGGCGTGTCTTGAAGGAGAAGCTCACAAAACTCCCTCTCGTTGATAAAAGCTCTGCAAGTATTCCATTGAAACAGATTTCTACTCTTGTAACAACTCCTACAACGCTCCTTGAGCAAGAGAAGAATCTCGGTAACGCAGGCAAGAGACTCGAGTCTGTCAAACTTCAGCTCTCAAGGAAGAAAGGTATTGACACAGACAAAAGCAATAACAGATGGAGAAAGGCGAAAGCATGGAGCCCTTGTCCAATTGGTATGTTGCCTCGGATCATTGGATCTTCAGGACGCTTACCTCATCTGGAGTCTCAGAATGCTGAGAGCGCCTCAAAACAAGCACAAGGTTATAACAATGCCAAAAGAGGAGCCGAGTGCGATGGTCAGCAACTGGAAGAGTCGACATGTAAGCGAGCAAGGAAGAATGCAGAAGAACCTGAATCAGATGATGTGACACTAGAAACTTATGAGGAAGAAGCTGAGATGGATGTAGAACATGCATATGAGGAAAATGAAACAGAAGCAGAAGAGAATCTGCTGATGATGGAGGATAAAGAGGAAAGCAGAAGCTGCCTTATGATAGGTGGTCAATGGAAAAGAGTTGAAGATAGAGAGCTATTGGGGATGGCTTCTAGTGTTAAAATTTGTGTTTGAAAGTTTTTGAATGGCACAAAGATGTACTGAAATGCGACAATTCTTTTAAGACAATAGTCCATTTGTCCATTTGATCAATTTTTACAAGTTAAGCATATGACACAATGTCATTGTGGCATACAGAGATGGATTTTGGGACATCAAAAGCAAAGATATATGAGGATTTGAAGTTTCTTTTTTTTTTGGTCCAACGGATTAACAGCTTCTTATTCAACAACATTAACTGGATAACAAATTATTATACATGATTCGTAAACACTATGAGTAGTACTGATTTTATAGACAGAAAACAGATGGAAATTGAATAAGAAACACCCCAAACACTACAATGTTACAAAACTGCCAACAAATCAAGTATGATAAGAATTCTGCTTCTTCTTCTTCACAAATTTCCCCTTTCTTCTTCAAGGAACACGAATTCACCATTATGAGCTTTTCACCTACAAAACCAAGACCAGGACGAAGAGGCAAATACTTTTGCTCAAAACCAACACAACTTGAAATATAAGAGAAGAATTTGATATCAATATGGAAGTCAAGATGTATATGTTCTAAGGAGGATGAATAAGAACGCCAAGCAAATTGTACAAAAGATACAGGACAGCACACAGATGCTTACCTAATAAGTTGTCTACAGTGAGTTGAAAAGTGCTAAACCCTCTCCATGACACCTACTGGAATGCAGAATACAAAATTGGTAATGTCTACCACTTAGCCAGCAACCCTTATTGCACCCATCTCATCAAGCTTTGAGCTCTTATGCTGCCAACAAGTTAAATCGAGGTCTGAATCAGTACAATTTGCTAAAAGACAACTACAAGTCATATATGAATTCCTCGGATCCTTCATTACCATTACCTTGTTTTTCTTGTGCCTCTGAACGTCATTTAGATCTTCATCTCCATCGTGTTTCCTTTTCTGAAATATTAGTGACAAGACTCGATGTGATTTTCACAGGATCCAAAAAACACACAATATACAAAAAAAAACTATTATAGAGCCTCCTAAATCTACTAAACTTAATGCCAAATCAATAGACAGACATGTCTTACCTTATCATGATGTTTTTTAGAGTGATCACCCGAATCGTGGTGGCCATTTTTGTCCTTCTTTCTGTCTCGGTCCTTGTCTTTATCTTTGTCTTTGCTTCTATCTTTATGCCTGTGTTTGTGCTTCTTATGCTCTCTATCTTTGTCCTTATCCCTGTCCTTGTGTTTTTTATGTTTCCTGTCCTTATCTTTTGACTCACTTTTTGACTTTGACGGAATCGTAGGAGCTCCCTTCTCTGCCTGAAAGAAAAAAAACAGGGCGTGTTCATGTTCTAGCTCCTAGGTCAACCATTATAGAACTAAATTTTCATGTTCAATGCAATGTCAAATATCAATACTCATATGAAAACGTCGTATCATTAAGGTAAAACTAAAAACCACCAAGAGAGACCAGACTCTTACTAGGGGCAATTCAACAGGAGTTGTATCATTTAGTTGGAAAGCCTCCTTAAGCTCATCTATATCAAAAGGTTGGATGCGGGTACTAGTCTCCCGGCTCTGTGACATGTTCTCAATAAGCTGATCTAATTGCATTCCTTCTCCTTTTCTGATCTCTGTGTCCCCAACCACATTGTGAAGATAATGGGCATCTGATAGAGACGCGGGAAGTGATTTTTTGCAAAAGAATTCATGGTGTTGCAATAATTTGTATTGAGATATAAGATCCACCGCACCACACAACTCTCTCGGACCTGCAGTTATAGTAACCAGCAACACATTGACCTTAAAATGAGCCAACGGAAAAAGAACAGGAAAATGAGAAGTTCCAAAGTCGAAACCAATTAACCTCCGAATCTTGTACGATCAGGTTCCATCTTCTTTATCGAGCTCTGATTTGCTTTTGCATGGTCACTGCAATATGATTCATACAAAAGGAAAAATTCAAAGAAGCATTGAGAGCCAAGGAAAGAATACTAATACAAAAAAAAAACATTTGCAAATTCAGACTCGATACTGCCCATACTAACAAATTGTAGCCTAACCAATGCAAATACCACAATATATATATAACTAATGAAACTAGCATCAGAAACTAAACCCTTGAAATGGCAAGTCTTGTCGAGAGTTTGTATTAGCAAAATCATATACAAAGTCCATGAAATTGGGATCTAGTCAACAAGAAAGCTTCTTCCTTTTGTGCTCTCTAGGAAAGCTAACAATAATAATCAAATAGGGAAGTAACCAATCACTAAAACGGAACATTAGACTCGAATGAGCTAACACAGAGCCGGAATCGCGAGAAAAAAAATCGAGGATTTGAAATATGGAAACAAAGCAAGCGAAAGCCAAATCCCAATTAAGAAAAGCAAAATCCCAGATTCAATTGGCAGGAGAGAGAATCGAAAGCAAAGAGAAACAAGCGGCATACAAGTTTCGCAAAGCCCAGATCTCGTTTGAGAAATCTACAGCCCTCTGGCGCCTGCTCAAAGATTAGGAATCCGAAGCGGGAGAAGTTGTGGTTCTAGGGTATCCGATTTCTTCCCGCGCAAATTTGATTGAAGCAGTGGAAGGAGAAAGGGGACAGAGAGATCGAGGAAGAAGGTTCGAGAGAGGGAGAGAGCGAAAAGGGACTAGTTAGGGTTTGAGACTTGTTTTCTTTCTTAACCAATCGCGGAAAACGAAATTGGATTCTCTCTTCTTTCTTCTTTTTTATTTTATTCCGTTCGTTGGCTTCTCTTAATATTCAGCAGCTTTTTATTTTGTTTTCCTGGGTTCTGCGTGGGCTTCACGCGCCTTCCCTGGTCACGGCCCAAGTACACACACAGAAACTAATGTCTTCAACGACATTGATCGTTGACTACAACAAATGTGGTCGTTGTTATTGCAAAACTGGTAACCTTGAAATTCTACAATATAGTTTCTTTTATTTAGAAAAAAATATGTATTTACTAAATTCCTTTGATCAAGTTATATAACCAAGTTATTTTTGATAGATATCATAGCCAGAGTATTCAACACATCTTGTAATAGTTGGTTGTTGGTAAAATTTTATTAATCTCAATTTTGATCATTTTTTCCGTTTGCAAATGCTACTGAGAAACGACCCAAAAAATCGGATGATAACTTTCCACGATTCTAAAATAAAACACTCTACCAAATCTCTTGTAGTTTCTTGGCAAAATCGTCTCATCACATATGAAAATATTTATATTTTCTTTTCTTGGAGAGTTTCAAAATTGATCAAAAGTATCATTAAACATCATCACCGGTAGTCTCGTAGGCTGTAGGCTTCTCAATTCAAACAAAAGACATATCATATTTGCTCATAGTTATAAAATTGTGCAAACGTTGTCTTAAGAGAACAAAGTGTTTTTCGTGGTGATAAATTCAATGTTTCATCACCTTTAGATGATCCTTCGTAAGAATGTGGTGACATATATAGTTCTTTCCTCTTGATTCTAGATAAATAAAAGTTAATGTTTTACAAAGACAAACGTAAAAATGATAAAGCAAACATATACATATAAAAGCTTTTGTTCAGCAAGAAAAAACATATACATATAAATAGGAGGGGACATTCAAGTGGGAAGTGGATTTATCATGTGTGTGAGTGTAAATGTGGGTGTGGAATAACACAATGAAAAAGGGAGTGAAGACAACATCATTTTCCCCAAAGAAAGCTAAGTCTTAGAATCATCACTCCAATTCCCTTTTTGGCCCCTTCTTCTCCCTCTTTCTTTCTTACTTTGACCCTTCACTTAATTACTACTACCTACATGCTTTATCACACCCTTATAAGTCATAACTCTCTAAATTAACCATTTTAAAAGTTAACCATACTAATTAACACCATTAATCCAGCTAATACCTCTGGACATGATTCGGTCAAAAAAAAACTTAATGCAGAAATAATGATATTACAGACCTCCAATTTCTTTATATATATTTTTAGAAAGTAATGAAGAATGAGAAAGGGAGAGCAACAAACTTTTGGAGCAAGTCATAGGTTAAAAGCCTCATAGCTTTTTCTTCCATCACTCTCATTCCTCTCTTCTCATTCTAACAGACTCTGGGAGAGAATTTAAGAGATCTTGATCAGATCTTTTATTCCCTCTCATGTCTTCTGACAAACGATTCTGAAATCAAATCTCGACGATTTTGAAGACATGGGAAATCACTACTCTAGAAGAAAAACTCGGAAACACATCACTACTGTTACCTCCATCATCCTTCTACTTCTTTTGTTTCTGTTTCTTTATGCTAAAGCTTCATCGTCGTCTTCTCCTGATACTCGTCATCACTCAACTCATGGAATCTTGAAGAAACCTGAAATTTTGGATCCAAAGCTTCATGATCTTAATTCCAACGATGCGTCAAGAGGATCGAGACATACAAATGAAGGTGGTGAAAATGTTTTTGAAGGTGACAAGAGAAGGGTCTTCACAGGTCCGAATCCTTTGCACAATAGATAATTTTTGTGCTTTTACAAGTTTTGTGAATTTATGTCTGAATAAAACAAGCAAACCAAAAAACCATATTTATTTACTTTCTCTTACACTGATATACATTATATCGTTCGTGGATCTGCCGTGATTTGTAACATCTGTGTTCTATTTGGAGGAATGAGATTTAAGTGCTGAACAACAAGTCTTTGAAAATAGTAAATGATGCTTCTTGATTTCCCCTTCTCTATGATATTCTTGTAATGTGAAACTAGTGGAAATTTCATGTGGTACGAATATTTTGATGATGATAAACTGAACATCATTGTTAATGCCAAAGGAAAAAAAAAAAAGAATGAACATCATTGTTGAATTGAAATTATGATAAAGTTAGTGTCTTACATAGTAGGATGTGAAAGATGTAAGATTACAACAGGCTATTTCATGTTTACGGTATTAAGTATTAACTAAACCTGATTTGAACAATTTATCGCTATTTCAGAAAAGCTGTATAAAAAGATACAAGTATGATTGAGTATGGAGAAACCTGTAAGGCACTAACTAACTACATTTGTAAGAAAAATAAATTACAAACAAATATGTAACAATTTGGTAGTATTACTGTATGGTCAATATGTAAGAAACAGAACGAAAAGTCGAGAACTATCGGAATGATAAGATACAAATTAATTACGATTAAATATGGAGAATTAGGGAAATACATCTTGCTTCCAAATAAGACTTGAAATCATTCTGAAACATAACTTTTTTCTACCATATAAGATGAGAATCATAATTAGATGAAGACGAGAATAAGATTTTGACCACTCATACATAATTACGAGAAACAAAAAGGCAAAAAAGAGAGTTGAAGTGTATTTGTAATGAAGACACGAATTTTAAGAGTTTAATAAGTATCGCTTTGCAGCTTCTGGATCCAACTCTTCGTACACCTGAAACCAAAACACATGAGAAGAAAATGTCCCCAGCATATTAATACAGATCTGCGATAAACGTCTTTAGAAGATAATGTGTGAGTGTGTGACACATACAAGTTTCTTGTGGAGTTTCTCAAAAGCCTTGCAAAACCTCTCTGCTTCAACCTCGCCAACCTGTGCAAGGGTGAGACGATCATTAGAATCAGAGATGAAATAAGAATCATTCTTCCATCCCCTTTACATGAAACTTCTCTTAATCACAGACCACAACACATGTGATAAAACTACGATAAAAACTTTGTTTACTAGAATTACGAGTCTCAACTATAAATCTTATTTCACAACTCGAAAAGTTTGAACAGAGTCACTGGTGATAATTACCTTATTCGCAGCAGCCTTCTTAAGCTTATCCCAGAATGAATCTGTCGAAACAAGTCCAGAAATCAGGATAAGGGATGCAGAATTGTGCAGCAAAAAGATGATGCACATATAGCAGTCTTAGTCATAGCGATATAAAACTGGATGCTTCTTATACAGCATAAGAGCTAAATTATCCAAGGGTATACAGAGACCAGCTATGTGTTAAGCAAATGATTGTATGAATAGCTAACGAAACATGGATACTTCATTTCATTGGTCACATCACGTAAAAACCATATCCAAGAGCAGCTAAAGAAAATACATCGGACATAATAGAATTACAAAAATGAAAAGTTATAACCAAATCAAGTGTCAGAATTCTACGACTATAAGACAGGACATCTCGTCTGTCTTGAAACCACAACAAAATCTAACAAGTAGTTTAGTCGAGATCCCCTAGGTAAGAAAAAGATGCATACCTTGATCATCATCAGTCTTCAAATCTTTCAAGTCTTTCGGCTCAACAACACTCGGTGCATCGTGCCATTCACTTTCCTGCTTTCAGTGATTCCAAGTTCCATCACATATCCAAGCGTATCTTTAACATCAGCAAATTAAAGAAAAATTAGCCTTGAGATCTCAGAATGTACCTCTCGCTCCACAACTGACTGTGAAGTTGATTCCTTTGAAGAATCTAAATCAGCCTGAAACCAGAACAAACAAAAAAACTCAAAATGAAAGTCTGTACCAGTGAACATGACAAGTAAAAAACACCGAGTACGAATGTTTTCTGCATAAAATTCCAGTTTTAGATGGCATTTAGAGTTTCAGATTCGAGGTGTTCAAAGCACTGATCAATTTGCTAAACCACAACACAGAGAAATTCACGACGAAAGATCAAATAAGATGAACATAAAGTTGCTAGTAAATGACCATTCGACGGATACACAACTGACAGGATGAGGAAATTAGGGTTTACAGAAGAATCAAGTTCGTGTGTCAGCAGTCAACAAAATAGCTTCCCGGAGAAAAAGAGAATAGAGAATAGAGAAGAGAGATTTACACGGTGGTCGCGAGAGCGTACGACGGGGAAGAGCTGAAGGAGGCTGCGAAACTCTTGCTCGTCCATGGCTTCCCTTCGCTTCGATTTCTCCTCCGCTTCTCTCTCTTTGTCTCTCCTAAATCTGAATGTACTAAACTACCCTTAATTTCTCGCTGCTCTCTCTCTCTTCCGTGGAGAAGGCTTTACAAAATTTCATTAATAGAAAAAAAAAGAACAGTTTCATCAAATAATTGACCTTCTATTATGGTAACTTGGTAAGTGGTAACTATATAACCACGAAGCTAATGTTAGATCACACTACATTTTCAATTGTAAAGATGCAAATGAGTTTGCGAATATCATCATACCAAAACACAAGCTGGAAATTGATAACGAGAGCATAAGAAAAAAAACACACACAGTTGACTCCATTGATAACACCACACATAAAAAATTTGGCTCCGACCTCACTTTTACACACAGACAATCACAAACAAGACAATATGATGCTCAATAAAAACATATACGGGCAAGGCAAAGAACAAGAGATGGTGATTAAAACTCGGTAAAATACAAGCATTTTCACTCATGATCCAATAGCTCCCCTTCCTCGTCCTCCTCTTCTTCATACTCGCCTTCTTCATCCGCAGTTGCGTCTTGATATTGCTGGTACTCAGAGACGAGATCGTTCATGTTGCTCTCGGCTTCAGTAAACTCCATCTCGTCCATTCCTTCACCCGTGTACCAATGCAAGAAAGCTTTCCTCCTGAACATGGCTGTGAACTGCTCACTCACCCTCCTGAACATCTCCTGGATCGACGTCGAATTCCCAACGAAAGTCGACGCCATCGAGAGACCGCGAGGCGCAATGTCACAGACGCTCGACTTCACGTTGTTCGGTATCCACTCCACAAAGTAGGAAGAGTTTTTGTTCTGCACGTTTATCATCTGCTCGTCTACTTCCTTAGTGCTCATTTTGCCACGGAACATCGCCGAGGCGGTTAGGTACCGGCCGTGACGCGGGTCTGCGGCGCACATCATGTTCTTTGAATCCCACATCTGTTGGGTGAGCTCAGGGACGGTGAGTGCGCGGTACTGCTGGGATCCACGGGAGGTGAGAGGAGCGAAACCAACCATGAAAAAGTGGAGACGAGGGAAAGGGATGAGGTTCACTGCAAGCTTCCTCAGATCAGAGTTGAGCTGGCCCGGGAACCTAAGACAGCATGTAACCCCACTCATGGTTGCAGAGATCAGATGATTCAGATCACCAACTGTTGCAGTCAAGCCATCACAATTCATTAGCAAATCAAGAACGGATTGATGTTATCAAACAGCAAGATTCATGGTTGTCAAGATCAGTGATGACTTACAGCTAGGAGTGGTAAGCTTGAGTGTTCTGAAACAGATGTCATAAAGGGCTTCATTATCCAAAACCATACACTCATCAGCATTTTCAACCAGCTGATGAACGGAGAGTGTGGCGTTGTATGGCTCAACCACTGTGTCAGAGACCTTTGGTGATGGGAAGACAGAGAAAGTAAGCATCATTCGATCAGGATACTCTTCCCTGATCTTAGATATCAGCAGAGTCCCCATTCCAGATCCCGTTCCTCCTCCAAGCGAGTGGCATACTTGGAAACCTGAGCAATTCACAAATTGTTCAAAAAAACTGCATTTCAAAGACCTTCAGTCAAAACTTTTTGAGGTTTTACACACACCTTGAAGACAGTCACAATTCTCAGCCTCCTTGCGAACAACATCGAGTACCGCATCAATAAGCTCGGCTCCTTCAGTGTAGTGCCCTTTAGCCCAGTTGTTTCCAGCACCAGATTGACCAAAAACGAAGTTATCAGGCCTGAAGATTTGACCATAAGGTCCAGTTCTGACACTGTCCATAGTACCAGGCTCGAGATCCATGAGAATGGCTCGGGGAACGTATCTTCCGCACGATGCCTCGTTATAGTAAACATTCACCCGCTCCAGCTGCAGATCTGAGTTTCCAGTGTATCGACCAGTGGGATCAATCCCGTGCTCGTCACATACAACTTCCCAGAATTTTGAACCTATTTGGTTCCCGCATTGGCCACCTTGAATGTGAAGGATTTCTCTCATCTTCTATTTACCTGAAACCAAAAATGCACAAACAAGTATCTCGATCAGAAATCAAATGACAATTAGATCGAATGTTAGCAACTGTATCTCGCGATCCGAGCTCAAACAAACTGTATCAGATCCAAACAAATCAAAACAAAGATCACTCAAGCGATTTCAAATTCTTCGCAGAATCCAAGCGGCAGATTTTTCAAGTGATTGTTAAATCAAAGCTCAAGCTAAGAAAGGAGAGGAAAAAATACGAAACAGATCGAAAGCGGATACAGATTTGGAAGAGAAGGATTCGATCAAAAGCATCACAGTCAGTAGGAGTTTTTGATCCCCTAGATTTCTCAGCTTCCAGAGAGGAAACAACTTAAAAGAGTAAACGATAACTTACGGTTAAGAAAACGAAGAGATTTCCGGCGAGATTTGAGGCGATCTAGAGCACGACGGTGGATCGGAGTGGGAGAGGGAGTGAGAGAGAGGGGGGTGAGTGAAGATGGTGCAAGTATTTATGAAAGAGTAAGAAGAGGGAGAGGTGATATGATCCAACGGCTGTGGTTAATTCCATCTCTTGGGAAGCTGGATGCCGTTGGATGGTGAGATATTTTAACGTTGTAGATGGCGTTCGGTGAGATATACTTGGATGTGGGAGCTGCTTGTGAGTATAATTCTGATTGTGATTGTCGGTTCTTCCTTCACTCACACATAAAATTATTATTTTTGTCAGTCACGTTAAAGCAAAAATAGTTTGGTATATTTCAAGATTTTTTCTTCCAAAGGCAACTAAAAACTGTTTCGATACCTCGTCATACGGTAATACAGTATAAAATCTGGAAGAACCATGAAAAAAGACAAAATTAATCCCATCGGATACAATGTGAAAATCAGGATATGTAACTTGATGCCTTATTTTGTTCGCGTACGTATTTAATTAGCATAATGATCAGCATACGTAGTTTAGTGGTTTGTGTTGATCTGACCGATTCCACATTGCATATTTGCTGGACAAAATAAGTCAACTGAGATGTTTAAGTTTAGTTAGATTTTTCGAGAAAACATGTATTAAAATATTTACATATAGTTTCTGTATGTAGTATTTCAGCTAATTATATGGTTTGTGTTCTCCACTGTTCTATTCATTTGAAATTTGGTTTTGCTTTTATATGAAGCTTGCAAGACTTTCCGACTATAAAAGGATAATCGGTTATCTTTCATTTTAGTGTAGACGTCATATGAATATATATACAGAAATAAGGTTGTAGTAGACGTCATTTACACTAAAAAAAAAACATGTATTATGCAAGTTTTGGTCAACTGTGTCCTTGCTTGCATAATACTTAACTACTAAACCTTGCTTTATCTATAAGAATAAGACAGAACACCTAATAAAAATACTTTAATGGTATACATAGCAAAGGCTAATTACTTTATCTCACCAATCACCATCTTCTAGTTCATAATCGAAGACGTATTATACTATTATTGAACGGATCTGAATATCTGATTAAGGCGTGTAAACATTAAAAATGGATGGGATACAAAAACAAGCTTGTGAGGTGTGCAAGAAAAAAAGCGGACAATGCACATGAACCATGTGACTTGCCAACAGCCCATCTGACTTGATTGAATTCCTGGTTCCTCTCTGCTTCTATCAGTTTTGACTACCATCTTCTTGTTCTATTAGTTTCTTTCAAATTTTCAATCCTATATATTCTAACTTAAAAGCTTCATTATTTGAGATCCTAGATCTATAATATCCCAAAAAAGGTTAGAATATTTAGATCTGGTATAAGTATGATTGTATATGTAATTTTTGGAAGTTTGTCCCCTAAATTAACTATAGGGACTATGAGTGTAGGTTCTGTAGGATGTGGTAACACATACTACATCTGATCGAAAACGTATGAACTTGGGTCTCTATATAATTACACACGTATACAACAACCATTCCATTGTTTAAGAGATGCAACAACCATTCCACTGAATGATTAAACAATTTTCATGCCCTCGTATATTGCAGTCTCATATAATACCTCCAAAATCCAAATCATTTGTTTCAGCTTATTCATCTCCCAACATGGCAATATATGAAGATCTCTTGATTTCTATCTAAATTATACTTCTTTCTTAAAAGTTATGAAATTTAGACAAAATAAATTTAACTTTAAATTTAAATCAATCTCATCCTTTTCCTTTTAAACTAAAATAAAGCCTCGGCTTCTCTTTTTAGCTTTCGTTCTTCTCTCCTCCTCAATCGAGAAGAAGCCTCACTGCGATCCATGGCGATGTTATTTCCCCAGCCCAAGAAAAGCCTGCTTCCTCTCCTTCTCTTTCTCTTCTGTATCTCCGTCATCATTCTCCTCGTTCTCGTCTCCGAGACAACCCACCCCGTCGCTGAACGAGGAACTACTTTCCGGCGGAATTACGACAATGTCCCTCCTTTCACTTTCCTCATCAAGGTCCTCACCTTCAACCGTCTCCACTCTCTCTCCCGCTGTCTCCGATCTCTCGCCGCCGCGGACTACGGCGCTACCGGCGACAGAGGACGCGTCCACCTCCACGTCTACGTCGACCACTTCTCACTCGCCCGGAAAAACAAACCGGTGGAAGATAGCCTGAAGAGCACGAAGGAGATCCTCGATTTCGTGGACGGATTCGAGTGGAGATTTGGGGAGAAAGTGGTTCACTACCGGACCGACAACGCCGGATTGCAGGGGCAATGGCTTGAGGCTTGGTGGCCGAGCTCAGATCACGAATTCGCGTTCGTCGTTGAAGACGACCTCGAGGTTTCTCCTCTTTACTACGGGTTTCTGGAACGCGTGATTCATAATTACTACTACGATACTTCCAATTTCAATCCTTCCATCTATGGAGCTTCCCTTCAGCGACCAAGGTTTGTTCCAGGTACCATTCTGTGATTCATCCATCAATGCAGGTTTCAGAAACAATCTTAGCATTCCTCCTGCAATTGAGATACAACATGAACAGAAATTAAAGGTTTTTATATAACTATTGTGGCCATAACTGTCATTTGAATTAGCTCAGATGATGAAACTAGGCATGTGTGGATCAGTATAAAGTAGGATTATGTGTGTTCATGTTCACGTTTAAGATAGTGACTGATTGAATTAGTCGATCACTGCAGGTAAACATGGGAATAAGGTGCATGTAGATCCCAAAACGAATGTTTTCTTATATCAGTTGGTGGGAACTTGGGGACAGCTTCTCTTCCCAAAACCGTGGAAAGAGTTCAGGCTATGGTACGACGAGCACAAATCCAAGGGCAAGAAGCCTTTCCTTGATGGCATGGTAACTTCGAACTTGTTCTGACTTCTCCATTGATTTCATTGTTCGTAAATTCCAAAGTTTTAAGTCATTTACTGTCTGTGATGTTTGTGCAGGTGACGAATGGATGGTATAAGAGGATAGGAGAACGAATATGGACACCTTGGTTCATAAAGTTTATTCACTCTCGTGGCTATTTTAACATCTACACCAATTTCCCAAACGAGGGGGCTTTAAGTGTCTCTTACAGGGATGCTGGTGTTAACTATGGGAAAACTGCTGGGCCAGATTCGAAGCTGCTGAATGAAAGTTCTGTCACTCCTGATTTTTTGAAACTCCAACCTTTGAGAAACCTCAAGTGGTACGACTACTGTTTCAGTGAAGTTGTTCCCGGTAGAGTTGTGAGAGACCTGAATGAACTTGGCACCGTTCTTCCTTCTGTGCAGAGAGAGAAGACCGTATTTCTTGTCAGTCTATTTGATGCGAACAAGATGTTAATCAGCAACTTACTCTGCCATTTCGAGAAGATTAATACTCGAAACTACATCTTCATTGGCCCTGGCTCTGAGTTTCTATTTGATCTCTCAAGAAGGGGACATCCTGTGATTGATGCAGATGTTTTTCTCGACACGTTGGTAAAAAGCAAAACTTCTTACCCAAACTCAGTGAAGGAGGCTTTGGGCAATGCTTACGTTGTTAAGAAATGCTTAGAGCTTGGATACAGCACCTGGGTATTTTCAAGTAATGCGCTTTTGGTGGATAAAGGTCAACTCCTTGGCAGAATCAGCCCAGAGGATGACTTCTATGTTGGAGAAAGCTCTGAGATTTTGGTTGTTCAATCTTCATCGAACACTCAAAAGCTATGGAGCAACGAGTTTCTTCACAGCATCGCATCCACAGGAACTAAGACTCCATCCCTAAAGCCAAGTGTGGATTTTATTCAGCTAGTGAAAGAGCTTGTGGAGCGAAATGGCAAGAAGATTAATAATGTAGAGATGATGGGTATTGCAGAGAATGTCGATGCCAAAAGCTTAAACCAATCGTTGGGAGATGGCAAACCGGTGGTGTATTGGTCACCTGAGGTTGGTTCAGGTATCATTCGGATGAAGCTTGAAAAGTTGAACTTGTGGCTCATTAATGATGATCTCTCTTGCAGGGCTGTGATTTGTCATAGCTCATTTTCCTAAAAACGTAATTGGCATTTTCTGGCGATAGGGTTGTGATAACTCGTTATTGATTTATGTTATAGGCTCTCATGTAGTTGAAACCTGATACTCGTTTTAGATCAATACAAAGTTTATATTGTTTGTTATTATCAAGAGCATTAACCAAGTCTGGTTTACTCGTCAGATTCTCGGTTTAGTGATTATTTGCGTCTGGTGCTATTGGGGTTTGTATGTAAAGCTAACTCTGTAACAAACTTTTCTCAGACAATGAAATGAAGCAAAGTTTATTCAGATGAAGCTTAATAGGCCAATACAAACGCAATGGTCGAAAGACTATAAAAAAAAACGAACTAGTTTACTTATTCTGTCTTAAATAAAGATCAAACCAAATCAAAAATAAATATTATGGGAAGCGATAGCTCTGATTAAAACATTCGTAAATCATATCCTTCATGTTTTGATCGACTCAATAGTCGTTTTGCCATCATGAGGTCTTCCAAAAAAGTCCTTCAAGTAGTCCGAATACACAATGTTTCTGTAACCAGCCACCTCATTGTTCTGTAACACCTCTGGTAACGGCTCGATGACCGCATCATGAACCGGTCCGCAGAAAACCGGAACGGAAACCCGGCTACAAAACTTATTGACAACCACGCAATGCTCCACGCTCCGGTACCTATTGTTGCTCAAGATCTGTAACACGTCTCCAATGTTAACGACAATTGCTCCCGGAATCGGAGGGACATTAACCCATTCGTCCCCGTCCTCGGTGGCTCGAGCGTAGAGGCTGCTTAAGACACCGTCTTCTTGTAGGAGGAGAGTGAGAGTGTTGATGTCTGAGTGGCGACCAGTTCCTACAGCGAGGCTTGGGTCAGGACACTCTGGATAGTAGTTGAAGTTCATTCTCGTAGTTCCCATTAGTGTTTCTTCGTTAGATTTGTCGATGGTTGAGTTAAGATTGCTGATGAGTATGTCTAAGATCTTCTTGGTGATTGGTTTGATCCTCTCGAAGTGGTCTATCACTTGTTCCCTGTACAATGCAACCATCTTATAATTGAACCGAATTCGGTTTATCTAAACGAACTGAACCTAAACCGAAAAAAGAGTTTGACGAAAAAAAAGAATTAACGCTAAACCGAAATCGCATTAAACCCTGCATAAGGTTTTATTTTTTCCGACAAACAACTAAAACCAAACAGTGAAGCGAACTGTTAGTTACCAACTAACTACATTACACTTACTTGCAGACAGAAGGCCAAGTGGCAGCGAAATCATGTTGTTGAGGAAGGTACTCAAACTTGAGGAAGTCTCTCCACTCCAAAATACTCTCTTTGAGAGGATTGAAACTTGTGGTTAACCACGCCGTCTCCGACACCGAACTCCCTCTCCAGTACCTTCTTCTCTCCTCCGCCGGCAGCTCGAAAAACCCACGCGCCGCTGCAATCACAGCCTTCAACTCCTCCTGAGCTATCCCGTGGTTCACTATCTGAAACAACCCGAGCTTGGTCGCTGCATCGCAGATCTCCTTAGCCACATTCGGATCCATCCAGTTGGACACATCGATGACCGGGACTTGTGACGATGAAGAGAGGATTTTTTCGGACGTGAGACGCTCTTGAGGAGGTTGAATGTAAGCAGAAGGAAGTGTGGTTAGCTTTAGAGTGTCGACGAGCCCTTTTACTCCATTCCGTTGGTTCACCACAAAGTCCCTCACGTCGGTCGTACGAGTCATGGTTTTCTTTCAGGTCTTTTTTAGTTTTGATAGCTTTAGTGATTGACAACATTTAAGGATACTATGCTTTTATACATGAAAAAAAATCATGTTGGATGATTTTATTAATATTATGTGCACATGCAAATCATGTTGGATGGTTTTATTAATATTATGTGAACATGTAATGTTAGATGTTTTCTTATCTGGGCCATATTACTGGACAATAAAAAAAAATTTAACACTAATTCGACTAGATCTTGCTTGGTTGTATTCATAGTCAAGCATTACTTGTCAAGTTGTCATAGTCAAGGAATAAGTTCGAACAGTTGTTCACTTGTCCTATATATAAGAGTATCTCCCATCACTTTATTACTTTTACATGTTACCCAGCTAGGCAGGTACACTAGATCTCAATTATTTACCTGATTTTAAAACAGGTTTTGATATGTCAAATTGCAATAAATGAGAAACCCAGATCATGAATTTCAAAACTACATTATCTTCCAAGTCTAGATCTCAAGGAAAAGTCCAAAAAACGGCCGTCCAAGCAAGCATTTGCTAATGTGAATAATTGAATAAAACTGACAAACCCGTGATTAAGTTTATTGTCGCTTCAGAGTTGGAAGCAAGCAGTCATAAACCCTTACTAGTCGTTGTGTCACCGTTAGCTTGTACGATGTTTGCTGCTGGGGCTTTCCTAACTCGATCAGATCTTGTTTCACTCTGTTTATTACAAAACACATCATGTCAGTTCAGGCAAAGAAAGAGGACGAGTAGCGTTTAAGATCAAGCTTATATGCTAAGATTACCGTTCAGAAAATGCTTTTGCTTACTTAGATAAAACCACTTTATGAATGATAATTGTTTGATGGGGTCAGATTAAAAAAAAACTTACAAATCCCACTCGCCGCTTGCTTTTGCAGGGTTCTCAACAACCCGATACAAACGTTCGAGGCTGTATATTATCAAACCAAATACGGTTTCGGCATCCTTGTCCTGTAACAGCATCAAGAAACGGCCATGAACTTTTGACACGAGTTCTTCAGAGACCCGCTCGTAAAATAATAATGACTGAAGAGAAAAGAGTGGACATCTTACACGTCCTTGTTCAATGTAGTTCTGATACTGCATAATTCTCTTTTCAATTTCAACGACAAGTAGTCTCCTGTGTATACGTGCAATTCTTCCTCGTCCTTGAGCTCTGCTATCCTATTCACCAGTGAAATCAAACGGAATAAAGATTACAATAGCTGGCATTATTGACTGTGCACAATGAGTTTCATAAATATAAAAACTGAACCACATATATGTATCAATGTCAGATTTGGTTTGGCTTGGGTTATCAATCTCCTCACCTGTTTTAGCCATGTCCGCAGCACTGTGAGCATAACAAGGCTGAGAAAGAATGCAGGTAATGCAGCTAGAATGGCAAAGTTTATTTCATTTGCACGAAGTATCTGATCCAGTTCCAGCATCGCTCTGCAGGAGAAGATTTATTCAGTTATATACAAAATGATTTAAGAGATCTACTCTAGTTAACTGAGAGCTACTGGTTTACTGATATTACGTTTCTATATCCAGCTTCAGCTTTTGGACCTGAAAAGAATAAAACAATATCAATGTGATTAGAATCTCACAAACAGTGATCTACAGCTTCATTCATGCCATGAACTTAAATTACCTGGATAAGCAAACCACGAGCAAGCTCTCCACTAAGGAGGTTGTGAATAGGGTGCACAAGTTCCTTTTCATACCTGCAATTAGAAGGCAACAATCAAATACATACCCAGCTTATGTGGTAACTATCACAGGAAATCATTATACCAAGTCATGAGAAAATGTCCATAGTTATTTTGCATTACCCAAGATTGGAACTACTATAAAAGTTGTAGCCTAAAGTATTGCCTTGCCTAAATTAGTGCAGAATTTAGTCGTTATAAATGACATTTAATGTGTCTTTGACTGCCTAACAAAGAATTTTGTTCAGAGTTGTACCGGTTCATAACAATTTCAAGCATCTCCTGATCAGATGCATTATCTGCGACCTTTTCACGTGTAGCCTGCTCGCAGAAATTCCTCAGCATTCTGCGTACAAAACAGAAAATTAGGAGCGCAGCAACAAATATCAAGGACTAAATGAATGGTTTCAGATAGATTTGGCTGTGGTTATTTGAATCCTAGATCAGTGAACTCCATATGAATATAACAAGTGAATTGGCATACTAAAAACGGAACAATGCACGCACATATACAACAGCAAACAATTGGGACCAGGATAAAAAGCATCAAAAAGGGAATGGATATCTACCTATGAAGTGAGTCTTGCGTCAGCTGGACTTCTTCATAGTCCATGACACCCTTGTGCCTTTTCCGGAAAGTATCAAAAAGCTCATCCCGGATGGCAAGCAGCTGCAAAATAAGGGAAATTCAGAAATTCCAGGCTAATAAAATGTCAAGTAAACAGGCTAGTAACTCGATCATTTTAACTCAACTCGCCCACATCCTTTTTGAACAAACGGAGAGTCGCATTAACCATCACTATGTACTTTATTTGTAATCCTTTAATAAATTTTTAACCAGGTAGAAAAGCCAAATGTTGCCACTTAAAGTCTGAGAAAGGCTAGGAACAAACCGGTTGCTCAACATGATCACTGAAGAAGCTCGTTGTTGCTTCTTTTGCATCACGAATCCAATTCTCGATGTCAGAACTCCCCATCAAACTACTATGACGTAGTAGCCATATAGAAAAAACAGAAAGACCAACTGCACCGCAAGTATATCGGACCCAGTACAGGGTCATCCTTCTTGGCTTTCGATGTTTGCCAACCTATTAAAGAAGAAATGCAAGAAGGACAAATCTCACATTTTATTTCAAATGAAAGATGCTTGTCATTACAAGACCATTTCTATCAATAAGAATATGAGCCGAGGATACAGAAACTACAGCCACACTTACCATAACTGATAAATGGGAGTTAAGTTTTTCCAAATTCTTATGAACCAGGTTGATTGCATCTGTAAGTTCACAATCGGTCCACTGGGATCCTTCTTCATTAACTTCAGGGAGTCGATCAAATACAAGAGGCATTGAGTAACTTTCATCAACAGAAGAATCAGACTGCAAATGCGATGCAAGTCAGTAAATACGAGTAAGAGAAATGAAGAAACAGGGCCATCACATTAATCAATGGCCAGCCAGATGCAGGAACTGTCAACGCAAAGAAAAATCGCAAGTAAGAAATCAGTGTGTTTACCTCACGCACAGCATGCAAATGGCTGAAAGAACTCTCCAAGTTCGAAAACAGTTCGTTGATTACAGCCAACAGTGATGGCAGTGATTTTTCTGGATTCTTCAAAAGATCTTCACCGCGTTTATCCAATTCAACATAAAGCTAGAAAACCCATTGAAAGCAGCGACATTAGTATGTAGACCACGCAAAACAATGCTACACTAGCACAGAACTTTGTAATGGCTCTTATTGTGATACAAAAGGAATGAAATTTGAATGATAACCTGAGCAAGAAAGGAAGCGAGTGCAGATCTTAACTCCATCAAGACCCTCATCCTATCTGACATGTGAGATGAAGATGTCTGACAAAGATGCTGCATCGCGGAATCCTCACTGAGACTTTTGCGCACAAGCTTCGTACTCTCATTCACAAAAGCTACAGGTCCTCTCTCGAATATCATGAAGTAGGCTTTTCGAGCATTGGAGCCCTGTAGTCAAACCGATCAAAACAATGCCAAGAAAACCATTTCAGATGAAAGATTTTAATCCAGAGAAAGTTAAAGGTGTAAGCTCATGGAATGTTCAGTTGATTTCACCTCAGCTCTAGATTGCCAAAAGTCTAAACTCTTCTGGATATCATGCAAGTTTGAGAGGACGTCAGCCATTATTTCCTCCAAAACAGCATAAATCCTAGACGTATCCGCCGATATATTGCTGAAGAAATCAACAGAAGTGAGCTCAAAAGTCAAAATAGTCGATTTCGAGGAAAATCCTCGCCAAAGTATATAATCAACAAAAACGAAACTCCAGTTTCAGACGGAATTGACAATTGGATTCCGAGCTCACGATCATCAAGCAGAAGTTAATGGCAGCAAATAAGGAAAACCCCCAGAAGCAAAGATGAGATATAATAGAGGAGATGAGTCTTACGTAGAAGAACATGGGAAGTCGGACGGTAGAGGAAGAGGGAAGGAGATGTGTCGTTTTTTGGTAAAGGTTTGGCGATAGAGGTTGGAGAATTTCCCCAGAAAAATGGAGTTAGAAGTAGGAGCTAAGGAAGCCAGACGATTCCAAATATAATTGTAATAAAACGGAACTAGGTCTCCGACGCTTGACAGCGCCGTCGGCGGAGGGGACTCGCTTGCCGGAGGTTGAGAATCCATTAGTGTCGGCTATCAATTTCCTCAGTTCACCTCTGGACGATTCACCGGAAAAAGTAGTGCCTCTTAGATTTTTCAGTAAATGTGGAAAAGTGAAAATTGAAATCTGCATTTGGATCCTTATTGGGCTGTTCATGGGTCAAGGGGAGCTATAAATTTGGGCCACTTAGGTAAATAAGTATGATCTTTCGTTCGCGCTAAGATCGAATCACATTGGCGTAAACAACTAAAGTACTAAACTGTGAATTACATAGATAAGAAGCATAAAATATTTTAAAAAACAAAACTTATTTGCAATATGAGTTCTTGATTTTATCAAAAGAAGGCTCTGCTACCGTAAAAGACACGAGATCCTTCTTTTTTCTTCTCAATTCCATTATTGTTATTAGCATTATTATTCTGAATGTGAGTTTCAGTGTTATTGTTGTTGTTGTGATCCATGGGAAGCTTCATCTTTGCCAAAGAATCAGTGAACTGTTGCATACTTCTCATATACATCTCTGCTATCTGTTTCTGCATCGATGTTTCCTCCGTTTCCACATTCATCTTCTTCTCTTCTTCGTACTGATCTTCTTCTTCCAATCCTTTGCTTCTTCCTCTTGATACCTCTGTCATCTCTCGACTGTCTTTCTCGTTTGAGTTCGCTGTGTTCTTGTCGTCGCTTAGGCTTGTTGTAGTTGAAGAAGACGCCATAAAGCTTCCATTCCCATAAACCTCTTTGTCTTCCAAGCAGACCATTGTTATGTCGGTTTCCGGCAAATGTGTCGAGCCGAGACAGAGAAAAGAAGCGGTTCCGGATCTGTGGTTCAATCCATTGAAATACTCTGTAACCATCTGTTTGTTCTCGTTGACAACATTGATGTCAGGGAACTCGATCCTCGTGTAATCCACTGTTTCAGAGACTTGTGGGTCAAGCAACACGACCTCAGAAGAAATCGAAGTGTTAATCTTGGGATTGGATGATGATGATGAAGAAGAAGAAGGAACAAGAGAAGGGTTTACAACGGAAAGCGTGAGCTTCACGGTACCAGCAGGTGAATGGAAGAGATCAGTGGAGGAGAGACTGTAATCTTGAGTGACACTGTCTTGGCCTATGATGTCTGAGATTGGGACAAGAGCAAAACCAAGAAGCTGATCCTCCATGTAATGTCTGGCTCTGCTCATCATCCAGATCTCACATTTGAGAACCGCAGCATCGATCTGGGTCACATCGATCATGAGCTTCTGGTTGAATTCAGGGTTTTTGCCAGCTCTGTGGATGATTCTTGTGGAGATGGTGTCGTCAGGATTGTATGTGAGTGAGAATTTGGCGTAGACGTCTTGGTTATCGTAGATGCAAATGTTGTGGATGTTTCTTGCGTTGTGAACAAACACTTGGAGAACGCCTGAGAAGCCTTGATGGTAGCAGAACCTAGATGAAGAAGCTTGTTTCAGAGATTCCATAGGGGAAATAAAAGAAAAGAGAGATTATCAAAGAAATGGCTGCTTCTTGTTTTCAAAAGAACATCAAGACAAATCTGTAGATGACTTGACGTTTAAAATGAGGCTGAAGCTGAACAGTAGCATGACCTCAAAGGGAAGTCATGAGAGAGAGGAAGAGAGATAGAAGTGTTGGTGAAGCAAGAGGAGCTTTCGCTTTGAGGGAATTCAGGAACTTTGAATGGGAGAGTAATAAAGTAGGTGAGAAACGAGAATCAATGGAACAAAACAGATAAATTTCAAGAAGATAAAAAGAACAATATGATGACAAAACATGATGATTATGAAGAAAAGATCTAACCACACATTTTACTCGGAGCAATTTGATCAAACAGCTCAAACCGGTTCAGTTGCTAACGGCGATGATCAAACAATCCATAATGGTCAACAAAGTTGACATGGGCTAATGATTCCATGGTCTCAATGGGGTAGGTAAGGGATTGAGATGTCTGTTTTTGTGAATCAACATATAAAAAGAATATCTTTTTTATTTGTAGCCTTGATTTTGCTTAGCATTGCAGCCTGCACCACCCAAAATTTGCCAAAGACCCCACCAAAACCGCACTCATCATCATCATCATCACCATAACCACTTAAATCCTGATTCCATATGATCATTTTTCTCACCGGATCACTCATTAATGAAAACCAAAGAAAGTTGTAAAGATTAAATGAATCAACTCTAGCAAACAGGATCTTCGACGACAAACGTCAACAAGTACTTGTCGTTCGACCATTATTAAAAAACTACTTTCTTTACAGATTCTCAAGTATTATGGAAAAAGTCAGTTGGATTTTAAGAGGTTGAGGGTTGATTTTTAATTACAGAGATACAACCACAGTCACTTCCTTCCCAACCTAACCAAGAGAGCCTCGTGCTTTGCAGCTGCCACAACTTCCGCAGCTTTGTTTGCAGCTTCACGCTTCATTGCCCTCTTTGCACGCCTTCCCGTCGCGGCAGTGCTATTCTTCTCCTTCGGCTCATGTGAGGAAGAAGAAGAAGAAGAAGAAGAGCCGGATTCCGAGGCAGAAGCTTGGCCACCTTGTTGCTGCTTACGCTGGACATGGACCGGCCTTGCCTCTTGGCGGCCTGCTCGGACAAAACCATTGTCTCCCCACCTCCTGTTTCCTAAACGAAGACTTGTACCGTGCATGTAAAACTCGTCAAGGTCATCTTCTTCGTCTTCCTCCTCATACTCTGGTGGAATCTCGAAATCTTGATTGTAGTTGTCATTGTCTGAAACACGCACCACTACTTCCAGCGGCTGAAACCACGATGCTCTCAGGAGGAGGCATACACTCTCCTCGAACATGAAATCTTCCACGCTGCAGCGATATATAACAACAGACAAAGTTACTTAGAGAGAAAGAAGCCAAGCAAATGGAGTTAGCAAATGTAAATGAAGTTAGGAAGATGGAAAAGTTTACCTTCCGTCAAGAGTGCGGTGGACATTGAGGAAATCAAATGGATGCTTACATTGTGGGCATGTTGGTTTCTCTTTGCAACTTGCCCAACGGAGTATGCACGTCACACTATATATATATACAAGTCATTCCTCTCAAAAACGAAAAGAGAATGCAAGTGTTTGTACTATTTCATAACAAAGCTAATGCTCTGGATTAAGCTAGAGTTAGATGAGACATACCAGTAAGCATGCTCACAGCCTTTAACCATGGCTGTTTCTTGAAGAGGAATTGTATTCAAACAAATTGCACAACAGCCGCCATGGTTCCCGAAACTCAGCTCATTACTACCCATTTGTTCAGTCTTTTTCTCATCCTACACACAGAAAAAAACACATCTTCAATCAAACTCAGATCATCAGCATCATCGTAAAGAGTTCTGTTTCGAATTTATGAACCTAAATTATAATGGGAACATGAAAAGAAACCAAATTTATGGAAATGATAAGTCAGATATTCAAATCATCAGACAATCAAGAGGGAAACCAAAAAAAATCAATCAAAATGTCCCAAATTGAAACTAATTGCAATCACAATTTCAGTTTTCCTCGTTCCAAAATGTATCCAGAGCATATATATAGATCAATTCAGAAAGGAACACACAGAAGGCACCTAGAATTCAAGAGCTATAGATCGACGGAATCAACCACGAAGCAAACCAGAAACTCGAGCTTCCAATTTAATGAATAAGGGCAAATCGAGAGAACAAAAACCTGATGTTGAAGAGACAAAGCTTCAACTTTCTTCTCATCAACGATCTGGATCGAGGAACTCATGGCGGCGAAGGAAAAAAAAAACGAAAACTGGATCCTTTGAATCTGAAACCGAAAGATAATAAAAGTACAGTTCCTCCCAAATCTAGTAATCTGAAGAACGAGAGTGAAGTTCCAGAGGAAAGTGGCTATAAGGTTAATTCGAACACCTAAAAGGATAAAGAGAAGAGGAATCAGGATCCTCCCGAGGAAACGCCCAAGGAGAATGTAGTCAGAGACAACCCTTGTTATTAAGCGGTGCTAAGTTGCGCCCAGAAAGAAGGAGATTAAAAAAAAAACCTAGCGGTGCTAAAGTATAAATAAAAACATTTATTTTTTTTACCCCCAAACTTAAATAAATCGGACAGTAACCCCAAAGACAGAAAGACTGTAGATTGCCGAAATCCGAAACCTTGAGATTGAAATTAGAATTGTCCGGTGTGAAGCATGGGAGGATTAACGATGGTAGATGCCGAGAAAGTTGAGGACTTGCTCGAGGTTTCTCTCCTTCCCTTAATCCTTAAACCCTCTGTTTTGATTATCAATTTTGGGCTTCTTGCTTATCTTCGTCCTCTTGAGATATTGTTAATTGGGTGAGTGGAAAAACTTAGTTTATGGTGGTGATGATTGGGTTTTTGAATGACAGGCTGCTAGATACGACGATATCGATGATCTCAGAAGCTTGTCTTCTAATGGTGTCCCTCTCGACTCTCGCGATTCACAAGGCCGAACAGGTTTTTCTCTACATTCAAGTGAACAAAAAAAAGTTCCAATTTTTCGAATTACAGTAGCTCCTTCTTCTATCGTGAATGAACATGTTAGTGTATTGATTGACAAGTTTAGAATATGTGAATAATTCCTGGAAAAATGGCTTCTTTCATCTTCACAGCGCTTCATATGGCCGCGGCAAATGGGCATTTGGCTATAGTGGAGTATCTTCTCAGTCAAGGAGTGGTAATCAAACGTTTGCTGATATTGATATTGCCAAGCAAATATCGATCATATCATTGATGTATTTAATGAAACTTTGTTCAACTTTGGTGTTTTGGTGAGCAGGATATCAACGCTCTTAACGAGGAGAACAATGCGCCACTGCATTGGGCATGCTTGAATGGCCATATCGAGGTAACAACAATAATCATCACTCATCTCCTTGCTTGAAAGTGTTTTTTTCTTTTGGTTCCGGTTTTGACTAAATGGAAAGCTACTTAACAGGTGGTGAAGAGATTGATCTTGGCAGGAGCTAGTCTAAGTCTTTTGAATAGGTTAGTCTCTGTTGAATCTTTTTCTTCTCAATCTATAAGAGGAAACCATTAAGGGCTTGATTGTTTTTTTAGGTATGAGAGGACTCCGATGGATGAAGCTCTGAGTGGAGGGAAGATGGAGATTAGAGATGCTATCAACACAACTCTTGCGCAAATGGAACTTGAAAATGCCAATGTGTCCTGAATTTATAAGATTATCTTCCTAAATGCTTCCTCTCTCTATCTCTCTCTCTCTCTATGGTTTACAGATGAGCATTTGTGTTGTGGAACTTTTGATTTGTTATGTAGACTGGTGGATTTTAGAAATGGAGTTATATGGATTCGAATTCTATGAAACAGGATTGGTTGCAAAACCCACAAACCAAAACTTGTTCAAGTAATTTTCCTTTGGATTAGGACGACTTTGGTTTGTGAAATCGAATCATGCATGTGCAATTCTGTCATGTAATGCGGGTTTAAAATTTAAAACTACACCAACAGTGTTAATCCAAACCACACTAAACTATAAAAAATCATGGTCCAAACTGAAGTATAAATGAATTAAGTTGTCTCCATTATTCTTTTTCCGGTTTGGCGAAATGGTATACAGCCAGGTTTAAATATCAGAGAATCGTATAATATATTCTTTGATCAGACCAAGGTCAGATATGTCTTGGTCACTGCTTTTCAAATGTCTCATCCGGAATAAGTAATTTCACTCCAGCCATCCATCGACATTCGCTGGAAAACATAGTCAATGCTTACAGAGTTGCAGTAAATTCAAGTTTTTTTTTATTTTATCATAAAATCCATCCAGAATAATATGATATAAAGTGTTACTCTTTCGGTGCCCCATTCCTTAAAAAAAAAAAAAAAGACATTTGTGCTGTGCACTATCTCTTCAGTTACAAGCTAGTTATATTAAATAAAGTAAAAGTTATAGTTACTAAACTTTGGTTTAGTCCCAAGGGGAATGAATCTCTGTCTTTAGCAAATCCAGTATGCACCTCTTGATTTATTTCCTTGCATTCTTTGTCCTTCCACGGTCACGTTGTTCTTGCACATGCCTCACACTTTTATCATTTAGTTTCATAGCTTAAATGATAAAAACTACAAACAGAATCATTGTCTACTGTTTAAAACAAAATAAAAAACCATTTGTAAACGTTTTCACAGTTGGCCAAAAAATCATTCTGTAAACCTTTCGGCATAGACTCGTTCTGATGCAGACTGACGCTGACGCCGTATGTCTCTTTATGTTGCATGTGATATAGTATAATTTTATTAAATGGTTTTTTGTCGCCTCATATTTCTTTGTCACATAATTTGAGGGAAAAAAAAGAGCGCTTTTTATTAATTTCACAGCTCAATGAAGTTTTTACAAACTTTTTTAGTCAGGATGTAGTTAAATATTTTGGACTCCATGTATCGCACTCGCACGAGCTGCTTTAAGGTCGACTTGCTAGAGTGTCAGCTGTCAAGAACCTTGGCACCAACTCGTACGTGTGGGTTTAGCCCCTAGTCAATCAAATGACTAACCGAATTCGGATGAGTGTACTTTTGTTAGTATTGTTTCATTCGTATTTTGACGTTAATCTTTTCAGCCCCCAACAAAGTGCATTATGTTAACACACACACATATATATATACAATTTAAACCTCAATGAAAAATAAAATTCTTTTGAATTTGAGGGCTTCAGTTTTGGAAGAATAACTCAGGATGTAAGAAAAGAATCATTATAGCAACTTCATTTTCAATCATGATTTGCTTAAACTAGAAAGATCAAGAAAAGTCTCATTAGTTATCGATCCAACACAACTATAGTGAACGATAAATATAATTTAATGAAAGTTTATGTTCTTGTGTTATGATTCTACAGTACTATGTTTTGTGTTATATACGACTCTACTTGATGGCCAACGGCTTCTAAAATACGACTGATGTATGAACGAATTATACAAGTAGTTTAAATATAAAAATTTGAATGATTACTTTCGCATGCAGGGTACATAATTCGTATTTTTTCCTAACATACTTATCCTTATAAACCTGTAACTCTGATGGAAAAATTATAACAAATAAAAAAATTGAATGGATCGCCAACGTGTGATGAAATAAGTAGAGATGCTGGTCACCATAATAACCACCAACAAGAAACCATATATTAATCATATAATATGATATGTCTGGGAGTGCAAATATATTTGGTTCAGTTCTTAATTATAAGATACATCTTACACTGGTTGACAAACATGTTCATCAATTTTATACAAATGTAACCAAAAGGCATATTGATAAAAAGATCTACATTAGATATCATTTTCTTTCGAGGGGGGACGAATATAACGTTCGAAAGTTCAAAAAGCCTAAACCCTATAAAGCCTACGGCACAGTCGAATATATTATTATTATTTTCTTATGGTGGTATGTTTCAAGGAATACCGGAGTTTTTTTTGTTTGTTGGCTTTATTCTTGCATAAAGCTAAACATAGTATCAAGTATCAACGTTCGATTAATCTGATTCTTTTCATTGTCAACAGCATAAATTATCGAGATTTTAATTTGGATATTGACACAACACCGACACTAGCGCACAGACCCAACTAGTCTGGTTAAAAAAAATAGAATTCACATTTAGATTCAAATGTATCTGATGAAGCTGTCAAATGCGAGTAACTGGTTTCACCGAATGTTATGTATGAAAAGACGTTTTGTGTTTAAACAAGAATAAAAACCTTCTGATCTTAACAATTTGGTGGCGAAAAATCTATCGTTTGTAATAACATTTTTTAAAATTATATGTCGGCATAATTGTTTTTGCAAAAAGGACTTGACGCAAGTGTAGATATGTTTCTGTACGCTCTAACTGTGATAATGACTATTGAGGTGTTGAAGTAGTGTTGTAAACGCTCAGATAGATTCAAAATGTAAGTATGGTTCGAAGAATATTGTGTTTCTCTGGATACACTCAAAGATCCATGTGTTTTAATATCATTACAGGAGAAATAAATAGAGATCGAACAAATACAGTATACACTGCACACTGCAAACAACCAGCCTAGGTGGAAGCCACAAGATTACAAAGTCTCCTGCATAATTTAATCTAAGTCAGTGAGAATAGTAGTAACACTAAAAAGTGCACAAATAGGCTCAGTGAGTCAGTTTATAGCAAAAACAGCTTTTTTAAACCCTAAAAATGTTGGATGGAGGATAACTCATGAATTTATGCATATAAAGCATATAGCATTTAATTTAGGGAATTGTAGATATCCAATTTCAGACTGAGAAGCTGACAAATGTACAATTAATTATATGTGCTGATATATAAAACATACATTATTCAACTAATTAATAAGAAAACTAAAAGCTTGTATATCAAACCAATAAATCAAAATCTATGGAACAGCAGAGTCACTTTAACTGGATGAAATTTCTACAATATAATCATAGAATGTTGAAATTTAGTCGAAACGTTTTTTTTACTAGTTATATTTTTTCATAACATGTTAATAATAAATCACAATATTGTTTTTCAAAATGCTTGAAAAATGGTACGTTTGAGACTCAAACTTTGAGTACCCAAATACAAATTCAAGGAAACGACATTTCTCCACCAATTAAGTAAAAACAAAAACATCTGCCGAGAATACTTGTTGCAGCATTAGAAGTACTGAAGTAGTTCGTCCAAAAGAACAATTCATACAATAGAGTTAGTGAATTCGTTTGTATCCGACCCCATTGGAAGAAAAAAAAACAAACAAACAACAAAGAAGACTGCATCTTTTGTTTCAAAATAATAAAGTCGATTAGATTGAGTTTAACCGTAAAACCCTCCGCCTGAACCACCACCACCACCGTAGACATTTGGCGGGTCGAGAATAGGTGAAGAGGTAGAAACTCCGTTATGATTATTGGCTCCACCACCTAAATGCAAATCTGACATGTTAGGAAAACCTTCTTTAGGTTCAAGGCCTTGATCATACAAGAAGCCTTTAAAAACATGTCCGCCGATTTTCACCACCGCCTGATATGCGTACTCGTCGTCCCCGTCCTCCACTGCTGTCACTCTCACACACTTGAACACCGCCGCGGCCCTAACCTGCCCTGGCCACGCTTCTCTTGACCCTCCTCCATCTTTGCAAAACATAAAGCATAATTATGAATCATTATTAATCACCACCAAATCAAAAATACAACTGATTACTACCAAACACTCACTTTTCACCAGTACAACTGAGTGTTTCAGATAAACCATCCGATTTGAAACCAAAGAGAAATATTATAATCCTAAATTGATTTCATTTTTAGTATGGTTGAGATTAATTCATTTTTGTAATGCCGAAACTATACCAAAACGAACTATACTGAATATTGTTTTATTTTGGTTACTATCATATAGACTCCAAAACTCAAAAAACCCTGATTGATGATCACCCGTAACTTTAATCATCATCAAAGTATTATATGCAACTATAGTAACATGAATTTATGTACATATATGTATATATATTAAATGTAATAATACCTTGGCGGCTAGAGCTAGTATCGAAACTTTGAGGAGGCGTGTTAGACGTTGAAGTATGAGAGGTGGCTTGTTGTTGAGACCCAGCGATCCTCGCCTTCTTAGTCCCGGAGGAGGTCGAAAGAGACGAGCCGGCTGTTGGATTCCCGGAGGGCATGACCTGCCTTTCTCTCCTACGAGCCGCAGAGACCCACGTGCTTTTCACGTGCGTCGAACAATCAAAGCCACGGCTCTTGCAGCAAGTCCTGCACCGCCTCTGCTTACACTCCTTCTTCGCCTGGTTTCCACAGTCTTGACACGTGGCGGTTCCAGAAGCGGCTGACCCAGACCCGGAGTTGTTCGAGCTCGATCCCACCGTCGTCTGGTGAGTACTCTTGAAGTGGAGGTACTGCGTCTCGTTGTGGTTGTCGTTATTGTTCTGCCATCTCCGGCTGTTTCCGAGGAAGTTAAGGTCGGTGTCTTCCACGTTTTGGTGCTGCGACGGAGCTGAAGCGAGAAGAGGCATCATTCCGACGCCGAGCGCGGCTGCCGCCGCCGCTGCATTACCGTTAATCTGATCAGATCCAGATACAACTCCGGGGTTCTGGTGGTGATGGTGGTAAGCCGGAGCAACAAGGTAGACGTCTCTTAGACCGACCATCCCCATCTCTGTTGCCGCCGCCGACGAAGGGAGACCGTAACGGACGGAGGTTCCGGGAGGCCATGAAGAAACGCCGGCGGCGGCGGAAGCCGAGCCTATACCACCGTGGACGACGGAGGGACCAGCATTAAAACCAAGGGAAAGATCCTCGGTGGCGCGTGAAGATGTCGTCGTTGTCGCCGTCCAGTCGGTGAAGGCACCGGAATCCGACGTCGGTAGATTATGCCTCCTCGTCGTTGCCACAGCTGATTAAATCCAAACCCTAATCCCGCAAATTGAAAGAACAAGAAAAAACTAATGAAAAACAAAACCTTAATTCTTCTTCTTAGCTAATAGATAAACAACGCAGCAGCATAGAGCTCCAATGCACATAACTAATGAATTTAAAAACGATTCTTTCTACAAAAAAAATCTCTGATGGGAAAGAAGAAGAAGAAGAAGAAGATACTGCAATCTACTGCCACTTTTGACTTTATTTCTTTTGGTTTTTCTCTCACTGATCACTCTGCTCACAGGAGGAAAAAGAACACTGCAAACTCTTCTTTGGGTTCCTCTCTCTCTAGAAAATCTAACGCGTATCCAAGTTTCTCTCTCTCTATTTTTCTTGTTGGTATCTGATGTAGCTTCTAATCTTGGGGTTTCTTTTGGATCTTCCTACTTCCCTAAAAACAGTACTGAAGAGTGAAAGTATGTGTTGTTTTCTTCTTCTAGATTGTTTCTTCTTCTTCCTGTCTCTCTCTAATAATAATCATGGACAACTGCAGAAAGATAGATAGAGGAAAGTGAAATTTTTTTTCACTTGATTTTTTTGGTTTTAGCTTTTATTTTGTTTATGTTTATATACTTATTTATGTTTTTAATTAATAATACCTCAAAGTAATGGCACATGATACCTTCTTCTTTGCTTTTGGATTTTAGCTGAAGTTTAATTTTAAAGTAATTCATTTATTTTCTATCATTCTTTATCAGATGACAAAGTTCCCCACAAGCGCTCGTGCGCGTGGCTCCACTTGCGCGTAAGAAACCCAGGATTTCGTTTCCTATAGCCGGTTAACTCTTTTAGGTCCATGCATGGTTCGATTCGGTATACCACACTTAGCGTTTTGGCCTTTTTTTTTGGTCGTGAGCGTTTTGGCCTTTTACTACTCTACTAGCAGTCTAGCAGTACGTATATCGTTTACCTCAATATGGATCAAATTTTACAATCTTCCAAGAAGGAAAAAAAGAAAGTACGTGTTGCTTATCCATCCCCTAAAACTAATGTTATCTAATTTGACTGTTTCTCATCATTCATGAACGAGTGAAAACACAATGTTTTGGACTTGTCTTATACGTACATTTCTATCAAATAGACAAATACTAATAGATACGGTAGTGTTTTTTGCTATGCTATGTTTTTCCAAGTGACATGACATCTTTGATCTATCATCATACGTTATCCATTAGTGAATAATATAATTCAGTTTAATTTCATCAAAATCATTCAGATTGATTAAGTCGTTAATTTGTTAAATCGTTATGTGCAGGTCTTAATTAATTAGTTCGATATGCATGTTTTTTCCGTCACTTTTATGTTTTTTTTGTTTATATAAAAGCTCTAAAAGAAGAATAACTGGGTTGAGTAATGCACGTGAAAGAACCCTTTCAACAAATTGTTCGTCGGCTTCTCACCACGCTTTGCGGCCGTCGAATCATTGCTTCACTTTTGAGGTCTTCTGAGCTAGAGTTTCATCTTTGTACTATCTTACGTAAGCCCACATTTCCATTTTTTTGTTCCTCAGACTAAAGCCACTTTGTTTCATAAGTGTGCTTTTGTGTTTCGCTTAAACGGTCTTTCACATATATCAAGTGTTAATATCACTAAACATTTCACAACAGGAATAATTAAACAAATCGGCGAATTGAATATTTTTCCAGTATTATGCTCTTGTGTATGGAGACGATGCTCCTCTTTCTCAATCTAATTAAGTCGCTTGCTGTTTCACCATTTAAGATAGAAAACAAGAAATTAACTCTTGAATACGAGATTATAGGTGGGTGATAACATTTTGCAAAGAAAATTAATAACTTCGGAAGTCACAAAAACAAAAAAGGGTTAACATTTAATAAAGAAATAAAAACGAGAAAAATAAAAGCATGTAGCAGTAGATTTATGACAAAGTTAAAGAAAAGGAGCAGAAGGCACGGGGCTCGAGAGAAGAAAATGTTTGCAAAAACTAAAAGGAAAACCCAATAATGGAGGAGTCGAGACAAAGACGAATGCTTCTTTGCCTAATCGGCGGAGGTGGCGTGTTGTCTCACTTCCCTCCGACATCCGTTGGCCCCACGCGCCTAATTTCCACCCTTTTTATTAATTCATGGACCGAAACCTTAACTAAACTGGCCGGTTTGATTCATCGGTTCACGATAACTGATGACTTAACGGTTTGGTTTTTGGTTTGATGTCGGATGTTTTTGGAAGCGAGAGCATACAAAACAAAAGACCACCCTGAGTTTGAGTTAGAGTCGATTTTATAAAGTCGAGTGTTCAATGTGATTTGAGATTAAACTTCTCGTGCATCTACTATTGTGTTTTACATATTCATACTTGCACAAAATCTGAGAATTTTAATACAATAAAGTTGTTACGTATACACCAAATAAATATGTTTATCGCCGAGAAAATAATAAAAATTCTGCTACTTACAGTGAGCCAATACGACCCACCCTGAGTTCGAATAGCCAATCCAAACATATTAATCGCACGGAAAAGCCTAAAGGGCCCAAACCAATAAACAGAAAGCTGATAATTTATTTATTCAGATTGTAACCGAGAGTGCTTTGACATCTAAAAGGTTTTTTTTTTCCCTTGGCGATATAGAAAATTCAAAGTTAACGTAGCCAGCATCATCATGCGGAGGGATTACGAAGAAAAGTAAGAATAAGTTGCTACTTATTTGTTTTCTTATAATGTACCTTTTCTTTTTGTAGACCATAGGGCAATTAATAAATCATCAAAGCTATAACAAATTGACATGCGACTTCAGGTTAAGTAGTTGAATTGTCAAGAATGAACTACAATATATAAACTCTATAAATTAATAAAGTTGGGACTTTGATATTTTATTAATTTATAGAGTTATTAAATTATCGATTTTGAATAAAATAGTTGTTTTATTTTAAAAATAATTAAATTAAATATTAAACTAAATAAAAATAAGAAATTTAAAAGTTTTTATATTTTGTATAGGTTCATTCTAAAATTAGGGATGAATTCTAAATATATTTGAGTTTTAGTAAAAAAGAAATGAAAGTTATACTTATATTTTAGTATATTATCATAGATATATATTTACATAATTTTTATTTATGGTAATTATTAATTTATGATATTAATGGGACCATATATTTACATAGGAGTTTCAAAAATATTATTATCTTATTATTTTATCGAATTTTGCTAATTTTTACACTGGCCCAACTTGGGACTGGAGAAAATTATTATTTTATAGAGTTTATTAATTTATCGAGTATCAATTTATAGAGTTTCTCAATTTATAGAGTTTCTACTGTATATCATATGCAGGAGCACCTTGCAAATTAATATATTATTCTTGTAGAAATACTCTAAAAACATGCAATTTGTCAACTTGTTCATGCATGACTTACTCAATCAGGTAACTAAACAATCAGGTATTTAATACCAACTACTCTATTTTTCAAATACAGCTTTCCTAAAAACAAATACAAAAGAAGAAACATGAGTACTTTTCATATCTTAGTCAATTCACTTCTTGTTGTCTCCGAATAATCCCCAAGAACCTTAATGGAGAAACCCTAATCTCATGCTCGGAGATCGTCTGCAACTGCGGTGACCATATGTGTTCTCTCGTTCCGACAAGCTGATCGTACTGCTTCTTTAACTCGGGAGAGTTACAAATCTCAGTCCTTTCACCACAATCTATCATAGCCTCTTCTCTGCTGTTGTTACTGTTTTTACATATAAGACTGATGATAAAATTCGGAGAAACTTTGATCAGAATCTTCCCGTTTAGTCCCTTGGAATATTCAAACGGTGGTGGACTCGACGGGGCGGTGAAATTCAACGGTGGATTATTTGACCGAATAATTTCATGATTTGAGTTGAAGATTGAGAGACACGAAGTGGTTAAGATTCTGTAGGCGAAACGTTCGATCGGTAAGACGAAGTAGGTTTGACCTGGGATGAGGTAGTCGTCCATGGCTAGAGCTGGAACCGGACGACCGATGAAGAAAGAGTCTGCGTGGCACACAAGTTGATCAGGAAACTCGAACATGATTTCTCCGGCGACATGTTTCTTGGAGCCACATAGGGTTTTAGTGGATCCGTTCTCCCAGAAGACGAGAGTGCTAATTGCTTGGCGTCTACGGATTATCGGAAAACAATAATTGATTAGAGATTTGCTCATTTTCTTTCAGAGGTTTTGGTTTTGTTTTTGAGCTGAAAAGTTATGGATTGTCGTATTGAGTGGAACGATATATATAGAGGGGTTTGTCTTTATGGTCTTTGTGTTTTTGTTTGTAGTTAAAAGGCAAACCACTTGAAGGAGAGTTGACTTTTGAGGTGGTCAAAGACTCCAAGATTTGCTTCTTTTTCTTTGCGTATGATTTTATCAGGTCGGTTGGTAACTTGGTCAATCCTATCGGCCTTGATCCTCTCTCTTCGTTGAGGTCATACTTAACAAACTAATACTATATGTTTTGTCACATTTTGGTTACGTTTTAGAATATTTTAATTCGAAATGTTACATAGAGTCGTGGAAGTGGTTACACGAATGACAAATAATTGTTTTTATTATAAAAAAAAAGAATTAGCATCAAAGTACTAATCTTATTTGAGTGTTTTATTTTCATTACACACGTTGATCCCGTGTCTATTTTTGTGGCAACTGTACACGGGATGACGAATATATAATTGTCCAGATACATACTCCCTTATCTGTTATCCTATCACGTTTTCTCTTGTTTTTGTTGTGCATAATCAATTTAACATCGCCACTACTTTAATATATATTTAACCATAAACCATTTGAAAATCGATGATTCCCATATGGTCTTTGTATTCTAACTTTAAAGGTAACAACTTCAACGAGTGTGAACACATGCATTGTTTTATAACAGGTTTTGAAATTACTGGAACTTTGTATATCTTTTTCTTTTCTTTCATTTCAGATCATAGCCCAAGCTTGATTAAACGGAGAAAAAGGTGATAAGCTCGTTTATCTACCTTGACCTTTTTATTTCAGTATTTGTTTTCTGTTAAAAATTCTTACAGTTTCATAAGAATCAAAAAAATAATTATGTTTAATACTAAAAGTCTAAAACGGGCCTATAACCGAAACGCGTAGGTTGTGGGCTAGTTTCCCAATTTTATAGCTATGACGACATGGGCCTGATTCAAACGCAACACCAAATTATCCTCAAAGGAAAGTAAACCAAAACTGTAGGTGCTTTTGTATGACAAATTTTGAAAAGAGAAAACAAGCTTCGATTGTACATGTTGGAGACTATTCATTTATTCGTTATGGAAAGTTCATTTGCATCACATATGTATGTCAAAAGTCTGATAAATGTTTCATAAGTTTTCCAGGTATTCATGAGTAGAACAATTTTGTAATCTACACCATTAGCTGGAGGGTTTATACAGTTGTATTCATTTTGGAAGATTTCCATAAAATTTAAGGTTGAAAACAGCTCAATAAAATTTGTGAAAATTCTAAGCTTATATTGAAACGATCGTTTATAAAAGTCGATCGTATCTTCGGTCATTTCTTTAACACACACAACTTGAGTAAAAATTATCAGTTGAATAATAACACAAATTAATTGACTAAATCTCAAAACAGAGTAAATATATACTCCAATCCAAGTAATCCATTATCCATAGATAGGTACCTATAAGTTCCATTGTTGATTATGAGCTAAATCTTCACACAGCTTAAATTATTGATGTCTAGTATAGTTAGACGCTAAGAAAATGAAAAGCAAAAAGATTGATTACTGTATATATTAATATAGTCTGTAGAATCCGCCTTTTGGTCTCTCTCTCTCTCTCTCTCTCTCTCTCGCTCGCTAGAAAACTGCGTAGTAGATCATGCCATGTCTCTAGATTCTCTGCCTCCCAATATTTCCTCACTTTCTCTCGCGCCTGCACCAGAGTTTACCAGCATCCAGTCAAGGCATTCTCTGACTTTTCCTGCTTAAACGGCGGCGCTTCTTCTTTTCCCTATTCGGATCGATTTTGAATCTATTCGAGCTCAAAAAAGCTGCTCTGCGCTGCTCAGATGGAAGTAAACGTGTTGCAGTTGCTTCGAGATCGACGATCACGGAGATGAATACTGGATTCCGCGAATGTAGATAGTCTTTGAAATTTTGTTTTCACATTTGAGCTATTGAGTAAAGTGGATTTTTCGGCTGATGGAGGGTTTCGCTTCTGAAAAGCTTCGTTGAAATTCGTTTATGTCGAGAAACGGAAGGATGGCGTCGGATCTCAGCAGAGCTGGTCCAGTTGAGAGAGATATCGAGCAGGTGTTTATATTTCCTTCTCCATGTCGATGTTGCTATAATTAATCGAATTCGTTGCTTATTGATGAAAATTTCTCGATGGAATTTCATATATCTATCGGCTGAATCTTACGGTAGGATTGTTCGCTTGGGATTTCTTAGGTTAGAGAAGATTGGTTCATAGGCGAATCCTTAGAGCTAACTTCGATTTCAAACTCAAGCTAATCTATGTAATTTAGCTTAATCCTGGAGTTTTATTAGATGCAATTATCATGGATTTAAGATTGCTAAATATCTGAATATCTCGCACTTTGCCCATGATTCATATTTCGTTGTGTCATATGTGCATTGATACTTGTTTTCTGTATCCTCTATTTGATATTATTATTGCTGAGCCGAAATCTACATTACAAAAGATTCACCTACTTTGCTTATGGAATGCTATTTGATTGACTCAGGCTATCATTGCCCTGAAAAAGGGAGCTTACTTGCTCAAGTATGGAAGAAGAGGGAAGCCTAAATTCTGCCCATTTCGCCTTTCTAATGTAAGCTCTACGGTGATATATATATATTTTTTTTTATAATTTCTTTCACAACTGCATTTACATGTAGCTCACTGTTTGGTGCTCAAGAACTAGTTGCGTGTAACTTTCAGGATGAAACTGTTTTGATATGGTTTTCGGGAAAGGAGGAGAAACATTTGAAGCTGAGCCATGTTTCTAGGATCATATCTGGACAACGCACTGTAAGTTCATGTGTGGATGATGTGATTTTAATTCCCTATTTCCCTTGACCATCCAGTGAAATACTTAGAACGAGTTCATGAGGACTGTAATATCTATTCACCATGGACTTCTTTACGGGGTCGGATCTCTGATCCTCCCAAGAAGGTGTACTTATTCTGGTTATTTATGTTCTAGTGCCAAAGTTGTGGCTGATTCTTCTTATCATGTGGTTTATGGCTCTTTAATAGTTGCATTGTATATACCAGACTCAGTTGTGTAGCAGTCCTACATCACTTTCTTAGTGTTGTCTTCGAAAGATTCAAATCCTTGATCGTTGTTTTCATGCTGTGATTGTATTCTCCAGTTTTATATCTTACTATCGTTTCGTTCTTGCCTTCTTTCTGATATTTTATGCAACTTTTCATGTGTCAATTTCCTTAGCCCGAAGATGCATTTATGTGATAATCTGATAATTCTTGCATTGGCTTTCTTGTAGCCTATTTTTCAGAGGTATCCTCGCCCCGAGAAGGAGTATCAGTCTTTTTCACTAATATATAGCGAGAGGTCTTTGGATGTGGTGAGATTTTCTTAAACCATTTTTTTTTTTTTTTGCTTCCGCTATGAAATAATCACACTGTCACTCGAAATGTCTCTGTGGTTATTTGAAGTTAATTAATCTGGTGGTAGGATTTTATTTGGTAGATCTGCAAGGATAAAGATGAGGCTGAGGTGTGGTTTAGTGGTCTTAAAGCCTTGATTTCACATTGCCATCAAAGAAACAGGAGGACTGAATCAAGAAGTGATGGGACACCATCTGAAGCTAACAGCCCAAGGACGTATACCCGGAGAAGCTCTCCTTTACACTCTCCTTTTAGTAGCAATGACAGTTTGCAGAAGGTACTGAAAATGGTTTTCCGCACATACTTTTGTGCATTTTAACGCTAAGGACATTTTCTATTATCTTTCAGGATGGTTCTAGTCACCATCGCATTCACAGTCCATTTGAGAGCCCGCCTAAGCTTGACAAGGCTTTATCGGAAATGGCATTATATGCAGTTCCTCCAAAAGGATTTTATCCCTCAGATTCTGGAACCATTTCTGTTCATTCTGGAGGCTCAGATAGCATGCATGGACATATGAGGGGTATGGGCATGGATGCTTTTAGAGTTAGTATGTCAAGTGCTGTTAGTTCATCGAGCCATGGTTCTGGTCATGATGATGGAGATGCGTTAGGAGATGTTTTCATCTGGGGAGAAGGCATAGGAGAAGGTGTTTTGGGAGGTGGAAACCGTAGAGTTGGAAGTTCGTTTGACATAAAAATGGATTCCTTATTGCCAAAAGCTTTAGAATCTACGATAGTACTTGACGTCCAAAATATATCTTGTGGTGGACAGCATGCTGTCCTTGTGACTAAACAAGGAGAAAGTTTTTCTTGGGGAGAGGAATCTGAAGGCAGGCTTGGCCACGGCGTTGATTCCAATATTCAACATCCAAAGCTCATCGATGCACTTAACACCACAAATATTGAGCTTGTAGCATGTGGTGAGTTCCATAGCTGTGCAGTTACTTTATCGGGGGATTTGTATACCTGGGGGAAAGGGGATTTTGGTGTTCTTGGACATGGAAATGAAGTCAGTCACTGGGTCCCAAAACGGGTTAATTTTCTGTTGGAAGGGATACATGTATCATCCGTCGCTTGTGGACCTTACCACACAGCAGTCGTGACCTCTGCTGGGCAGTTGTTTACTTTTGGTGATGGGACCTTTGGAGTTTTGGGCCACGGGGACAAGAAAAGTGTTTTCATGCCTCGAGAGGTTGACTCTTTAAAAGGTCTTCGCACTGTCCGGGCAGCATGTGGTGTATGGCACACAGCAGCAGTTGTGGAAGTCATGGTTGGGAGCTCGAGCTCGAGTAATTGCTCATCTGGAAAGCTCTTTACATGGGGCGATGGTGATAAGGGTCGTCTTGGTCATGGTAACAAAGAGCCAAAACTGGTGCCTACATGTGTTGCTGCACTTGTTGAACCCAATTTCTGTCAAGTTGCATGTGGGCACAGTTTAACGGTTGCACTTACAACATCAGGCCATGTCTATACTATGGGAAGTCCTGTCTATGGTCAGCTTGGAAACTCACATGCAGATGGAAAAGTTCCGAGCCGTGTCGAAGGTAAACTTCACAAGAGTTTTGTCGAAGAGATCGCCTGCGGTGCTTATCATGTTGCAGTTTTAACGTCGAGGACAGAGGTTTACACTTGGGGAAAGGGATCAAATGGCAGACTTGGTCATGGGGATGTAGATGATAGAAATTCCCCGACGTTGGTAGAATCACTCAAGGATAAACAGGTGAAAAGTATTGCCTGTGGCACTAACTTCACAGCAGCTGTCTGCATTCACAGATGGGCATCAGGGATGGACCAGTCCATGTGTTCAGGTTGCCGTCAGCCTTTCAATTTTAAGAGAAAGAGGCACAATTGCTACAATTGCGGACTAGTGTTTTGCCACTCGTGCAGCAACAAAAAGTCGCTGAAGGCTTGTATGGCACCGAACCCGAACAAACCATATCGAGTGTGTGACAAGTGTTTTAACAAATTGAAAAAGACTATGGAAACTGATGCATCGTCTCATTCGTCTCTGAGTAGAAGAGGAAGCATTAACCAGGGATCAGATCCCGTTGACAAAGATGACAAGTTGGATTCTAGATCCGATGGACAGTTAGCTAGATTTTCGTTGATGGACTCCATGAGACAAGTGGACAGTCGATATAAGAAGAACAAGAAATACGAGTTCAATAGTAGTCGTGTGTCGCCTATTCCGAGTGGAAGCTCTCAACGGGGTGCGCTTAACATAGCCAAGTCTTTCAATCCAGTGTTCGGAGCATCAAAGAAGTTCTTCTCAGCTTCTGTTCCTGGTTCTCGAATCGTGTCTCGGGCAACTTCCCCAATATCAAGACGTCCCAGTCCACCTCGTTCAACTACACCAACTCCCACTCTTTCGGGACTAACCACACCAAGAATCTTTGTGGATGATACTAAGAGAACCAATGATAATCTAAGCCAAGAGGTTGTTAAGCTAAGATCTCAGGTATGCTTCCTCTCCCCCATCTTTTTCTCTCTCTTATTTCCACGTTTCTTTACTGCAAAAAGACGTAGCTGGTGAGATTATACTGCTACGTTTCTGTCGTTCTGTGTTTTCTGATCATGGTCAATTATGTTCTGGATTTTACTATGTTGATGGCGAAGCTTTGCTGGCAATTTCCTTGGTTTTCTAAAGAAACAAACTCATTTAAATTTTTCTCCTCGGTAGTTTCTGTTTATGGCTGCTTCTTTGCTAACAAGTAAATGGGACATCAGGTCGAAAGTCTTACAAGGAAGGCACAGCTTCAAGAAGTTGAACTGGAAAGAACAACCAAGCAGCTCAAAGAGGCGTTGGCAATCGCTAGCGAAGAGACGACAAGATGCAAGGCAGCGAAAGAAGTGATCAAATCACTTACCGCTCAAGTAAGTTAAAAGCTTGTAAAAGTAAAAATATGGTTTATGGTTTATATAATTACGGTTGTTTTCTTATGACTGATTATAACCATCAACGAAACTGTGCAGCTGAAAGACATGGCTGAAAGATTACCCGTTGGATCAGCTCGGACTGTGAAGTCTCCTCCGTCTCTTAGTTCATTTGGTTCCAGCCCTGGTCGCATTGACCCTTTCAATATCTTAAACCGACCAATTAGCCAAGAATCCGAGCCAAACGGCATAAATACTCCAATGCTTTCTAATGGGACCATAACACCTGTATTTGGAAATGGTGAAGCAACGAATGAAGCACAGAGCGAGAAGGAATGGGTCGAACAAGACGAGCCTGGTGTCTATATCACTCTCACAGCCTTAGCCGGAGGTGCTAGAGACCTCAAACGTGTCCGTTTCAGGTACATTCATCATCTTATTCTCTCGGCTTTTAAGGTTTGGAGTGCAACTTTGCCTTGACCGGTTTTGTTTGATGACAGCCGAAAGAAGTTTAGTGAGAAACAAGCGGAACAGTGGTGGGCAGATAACAGAGGAAGAGTCTACGAACAATACAATGTACGAATGGTTGACAAATCCAGCGAGGAAATGCCTCACTGAAACGCTTTTAACACCGACCAACCACGTTGTCTTATTTTTCCCACGCCCGAGTCAGGTGAGTGCATAAGCTCGGGATATAACAACAGATTTATATATATATAGAGAGAAGAAATTTAGAAAGTGTTTTTTTTTTCACGTGCTTCATTCATTGTAGTTTGGGGTTTTGTGTGGTGTGTGCTGTGAGGAAGTTGTAAATTCTTGGTGGTGCCCATACTGTAAATTCTATAAGCGTACACTGTTTTTACTCTCTAGTAAGTAGTAACAATACTGAGTAATGAATGGGTTTCAAGCAGATTTGTAGATAGATGGTAACATCCAAAGGGAACTAAAATAATTACTGTATTAATCCAACAAGAAACAAAGAAACTAAAGCAAAAAACTGGAACTCAGGTGGTGTCTTCATCTTCCTTGAGCTTGAATTCTACAGCTTCAAAAAGCCATGGCAAAGGCGATGAAGGTAAAGAAGAATGGATGGGCGAGTGAGGTGGAGTTGAGCATTCCAGTAAATCTGAAAACTCCTCCATTGAAATCTCCTTAAGCTCATCATCCCAAGTGTTGCTGCTTTTGTCACCCACCTATGGCGCAACACAAGTGAAAAGAGTCGTCAAAGTTTATCAAAACCAGAGGATTGATGCATATATCGCTAATCTTACATCTTTAATATCGTCTTCATGAATCCGTTCCTTGGTGTTGTTGGTATCTGAAAAAGCAGAACAATGAGCATAAAGTAAACCAAGAGCGATGGAAACCATAAGATGTGACAAGTCATTATATACCAAGGATGATGTGTTGAGAGAAGTAACTGTCCCACTGGTATTGCTGTTGTTGCTCAATGCATTTGCGGTGATCATGCAAGAAACCTTCCTTTGCTATGTCAAAGTCTAATCCCTCGGGATTCTTCTTGTTCGTCTTGGAAGAAGCTTGAGGTTGCAACTTTGACTTGTTTGTAATATCATGCAAAGCCCTTCGGCTTCCAAAACCCGCTCCGTTTTTCTTTGGAGCTGCGAGGGAGCTCTTGCCTTTTCCCGCAGCAGCAACAGCCTCTACAATTTGTTACAACAAATAAAAACTAAGAAGAAATATATTTTACCATTTCATTTCTACCGTAACAAATATCAGAGAACACAAAATTTCCTCTTGTACCAAAGGAGTGTAAAGAAGCATTACTCTTTTGATGTGCCAATGCATTCTCGTCCTGGAAAATCATCTGCCCGCGAAGAATTGTGTTCGCCATGCTCTCTGCTTTTCACTAGACACAGGCAAAATTGTGTAGTTAATTCACCATAAATAAGTGAGAAAAGAAACTAAAGACCTCTATTAACAAAATCAAACCAAAATGTTAAGGGTCTCACCAGATGTCGATGAACGAGTAGAGAAATTTCAGTATCGGAGACCAAAGAGAGTCTTCCCACAAATTCAAACAAGAACGATGGAGAGGGAGAGGAATGTGGTCGACTTAGAAGAAGAAGGAGAAGAGAGCGATGGAGAGAAACGAGGGTGAAATCAAATTAGTATTGCGACGATGAATCAGATCTGGCGCGATTTCGAGTGTTAGGGTTCTTGGGATTTTTCAAACCAACACATCGAGCGGATTTTGCAACGTTTAAATTTTGTTGCCATTTTGGTTATTTTCCTTTTTCTTCCTTTACTGTGCATTCGGTTCAATCGGTCCGGTTCGGGAATTTTGCACTCTTTTAGTTGAATTGGTTATATAACATCAAATTGATTGTTTACTTCAATCAGTGGAACTAATCATCTTATACAGGTAGGTAGTCAAGAAAGAACTCACATCTTTATATTTTGATAAATTTCTTTTCAAATTAGTATACCACTAAGAAAAATGGTGACGGCACCACAATTAAATTTAATAAACTAACATATCAAATAAAACTAACATCCAAAGGGAACTTAAAAAAAAAATTAAAACATTCAAATCCAACCAGAAACACACAAATCAAACATATCAAATACTCTTATAAAGAGGTTCAAAATAAGAAAATTAAGGTTTCAAAAGATGCATGACACAAAAGAGTTTAATAGTTTGGTGACTTTATTTTATAACCAATGATCAAGGTTAGACCTTTGGATTGAGACTGTCACTTTGCATTACGGAGGGATTGGCGGTACTCAGTAGTTCCATGGATCTGTATTGGTGTTAACATTCCCATGGGCAAATCGGCTACTGAGGACATGGCCATAAGTACGTTAATGAGCAAAACCGGAACTCAGTGTTGAGTACTGCAGAAGCGCCTCAGTCTGATGACAAATTCTGATCAAGAATCAACACAATCATAAATTCAGATTAGATCAGAGAGGCTTGAGAAAAAGTGCAGCAAGAGAAGAGAAAGAGTTTAGGCACACAGCAAACATATACTTGCTAGGAATATGAATCGACACTAATTTTGCACTCTTTTAGTCGAATTGGTTAGGTAACATCAATTAAAACAGCAGTGCAACTAATCCACTGATACAGTTAGTCAAGAAAGAACTTACATCTCTATATTTTGATAAATTTCTTTTCAAATTAATATATACCACTAAGAAAAATGGTGACGGCATCACAACTAAATTCAAGAAACTAACATACATTAACATTAAAATCCATTATTCCATTATGGGCCACAAGCATCAGTATCTGTTGAGTCTATTCTCCGGAAAACATGTCCGATTACAGGTCTCTAGTATCAAATAAAACTGTCTGGAAAAGCAAAGGAAAAATAAACAGATCCCATAACACACAGAAATAGATAAAAATGAGGATTCAGAAAAGGATGGTTAAAGAAGCATATACAAACATATAAATAATAATAATGTTCTGGGTTCCAAAGTGTCTTTAAACACTGGTATCATCAGCCAGTTCAGCTCAAGCTTGGCCACAAGGAGCTGAGTCTTGTTGCCAGCTTTGCACTCTTATAGTCCTCCCGCAGCTGAATAAACCTGAACAAATATTTACATTCCACAAATAATCAACATTCCTTCTTTTTCCACTCTCTCAATTTCATTTTCCAAATTATCTTAACAATCTCTCAGTCTCTCTTTCTCTTACCTTTCAGCGTCTTTGCGAATGCCTGGACTACCCTCGAACAAAGTCGACAGACTTGATAGACTTTCTGGAGCAACGAGGAACACGTTCGCTATTCTGTACTCACACAAGTAAATAGAATAATTGCTTAGATGAAGTAATTAAGTGACGATGTAAAGAATCAATAACCTGACAGGCTCAAGAATGTTATTCTTACATGCCCAGAAGCTCAAATTTCTCATCCACAGCTGGAGTATTGAAGCTCTTAACAAAACTTCCGTAAGCGTTTATGTCACGTTTCAGCTGCAGTCCTCCACTGTCAACCAAAGTATATCAGTTATCACAAAACAGAGTTATTATGCATCTGTATCAGTGGTACAGAGTTTTTTGACTAAGAGTGTGAGAAAACAAACAAGAGCTGAGTATTTATACCTGGGATTGAACGTGAACTTCTGCCAGTGAGTTAGTAGTAGTTTGTCTAACCTATTTCCCTACATATAACACATCAAAAATTTAGTTCAGACCCTCAATCATCTCGATATAAAGCATGCATATGGTGCATCAAACAAATTATTCTTTTTAACTGTTAATTTGAAGCTGCAACATTGGGGAAGAACAAAATTGAGTTGGTAGCTAATTGAATCAATTCCATTGTTATAATGATGGAACACCAGCCATAGGCAAGAACTAAAACTTATAATAATTAAAAGGCTTGATGAATCATACCAGTTCCGTCAGGAAGGCTTGCTTATTAAGACCTTCCAAGGCAGTGAAGGCTGACTCAAGCACCCGTGTAAGATAATCCACAACTCTAAACAAGAGATTGGAAATAGAGATCAAAGTGACAAGCTGATTAGAAGATCAGATAAAAACGAAGTGCACAATGTTGAGACGTGAATCGTGATAATGCAAAATCGTTTCAGCAAACTACTGAGTACACTAATGGCTTTTTACAGGAAAAGATAAAAAGTGAAGCGTCTATAAGAAAAAATAGAGCTTGAGCTAGACAAACCTTATGCAGGCATTTGTTGGGCGGTGATCATGCGCAATTGCATCATCAGGTAACTTATAATCGGTAGCCTTCTGCTCTGATGAAAGTAGTCTTTCAACCTGGAAAATGCCATATCGAAGTCTTTGAACCACTAGAAAATTCTAAGCATGACTCCTAATCCTGTTCAGCATTGATCCTCATGGATCTGTTTGTATATACACAAAAAGCAACTCACCTCAGCCATCACAGTTTCAATGCACTGCTGTAGTCCTTTATAAGCAGCTGCCTCTGCTTTCGACAGAGCAGTTGACATTTCTTCACATGAAGCAGCATGTGCACCATCCACTGGTAGGAGAAGCCGAGATATAGAGTTTGCAAAATACTGGAACAAAAAATTATTAAATTAGAACATGAACCAAATTACAGAATTTCCACAGTAGAAGATCAAATAGTTAAACTATTTCGATGGTTGAGTAGCAAAAAGTTTTCTCATAATAAATAATTGAAACGAACTGATAACATTAAAGGTAGCTCAACATGCCTGCTGAACTAAAGCAACACTGCTACCACAACGTTGCACAGCAACCATGAAAGATTTAAAGCTACTTTCACCAGCTGCAGCAGCAGCTTCTGCCTGAGAAGTAATCAGAGAAATTATAAGTAACTCCACCTGAGAATTGAATAATAAGCACTTCGAATAATGAGAAAGAGCAAAGTGAAGTAATTACAGCTGAGGCAGCGGCAGCAGCCACTCTTCTGCTAACGCTTGTGCCCAAAACAAACTTTTCCCTCAATACTGCAGCTTCAGACAGGCCATCCCTTGCCCGTTCAAGTCCCTCAGTTATGTATCTGCTCACCTGCAAGTATTCATCATTGCGTCAGCACAATGAAATTTGAATGTTTATAGAATCTTTTTGTACAGAATACCTGGTCTAGTAGGCAAGTAAGTATGGCTTTAACATTGGCAGCAAGCGTTGCTGGCTGCACAAAGAAATAGTTACATAGATCAGATATACATCCGTATGCTAGAGTTTACTTAACTGTCATAAATTACCAAGTTCGGTAACCTGAGGTGAAAACAATGTGCATCTGGATATTGCTTCTTCATTCCATCGAACAAACTCCGTCACAACCGTGACTGATATCTGCTGCTGAGAAGATGATATGGAAGCACCCTTAGAACGTCCTATTGTCCCAGATGACTCCGAGACTTGACCCTCGGCACGTAATTCTTCCATCTGTAGAGAAACACACATAACTAAGCACTAAAACTAATGAACAAAAGAAAAACTAATCTCACTCAGAAAATGAAATAATCTTGTTAAACCTTCGCTTGATATAGTTGCTTTAAGGAGGCCTGCTCATGCTCAGGGTAATCATCCTTGTGCGAGGAAAACAAGGACTCTGTCAAATCTGCACAGCCAAAATAAAGACTGTCAGCACCAACGATAAAGGTTTATCACTCAGAATCACAAGAGTAACAAAATGACCTTCAACATCCAGGTCACCGCATCCAACAGCTCGGAGGTCTTTAGCAAGTTCTTGGGTCCTCTCATATGTAACCGCTAGCATTCTAAGGTACTAAAGACAAAAATCAAGAGTTATTTTTCTTATCCCATTTATACTAGACAGATGGACAAGAATAGAGATAAGGAGGTATCTACACACTAGTAATAGTCCGCCTTCTAGCACAGGTGGTGGAGTCATAAGAGAGGGCTTCACCAAAATTTTGTCAAGAATACCTGTGACACGCTGCTCCAGAACTCTCTGCGTAAAATACAAGAAGAGTTAGTATCGCTTATCCATATGCTCTACAGTGTCCAAATTACCTGTGCCCATTACCTGAACTAAGATCGCCATAACTTCATTTGGAGCAGGGAAAACAGCTGTAATGGTTGCTGCTTCTTTGCGTACAGTGTCTACACATGAGAAGTAACAAAAGATATGAATGGCATAGAAGAATTTATCAAGTATTGATTCCAGATCAATGACAATCCTTCAGACCTGTAATTTCTTTGTATAAAGAAGAAAGCCCACGGGCAACATTGCTAGGACTAGGCTGAGAACCGTTGTCACCAAGCACCAGCCTAATGTCGGAATTCATGACTTCCACATCAATAAACATTGGACGTGTTGCCACATAATGTTGCATAGCACTCGTACCCCTGTTAAACTGAAAGTCAAGAAGAAGAAAAAGAACATTAAGAAACACATACAAGAGTAGAACTAAACATCCATTCCTTATATAACTGGCTTATCTACAATATAAGAAGCATGTAACTACTAGCTACGTAAGAAAGGTTTTTTGTTTCGGAAAACAGGTTTTCCTACTAGACTGTAAAGCTGCATGCTTCAGAATAAAGAATTCACCTGGGACAAAATCTTAGCACATTCTGACATGGTGGATAAATCTCTCCGCTGTGATGCAGCATCAAACCGAGATAAAAGCCTGTTCTCCAATTCTACAACATTTTATTCAAATGTCACAATTGAATCCTCTTGAGTAAATATACAGAAAAACAGAGTTTAAACCAAATAGTTTACCATTACAGTAATCCTGAAGATTAGCAACTGCAACTTCAAGTCCTCGGCCAGGAGTTGCATTTCCTGCAGCTGCACTCGCACCTTGCCTTCCAATGTCTTCCTCAGCAAAGGATCCTGATATTGACAAGGAGAGCATCGAAATAAATTACAGCCTTATTTAACTGTAAATTTTCATTTTTCTGGAAGCAATAGAGTTAAAATAAAGCATCATATCACAGGTACAAAAAAAAAATGTTCAAACAGTCTCATTTTCAAGTAACATATAGCTTGCACATCATACGTAATTTCTGAGCGATAGAAGCAGCCTCAGCTACGCGGCTATCATCGGAAAACAAAGCGGAAAGCTCCATAAGATCCCCTGGGCTGCCGTTGAACTCCATCAGGTACTGCATTATTGAACAATGATTACTTTAAGCATTCATCTAACTAACTAAGCGACCAACCTTACAACATAGATGCGCTCTTACCTTTATAAGCTCTATCGTCTGGCTAGCAGTTTCCCGCTGAGCATCTGCACTCTGACAAAGGAAACATGTGTCAATATTGGATAGATCACCAATAGTTGGTCACATGCGTCGGGATCAATTTTACCTGCAAATGATCTCCTATTTTTGCAGCGGTCTGTCCAACACTTGAAATACGACCGTCCAACCTTGCAAAGCTCTCAAACAGACCGTCCACACCTTTCTCTATCTAAAAGAAGAATCCAATTATACCTATTGCACAAATGTTCGAGGTGTCGAATATCTAGTATTTGTCTACCAACCTCAGTCAGTGTCTTCCGGTGTTTGGAATCTTGGGTTGAAACTTCCTTCTTTAGCGTGTCGAGCCTTCCATCAACCTTTTAAGATATTTAACAAAAACCTTGGATATCAGAACGATGAAAAGAAAAAACAAGGGATTGTAGTCGACGTAGAACCAAGAAACTCACGCACCTGCTTCCGCAGATCAATCAACTCCTTGCAAGCATCTTTGAAGAGAGACAAGAGACCATCTACCTCAGGGAAAAAAGGAGCAGAAGACATCTGAGACAACTTGGATGCATCAGATTGCCCACGCAAATGCCCATTCGCCAAACCATCAATTCCACCAATGTTGCCGTGGCCATCACCGGAATCTGCTTCTTCTTCTAGGAATGACGGCAAGAGGTCGTTTACCAGGTTCCCGAATAATGCATCGAATGAAAAATCACCCTGCGAGTGAACAAAATTTCAAAATCACTTATGATTCAAAAGTAAAGCATAAGCAACCAAAAGCTGAATCCTTACCTTGAAGTCTTCAATGTCGAGAATCAGAGGGACAGAGTTAACAGAGGATGATCTGGCACCTCGTGCTCTGATTCCTTCTTTCATCTGATAAAATCCACAAAAATGAAGTTGAAAATTTTGAAGAATTAAGTCTAACAGATCAAAGGAATATCCAACAAAGACGTCTAATAGGAGAACAGGAAGGAAATGCTTAGGAATTTGGAAAATTTTCAGTGATAGTTTGATCAAAATTACTGAAACATACATCTCCTCGGTTCAGTAATCACCACCTGTAATCGCTGATTTCTCCACCGAATGAAACAAAGTCAGATCCGAGCCTAAGAACGACCCATCGAGGGGAGAATGAAAAGGAAAGGAAATGATAATACGGAGCAACTAAATGGCGGTGAGGGGCGAGATCTAGCCGGCGGAATCCGGTAACTGGAGAGAGAGAAAGACGGAGAAAGAGGAGCCGGTCTAATTTGACGGAGTTGTGGATTTTGTTTTCAGATGTCAATTACGGATAAAACCCAAAGCTCGATTCGGCCCAGCTCCGAAATCTACCGAATTCGCGATTATAAAAATATACCGAACATTTCGGACTAAACCTGTTTGGAATTCTCCGGTTTGTCTTTAGCGGTTCGAACTTCGAATAACAGCTGAAAATGTTTTTATAATTCGGGAAAGAATTTTGAAAAATAGAAAAATGTATGTAAACGCAAACAAGATGAATTGCCTGACGAATAGAGTGAGAGTTTGCATTGACTAATCAAATCGTTGGACAATTTGGCTCCAAAGTAAGATACCTGAGGAAAATAATTGACGAGGGAATGTGAAATTTAGTTATAAATCTAACTAACTAAATCTAACCAAAAGAAACATTTGGGATGCAATAGTTTACTAATGAAAACGTGCCTTTCAAAGTTCAAAAAGTAACGGAATTTTCTTTAAGAGAAAGAAAAGAGTTTCGGATTCATGTAGCGTAAACAATTAATGAGAGCATTTGAACGTTTTATGGTCTTAAGCAACTCTTATAAATAAAGAGAGCTCAAAGCAATGGAAGCAACATCCAAAAAACGTGATAAAATCTGAGTCAAAAGAGAATGGCCACCATTGTTTCCCCTCCACATTTCTCCCCTGTCGAAGACGCTGAAAACATCAAGAAGGCTTGTCAAGGTCCTACATCTTTTAAGTGTTTCAAGAATTATGTGATTCAAATTTCTTTATATTTCCTATATTCCTCTTCTTTCTTTTATTTTGGGTTTCAGGATGGGGAACCGATGAAAAGGGCATCATCTCGATCCTCGGACACCGGAATCTGTTCCAGAGGAAACTCATCAGACAAGCTTACCATGAGATATACCATGAGGATCTCACTCACCAGCTCAAATCTGAGCTCTCTGGCGATTTTGAGGTCTACATTACATTCCACATGCTAATACTCTGTTTCCACTAATTCACAAAACGCAAATAGTTTAATATCAGAAAATTCCTGCAGAGAGCTATATGCTTGTGGGTCTTGGATCCTCCGGAGAGAGATGCTCACTTGGCCAACGTGGCACTTCAAAAGACTGTTCCTGACTACAAGGTCCTTGTGGAGATTGCCTGCATGAGATCCCCTGAAGATCTATTAGCTTCAAGACGCGCTTACCGTTCCCTCTACAAGCGTTCTCTTGAAGAAGACTTAGCCTCTCGTACCAATGGCGACATCAGGAGAGTGAGTTAACTTTTTTTTTTCCCCCCGAAAACGTTACTTTGTTTTAACTGATCTTGAAACGCTTGATGCGTTTTGAGTTGATGCAGCTCTTGGTTGCAATGGTGTCTGCTTATAAATATGACGGAGAAGAGATCGATGAGACGCTGGCGCAATCAGAGGCTGAGATTCTCCATGATGAAATCCTCGGTAAGGCCATAGATCATGAAGAAACCATCAGGGTGCTTAGCACAAGGAGCAGCGTCCAGCTCAGCGCGATCTTCAACCGCTACAAGGATCTCTATGGCAGATCCATCACGAAGGTATACAAGCATTTCTTACAAGTTCTTCTTCATGACATTGTCATTAATGAAATGTTTGATGTCCAGGATCTCCTCAATCACCCTACAAGTGAGTACCTAAGTGCACTACGTGCAGCCATCAGGTGCATCAAAAACCCTAACCGGTACTACGCAAAGGTAAGATACAAACCATAGAGCCTTTTCAGTTGTTAAACGTGATCTCTAATCTTATCTTTCTTCGCCTAGGTGTTGCGTAATGCGATCAATTCAGTGGGGACTGATGAAGATGCTCTGAGCCGTGTAATGGTCACAAAAGCAGAGAAGGACCTGAAGCAGATCGCTGAGCTGTATCTCAAGAGGAACGATGTGTCTCTCGATCAAGCCGTAGCAAAAGAGACATCAGGGGACTACAAGGCCTTTCTTCTAGCCTTGCTTGGACATGGAGAAGCTTAGAGTTGGTCTTCAGATTAACAATAGCGTTTCTTTTAATTTCTGCTCAAGTAATAATAAAGTATCTGTTTTGATGCTTCCGCAAATCAGTAATGTTGTTGTTTAGCTATATTCATAGTAAAACTGGAATTACAAATCATCCATTTTCGTCGAATAAAGACCATTTTTTCCAATCCCACAAAGAAACTAAACAAACTCAATGAAGCTCAGGGAAACATCATGCACATGTATGGGATAGGTTATTTTCTTTATCATTATCTGCGTATTAAGGCTGTAGCAATACCAGCAACAATCCCAACAGCAGTCACAGCGATTCCAACGCCAATAACACCATCTGCTTACAGAAATTTCGTAATATGATTAAGAGAAAGTAAATGGATGAGGAAGAGAAATGGCACAAGTAATTAAACCATATGGCTACCTTTCACAATACGGTCCTCGATAGCCATTTTCAGTGTCTGAGCTTGTCTCCACTCTGGTTCAACCTAGAAACCAAAGAGAAACGAAAAACAGAGCATTGATCATCAATACATCGTCATTAACAATAAGATATTCAACACTAATCGACTATACATGGATCAGATGATCAAACCTCCAAACATCGTTCTATACTTTCCCGGCTTCGTGAATAGTCACTGCTTCGATAGTACCCAATCGCGAGGAGATATAGCTTCTCTCTTAGTTTCATTGGACTTGTATCACTAACCACCGAAGCTGCATAACAAACCGAAACATTTTGCTGCGATCAAACCAGTAAATATGGATAAAAAAAAAAAAAAATTCTGAGATTTTATAGATTTAATTTCCACAGAGAAATGTAACACGTATACCTTCAAGTATCGCTATCCCACGCTGTATATCCACTGGTGTCTTTGAATGAACAAGAGCCCATGAGAGTCGCATGATGCATTCCTTCTTAAACCCTTCGTCTTGACCTTTCTGAGCCTCTGCATATTCTTTCTCACATCCCTGAGAATGACTTCAAATCATGAATAACGCCTTACAAGTTGTGTATGCATGTCAAAATTCAAGTCATACACACAAAAACGGTGATAGAATCGAAAATCGGAGGAAGTGGATTCAAAGAGGTGTCAAACAATTGGAAAAATCGTATTCTCGATGTTCATATGAGGTCGATTTGAGGAACAAAAAAGGCGAATCATAAAACTTACCGAGATGATGTCGGTATCGCACAAGGGGAACTCATCGGCGGAGCCGGATGCAGCGCCGGAGAAGAAGCCGGACACGGAGTCGACAAATTTTCCGATCGTCGCGTCCATTTCCTGTCCCAGCAGCTACAGTTTTTGAGTTTCGTGAAGGCTTCCTCGGCTTTGGAGGAGGACCAACCCTCTCCCTTTTGCAATCTTTCTTTGACGAATTTAGACTTTGACAGAGACGAAAGTTTATCGTATTATCGGGTATTTTCTTTTCTTTTTCTTTTTGCCAACTATTTTCAACCGCTTATTAAACCACCGTTAAACATTCGGTTTAGAAAGCATGAACTTTTTTAAACACAGAACAAAAATTATGATGGGCCAAATTTTTTGTGAAATGTAAATTATAAGAAACTAAAACACTACAAAATAAAATATCAAATTCCTGATTCGTATTCAGAGAACCAATCATTCATTATTTATGTAATTTGGAAAATAAAGATATGATTTAGAAAATAAAAAGGAAAATTTCGATTTCATGTCATCAAACTTATCCTGAAAGAAACTTGGCGGAAAATAATTGTTTCGAAAAAAAGATAACTATCTGTGAGATAAGATTTGTGATATTATATAGTCACATATTCATTAACTTAAGAAAAACAAATCAAAAGGTAATAATTTCAAGTTGTTTTTATACTTCAAAAGAGAGTATTTTTCGTTTACTAGCTAGCGATAACGTGAGTTTTTTGTGTGTTTTCTCTTTCTATTGTGTGATTCTACACGTTTATCGTTTGATTGTATTCTAATTTGTTGTTGTTAATGTCGTAGATTTTTTTGAGTAGAGTTTAATTGATGAGACTATTTGAAGAACAACTCGATGAAACTATTCAGACAACAAATCACTGTCAATAACGTGAGTCTTTTGTGTTTCTTTCTTTTGTCGTTTACTGGCGATAACGTGAGCCTCTTGTGTTTCTCTCTTTCTATAGCGTGATTCTATACGTTTTCGGATAGCTTGTTTTCTAATTTGTCTTTGTTAATGTTGTAGACTTTTTGGAGTAGAGTTTAATTGATGAGACTATTTGGAGAACAACTCGTTGAAACTATTCGGACAACAAATCACTGTTCACGATTTATTGTCTGGTAAGTTATCACTAATTTCAAACTTGTCCAATCTTTTTTTTCTTTGATTCAATAGCCTCCCATCCTAGATTTTTGTTTTGTTTCAATTTGAAAAAATATTAGAAATATATTATAAGTTTTATTTCAAAAACAATATTCAAAATATATTAAGTTTTTATTCATATATTTCATTTTTGATAGAATAACAACATATCAATAAAAATAAAATTCTATCTTTTTTTACCACTCATATTCTCTCAAAAGTAATTATTTAGCATATAAACAGTTACATAATGTAAATAACAAAAGTAAAATCTATGATGTAATAGTAGATACAGATCTAGATCTATATGAACAATGGTTTGAAATGGATATATGTTGGTTTTTATCTCTAACATTGGTCTTAATTATGCATTTAAATGTTTGTATTTTCTGTTAAATATAAAAACACATAGTTATAAAATTAATTAGATAATTTATTTGGCATAAAATAAAATATGCTGAAAGTTGTAAATATTTTTATATATAAAAGCACATTTAAAATACAAATAGAGTACTAATCAAATTTTTTTTGAAGATTGAATTGAAGTATCTTAGAAGTTAGAAGATAATTTTTCTTTTCATTTCGATCTTAAAAAAAATGTAAAATTTGGAGATAATTTAATAAACTTTGTACATATCACACATGTAATGGCATAGAAGTTAGTTGGAGTACCTGTATATCTTATCATATAAAAGGTAACAAAAAATGCATATCACACACTTTGACCGGAAAAGGTGAAAAAAGCAAAAGAAATTAGAAGTTACAAAAAAAAAAAGAGGAGTGTGGGAGGGAGAGAGATGGCCTTCTCTTCCTAACATTGACCAAACCCGTCTTGTTTCTTCTGAGTGAGAGAGAATTCGTTAAGCGTTTCTCTGTGGAGAATTCTCTTTCTACTTTCCTTCCCCCAAAGAGAGAGAGAGAAATAAGAGAGAGAATCTCTGTCCCTCTCTCTCCTGCACGTTGTAAGCGTTTCTAGGAAGAAAAAAAAGAGAAACGCAGCGCCTTTTTTTTTCTCCCCTTTTTGCTGGCTAATGGGGTTTCTTTGTTTCGCTGGTTTATAGATTCGCTCGTTTCGTCAAGCGAAAGCAAGCTCACAGCAATGGAGTTGGTGGGGAAAGTCGTTAGGAAGGAGATCGAGGGGTTTGGGTTTTGCTCCGGAACGGTTCGATCTCACGATTCGTCTGGATTTCTCGAGATCGTTTATGAGAATGGTGTTACGGAGATTTCGGAATTGGCTGAGGTTGTTGCTCTCGTGATGGGAGAAGGGAAATCCCAGGAAGCTCCGGTCCAAGTGAAGCCGCGAGTTGGTAAGAGGACAAGGAAGCGGCCTCGGGTCGAGAGGATTGATGAGATCAAGCGAGACAGCTCTGCCGGAGGGCAGGATGAGGTAAATGTCATGAGAAATGTCGATTTGAATGATGGAGTTACGGAGAATTCGGGGGTTAGTGATTGCTTTGGTGTTGATTTGAGAGGGAACGTTGATTTGAATTGTGGTCCTGTGGGAACCCTAGGTGGTTCGACATGGAAGGAGCCTGGGATGGATTTGAATAGGTCTGTGCCGGAGCCTAGAGCTGGGTTTGATCTGACTACCGGGTTGGATTGGAATTTAAATGAAGGTTTAGGTTTGATTAACGTAAATGTCGACTATGAGGAGAATCTTAGTGACAAAAGGACGGGATATATTGATCTGAACATGGATCCCAGCTGTGATTTGTACAATGCTGGAGTCTGTGATTTGAATGCGCCGAAGAAGAAGAAGGGAGGATTTGATTTGAACTTGGAGGTTAGCGTGGAGAATTGCAACGAAGACGAATTCATTCAAATGAATGGAAATGGTACAGGTCAAGGAATCAACATGCAGGGTGCAAATGGTGTCCAGGATAATCTTGAGACTGGAGAATATAAAGAAGTTCATGTTGCTGAAGTCTCACGCGCTGAGCTTTTGGAGGAGATACGGAAGCAGAACATTGCTTCACTACAAGATCTCAATACTCCTAACTCTAATGGGGTTGAGCGGGATCATGATCGGCCTGAGCCTGATGCTAAGAATGAGGTTCTCTCTGATAGGGAAATTTCGGATGAATATACAAGTGGTAGGAGGAAAAGAAGAAAAAGCTTGGAAAATCCCAATTTCACGATGAGAAGAAGCGCTCGTAGGATGTCAGCTCGATCTCTTGTCAATAGCACTGTTACAGCTTGCTTAGCTGACGAAGTATCCCCTTCTCCGTCAGTTAGTAGTTTGACAGACGAGAAAACTTGGGTCGTTGATGGAAAATCTGAGAATATATTTGTGCTTCCGCCAAAGCCACAATTACCTCCATCATCAGAGACTTTGAATTTAGATGGTCTTCCCATACTTGATGTCTTTAGTGCTTACTCTTGCCTGAGGTCCTTCAGTACTTTGCTGTTTTTGAGTCCCTTTGAGTTGAAGGATTTTGTGGAAGTGCTGAGGTGCATGTCTCCTAGTCTATTGTTCGATAGCATTCATGTTTCTGTCTTGCAAATATTAAGGAAACATTTGAAACAACTCGTTGCTGAAGGTGACCTATCAGCCGCTGCTTGCCTGAGGTATGCTTGTTATTTTCTTTCTTGCGTAATGAAGCTTCTCTTGTTTTGGTTCTCATGCTTTGCTGGTCGTGTGTTAAATGCAGGAGTCTTGATTGGGATACTTTAGATGTGGTTAATTATCCCCTTTTTGTGGCGGAGTACCTGCTATTTTCTGGGTCTAAGGACAACGATGGAGTGGATCTAACTCGGTTTAACTTTTTCAGAAATGAGTATTTCAGACAGCCCATGGATTTGAAGATTAAGATACTTAGCCGTTTGTGTGATGATATGACACAGGCTGAAGTTGTGAGATCAGAGCTTAATAAAAGATGTTATGCAGCTGAGTTTGAAATGGAAATTGATAGGAAGACGAACACACAAGTGCGACGCAGAAAGCAAAATATGATGGAGCTGGCAGATGATTTTCCTTTGAATGATGAGGTCATCGATGGTCAGTTTGACCGGAACAGTGACGACTGTTATCTTTGTAAAATGGATGGGAACTTACTGTGCTGTGATGGTTGTCCGGCTGCCTATCATTCTAAGTGTGTCGGTGTTGCCAGTCACCTTTTGCCTGAGGGTGACTGGTACTGCCCTGAATGTTCATTTGATCGGCGTGTACCAGGATTGAAGCCTGTAAAGCAAATTCGAGGAGCAGAGTTTATAGAGATTGATCCCCATGGCCGAAAGTACTACAGCAGTTGTGGCTACTTATTGGTGTAAGTTTCTTTCTTTGATTCTCTTATCTAAGAAGGGTTAATGCATGATCTCAGTGGAATCAATTTTGTGGAGTTGCGTCGTAAATATATTTTTTTTTGTGTTTATTATGAACAGTAGCATTATCGACACATGTTGATTATATGCCATAGCTTGTAGGTGAAGGTTTTAGCTTTGAAAACATTACCCCAATAATAGCTAGCTGGATCAACTAAACTATGTAGGATGAACTAAAGCTTGCATATAACATGATAAGTTGGTTTGCATGTTTAGACATGTTTTGAATGCATTTTTTACCCTCAGTGTATGCAAATGTGGAATGTTCCTTATTATCTAGTTCTAGGAACGTTTTTCATCTGTTGATTTTAGGAATTGCTATATCTCTTCATAGGTTGGCTGATGTTGTCCACTATGAATTTGCAGGATAGATACAGCTGACCCAGGCTCATTGAACTACTACCATGTAAATGATGTGATCCTTGTATTGGAGCAGCTCAAGTCATGCGATAGTTTATATACTGGCGTAATAAAAGCAGTGAAAAAACACTGGGATATCCCTGTTGGGCTGAAAAGGACAACCAGCGGTGTGAATTCACAAATGTCGATTTGCTTTGATAAGTCAGCCAAAGGAATGACTACTTCTATTGATGGGTTTAAGGCTCCTCTACGAGCTCCAGAAAAAGAGCCAACATCTGGAGTTAAGAAAAGGCTGGACGAAACATGCAGCAATGGAGGTTCACATAATCATTGTCATAGGACTCGTCGGAAGATATCAGGTTCAGCTACTGGGCTAGATATCCTTAATATAACTTCTGAAGGATCTGCTGAAACGGTACAAAATGGTTTGGTTGTCCAGAGTCCTCATGAGCCAGCACCATCAGGCATTTTGGATCTCATGAAAGAGTCAAATTTGGATATCCATTCGTCTTCCCATTCTTTGGTTAGAATGAACACAAGGAAAGGACCGGACGTGCAGAGTGACACAGGCTACAGAAACCAGTACATATTTGCTCAGATGACTAGAGCAATTTCTGAAGAGATGATGCGTAAGTCACCTATCCCTACCGATGATGTGAGATCTGATGAAGAGATAGCCTCTACCCAGGTGAAGACTATATTGATGAAAACCACCAAATTTCAATGGCGAAACATCCAAGGCCTCTATCTAGATGCATGGAAAGAAAAATGCGGCTGGTGTCATTCTTGCAAATCGGAGGATGCCGGTGGTGCGACAAATTGTTTGTTTAACATGAGTCTCGGGACTTTACGGGGTCCTTCAGAAAGTGAAGTTGCTAACAGTCAATCTACTGATAAGAAAAGTCATCTTATGCCTATCATATGCCAGATGTTATCTATGGAAAGTCGACTGCAAGGTCTTTTGGTTGGTCCATGGTTGAATCCACAGCACTCCACGATCTGGCGTGAACACATTCTGAACGCATCAGATATATCAAGCTTGAAACATCTATTAGTTGAAGTAAGTTTTTCTCCTGAAAATAAGTGGTGGTATTGAATAATTTCTAAACTGAATAATTGATTTGGCAATATATCAAAACTCTGAACTAACCCAAGCCGAAGCTGTCATATTCAAATTTCGTCATTTTGGTCTGCTACTACTTAGAACTTTATTTTTGGTTCGTTTACTTTTTCTTCCTACCTGCAAAAGTAAACAAAGAATAGTTTCTATTCACTTTTTTTACTGTGTCTAGGACTGTTGAATGTATTGCTACTTCTCCATTTGATGAAGACTTAACTATCTGCAGAAGTCTTTTAAGTAGATTTCTTGAGCCCTTGATTGTTGTGTAGTGCACTAGTGATTGATCTAGGCGTGTATCAGTTTTTCATTTCCTAATGAAGATTTTGTGAATTACCTTTGCAGTTAGAGGCGAACTTGCATCATCGTGTTCTTTCACTTGAGTGGCTTAACCATGTCGATTCTGCCGTAGAAATGGGCTCAGCTAAACACATTCTCATTGCGACACGATCATCGTCAAAGTCTGCTATTGGTAAAAGACGGGGGACATTGTTGGAGTCTGGGGTTAACCCTACTGCAAAAAAAAATGGTGGATTTACCATGTGTTGGTGGAGAGGCGGCCGACTTTCACGGCAATTATTCAACTGGAAGGTTTTACCTCGCTCTTTGGTCTCGAAAGCGGCTAGACAAGGTTTGCATATTCTCTTTGTTCTTGCTTTCGCGGTTGTTCTTATACTGTCTTTAACTATTCTTTGTTTCTCTCACTTCCATTTAACTGTTTCATTCTTCATGCACTCTACACTATGCAGGTGGAAGTATGAATATTTCAGGAATACTGTATCCTGAGAATTCAGAGCCCGCTAAGAGAAGCCGACGTGTTGTGTGGGAAGCAGCTGTTGGGTCATCTACGACTTCAGAGCAGCTCGGTTTTCAGGTAATATACACTTGGTCAAGCTGAATTACCTGAATTTTATTCTTGTTTCGCATGTTGAAGTTTCCAAGGGTGTGTTGGTAATGCACATCCTGACAAGTATTTCTGTTTCCGTTTGGCCTACCCATGAATGTAGATGATATGAGATCCGTTAAATTATTCATCTCCTCAAATTGCTCTAAAGTAGATTTAATCTTTTGAGATCCACATGGTCATAGCATTGTCTCCTATAAATATGTCTACTTGTGGGATACTTTTTAGCCTTGGACGATTTTCAGCTAATAATTCAGTGATTTACAGGTGAGGACACTCCACTCTTACATAAAGTGGGATGATATTGAAAACAGTCATCTTATCCCTGCATCGGACAAAGAATCCAAAAAATCTGCCAGGCTGTTCAAAAAGGTGATTGTCCGTAGGAAGTGCATAGAGGAAGAAACTGTGAAATATCTCCTTGACTTTGGTAAAAGGAGAAATGTTCCGGATGTTGTGTTGAAGAATGGTCGCATGATTGAAGAATCCACGAGTGAAAGAAAAAAGTTCTGGGTAAATGAATCAGATGTGCCTTTACATCTTCTGAAAGGATTTGAAGAGAAAAAAGCTGTTCGAAAAACTAGTAAGCCAGGAGGCACTTTCAGAAATTCTGAGATAGACAAAGTACGGCAAAGGTCCTCAGAGGGAAGAGGATTCTCGTACCTATTTGAAAGGGCAGAAAGATCCGAGTCCTCTTTGTGTGAGCAGTGTAAGAAATATGTGCCTTTGAGGTATGTACTAATCACAACCCTTTTTTGTCTTCGGAAGTCACTTGGACTCTGCTTAGATCTTAATAGCATGACATTTGTCCTACAAAAATATCTTTTACTTCTCTTTGTTTGTTGAGTAATGATCTTTCTTAACTGCTTATTTGATGGTATTTGTTTTTCTTTAATGACAGTGATGCTGCGTGCTGCCACATCTGCAAAGGTGAGTCTCTTTTGCTGTTTCTTTTTTCTTTGTTAAAGAGTTTCTTCTTTGCAGAAGCTATGCTTGCGTAGGTAATCTATAAGAACATAGCCATACACAACACAAACGATATTGATATTGGCTATGATAAAAATTTCAGGATCATTTCACAAAAAGCATATCAAGAGGGCGGATAAGGAAGGCATGTTCATCTGTCTTCCTTGCAGAAGTGAAGTTCTTGCAAAAGAACAACCCGTTGTACGGAAAAGAGGGCGGCCCCCAGGGAGTTTCCGTAAGAAAATTGGAGTTCAGACACAAAAGCGTAAAAAGGTCGTCATACCTGCTCGCAAATCAACTCGGCTAATGAAGACTAAAACCTCACTGGCAGAGAAAATTTCCGTTCGGTTGAAGAACCATAAAAAGGTTGTTGCAAGCAAACCATTGCGGCGTTCAGGCAGGAGACCGAAACATGTTGTTCGCTTGCAGGATGAGAGTAAAGTTCCTGAAGGGAGTAAGAAACGGAAGCTGGAAACCAAAAGAGGCAGAGGCAGGCCTAAGAAAATAAAACAAGAGATTTCCATAAGAAATAAGAGAACAGAACGGTGCTGCAGCTATTGGTCGAATGGACTCCTCTTATCCAGAAAGCCTGGTGATGAACGTGTCAACAAGTTCCGGAGAGATAAATGTTTTGTACCTTCGGAGAACTCGGGTTCTGATCATGATCCACCTAAGTGTCATTTATGCGGCTCAACTGAATCGGAGTCTGGATCAACTTCCATCGCTTGCGAAATCTGTGGAGGTAATTCATTTTCTAAATTCTTCTTTGATTCACCGTGATTTGAATTGCAAGAGTTGGTTTCCTTTTGTATCTCAGCTTCTTGCTTGTAATGTTTGTAGAGTGGTACCATGGAGATGCATGTGGGATTAACGAGGAGAATTCAAGTATGGTGATTGGATTCCGGTGCCATCTCTGTCGCAAAATGTCTTCTCCCACCTGTCCACAAATGAGAGCTACTACATCCCCTGTCCCATCCTAAGCTGTAAATTTGCTAAAGGGACTGATAGAAAATTCTTAGGCTGGGGATTGATATAAGTTGGAGATGTCTATACAATAATGGGAGAAGAGTATGAGTAGAGAGGATGGAGGAGAAGCAGAAGCAGAGGAGGAAACAGTTTGGTGGTAGTATGAAGTTAGTTTGGCTTTGTTGGGACTGCTAACTTGGATGAGTAGGTACTAAAGTGAAATGGTTTGACTTAGAATTAGAGTGAACAAAAAGGGGGAAATTTAAGAACCAGAGTTGATTTATAAGGTTTCATTTTGCTTTTCAGAATGGAGGGAGTCATTTAAACTAGTGAATGCATGTAAAGAATATTTGATTCCATTTTCTATTAAAAATCCATTTGTATCAGTGTGCTTTAGCTTCCATTTAGTAATTTTTGGACCCGTCTCTCTTAATGACAAAGGCAAATTACTTCTGCTCTCGTTAGTGTTCATTAAGCATGTTGGTTATTCTCTAAGCTTATATTGACCAATTTCTCTCTCGTCTTGATAATGTGCTTGAGATCATTAGGCAACCATGGAAGTAGTCATTAGGCAGCAAGAGAAGATGAGGTGAACAACTCAAATCAACTCAAATTTTTTTGAACCAGTGAGTTTGTTTGATTGAGGCTTATTGCATTGTACCGACATTCTCAAGAGAAAAACTTTATTGATCAGACAAGATAGGATATAAAGACCAGATTCATACTGATAAATTAATCCAGAACTCTATAAGACTATAACAACACTACCAGTAAACACAAAGCATCTTAGACTTGAGAAACAAAACACAGCAGAAAATGAGATTTGTGTCAGTTGGTCGACGTGAGCTGCCTGAGATTGTACTTTCCCAGCTCCTTGTACTTCTCTACCACTCCAATCAAGCAAACTGTCTGTAAATTGCAACACAAAAAATCGTAAGTTTTATAACAAACAAATCTGTTAATATACAAAGCATCAAAGTTTTATCCCTGGTCACCTTAACAATTTCCACCACGATCGACATATCAGGATTGCTCAGATCAACTTTGTGAGGGGCAGGAATAGATTGCGCCACTGTGCTGATTACTTTCATCCTATCAACCCCCGTGTTTGCACGCGATCCATACAGCACAGCAAACTGCAACAATGTTCAGGCAGGTAAAGCAATAGTGGTGACGACGGTTTAAATACAGTTAGTGGCAAAGATCTTTTACCTTGCGGGGATTATCGGTCTCAATGGGAAAATACTGTTCAACAAGAGGCTTGATGGCTCTTGAGATTTCTTCCTCTGAAGGATAACACGACACCTCAATTGGTAAAAGTCTTAGGATGAACCTAAAGCGTCACAAGATCAATAAATTAGCAAAAATCCAACAAAAGGGATAACAGTTATACAAAACTTGGTATGACGGAGTAAGACAAACCTTGACATATGCTTTTTGGTTGCTGCAGCAGAAGTCATTGCATGCTGTGCAATTTCTTTGGGACTTGGGTCACCATCTTTCCTTTTCATTTGGATGAAGACTATACCGTTGCAACCCGGATCTAACTTCATAAATCGTCTCTGCCAGTGTGAAGAAACCAATAAAGATGATAAGACACTTATGATACAAAAAGAGATAAGAACATAGAATTAAGAAATTTCTTTTGAGAGCTCCTCTCATTGACCCATAGATGATATAGCTTACCTTACTCTTGTCTCCGAGCTCTTTTAGTTCAGCATCAATCAGCTTATCAATAGACTTCTCTGCATTTTCGTTTACTTTTGCTGACGCATTTGCTTCTTCAATACATGGCTTCTTTTTGGGAGGTTCTTCGACACTGTTCTTTTGTTTCCCTTCTTCTTCTTCCTTCTTCTCAGTGTCGTTTTCTGCCAATTGTTTGACCTCACTTGACCCTTCAGTTGCTAATTCCTTCTCATTCACTTGATTATTACCGCCTTCACTTACTTCCGTCTTCTCCTCATCTCCTTTGTTTTCCTCTTTCTCGCCATTAGTGTCCTCATCTTCCTCCTCACCCTCATTCTCATCTTCATCCTCATCATCGCTATAGGAAAATGTGACCTTTTTGTTTATTGGTTTCTCAAGCAACCCAGAAGAATTTACTTTCAAGCCAGTCCCATGCACCAGCTCCTCAAAAAACTGTAACGTGAAGAGATTTACTATTAAGAAACATTCCAAAGATTCAAAGAACTGTTCAAACTTGAAAAACACTAAAAAAAAGCTCCTGAGAAATCTAAAAATTGGCATGAAAGATTCTTTGCATATAAAAGACGAGAAACCAATCAGAGAGAAACTCACTAGTGTTTATATTTGATCATTCTTTCTTTTGCTATAAACACACAAACTTTCGAATTTGTATACTAACCAATCAGAGGAGATCTAGGTGTTTTGAGAAGATAAATTACAAGGAAACCCAGAAACGCAATTCGACCACGAATCAGAGAGCTAGCTCAGTTGTTGAGGATATTCAGAAAACGTGGAAAAGAAATCAATTTTATGGAAGAAACAGTGAAACTACGCAAAGTATGAACAGCTGGACGGAGATGAAATCAATTGAAAACAAAAAGAGTGAGAAACTTTACGGAATCTATGACGTTAATAGCTTCATGAGAAGCTTGGAATTCGCGTCCGCCATCGCAGGAGATGAAAAAACCTTGTACCCCTGGCTTCAAAGGGTACGCACCCTTCTTCTTCGCTGGTCTCTGCACCAAAAAAAATCAAACAAAATTAACCGCAGATTCGTAGAAAAACGTGGTGTGGGTAAGATGAGAAGAGAGAGAGAAGGATAATGACATTTTGAGGGAGATAACGCTGCTTTCTCTTCTTGCTCTGGTCACCGGTAGCCATCGTCGGAGACGGAGAGCGAGGAGCGGTCTTTTTTTTTTCAGTCAAAAAAACAAAACACAGTGACAACACTGACAAGCTAACATTAGTAGGTCATCGCCGGTCCGGGCATATTGGGCCTGAGTCTTAGCCCATTAGCCAAAAACCTCGAGTTGGTTGATTTTGCCTAAAACCTCGAGTTAGCGTTATTTCAGTTCCTTTTTCTTCGACAAAGCTAACATATTTAATTTGAGATTAAGAAAAGGAAAAAAAAAATCAAGTCCTATTATTTAACGAGTAAATCATTCAAAACAGTGTGCAGTTGCATTTTTGTTACACTGCTGTTTATTTGTCGGGAAAAAAAAACTGACTGTAAATTCGATAGTCTACAGAAACATTTAAAGCTTCCAGGTATAACATTATAGACCAAAACAAAAAAAACATCCACACACACACTGACACACGTCTGCGGATTTGTGTGAATCTTCCATTAGAGTAACCCTCTTTCCCAAAGAGCAGCTTTCATCTCTTTCAGTGAATCTTCCATTTCATCACATATCTTGTGAGGATATGGTATGACCGTTGGATCAACTGCCAACGAAATTGTCATTTTTCCCGCATAACTTACGAAATGTATCAACAATGCCTATCAAACACAAAAACACGTCTGTGTGAAAAAACTTCATTCAGAAAATAAAAGCTAATCAATCATCTTATTTGAAAAAAAACTATGTACTTGTGAGTGTCCGTAACCGCTTGCAGCAATGTAAGAGATAGGATGACCACGGAAACTGATTTCTTCCATTGGGCCAACGACGTTTGAAATGCATGTCGTTGTGTTCATCACGTGTTGGTTGAATAATCTTGCTGTTACCTATATATAATGACAAGAATGTATTATATTTACCTAGCTAGCTCATCATTCCAAACAAACCTCTAATTATTTACCTCAGCTCCTAACACTTTGTGGCCGAGGTTTATCAGCCAATACGCTAGAGCGGCGTGATAAGAGTGCTTCTTTCGAGCCATGATGGATTTAGACATTTTTAAATAAACCAATGGATCGGTTTGTAAACTGATGGAGAAGGGCACTGTAATAAAGCTGAAGTGGTTTCCAAATCTGCATTTTGAATCCTTCGCCATCATCTCTGCCAAAGGCTTTATACCCCCAATGAAAAAAAGTTTATTGTTTGTTGACAATAGTTAAAGAGTTTTTTATTTGAATTTTAGGTGTATGTATATGTCTAACCTTGAAATCGATTTCTGACCTTAGATTTACTGTACAACCAGAACGAAATCGTATTCCACGTGGGAGATGATTCGGTTTGGATCCATCCTCCTCATTCTTCTTGTCTTGTTTGTCAAGAATCAAAATGTACATGTGAAACATTAGATATAGACAACAAGCAATTTTTTCCACTGTTTCATAATTAACGTATGCTTAGGGGGTATAATTAAACTATAGTAAGTTAGAACTCTTAATTATACATCATATATATATGAATATGATATTTACCGTATTGTTTGTTCAAGTAGCGAGAAAGAGAGGCTTGTGTAATTCCGACCAGAACATCATTTATAGTCTAGCGCAACACGTGGAAGAGGAAATAAATTAAGATCCATTGAAAGACAAAAGAGAAACACTCAAAGTCAAACTTAGTATATGAACACAAAGCGCAACGTACCATATTCATAGCGTTCTTTATAAGTTTTATGTCACCCAAAGAGACGATTCTGTGATAAAATCTCTTCGGATTACTCCCAACATCCTCGCCGCCTTTTAGAGGCGTGTTCGTATCCTTCAAGAACAACCCAGTCGCCACAAGAAGCAACATATCTACAATTGTATTCCAAATCAGCCTCATTGTAGAACCAATGGCAGTAAATAAGTACCACCTTTCTTTTTTAAGGTTGTACGACGCCGTTTGACGCCGTTTCAAGGAAGGAATAGAAGTAGAACACGTGTTGGTTGGGTCTGATGTTTTATGGGTACAAGCGAGCAAGAGAGAAACCATGGATGTTCCATCTCCCAAGGAATGGTGAGCTCTTAGTACACCGACTGCTTCAGCATCCGAGGTTTTGACGTTAAGGATATGAATGTCCCACAAGGGTCTTGACCTATCAAGAGGGTTAAAGGTGAGGCGTGAGATATAGTCACCAACGAAGCCGTCTCCATCTTCACCTATCTCTTCTGGATCTATGTATGGTACGACTAGATGGTCTTCTACATTAACTTGGGTCTCGATCCATTTTGCACCATTCTTAGACTGCGTAGTTAAGACAAATTTAGAAACAAAAAATTCATAAAAGTAAATTCTGAAACAGTAGAAACGTGTGTATGTAGATATGAATGTATACGTATAGGTACCAGTTTACAGTAGAAACGAGGATGCTTGGAGACATTATGCTTCAAAGCATCAAGAACAACGTCCGGTTTAATCTTGGTTTTGAAACCTATGGTGCTGACGGCGAAGTAGTCTATGCATGGCGACTGGAATACACGCGCCATTGGGCTGAGAGGCTCTTCCTCGTTCGTCATACTCATAACTCCACCCTCTCCTCTTCGATGTCTGTTTCTTCTCTCATGTCCCAATGTTAATTCAAAACGTAAGTATATAAGTGGTCTTTCAACAATAAAAATTTACAAGTGGTTGGAGAAAAATATATTGAACTGTTTTTTCCTGACTAGTATAATTAATACGGTATATTTTTTGCCAACAGATAACATGGTAACATTTAATGTGATTTTTGATTGAGGATTTACTATATATTGTTGCCAACTTATACCAACCCGAAACTTGTGTCGTGGGCAACAACATCGGGGAAAATTATAGTGTAATATTTTTTTCTGACAGTGGTGTAATTACTTTTTTTTTTTGTCAACTGGTAACAAGATAACATTTAATGAGATTTTTGATCGACGATCAGCTTCTTGTAATAAGGAAAGGGTATAATTCATTTTTGTTTGTATTTCTCAGTGACTGGGAACATACAGTTATTTTAGTACTTTTTTTGTCAAAAATGTTCAAAAGTCGCTAACGTTGACAAAGTCTGCAAGCAGCACCGGCGCATTTTCTTTATGTGACTTTTGTTTCTTGCACACTGAAAGATCGAGAACCCCTATCTTCATTTATTGAATACATTGGAATGCTAACAAACGTCATATTCGTAAAAAAACTCAAATCGCCTTTCTTAGACCAAAGACGAGAAAATTTATTTATTCTTCAAAACTCTATCGTATTGCATTTTTTTTTTTTGACAGCTAGCAATTGAGGGAGTAAAAGGAACAATTGCAAGAAAAACAATTCATTGGCGAAAGAGTAAACTCGTGTTATTTTACGAGTAAATCCAAATTACCAATCAATCAGAAGAGTGTGCAGTTGTATTTTGTTACACATAACACACGGACTGTTTATTGGACGGTTGAGAAAAAACACTGACTAAAAATTCGATAGTTACAGTCTTATACAGCATTTAAAGCTTCCAACACATAACATTTTAGACCAAAACAAATACAGTGGAGTATTAATACACTGACACTACGTGACACACGTCTGCGGATTTGTAATGGATAATAATGGGAAACGAGCCTTAGAGTAACCCTCTTTCCAAAAGAGCAGCTTTCATCGCTTTCAATGACTCTTCCATTTCATCACATAGCTTGTGAGGATCTGGTATGACCGTTGGATCAACCGCCAACGAGATTGTCATTTTTCCCGCATAACTTAAGAAATGTACCAACAAAGCCTATCAAACACAGAAACACGTGTGTGTGAACAAATTTTATTTAAAATATAAAAGAGAAGAAAATAAATGCTCATCACTTAACTTGAATTAGATGTATGCAACGAAAGAAACTACGTACTTGTGAGTGTCCGTAACAGCTTGGAGCAATGTAAGCGATAGGATGACCACGGAAACTGATTTCTTCCATTGGGCCAACGACGTTTGAAATGCATGTCGTTGTGTTCATCACATGCCGATTGAATAATCTTGCTGTTACCTATAGTGGTTGACAAGATTGTGTTATATTTTTTTTCTCATAATTCCAAACAAAAAGCTCATGGATCTTTTTATTTACCTCAGCTCCTAACACTTTCTGGCCGAGTTTGATAATCAAGTAAGCTAGAGCGGCGTGATAAGAGTGCTTCTTTCGAGCCATAATGGATTTAGATATTTTTAGATAAACCAATGGATCGGTTTGTAAACCGATAGAGAAGGGCAAAGTAATAAAGCTAAAGTAGTTTCCCCATCTGCCTTTTGAATCCTTCGCCATCATATCTGCCAAAGGCTTTATACCCCCCAAAAAAAAAAATATAGAGTAATGTATTGTTTGTTGACAATAAAGAGTTTTGATTAAAATTTGAGGTGTATATATGTATATCTCTAACCTTGAACCCCATTTCTGACCTTAGATTTACTGTACAACCTGCACGAAATCGTATTCCACCTGGAAGATTATTCGGATAGGATCCATCCTCCTCATTCTTTTTGTCTTGGTTGTCAAGAATCAAGATGTGCATGTGAAACATTAGATATAGATCCGACACGCATTTTTTTCCCCATTGAATCAGATTTAACTTATGCAAACTATAGTAATACACCATATATATACTGAATTTGATATTTACCATATTGTTGGTTCAAGTAGCGAGAAAGAGAGGCTTGTGTAATTCCGACCAGAACATCATTTATAGTCTAGCAACAAGTGGAAGAGGAAATTAATATCCATTGAAAGAAAACAGAGAAACACTCATCAAAGTCAAACTTAGTATATGAAGACAAAGCGTAACGTACCATGTTCATAGCGTTCTTGATAAGTTTGATGTCATCTAAAGAGACAGTTCTGTGATAAAATCTCTTTGGATTACTCCCAACATCCGGGCCGCCTTTTAGAGGTGTTTCTGTATCCTTCAGAAACAACATAGTCGCCACAAGAAGCAACATATCTACAATTGTATTCCAAATCAGCCTCACTGTAGAACCAATGGTACTGAATAAGAACCACCTTTCATTTCTAAGGTTGTACGACGCCGTTTGACGCCGTTTCAAGGAAGGAATAGAAGTGGAAAGCTTGTTGGTGGGGTCTGATGTTTTATGGGTACAAGCGAGTATGAGGGAAATCATGGACGTTCCATCTCCCAAGGAATGGTGAGTTCTTATTACACCAACTGCTTCAGCCTCCGAGGTTTTGACGTTAAGGATATGAATGTCCCACAAGGGTCTTGACCTATCAAGAGGACTCCACGTGAGGCGTGAGATATAGTCATCAACGAAGCCTTCTCCATCTTCACCTATCTCTTCGGGATCTATGTATGGTACGACTACATGTTCCTCTACGTTGACTTCTGTCTCGATCCATTTTGCACCATTATCAGACTGTGAAGTTAAGAAAAATGGATACCCGACACTATATCAAATCACAAGTAAAACTTTACATGTATAATAAGAGGTGAAAGTGTTGTAGAAAATATTAGGATATCCAACTTATATCTCAATGAAATCATTCCATGAAGTAAACGTTTTTAAACCAGATCATATAATAGAACGTGTCACGTGTGTATGTAAAAGCGGGTACCAGTTTACTGTGGAAACGAGGATGCTTGGAGACATTATGCTTCAAAGCATCAAGAACAACGTCCGGTTTGATCTTGGTTTTGAAACCTATGGTGGTGACGGCGCAGTAGTCTATGCATGGCGACTGGAATACACGCGCCATTGGGCTGAGAGGCTCTTCCTCATTCGTCATAACTCTCCCTCTCCTATTGGATGTTTGGTTCTTCTCTTATGTCTCAATGTTATCAAAACGTAAATTTATAAGTGGTCTTTAATTTCAACAATGAAAACTTACAAGTGGTTGGAGAAAAATATACTGAGCTGTTTTTTTCTCACTAGTGTAACTACTTTTTCATTTTTGTCAACTGATAAGATGGTAACATTTAATGTGATTTTGATTGAGGTTTTTATCATATTATTGTCAACTGACTCTTGTGTCGTGAACTCGTGAGCAACCACACAATTGATCACTATCACATTCAGGCTTAACTTTCTTATTAAATGGGTGATATGGAGTGTACGTACACAGAAAAGGTGCCGGTGCTGCTTGCACATCCATGTTGTTGCTGTCTTTCGAAGACCTTTAAGAAAAAAGGAACATCAGAGATCAGACCCTACAACTGGAAGACGAGTTCCAACAAAATAAACGTTTGAGGATATTATTATTTTTATTTATTTCTGCAAGTTGTGAACGTCACTGTACTTTGTCTTTTCGTCATAAACGATGTTAAATCATCGAGTAATCAAACATGTTTTAGAAATCAATGAATTGAGACCTGAGAGAGTCTACAACCAAAAGGGTTAAACAACATGAACCGCAAACGAGAAAAAGGCCACGTCGTCTCTATTCACGACCTCACGAACCTTCAACACTCCAAATTAAAAAATCTTGAACCCAAAAAAATTAAATCAAATTTGTTTTAGGCAAGTCGCCTTCAGTCATCCACTTCACGTTTCTGTACAACGTTTCTTCACCGTATTGGACATGGAGAACTATGGAGAAGTCTTTCCCTCACGAACAAAACTAGTATACAATAGAAAGATCTCTCCTTTCTCTCCATTACCTGACTAAATTTCTGCACATCTCACTCAAGTCTTCTCATGTTTATCGTGTGATCTGTTGTATATTCTCCATGAGTCTGAGCATTTTGATCATACTAACCACCCCTTACCGGCCTGAATATTTGCGCGCAGGAGGCCTCAAACTTTTGCTGCTGAGGAATTTGGTGAAAGATGTCCTTCGATGTGCTTTTACAGTTACAACGGGTATCTGTTTGATCGGTTTGGTTCAAACCACCTCGGAGCTGATGGGTCCCTACGTGAACTCCAGTTTCTTCTGCTGCTACTGAAAGGATAATGAACATCTGGCTCTGCTCCAGATGTGCTGCTTCCATCACGTCTCTTTTGCGCCTTATGCATCTCTTCTTCCAGATCATACTGAGAACGCTGCAAAAGGCACCATATATAACATTAAAACTACGCCATTCTTTAGGAAAATTATCATCAAAACTTAAATCGCCTTTCTTAGACGAGCAGCGAGAAAATTAAAACAGAGACGAGTTGAGATGTTTTTACCTTTGCAGGGTCTGAAAGTATAGCATAGGCTTCCCCAATCATTTTAAATAACTTATCGGTATCTCTGTGCACTTCTTCTCCTATCTCCTTCCATAGCCTCTCATCTTTGGTCTCATTCCTTGTTAAAGACTGACCAGCCTACAACAAGTCAAGAACAATTTTATGCACTTATTTTTGCTTTCCGCATTCAAAATCGGTTAAGCTGAATCCACAAACACGCAAAGTTAACAGTTTCAGCAAATGAATTATACCTTGTCAGGATGATGTTTGAGAGCGGCCTTCCTATACGCCTTCCTGATATCTGAAGCCGAACATGATGGTACAAGACCCCTGCCACAGCGAAGGTTCCATTCTGATTAGCACGCTTTGACACACTAATTTATCTCAGTACCAAAATTTGATTTAGCAGGACAGCCTACTTACAAGACAAGGTACATATCCAAAGAAGTTTCCTTCCTTGATTTCTCTTCCAGTTCAGAAAGTCGTAAACGAGCCTGTCTTATGTCATTTGCCAAACTAGTGAATCTGTCGTGAATTCCAGAGGACCTCTCTTCCATTTGCTTGGTTTGAATATCAACATATCTCTGCATATCACTGGCTGCCTGTCCATAATCCCTAATCATCTCGAACAACATGGCCCGTCTAGAAATAGCCTGAGAAATAAAGGAAAAGTTGAAAGAAATGTGGTGGCTTATGTATTTGAAACGTGAAAGAAACACTGCTACTCAGCTGGACCGAGACTAATTTACTTCTACGATAAGCTATTCCCAACATTCAAATCAAGTGTTCTATTAAGACGTTGAGACCTTCCAACTATGACGTGGAAAACAGAAACAAAATAAAACAGACCAAATAATAATATTTGCTAGGGAAGATACCTTTGAGTAGTTTTGGTCAAGAGCAATAGCAAGACTGCAGTCTGCGATAGCGTCAGAATATTGACCAAGAGCCTTGTATGCAGCAGCACGATTACAGAAACACACAGCCGTAAAAGGACGTGATTCCACATTGCAAGACAAGGCTGCTGTGTAATGTTCAACTGCTTCAGTGTGTCGTCCAGACTGAAAGGCTTCATTCCCTGCCGACTATCAATTGGTGGAAATATCAAAACGGTACAAAAAGTGAGTAAATAGCACATTAATGTAAATTCCGTTTCTTTGCTATTTGTATGCATTTAGGCGTACAATGAATTTACAGGCAGAAAATACCTTAAGGCGCAACAGCTCACGGATAGTAGCAGCCAGTGGGATGGAGGATTCAAGAGGTTTGTTTCCGTCTCTGCATTGGAGTAAAGAGAGAGAGAGAGAGACCTGTCAGATTTCACATCATCTGAAAAGTAAACGTGAAAGGAGTAAATTTGAAATACCTTTTTGTAGTAGATAGTAATTGTTCTTGCTTCTCCAGAGAAGCAATCGCCTCCTCAAGCTTTCCCATTTGGAAATATGATTTCAGCATGAGACGACACCGCCAAATTCTAAAGTTTATGTCCTTGGGAGTGTCATGAGAAACTGAGTTAGCCACAATTTTATCAGCGTCTATGGGAGGAGAATTTTTTCCAGCCAAATCAACTGTCTGCTCACAGAGCTTTATTGATGCTTCATACTTCTCAAGCTGCCATCAAATAAAAAGAAAGCAGGTTTCTTTAATCTTCCATGTATGAAATTTTTTGATTTCCTACTCACAGTTATCTGAAGATTTAAAATGAACACTTTCAAGTGATATTTTGAAGATGAGTGAAACATACCATTAAAAGCGCCTCTGCCTTCATGGTGAGTAACTTTTCAGAGTATGGGCTTATCAACAGAGATTCATCTAGTATTTCCAAAGCTTTCTCAACATCAGTTGATGTTCTAAGTTGCAAACGACAGCCAGCTTCATGCATGCACTCGGAAACTCTCTGCAAGACAAAAACCATTTTGATTGGTCAAAAAGAAGAACGTGTAACAGCCAGTCTTAACCACATATTATAGTAAACAAAAGGAGATTCTAAACATTATCAATTCTGCCCAGCGATTGAAAGGGCTGGTCAATCTCTTTCATATAATAAGTATACAATTAAAACAGCATAGCCTTGAGTAAATTTATTTACACAAATCTTAAAGAAAATCATGAGCCATACAATTAGTATGGTTCAGTCCAGATCCTAAACTAACTAATAAAAATGATAAGACCCAATTCACGCTACCATGTGCTATAATCCATCAACTAGAAAAGTTTACAGAGAACATTGCGCCCATTCAAAAGAAGAGAGAACTCTACCTGTGCCTTTTGTAGACCATCAGAAGCCTCTACTATAATTTTGCGGTCCACACAGATGTCACTTCCAGACTGCAAGCATTTTTTGAAATATCTGGATGCATCTTCAATCTCCCCAAGTAAAAGATGACAACTACCAAGAAAAAGCCAAACCAGCCAATGAGACATCATAAGGTTACAAGATAGATTCTTATTATTAGCTGAGGATGAACATGGACTAGCAAGGTAATTCAGGCAGCTCGAGCTTGAAGATAAAACAGAGCAAATCACATACATTCATTTTCAGGTTCATTCTCTCGTATAATAAACTAAACTCATTGGAAACTATAAGAATTTAAGAAAATTTAAGGAAGGTGGATTTTTACTTTCCAGCTCTGACTTGAACTTTTAGGAAGTTGGAGTCTATTGAAGAAGCCATCGTGCAATCTGCTATTGCGTCTCTCATTCTTCCAAGGGCCATGCGTGTTGCAGCACGGTTGCTGTAGCAAAGCATCAGTGCCCTGAGACAGTTTCTAGAAGTCTCAATTTGCGGCACTGAATCTATCCCTTGACTGTAAGATTCCTCAGCTCTGGGAAGATCTCCATTTTTGTAAGCATTGTTTCCTCTGGAGAAAAGGCATTCAAGAAAAGGTCAATTAAATATTAAAACACCACAGGAACAATGAGTAGAAGAATAAAACGGGTGTGAAAAAAAGCTGGCAAACAACCTCAATCGCCACTTTTCACATGCTTCTTGCGCTGCATTAGACTTATCATTCTCCTCACTTGCTTTGTCCATCGCAGAATTATCATTACGCTTGTGTAGACGAGTAAGCAGATCCCTTTCACTGGGGATCCCAGAGGAAAAGTGTGACCGAACACCAGCTAACGGCGAATGTTGTGAAGATTTTAATGACGAAGCATTTGGAAGCGTTGCATTTGGAATTAAGATATACGGATCTTGCCCAAGTTTAACTGGATTCTTCTTCCTGTTGATACGCTTTGAAGCTTGCCCGTGCACTCCCGAAAAGGATGGAGCAGAAAAGGTAAAGTTGGAGCTAGAAGCATTCGAATTAAAAAGGGAATCGTCGTCATTTTGCTGCCTATCATCAGGCTTAAACCGTGAAGTAACCTCGCTCTCTGAAGCCGTGACGAAAGTTTCGCTACTAGTTTCCATCTCTTCCGCTGCTGACTTAAAGCTTTCAGATTCAGCCCCAGATATAGAAGCTTCACCAATGTCTTCTTGATCAGCGCATTTCCCAGTATTGAGTTCCTCAGCTTCATCTCCCTCGTTTATCTCCATCCGTTCAGTTGCAGAAACTAGCTCTGCATCAAACACATCATTTGGAGCAGCAAGCTGAATATCAGATGATACATCAGAAAAGTCTTCTGTCTCCCGATATGGAGATACATCCATCGGTGAATAAGACTCAGAAGCCTCACTGCTTCCATGTGGAAACGCACTTTCTGCAAAAGCAAATTCATGTCCAACATTCAGCTGCACCTTCACAGGCTGCTTACCCCCTTTTCTTCTCGCTCTGGTGGCACCAACACTTTCCTTTGCACCATTAGGGGTCTTGAACTCCATGAAATTCGAGGAGGACACATCATGAACATTCCTAGGATTCAGATGTTCACTTGGCTGTGTACCTACAAATCTATAATCCATCCGATTGTTTGAATCATGAACGTTCTTCTCATTCACACTTCCCTGTAGTGGCTCTGCAGATGCTGATGCACTTCCAACGCTTAGCTTTCTACACAAATCATCAGATAGAATCTTCTCCCCAACATAATCTAGAGACTCTTTAACTTTAGCGTTTTTGTTTTGCTGATCAGTCACCTTCTCTGAAATATTCAACTTATCCATACTTTCTTGGAGCACATGTCCTCTACTCCACGAAGAAGAAGACGAAGATCCAAAGCTATCAATTTTAAGTTTATCACTCAACAGAGATCCAAGTTCATCATCCACGTTTTTCCTCGCATTCGCATTGCCACCGAAACTAAAGCTGGAATGAGAAACCTTGCTGATATTCAAATTCTGCATATCTCCAGGCAGACTCGAAGCCAAGTGCCCATCAGAGCTTGAATTCTTCATGTGACCATCAATCTTCAACTTTTCCAAGTCTTCCATAACTCTTTGATCACCGGAGCTCAAATTCGCACTCGACCCTCCAAATACAAAACCCTCGTTAATGCTCCGGCTGAATACGGTCCCGCCCGGAGGTGGATCACCGGGAGACATCGGAATAGAGCCGCGGTAATGAAACGGGTTGAAACCCTGACCCGGTAAGGAATCTGAAGTCACCGAGGGTTTCGCGAAGCTCTGTGACTTCACTTGCCTTCTGACCTTTGAGAATCTCGGCTTGGAGAGCCCAGAAGACGACCGGGGAAACGGCGCTGAATTGAAAGTCGGGTCAGGGTTATTGCTGGTTCGACCCGCACCGGAGAAGGCCGGATTCAAGTCGCCGAAGTTGCTCATTGTTTTGATTATAAATTAGGAAAACGAAAAAATCGTGAAGGAGAGAAGAAGTATCAGGTCTCTACAAAAATTGCCGGCGACATGGGAGATAGGTAGAAACTAGAAAGTCGTCTAATCGGAAAACGGAAAGCGAATATTGTAAAAAGCAGATTTTTGGCAATACGGCGATTGAAGAAGGGATATGGAAATGTTGAATCTTTCAGGAGATGGATCAATCAGAAGAGAAGCCGAACCAAAAAAAAAAAAAAAAACTTTTGTAGAAACAACAAAAAAATAAATTTAAGAAAAATTCAAATAAATGGGAGATTGAAGCGAAATTGGGTCATCGTCCATGGTTGTGAAGGAACACAAGAAAGAAGAAGAAGAAAAAATATATATTATTAAAGAAAAATGATTGCTTTGGTGTCGCCGTCCTTTGTTACATTTTCTTCACCTTCCAAAATGTTTCTTCAACACCTAAACCAATTTTTTTTTCTTTTTGGCTTTGATGATTAAGGATAGATCCTGAACCGAAACCAGTTAATTAATCTCCAAGAGCTGTAAAACATTCTTTTACCATTTAAGATGTGTCTACAGTAGTAACCACACCAATTTTAGCAAGTGATGGAACTTGATCACTGACTGACCTTAACCCACATGACGAATTCTCTATCCATTTGAAAAGAGACTATTGAATCACAACGATGTTACTTGGCTTTTTATAATTTATATAATTCAAGCAATAAAAACTAACTATTTTTCAATGAATCTCTCAACTTTACACATGACACGGGACATCTGTTTTCCGTGATTTTAGGTTTTATCAATCTAGTTGCAATGCCCCACAGTGAGCATCTTGAGTTTATGTTGATTTGGGTTGTATTTTGAGAAATACTACCAAAATGTGAAAAAAATATAGGATTTCGTTATGTCCACTAAAAACCGTATTGCATTAATTGTTCTCTGTCTTCATTTGCTGCATGTCAATTACATGGGTCTTCGTTGATTTTCGAAACACGTTGTTTTTGCGAATCTATGGAACTTGTTAAATATCTTACGTTGTTACTGAGGTTCCTTTTGTCGGGGTGTCATTGGGAATTACCTTGTCGCACTCATAGACTGTTCCAAAACTTCATTCGTCTCACATTTGCATTTACAGAAACACTTTTGACTTGTATTAAACAACTAAACATGGAAGATGTGGGGGTTCGGAAACAAGAGTCCAAAGTGAATGAGATTCTCAAAAGCTAAGAGTTATATAATTTAAAATAGTGTATACATTATATAATAAACGGCTTAATATAAAGTTACAGCTCTAATCTTCTTGGTACAACAGAGAGACTCTTGTGGTTTATCACTCACACAAACCGGCACAACCACATGAGCAAACCGAATACTAGAAGCAAAAGAGAAATTAAGCACAAAAGAAAGTTTCGATATAGATCCTTCTTTTTTTTTTTAAGTATTGTCTCACGCATCCGTCTGTTAGTAGTATAGTATCCACCTGAGGGAACTTGCGATCTTCATACGATATTATCATCATCTCTCCTACGTTCTTTCTGTTCTCCATTTATATATATATATAGATATAACTTAGCTATACATATACATCATCCTACTTCCTTGTGTATGCTTTTTTACTTCGTCTGCACAAACCCAAAACAAAAGAAAAAGTCAAGAACACATCATCAACACTAAACAATTCCGTATGAACTCATTCGCGGAGAGCTTACCTTTATTACATACACTTCGGTAGCCTCATCTTATCCATAAGAAAAAAACCTGAGTGCAAAGTAAAGGGTTTTGTTATCCATATTGATCTCTTGAAAGAACATTCGGGAAGAGATTAGAGAGAGTACACTAACCCTTGGCATTTATGAGGTGAAGTTGCCTACTGCATAAGGTTACTGGTAGTGGCTGGTGGTTCATTCTCATTTCCATTAGTAGAGGAGACGCCAGCAGCCTTTGCATTAGTTTCAGCAGAATCATCAATTTTATGGTCATCGTTGAATGTTGCAGAAGGAAAGAGGTTACTAGGAAGAACAAGCTCTATAGTGCTTCCAGTGTCGGGTTCCATCACTTCACTCTCGTTACTCCCTTCTGTTGCACCGTCTGAGTAATTATTGTTAATACTCCTTGCGGGATAAGGATGCAGCTCCGAGGTATCATCGACTACTGCCACAACATGAAGCAACAACGTTGGTGAGACTGGAATAACAGTTGATTGATCAGCAAAAATGTTAGATATTTTTTACATTAAAAAAAAAATAGCATTGTTCACTTCACCAACCTTCTAAAGAATCAGCACCTGTGAGTTCAGATTGAAAATCAGGGCTTAGGTTGCTGGCAGATGAAAAATAACCAGGAGACCCTACAGAAAAGCTACGGTGATGGTTAGGCACTAGACCATTCTTGAACTCAGGAAGCTGCAAATTAACAAAGCGTCTTCTTTCAAGCTCAATAGCCCTCTGCAGATCAGCCTGCTCCAGTTTCCTTCTCATCATCTCCCGCCTCTCATAGAAGATCTTTGAACCTACCACGTAATAACAAAGCAAGTTAGTAAACAAAGAGTGCAGAAAGTAACACCTTAAAGAAAAAAATACTAAGCAAGGATACTAACCAAGTTGGAAATCAGACTGTTCTCTAGGATCGATCCCAGATGGACTGGAACAGGGGGAGTAATTCCCCCGCTCAATCTGCTGTTGTAGCAGATACTGCTGCTTCCTGTTTTTCATTACATTTACAATGCCACAATGAAACTCAAAGAAGAAGGACTAGAGGGAAAATTCAAAAGAAGAAAGGAGAGGCAACATACTTATCCAAGACTTTGCCTTTTTCTTTGTAAGGTTTGACAAGAACACGCGAGTCGCAAATGAAATGGGGATTCCCTCTAGCTAGTACAACCTTCACAGTCTCAGAATGGGCAAAAGAAACAAAGCCAAACATACGCTTCTGCTGGTATGGGATCCTCACATCTTGCACTGTTCCAAAAAGGCTTCACAGACAAAACGAATCATTAGTCTTCTTCTATCAACAAGCAGCATCAAAAACCAAAGAACACCTAACTAATCAATACTATTTAGTCCCTGATTCTTCCATATAAATCTACAAGTAATCTCATCCTATCCAACACTTGTTTGACAGAGATGGGGTTGTCCAGAAATACCTGAAATAAGTTGCAACGTCCTCATCCTTAAACGTGCTCTCAGCTGGGAATGTCAAGTAAATCTGTCTAGATGCTGCGTTTGACTGATCACCAAACTGCATTGCCATTAGCTCCATTCTCTCAAGCCGTCCCGGGCTGCTGCTCCAATATCTTTCATCCCCAAAAGGTAGTGCCCCATCTCTGCATAGAGGAGAAAGCACAAAGCTTTAAATTTAAACAAACTAACAATAAGCAACAGAGATTGCAACTAAAGCTGGAAACTTGTTGATACCTATGAGCATGCTGATGCAAGAGAAACTCCATTCTCTTCTCGTATGACAATTGGGGAGCCCTACCCAGGATTTGAGAAGCCAGCCTCTGCTGCTGATAAGCCATTTTCAACCTCAACATCTCCTCGTGCTGCCTGACAAAGTTCTCCATTTTCCTGGGCGAATCAGCGGCAATGCCATTACCATCAGCGTTATCCGGATACCCTCCATGGATAAACTTGCAGCCGTCTCCGTTCTTGCACAAACCTCGACTGAAATACACACAGGGCTTGCATCCAGCACCAAATCCATCCTCTCCGGACCCAAAAGACGCATCTGCCGAGAAACTCCTCCTGTGCAGATGGGTCTCTCCATTGTCGTTAGGATCTACAACATCCTCGGGTTTGGAGCAGGAATCGTCGAGAAATGAAAGGTAGTCGTTCAGCTGCTGGTCATCCAGTAAATCAGCAGCGTCGGCACCAGCATCTGTAGCAGAAAGTCCGTTGCTTTGATGAGAGCTCAATGGCTTCGAGATCGACGCAGTACGAGCACCGTCGTGCGCAAGGAGAGGGCTTTGTTTGGGGGAAACGTGAGCGCCGTTTCCATTACTGTTGAGAGACCAGGGAGAGGTGGGAGAAGGAGAAGATGGGGAGTTTCTACGGAAATCCATAAACCCATTAGTGTGAGAGGCTCCTCTTCCGTTAATGGGTGGTCGAGAGATGGGGTTCAACGGAGAAGGAGACGGCGGAGTAGACGGTGAAGACAAGTTGTTCGAGAAAAGTCCCAACTGGCTTTTCACTTTCAGTATAATGGACTGGAGGAGAGATTCAGGTCCACGAGCCAGATGCATCAAGTCTTTCTCCTCGAAATCCTGCAACAGAAGGTACCCGATGATCTTGGGAGCGTAATCCGGCTCCAAGCTCCTGATTTTCGTCAAAAGCAGAGTTGTCGGGTCACCGGAATCCATGGCTTCGTACCCACAAGTAATCAACTCTGTTTTGCTGATTCTAGGGTTTGGAAACAGAGAAAGGTTAGGGATTTTTGGAAGAGAATCTGAAGTAGATAAGAAGAGAGGGAAGATCCTCCCTCCTGTATGCTCGCTTCTGTTAAGATTTCTCTTTGTATTTTGGTTTTAGTTTAATGATTTTGAATCTCACTTTGCTCACTCACTCCTATCTTTATCGCTCCAGTTGGTGCTCTCTCCTACTGGTAAGACCACTTGGGGAAATGTTCTGCTTTTAATATTATTCAACTTTCTAGGAAACTGTATTTTCCTTTCAATTTTCCATTTGTATTTTTTTACGGAAATTTTTGATGCTCTTTGCTTATTTATACAGTCTGTGTTTTCTTATTTGTGGGAAATGTATATAGGTTTGACGAGTAATAGACTTTGAGAGATTCAATTAGGTCGGATTTTATTTAGTTCTTCTAGAATAAAAAAATAAAAAAATCATAATAATTTGCTGTCGAGAAAAACCATTGCTATTTATTATCAACTGATTTAATACACCTCAGCATACAGTCAATATTCTGTTCTCGATTTTGTCCTATATGGAAAACCAAACATGTTTTGCCATTTAAATTCTAATCAAATGCAAATAAAGGAATTTAAATATTTCGGTATAAAATTGCAAAAATATTTCGGGTACTTGGATTCTCCGTATTTCATACTACTGAAGGAAAAATGTGTTGCCTTTTTCGACGATGGAAAATATATTGTTTTTATTAAAGGGAAAAAGAGGAGGGAAATTAAGAAAAAGATTTTAGTAGATTATGAGAAAATCTACAGGTACTGTTAAATCAGTGTCAGAGAGATAGAGAGAGCGCGTGTGGTTTTTATGCCAACTTTTTAGACAGCCTTTTTCCTTCACAGGCGGTGCGTTTCACTCGCGCGCGTCAGGTCAGTCTCTCTTTTTAAGAAATCACGAGCACATATTTTTTTCACTGCGCCTGTAACTTTTTTTTTTTCTATGCATTATTAATTGAAGAGAAAGTCTTTATGATGTGAGATAATTGGACGGTCGTGATTATCGGAACAAGAAAATGATTTGGTGTTGCGTTATGTTGTTCATGTGGTGGTGGTGTGGTGCGTGTCTTTTGGAATCAACCGGTTTATTTCTGGTTATAGGTAGGTTTTTTTCCCGCGGGGACCTTTAAGAATGGGTTAAGTGTGTCTAAAAATTTGGCAATGACAATGACAACAGATATGTCGGAGACTTTTGAACCTCGTTCTCACGTTTTGTAGATCGAAAATAGTGTTTCACTCATCCTTAACATCATATATTATTTGGCTACATACGAATTATCTTTTTATAGTAATGTACATTATTTTTAGTCCATCAAATAATGTGTTTAAGCTCAAGTGATTAGTTCCCAATAGTTAAACTGGCCTTTTAGTGTACGACCCTAGAACCATCATCATATCACTTTGAACCACAAAGTAAAAGTAGACCAATATACCACTCTATTATATATTTATATTATGTCTCCTATGTATATGTATATAGTATAAAATACAAGTTAGACATACGCACTCACATGGATCCAGGAAGGACATATGCACTAGCATACGACTTCATGGATTAATCAATCAACCACTCACCAATAAAAAATGAAGCCCCAACTTATGAGACAAAAGAGTCCTTCAAAAGTTCTACCTTTATGCACATGACCATGAACTAACTTTTTTTTTACTTTTTGAATTTACCATTTCTTTCTAACTATTATTTCGAAAACTTTTATGCCTTTTTTTTGTCTCTTCTTGAAATGAAATGAAGTACCAAAATGATCTATCCTTCAACCCACGCAGTTTTCTTTACGGTTAGATTGGTCAATACTAGATACAACAATGATCAAAATTTCCAACCTTCTAAAAGATATGTATGCATATTACTACAAGAAAACAACTGAAATGAAATATATGTCGCTTTAACCTCATATTCCCTCGCTAGATCAACCTCATCATACGTTGTTTGATTTGAAATTCAGTTCGTTAAATAACTAGTTTTATGTCAAGATATAGTATGATCAATAGTTATAATGAGCAAACCGAAGTTCATTAATATCATATCCTCTCCTAACATCATTTATTATTTTTAGTTAATAAAAAAATATACTCCCTCTGTTTCAAATTAATTGTCGTTTTGGGAAAATGTATCTGCAATTATTTGGATGTATCTACAATGCAAAACACGTCCAGATTCGTCCAAATATTTGCAGATACATTTTGCCAAAACGACAACTAATTTGAAACGGAGGGAGTAACAGGTAAAAAATATAGTTGTTCAAATTTCCTTTTTCTTGTTTTAATGTTCGACAGGTAAAGAAGAGACATTAAAAGCTAACTAGTTACGTCTCTAATTAAGTTTGAGCTCAATTTATTAAAGATTGAGCTCAATTTAAACGCTATAGTTCTATACATCGTCACATTGACTCGTGACATAAAACTACTAGTCTATACAACACTTGGGGAACGAAACCGGTGACAAAAGTATAGCCCTAAATTTACCGGTCAAAGTATAAACGTTAGTTTAACTAAAGGATTCGGTAAATGATACCATACTTCACTATGGTTTTCTTGTTTAACGTTGTAAGAGTTTTAAACGATAGATATAAGAATCAGTATGGATTTTGACCCATTATGTATCGGCTTGCAAAAAAAGTACAAATATTATGTCTTGGCTTTCAACTAAAGACTCTAAAACTTTTCTCTTATGATAATCTGAATCAGTAGTTTCTTAAAACCTCTTCTCTCAACCTTCATTTCCTTCATCCCCTTTTCCATCTAAGATCTCGACCTACCAATGTATAATCCAATGTCGTCTCCAAGTTACCACACAAACATGTTATGCAACTATCTCGTGATCTTAGGTGTGGTAGCAATCTTCTTCATCATCGCCTTCTTCAACCAAACCTACATTAATTCACAATCTTTCGACGGTAACATATTCACCATGAAAAATGATCAAGAGACGCTCGTGCAGCCTAAGGAGACAACGACGAACTTGAGCCACTTGATGTTTGTGTTGGTCGGAAGCTCACGAGCGTGGGAGAGACGAAGCACTTATGTAGAATCATGGTGGAGACCAAACGTGACACGTGGCAATATCTTTTTGGACGTGGAGCCGTCGAAAAAGTTCCAGCCTTGGTCTCCAACTTTCCCGCCGTTTAAAGTTAACGAAGACCTTAAGAAACTCGCAATATATCCGAAGCTCAAAAACCCAATTCACACTCGGATCTATAGATCCATTCTCGAGACTTACAGGCTCATGCAAGACGAGGGTGTGAGATGGTAGGCCATTTAATACATATGTTATACTAGTTAAATCATCTTATCAAATCTAGATATATTTCTATTTCTAAAATAAATGACTTTTTTTTTTATGATTTAGATATACTCTGCTAATTGTGATCAAAATGATTATTTTGTGTATGATATTACAAAAAATTGTGATCTAACTAATATAGTTCTTGTCCAAACTAAATAGGTATGTGACAGGTGATGATGATACTCTTTTCTTCGTAGACAACATGGTAGATGTGTTGTCAAAATACGACCACAAGGAAAAATATTACATCGGAATGTTTTCGGAGACGATAGTATCAAATTATTACTTGTCGTTTGATATGGCATTCGGAGGAGGAGGATATGCTCTAAGTTATCCACTGGTGGAGGCTTTGGTGCTCAAATTAGATGAATGTGTTGAGAGGTATCATTACGTTTGGGCAGTAGATCAGTTGCAGAGTTTTTGTTTGGCTGATTTGGGCGTTGATCTTACCCTCGAGAAAGGATTTCATCAGGTATTACAACAATTTATATTTCTCATGTGGCATAGTCTAAGATTCACATGTTCATAGAAGTTAACAAAAAGCTTCAATTAAAGTAGAAGACCAATGAAAAACATTTTTACCACAGATATAGTAAGAACTTGATTAACATGCGACAGATGGATCTGCGCGGGGACATATCAGGCTTACTCTCGTCCCACCCAACTGACCCTCTTGTCAGCTTCCACCACTTCGAGACCATAGAGCCACTTTTCCCTGGCATGGACCGTCATGGCTCAGTCATTCAGATAATGAAAGCAGCAAACGTGGACCAGTCACGGATGCTACAACAGTCGATCTGCCACATCAGAGACAGTATGTGGACATTCTCGGTCTCGTGGGGATACGCTGCTCATATCTATGAGAAGATATTCCCACGCAGCCACTTGAAACGTCCCATCCAGACATTCCGTCATTGGATCGGAGCACAACGGCCTCCGGTTCTCATGTTTAACACGAGACCGGTTTCTCGAGATCCTTGTGAAGCTCCTCACTGGTTCTTCTTTGATTCGGTTGAACAAGAGAATGAAAGAGTTGTTACTTCTTACGCAAGGAAGTTCCCTAGAAACATTACTTCTTGTTCCTTCTCCGGTAATATTTCTGCTGATCCTCTCGCTTCAATCCGAGTCTTCTCTCCCAAAACTCCTAAACAGGTTCCTTCATCTTATCTCTTAGACATTTAAATTTGACTAATGGTGGCAAATTGGCAATTAATATAAGAAACATCTGAAAACAGTACTTACAAAATGCTATTATTTATCACATTCATTCATTTGGGTTTAACATCTAATAAAAATTTCTTTGTAAGAAGTAACCGATGCAGTTTTAGAATTTTAGTCAGGATAGATTTTCCTATAAATTTTCATTAGAAACCCTTTTTTTCTTAGCCATTATTCAGTTCCAGTTAAATTTGTTTGGATTTTCTGTTTTTAGGGGAGAAAGGTGGAATGTTGCGACGTGGAATATGAGGGTGCAGATGTAGCAAACATAACACTTCGAGATTGTGGGAGAGACGAAATCATCACCTAGTGAGAAACGGAGAGCACATACATATTAGTTAATATTGTAATTTTCAGCCTTCAGTTTAATTAAGTTTTAAGTTGGTGTACATGTTTCGGCAACTGAGCTGACTATATTAATGTCCAATAAGATTTAAAAAAACAAAATTTCTCCAATAAGATTATATCGACAAGAAAAGTATACTGATGTAAATATGTAACCATTTTCAACTACCATATTATACATTTTAATTCTATATTTGAGGCAGAGAAGAGAACTATTGCTTCTACCAACTAGAGTTAGGACGTTTGTGACTTTTCCTATCCCAAAACTTTCCGAGTTCTTTCCCATACATTTATGGATGTTTATGGTTTTGATTCTACATCTGATTAATTCTTGGAACTACGTTCTGATTTTACATCTGATATTCTGATTGATTTTCGCTACGTAAATTTGTCTTTTTGGTTCATCGTCACTCTTATATAAATCCGACTTATATGCTTTGAACTTAGATGTCTAATTAGACCTGTTTTGCTAACATCATAAGTTACTTTTCTACTTTTATCACCCGAGATTTGAGAAGCACCGCATTGTGGAAAGCAAATAAGCTTATCCAAAGCTACACACATACCGGCTTGTTTGGCCTCAAACGCTTCTTGCAAATCAGATTGTTAAATTCCTACGTACTCAAGCTTTGATATTGGTACATGTAACATTCTCAATATTGGCGACAATTGTTAAATTATAAACCTGTATACATATTTCTTATATAGTTAATACAAAAGATCTACAGTTGCTCAACTTTCCCTTTTTTGTTTTTATGTTCGACAGGTAAAGAAGAACCATTAAAAGTTCCCAACAAATTACGTCTGTAATAAAGTTTGAGCTATGCGTAAACGCTATAGTTCTATACTCGTCACATTGACTCGTGACCTAAAACTACTAGTCCATACAACACTTGGGGGCACGAAACCGGTAAATAAATGTATCGTCCTAGCTAAATTTATCGATTAAACATCAAAGTATAAACAATTAAACATTAGTATCACTAAGGGATTTGGTACATATTTTTTTTTAAACATTGTAAATGTTTTATATGATAAATATGTAAAGTTTAGTAGATATAAGAATTAGTATGGATTTTGAAGCATTATTTATTGGCTTTCAAACTAAATACTCCGAAACTTTTCTCTTATGATATTTTAATTAGTAATCAGTACTTTCTTAGTTCAACCACCTAAAACCTCTTCTCTCAACCTTCAAACATTCTTCATCTAAAATATTGATCTACCAATGTATAATACAATGTCGTCTCCAAGTTACCACACAGACATGTTATGCAAAAATCTCGTCATCTTAGGTGTGGTGGCAATCTTCGTCATCCTCGTCTTCTTCAACCAAATCTACATCAATTCACAGTCTTTCGACAGTAACATATTCACTACAAGATATCAAGAGGGGCTATTGAAGCCCAAGGAGACAACGACGAACTTGAGCCACTTGATGTTTGTGTTGGTGGGGAGCTCACGTACGTTGAATAATCGAATAACTTATGTCGAATCATGGTGGAGACCAAACGTGACACGTGGCAACATATTTTTGGACGTGAAGCCGTCGGAACCTTGGTCTCCTAGCTTACCGCCGTTTAAAGTTAACGAAGACATCAAGAAACTAAAAGTCTACCCGAAGCTCAGAAAAACAGTTCAAGTTCGGATCATTAGATCCATTCTCGAGACTTACAGGCTCAAGCAAGACGAGGGTGTGAGATGGTAGGCCATTTCATCTTATCAAATCCAGATATATTTCTATTTTTACAATAATTGGTTTTTAGTTTTATGATGAAAATATATTTAGTAGTAATTTTAAAATAGTAATGTTTTATGATTTAAAAAAAAATATATATATTAATTTTGAAATTACTAAATTATTAATGTTTATATCAAAAGTAATCTAACTTAGATCTTGTGCAAAATAAATAGGTATGTGAAGGGGGATGATGATACCCTTTTCTTTGTAGACAACATAGTGGATGTGTTGTCAAAATACGACCACACGAAAAAACATTACGTCGGAATGTCATCGGAGACGATCAAATCAAATTTCCACTTTTCGTTTCAAATGGGGTTCGGAGGAGGAGGATATGCTCTAAGTTATCCTCTGGTGGAGGCTTTGGCGCTCAAATTAGATGAATGTGTTGAGAGGTATTATTTCATTCGGGCAGAAGATCAGTTACAGAGTCTTTGTTTAGCTGACTTGGGCGTTGATCTTATCTACGAGAAAGGATTTCATCAGGTATTTCAACAATATATATTAATTTCTCATGTGTCACAGTCACAGAATAAGTATTTAGTTGACATGCGACAGATGGATCTGCACGGTGACCTATCGGGCTTACTCGCGGCCCACCCAACTAACCCTCTTCTCAGCTTCCACCACTTTGGAACCGTCAAACCACTTTTCCCGGGCATGGACCGACATGGCTCAGTCACTCATATAATGAAAGCGGCCAACGTGGACCAGTCACGAATGCTACAACAGTCGATATGCCACGTCAGAGCCAGAAACTGGACATTCTCGGTCTCGTGGGGATACTCTGCTCATATCTATGAGAAGTTATTCCCACGCAGCCACTTGAAGCTTCCCATCGAGACATTCCGTCCTTGGCAACGAGGACGGCCTCCGGTTTACATGTTTAACACGAGACCGGTTTCTCGTGATCCTTGTGAAGCTCCTCACTGGTTCTTCTTTAGTTCGATCGAACAAGAGAATGAAAGAGTTGTTACTTCTTACACAAGGAAGTTCCCTAGAAACATGACTTCTTGTTCCTTATCCGGTAATATTTCTGCGGATCCTCTCGCTTCAATCCGAGTCTTCTCTCCCAAAACTCCTAAACAGGTTCCTTCATCTTATCTCTTAGACATTTAAATTTTACTAATGATGGCAAATTGGCAATTAATACAAGAAATATCTGAAAATAATACTTATGATTAGTAGTGATATCGTTATTTATCACACATTCATTCATTAGGGTTTAACATCTAATAAAAAAATATTTGTAAGAAGTAGCCGATGCATAATAGTCACAACAAATGTTTCCTATAATTTTTCATTAGAGACGCTATTTTTCAAAAAAAATATTATTCCATTATTCAATTCCAGTTGGTATTGTTTCATTTTCTGTTTTTAGGGGAGAAAAGTGGAATGTTGCGACGTGGAATATGATGGTGCAGATGTAGCAAACATAACACTTCGAGATTGTGGGAGAGACGAGATCATCATCTAGTGAGAAACGGAGAGCACAGATATTAGTTAATATTGTAATTTTCAGTCTTCACTTTGATGAAGTATTAAGTTGGTGTACATGTCTCAGCAACTAAGCTGACTCTGTATGCAAGTAATCTTTTATACTAATGTGCAATAAGATTTTGAAGATCACATAAATTTTCACAAGGTATATATCATCTAATAAAAAATTATATGTAAGAAGTAGCCGATGCATTATAGTCATAATAAAATTTTGCGACGTGGAACATGATGGTGCAGAGACAGCAACTAAGCTGACTCTGTATTCAAGTAATAATCTGATATATTAATGTCCAATAAGATTATCTCAACAAAAAAGTATACTGATGTAAATATGTAACCATTTTCAAGTACCATATTATACATTCTAATTCTCTATTTTGAGGCCAAAAATTATTGCCTGTAGCTAGCTAAATTTACCGATTAAACATCAAAGTATAAACATTAGTACAACTAAGGGATTCGTTTTTTTTTTTTTTTTAAACATTGTATATGTTTTAAATGAAAAATATATAAAGTTATTTAACAAAAAAAAAAACAAAGTTTAGTAGATATATATAAGTATTAGTATGGATTTTGACCCATTATTTCTTGGCTTTCAAATTAAAGACTCCAAACTTTTCTCTAATGATATTTTAAATAGTAATCAGTACTCTCTTAGTTCAACCACTAAAACCTCTTCTCTCTCAACCTTCAAACATTCTTCATCTACATCCTCGATCTACCTATGTATCATACAATGTCGTCTCCAAGTTACCACACAAAGATGTTATGCAAAAATCTCGTGATGTTAGGTATGGTAGTAACAATCTTCGTCATTCTCGTCTTCTTCAGCCAAATCTACACCAATTCACAATCTTTCGACAGTAACATTGCGACAAGATATCAAGAGGGGCTATTGCAGGATTTGCAGCCTAAGGAGACAACGACGAACTTGAGCCACTTGATGTTTGTGTTGGTGGGGAGCTCACGTACGTTGGATAATCGAAGAACTTATGTAGAATCATGGTGGAGACCAAACGTGACACGTGGCAACATATTTTTGGACGTGAAGCCGTCGGATCCTTAGATCCATTCTTGAGACTTACAGGCTCAAGCAAGACGAGGGTGTGAGATGGTAGGCCATTTCATCTTTTAAAATCCAGATATATATTTCTATTTTTACAATAATTGGTTTTTAATATTATGATGATGAAAATAAACTCAGATAATTATATTTTACATTATATTTAGTAGTAATTTTAAAATAGTAATGTTTTATGATTTGAAGCAATTTTTGTTTTTAAGTTACTAAATTATTAATGTTTATATCAAAAGTAAAATTAAAGTTTGTGTATGATAATATAAAAACTTAGGATCTAACTTAGATCTTGTCCAAAATAAATAGGTATGTGAAGGGAGATGATGATACCCTTTTCTTTGTACACAATATAGCGGATGTGTTGTCAAAGTACGACCACACGAAAAAACATTACATCGGAATGTCATCGGAAACGATTAAATCCAATTTCTACTATTCGTTTCAAATGGGATTCGGAGGAGGAGGATATGCTCTTAGTTACCCTCTGGTGGAGGCTTTGGCGGTTAGATTGGATGAATGTGTTGAGAGGTATCATTTCATTCGAGCAGAAGATCAGCTACAGAGTCTTTGTTTAGCTGATTTGGGCGTTGATCTTATCCACGAGAAAGGATTTCATCAGGTACGTCAACAATTTGTATTTCTCATGTGTCATATGCTAGGATTCACATGTTCGTGAAAGTTAACAAAAAGCTTAAATAATCTTTTAAAGAAAATATTTAAAGTAGAAACTGAAGAATTGAAAAACAACTTAGTGAGAAAACAAAATTATAATGTTATGCACGATAGTGTACGATGTTTTTTTAATATATTTAAATTATTGACCGAAGAAAACAAATATTAATTCATTTTGTAGAATACTGTTCTTACACAGTAATTAAAAAACAGTATGAAACATTGAAACTGTATCACACACAGATGGATCTGCGCGGTGACGTATCAGGCTTCCTATCAGCCCACCCAACTGACCCTCTTCTCAGCGTCCACCACTTTGGGAGCGTCGAACCACTTTTCCCGGGCATGGACCGACATGGCTCAGTCATTCATATAATGAAAGCGGCCAACGTGGACCAGTCACGGATGCTACAACAGTCGATCTGCCACGTCAGAGCCAGAAACTGGACATTCTCGGTCTCGTGGGGATACGCTGCTCATATCTATGAGAATATATTCCCACGAAGCCGCTTGAAGCTTCCCATCGAGACATTCCGTCCTTGGCTCCAAGGACGGCCTCCGGTTTACATGTTTAACACGAGACCGGTTTCTCTAGATCCTTGTGAAGCTCCTCACTGGTTCTTCTTTGATTCGATCGAACAAGAGACTGAAAGAGTTGTTACTTCTTACACAAGGAAGTTTCCTAGAAACATGACTTCTTCTTGTTCCTTATCCGGTAATATTTCTGCTGATCCTCTCGCTTCAATCCGAGTCTTCTCTCCCAAAACTCCTAAACAGGTTCTTTCATCTTATCTCTTAGACATTTTATGAAGTAGCCGATTCATTTTTTCGTCATAATATAATTTTTACACTAGAAATGCGATTTTTTTTTTTTAATTCCACTATTCAATTCCAATTAGTATTGTTGTTTTTTTTTTTCTGTTTTAAGGGAAGAAAAGTGGAATGTTGCGACGTGGAATATGAGGGTGCAGATTTGGCAAACATAAGACTTCGAGATTGTAGGAGAGACGAAATCATCGCCTGGTGAGTAATGGAGAGCACATATATTGTAATTTTCAGTCTCCTCTTTAATTTAAGTTCTAATAAGTTGGTGTACTCGATTCAGCAACTAAGCTGACTCAATGTACTCAAGTAATCTGATATATTAATGTCCAATAATATTATCTCAACAAGAAAAGTGTGTTTATTACTATTTTCGACTACTTTCAAAAGATCTGGGTTTCTTGCTTTGTAGAAAGAAAGGCAAAACATAGCGAGTTTCTTGTTCTTGTTGGTAAAATTTGGGAAATACAAATATACAATATCTCATCAATAAATATAGTATGTTCTTTTTTCAAGTGAAAGAAAGAGGAAAGTGTGTTATCACGCTGTATTGAATGGTTTAGAAAGTTTATACATTTATGGTGATGTAAATGAGAATTTGAATGTAATTAGCATGAAAATTGTTTCATCACCTCTTTTTGGCTTCTTTTTTAAGTTTCGTTCCTTATTTAATCCCTTTTCTAAAACGAGAAGTTTCAGTACTTTACAAGATTAGTCACCTCACCTGCTTTAACTTCCAAATCACATGGTTTATGCACATCAGCTCTCATGATCAACATTCCCCACAACTTTATTAACTAAATGTTTCTATACATATGGAGTCAATATTCTATGTTCAGACACATTGTACCTATTTTATCAAATCCTTTTTATGTTTCTGAGTCTCTCTCGATCAATGGCATTTGAGAACAAAAACAACACCAAACAAACAAAACTGAGTCACATTTCTCAGAACCTATCATTATCTACCTTATGGAAGTCCTTAGTGATTTCCGGTGCTCTTCTTTTCTTGTTACACACGTTCGCCTTTAACCATCCTCATAAAATTTTAACCCACAAACTCTTTGCGCCTTTCGACCTTACTTTCTCCTCCTCTTCCTCATCCTCTTCCTCCTTCTCTTCCTCCTCCTCTTTCTCCTCCTCTTCCTCTTCCTCTTTCTCCTCCTCCTCTTCCTCCTTCTCCTCAGAAATATCCTCCTTATCACCATCGTCCTTACAATTAGCAAGAGAGCCTCCTACAAATATCAGCCATCTAATGTTTGTCATCGTCGGTAGCACAAGGACTTGGAGATACAGGAGAGGCTACATAGAACCATGGTGGAGACCAAACATCACAAAAGGTCATGTCTTCCTCGAAAGACCACCTGGTCCCGATCTCTTGCCTTGGCCTCAACAATCTCCACCTTTCTCTGTCAACAAAGACAGATTCGTCCGAAACAAAAAGTTTAAAACTCAGATCCGGCTTTTACAATCGCTCCACGAGTCGTTTGAGAAGGCCTCTAAAGACACGAGATGGTTTGTGATAGCTGATGATGATACCATTTTCTTCTTGGACAATTTGGTCGAGGCTCTCGACCGGTACGATCACAAGAAGTACTATTACATTGGGATGAACTCGGAGAACGTGTGGTGTAATGGGATTTTCGCTTACGACATGGCATATGGAGGTGGTGGATACGCATTGAGCTATCGAACCCTAGAAACACTTCTCAACAGAAAGGAAGATTGTATTGCAAGATACCTCGGAGTTTATAGCGATGTACTCTCTTTCCAATGCTTGGCCGACTTGGGAATTGATCTTACTTTGGAGAAGGGCATGCACCAGGTAATTAGGATGGTCTATTGAAGATTACCAAAAAAAAAAATATAGTCTATTGAACACTATAGTATCGTGTAAAACAAGAAAGTGAATCTTGTGCCTCACTCAATATGTATATCCACATACTCACACTCTGTCTTGCTTGTGGTGTTAAAACCAGATTGATCTGCACGGTGACATATCAGGTCTCTTATCAGCTCACCCTCAGTCTCCACTTATCAGCCTCCACCATTTCGACGTAATAGAACCGATCTTCCCAGCCTTGGACCGTCAACAGTCCGTGAACCACTTCATGAAAACCGCGAACACCGACCAAACCCGTATCTTGCAACAAACGATATGTTACCAAAGAGGAAACAACTGGTCAGTCTCTGTGTCTTGGGGATACTCAGTCCACATTTACCAATCTATATTCCCGAGAAGCTACCTGAAACGCCCTCTCGAAACGTTCCGGCCGTGGAGGAGGGTTATGATACCGTTGTATACTTTTAACACGAGAAAGGTGAATAATGATCCGTGTGAGATGCCTCGCCAGTTTTTCTTTGATTCGGTTGTGGAGGACAAGAACCAAAGCTTGGTCAGTACTCTGTACAAGGTGCCAACGGCAGGTAGTTTGCCTCCTTGTTTAACAAATGGTAACCATTCCGCTAGTAGCATTACACAAGTCCGAGTCATTGCTGCTACTATGCACAAGATGGTAATCAGATTTTCCAAGTTACCTCTATAATCTTTTAAGCAAATTATATATTCTGTTTCAGTGTGATCTTTAACGTAATGACTCAATATTGAACAGGGTGAAGGGATCGAATGTTGCGATGTGGAAAGTTTAAACAGTACGGAAATCTTGGAAGTGAAGATAAGAGCTTGTCTTAAAGATGAAGTTCTTGCTTAGGCCATTATGTCTAAGTGATACACTGATCCTTTGTTATTGTTATTCTGTCAATTATTGATATGTTGTATTACTTCTAGTTGCAGTGAAATTGAAAGCGATAACTTTATAGCCATCACGTAATTTTATGAAAAAAAAAGGGAAGCAAAAAATGACACTGAGTCTGCTTAACCACCCAAAAAAAAAAAAAAAAAAAAAAAAAAAAAAAAATCTAAATCCAATACCATTCAGCAGAGACAAAACTTGTGTGTATCTATTTGCCATATACAGTTCAATGAAAATTGTCTTAAAAAGTTGAAAACCAAAAAGACTCGGTCTACTATTGAACAGTTGAAAATTTTGGTTCTTACCTCGGAGACAAAAGCAAATATCTCAACTAACTTCCTCATAGTCATGCAAAAACTAATGGTGGAAAAACGGCGAGCACATATATTGTAATTTCCAGTCTTCTCTTTTAATTAAGTTCTAAGTTGGTCTACTAGATTCAGCAACTAACCTGATTCTCTGTATTCAAGTAATCTGATATATTAATGTCCAATTATATTATCTCAACAAGAAAAGTGTATATATTACTAATTTCGACTACTTTCAAAAGATATGGGTTACTTGCTTTATAGAAAGAAAGGCAAAACATAGCGAGTTTCTTGTTCTTGTTAGTAATTTGGGAAATACAATAAAGTGTGTTATCTCGCTATGTTGTTTGGTTTAGAAAGTTTATTCCCTTTATGGTGATGTAAATGAGAATTTGAACGTAATTATGCATAGAAGCAGCATGAAAATTGTTTCATCACCCCTTTTTGCTTCTTTTTATAATTTTCGTTCCTTATTTTATTCCGTTTCTAAAACGAGAAAGTTTCAGTACTCTATAAGTTTAGTCACCTCACTTGCTTTAACTTCCAAATCACATGATTAATGCACATCAGCTCTCATGATCAACATTCCCCACAACTTTATTAACCAAGTCTTTCAGTACATATATATGTATGGAGTCAATCAACATCTCATATCAACCAAATCCTTTTGATGTTTCTGAGTCTCTCTCAATGGCATTTGAGAACACCAAACAAACAAAACTGAGCCACATTTCTCAGAACCTATCATTATCTACCTTATGGAAGTCCTTGGCGATTTCCGGTGCACTACTTTTCTTGTTACACACGTTTGCGTTTAACCATCCTCACAAAATTTTAACCCACAAACTCTTTGCGCCTCTCGACCTTACTTTCTCCTCCACTTCCTCCTTCGCCTCAGCAATATCATCCTCATCATCATTATCATCCTTGCAAATAGCAAGAGAGCCTCCTACAAATATCAGCCATCTTATGTTTGTCATCGTCGGTAGCACTAGAACTTGGAGATACAGGAGAGGCTACATAGAACCATGGTGGAGACCAAACATCACAAAAGGTCATGTCTTCCTCGAAAGACCACCTGGTCGCGATCTCTTGCCCTGGCCTCAGCAATCTCCACCTTTCTCTGTCAACAAGGACAGATTCGTCGTAAACGTAAAATTCAAGACTCAGATCCGACTTTTCCAATCCCTCCACGAGTCGTTTGAGAAGGCCTCTAAAGACACGAGATGGTTTGTAATAGCTGATGATGATACCCTTTTCTTCTTGGACAATTTGGTCGAAGCTCTCGACCGGTACGACCACAAGAAGTACTATTACATCGGCATGAACTCGGAGAACGTGTGGTCTAATGCGGTTTTCGCTTTCGACATGGCATATGGAGGTGGTGGATACGCGTTGAGCTATCGAACCGTAGAATCACTTCTCAACCGAATGGAAGATTGTATTGGAAGATACCTCGGACCTTATAGCGATGTTCTCTCCTTTCAATGCTTGGCCGACTTGGGAATTGATCTTACTTTGGAGAAAGGCATGCACCAGGTAATAAGGCTTTTTTATTGAACACTCTAGTATCGTGTGAAACAAGAAAGTGAATCGTGTGCCTCACTCAATACTCACACTCTGTCTTGCTTGTGGCGTTAAAACCAGATTGATCTGCACGGTGACATATCAGGTCTCTTATCAGCTCATCCTCAGTCTCCACTTATCAGCCTCCACCATTTCGACGTCATAAACCCGATCTTCCCAGCCATGAACCGGCAACAGTCCGTGAACCACCTCATGAAAACCGCCAAAACCGACCAAACCCGTATCCTGCAACAAACGGTATGTCACCAAAGAGAAAACAAGTGGTCAGTCTCTGTGTCTTGGGGATACTCAGTCCACATTTACCAATCTATATTCCCGAGAAACTACCTCAAACGCCCTCTCGAAACGTTTGTGCCGTGGAAGCACGTTAGGATACCGTTGTATACTTTTAACACGAGAAGGGTGAGTAATGATCCGTGTGAGATGCCTCGCCAGTTTTTCTTTGATTCGGTTATGGAGGACAAGAACCAAAGCTTGGTAACTACTATGTACAAGGTGAGAACGGCAGATAGTTTGCCTCCTTGTTTAAGAAATGGCAACCATTCCGCTAGTAACATTACACAAGTCCGAGTCATTGCTGCTACTATGCACAAGATGGTAATCAGATTTTTCAAGTTAATTACCTCTATAATCTTTTGAGCAAATTATATACATCCGTTTCAGTGTGATCCTTGACGCAATTACTCGAATATTGAACAGGGTGAAGGGATCGAATGTTGCGATGTGCAAAATGTAAACAGTACGGAGATTTTGGAAGTGAAGATAAGAGCTTGTCTTACAGATGAATTGATTGCTTAGGCCTCCGTTATTGTTCTTTTGTCAGTAATTGATATGTTGTATTACTTCTAGTTAAAGTGAAACTGAAAGTGAGAACATTATTTCAAAAAAGGTTTCAACTTTCAAACCTCAAATGCATAGTCTTTATGTGCTTTGTGAAAACAGCCTTTTCGTTTGCATGGATTTATCGACTAATTTTCTAGAAAAAAAGGACCAAAATCAACAATCAAATGGCCCAAAAAATCAGAAACAATTTTGAATGAAGACAACGTAGTTTCGTATACATAAGCCCAAAGCATATCATGTGGCTCATCATCAGGTTCTTCTTCTTCTTCTTCATCATCATCAGTGAGATTTCTGGATCCCTATGAGACGCGCATAATCCACCCATCTGAGACAACAAAAGAAGCAAACAAAGAAGAGAGAACATGAGAATAAAAAGTGGTGAGGACAGAGACCTAAGAACCAGGTTTTGGGTTTGAAAACAACTTACAGTAAGGAACCCAAGAATGTGTTGCCAGTTCTAACAGCGAAACACATAGCACTGAGTGCAAGTTTGTGTTGGTGTAGCATTGGCTCCAGCAGACGTTGTTCTATCACACCAGCCAATACTTGGTACCTATTCATATCAAAACCATACCCCATTACTCTTCTATCAAATCTAAATGCTACAGTGCCACTATATGCTGTAGTTTGGTAGATAGAGTACCTTAAGTTGCTAGAAACTGCCATGTAGACACCATACGCAACGCTTGTAGAAACTATAGGAACAGTCTCGACTTCAGCTTCAGAAGTCTGGTCCACAGCTCGTCGTGCTTTTATGAATGCATTTGTAACAGCTGTACCAACCTGACCAATCATTATACGGATTCGTTAAGTCAAAAGAATGTAAAAATCGAATTGTAATGTTGCTGAGTCTAGAACCGATTGTTTATGGAAAACTATTTCTCTTTTGACTCACCAGCGATGATGTGGTGCCAACGGCAAACAGCTTAGCCCCATTGCGCTGCATAACACATACAAACATTATAAGCAGCCCTCAAAAAGAAACTCTTGAGATCACATAGGAAGAAATTGATGAAAAACAATCCACACACCGCTATAGCACCAAGCCTTTGCAAGAGAGTATATGAGGTTCCAGAGATAGCAATCTGCAGCAAATACATTGGATAATTAGATGAGAACTACATTTTTGTAGACTTACACTAAATAATTCTTTTCACAAAGATAAAAAGATACCTGGAAGGCATTATCAGGGCAGTTGTGGAAGAACTTGGATATGCCTCCAGCAGTAAGTGCGAGAGGTGGTCGAAGAGAAACAGTAGGAGCAGGTAGATACACCAACATGAAATCGGCAATGATAGCCATCACCTAATTTTAGAAAGAAAAAAAGGAAGCAAAAAATGAAACTGAGTCTGCTTAACCACAAACAAATAAAATCTAAACCCAATACTATTCAGCAGAGGATCGCTATTGACATAGCAGTGAAAAAACTTGTGTGTATCTATTTGCCATATAGTTCAATGAAATTTGAACTTAAAAAGTTGAAAACCAAAAAGACTCGGTCTACTACTGAATAGTTGAAAATTTTGGTTGTTACCTCCGAGACAAAGCAAATATCTCAACTAACTTGCTCATAGTCATGCAAAAACTAATGGTGGGAAAAATTGCAGACCCCATCACAACCACAAACCACCCAACCTTTCATCTATCTGAATAGATCATCTAAAATTTTTTTGTTCTCAATTTTCTCATCCATTCCTACCATCTATCAATTCCACAATTTCTCATAGTAAAGTTTTCGTCCATTCCAAAATCTAACAGGAACACTAGAGAAACTCTGCAGAAATGAAACAGAGAAGAATGATTACCACATCGGCGAAGACAACTTCAAGCTCATTGAAAAAGTTTTCTCTACGCCGTTCATACTCAGCAGCAGTCTGGAACACAAGAATCAACACATTCAGATTCGATTCGATTAGATTCCATTTCCAATTGACTAAACCAAAAAATCAAAAACTTTCTCTCGATGAATTCTCCAAAATCCAAACTTGCAATTCAAATTTGTTGATAAAAAGAGGATAAGAGTTCACGAGAGCAGACCTTGGTGAAGACCCCAACACCACATTCCATAGCGAGTTTGGCTAAGAAGAGGTCATCGGCCAATAACCTTTCTCTAAACCCAGCAAACTGCATGAGCCACCGCATCACAGCCGATCTCTGGAGCTCCAGAAACTTGGTGATAACCGATCCAGGGATCCGACCCGCCTCAATGGCAGCCGCTAGATCCTTGGGGAGAGACTCCAATTCGGTCCCGGACTCCGCCAATATAAGCATCGCCTCGTTCCTGTTCCTATCTCTGTCCTCGCCTCCCTCTCCATTCCCATCGTTCTTATCCCCGTCGCCGCCTCCACCACCACCTCCGATGTTGTCGGAGCCGCCGTTGTCGATTGAGGCGGAGAAAACAGGGGAAATAGAGACGCGGCGGTGGAGAGAGATGGATTTAGCGGAGATTGCGCCGGGGAAAGAGGAGGAGGTGGAGAATCTAGCAGAGAAAACAGGGGAGGAAGCGAGGTGAAGGTTAGATTCGGAGATTGATGTGTTAGGGGTTGGGACGCAGAAGAAGCAGGAAGCGATTGCCATTGTTGCAGACAGAGAGAGTGAAAGAGAAGGAGAGATCTCTGAAAGTCGTCTGGCTCTACAGTCTCTGTGTCGAAGGTAGGCGGGGTCGATTGAAAGCAGTGGAGAGTCAGCGATAAAAGTATATTCTTTCTCCTAAGGGTTTTTGTTTTTTGTGGGCCTCACGATAGATTCCTACTGGCGCGTGCTTTTCACGGTGTCTCTCACACCAGTTTGTTAATGTGTGTTTTACAAACTAGAAGGCAAATCAATTTGCATTTCTTGTTTTTTTCATGATTTAATTTATTTTATTTGAAATCTGATTCCGGTTTAATGCCGACTTTCTGGAATCTTTGATTTGCATATACAAGTGTAAATGTTGGGTTTAAAATATACTAGTAACAACTCAAATTTATTATGTAAAACTCCCATATGTTGCGGAATTAGATTCAGTGCAAGAATCATTTATATTGAGATGGTGGGAGCTACAACAGTTGATTTTTAGATATAAATAATAACAACAAACTCATCTTGGAAACTCAGAAACTTGTTGACATCATCACATGGCCATTCAAACCATTGGAATCCTAAAGTCCCTATCTAACAAAACCAACGTGGGAAAAAGGAAAGAGGGAAACCAATACCAATCTTCTTTTTGACAATATGTCATCAACACTGCTTCTTCTTCTTGTGTTTGCCCTTGCAAAAACGAATCCACAACTATTCTTGCATGCTTCTTAGGTCTCTCCTGGTAATTTCAAGGAACCATCTCTCATTAGCTTGAGGCTCAAACTGTTGAATCTTTCCCTCGAATACTGCCTTGACGCTTTTCTCCAATCTGTCCCTGCTTTCATCATCCCCGCAAACTCTTCATAGCTTATACGCCCGTCCTGATCATATTCATAGGAAAACAAACATGTCTTCTTTATCCTCTCAAAGTAAGCAAAGTAATTCAATAATGTATATGAGGTTCAACTGAATGGATCATGAAATGTGAAATGTGAAAAGATCTTATCTTTATTTTTCTTGTGGTTACCTTGTCGGTATCAACATCTTGCATGATGGCAGCGATAACTTCCTCACTGCTATTATCATCCAGCTCATCATTCAAGGCTTCACGAAGTTCTTCTATCTCTATGTAACCACTCTGGTTCTGATCAAAGAAGTTGAAAGCTTTATGCAAGTGTTCATCATTCGCCATCTTCTTAAGGTGCACCGAAACAGCCACAAACTCGCTATAGTTCAGTGTCCCATCCCCATCAACATCAGTCTGCACGGTAAAAAAAGGTTTCAATTCTCATAAGTGATATAGCAGCAGTTTCAAGCTTATCGCTTCCAAACTGAAAAATTCATACCGCTTCCATAAGAATCTGAAGATCGGCATCAGCGATCTGTTGTCCAGCTTTTTGAAGTCCATATTTAAGCTCCTCGAGGTTTATCTTGCCTCTCTTGTTTACGTCCATCATTTCAAATGCTTCCTTTATCCCAGCTGCTTCCTCCACTGACAAATGTTCAGCTATGACCTACAAGACGAAAACAGGTTTACATTATTCCTTTTCGCTTCTGAATCAGATTGGAAGCAAATCGGTAATCATTAACATGGTTTAACAGAATCATTTACTCGTAGAGCTCGTTTCTTGAGCTTGTTCATAACAGAAAACTGCTTGAGCCTTGCTTTCACAGTCTCACCAAGAGAGACATTTGGAGCCTTCTTTGCATTCACTATCCAAGAATGTTCTGCAAATATAATATCTGTTTATGAGTACACAATTTCAAAAAGTATCCATCAGAAAACGCTTAAAAACAGAAGCCTACCAAGTACTTCTGCAGCGGTAAGCCGTTTTTTTGGATCAGGCTCAAGCATCTTTCTCACGAGATCTTTGGCGCTGTCAGAAACTCTTGGCCATGGATCTCTCTTAAAGTCAATTACTGACCTAATGATCGCTTGAGCCACTCCTTGTTCAGTCTCTGTGCCAAAAGTAATAAAATAAAACGTCTGAAGAGGTCTTAACTGAATAATCCAGAGGAAACAAAAGAGAGCATAAACAAACCAGCCCAAAATGGAGGGACACCACAAAGAAGGATATAGAGGATGACTCCTGCGCTCCAGACATCAATCTCAGGTCCATAGTTTCGTCGCAGCACCTCGGGTGCCATGTAATAAGGACTTCCAACAATCTCATTAAACTGTTCACCTGTTACAGTTTTAGTAAATTCAGCTACATAAATAAATCTGCTCCATTGATACTCGTCAAAATCTGATATTTATAAACATACCAGGTTTAAAGAAGACAGACAATCCAAAATCAATGGCCTTAAGAGGTGATGTCTCTTTCTTATTCGCAAAAAGAAAGTTCTCTGGTTTAAGATCCCGATGCATCACTCCCTGCTTATGACATATCTGCAAAGAAAGACAAAGGAAAAAGTGTGAAGACAAACAAAATTAGAAACTTCAGAAGAAAATGTAAACAACAGCTAACAAAACCTGAACAACTTCAACAATAGTCTTCATAACCGCAGCAGCAGCTCGCTCAGTGTAATGCCCTCTCGCAACAATCCGATCAAACAGTTCACCTCCTTCACACAGCTCCATAACTATATGCACATCATCATCATCCTCAAAGGAATCTTTCAAAGTGACGACATTCGGGTGTTTAGGCATGTGCTTCATTATCTCAACCTCCCTCCTCACATCCTCTACATCCACTGCTGTTCTCAGCTTCTTCTTGGATATGGACTTGCAAGCATACTTTTCTCCAGTTTCGATATCAGTACACAGGTAAGTTATACCAAACTCTCCTCGACCAACCTCGCGTCCCAGATCATACTGCAAGGATATGTCATGCCCTGTGGGGTCTTTCAGCACAGAGAGCTTGAAGCCAGCTCCAGATCCATTTGCTGCAGCGCACTCGCTGCTGTAAAAGGGATTGTTTTTCTTCTTGGGTTTCACTTGTTTGCTCTCGCTCGTCGCCGAACCCGGGTTGCCGCAACAATTTCCCATCCTACTAGTTAAATCTCAGGATTTCCTGAAAAATTTCATCAAAACAGTTTCCTTTCTCAAATCCAGAAAGTTCAAAACTTTGAACAGTAATCCTAAGAACCATTTCCAAACAACAAATCCGAAATCAAACAGAACCGTAAGATATTCAAAACTGGATAAGTGAGCCCTAGCTAAGACCAAAGAAAGATACTAAAAAAGGAGAAAACACAGACCTCAGGACGTGAACAGAGAGAAATATTTATTAGTGGGTATAATCAGTTTAAGCAAAAGGGATATATGTTAGAACGATAAGGATGAAAGTGAAAAGTCATCATACGGTGAGAAGAAAAACAGATGCAGTGATGGAGAGAGAGAGAGAGGAAGAAGAAGAGTCAAAAGTCTTCCTCTTTCTCTCTCTTCTTCAAATGAGACGCACGCAAAATCACTCTCTCTTGTGGATTCAAGAAAGACGACGCCTAATTTTAATTTGTGTTTGCCTTTCATTTGCTTTTCGTGGTTTCTTTTTGTTGATATAATAATCAATCTTCCCGTTGTACACAGTAAGTAGATCATAAAACAAAATATTATACTTCGACTGTCCTCTCGAAATCTGGGATTAAATGTATCTGTACTGTTGTCTGTTACATACAGATTCAGATTCAGCTCGATGAAAGGGATGGCGAAACATTTAAAACGGGCAAACAAATTTAGAGCATTGCTCTGCTGCTGAGTAAGACAAAAGATTAAACAAACGTATGTTTCCAATTTTCCACAAAAGAAAGATAAAGAATAAAAAACAAGAACCTACAGACTATTCCTCGTCTCTTGTCTCAAAATCTAACACCTAATAATATAACTCGGCTCTCTTTGTACATGGTAACTGCAAAACCACACCAAACACGAAAACCAAAAAGCCAAGAATGATTTGCCAGTTTGGGGCAATGGATATGTTGTTTAAGCCAAAGTGTGACTCTATCTCAGAGAGCTTTGCCTTTGGCTTCTTCATGGTGCACCTGAAGAATTGTGGGTCTCATTAGAGTCTGTCTCAACAGGTTCAGAGCTTGACGAGTTGGTTGCTGAGCCTCTTTCTCTTTCTCTCCCTGCTGCTGCATCCTCTGCTGCTTCTACCTCACTCTTCTTCGCAAACCGGCCTCCACTAGCCCTTGCCCTTCTCATTGCATGCTTGTGTCTTGACTCATGAAGATATGGCTGTCACAGAAAAACAAAACGCCACAAGTTCACAAGCAAATACATAGAAAGTTCTAAATCCTTCATACTCATTTTGTCAGACTCCCAAACTGTGCTGCAAATATTATGAGAAAAAGTACCTTTCTGTTGATCACTTTCCTTTCTAGCTCTGCCTTGGCACGTGCTTTTCTTCGCCTTAGAATCCCTTCGTACTGTTTCGCATTCACATAAACAGGCTCTTGTGCCATGTCAAGTGGCAGCGCTGTTCTTTCACGAGGCATTCCAAGATATGGACGAAACCCCTGCTTCAACCATGGAGATATGCAACAGACTTAGATGATCGACATCACTAATTCTAACAAACAGAACTACTGAATCCAGAATTATTCAAGACAGCAAACACAGCCACCACTAATTTGTGGCAAGAGCACACATACATCAAATAAACAGTGCACCATATGGAAATTATTGTACAGATTCAGAGAGGTTTGGACAAGATACCAGTGGCTGATGACCATATGCTCCCATCACTCCCCCATAGTAAGGATCCTGATATGGATTTGGGACACAAGCCTGTAAAATGAAGTTTGAGCTTATCATAATGGCGTTATACAAGATAAATTATTTCAGGGACCAATAAAAAGTCAAAATAACGGCTCAAACACTAACACATCATGTATAATCAAAGACTGAGAGGAAACCACGCACCATATAGTGTCCAACAAGCTCTGGTGGTTGTACAAGTTGTGGATCATGCATGTTACGCATAGAAGCCGCCAAATGCGTAGGATCATTCCCTTCCACTCCATGGTTATCTACTGAAAATTGATGAAAGACACTATTATTACAGACGCAGAAATAATGGAAGCAATGCCCACACTTCAACAAAACCATTTAAAATGATATAACTCGAGTCACAAACCTGAGCGGGAGGAAGTTGCAGCTTGCGAATCCTTCCAAGTGCCATCGTTATCGCCGTTCAAGGCACCGTCTTCAGATGCAGAGTGAACATCGTTCGATTCAGAACCATTCGGACATTCCAAAGAAGATGAATTTGATGGAATTACAGAAGGTCTCGCTTGAGGAACGACGCCGAAAGCGTTGTTCTTCCACCAGGGCTCTGGATACATCATCGGTTGCTGCTGATCAGTATGGTGATTGACCTCCGCTTCATTTCCTCTTCCCGATTTCGATTGCATCTCTTCAAAATCAGAGGTCAACATATATGCTATTCATTAACAAGAAATCGAATCAAGGAAAAAACAGAAACACATCACTAAAACCGTGGAATATATAAACTCGTCAACCAGCTAAAAACAGCAATTTCTGGGGATGTTAAGCAATGCAAAGACATGCAAGAAAAATCTGAAATCATCTAAACTTCGTCATGCCTTGAATTGAGGATTCAAGCTACATAAGCTCATAAAGTTCAAATATTTCATAGTTTTTTGAATCCATTGACGAATTTCAGCGACAGAATTCAAATTCACAAAACAAATTAGAGGAAGAAGAGACAGCATACCGGAGGAAAATCACAGCAGAGCTTTTGCAATCGCCTTCTAGGAAGATATAACTACTCGAAAATCAAAACCCTGAGGTTATTTAATCGATCACGATTTTGCTGAGTTCAGAGGAAGAAGACCAGAAATATAAATTAAAAAAAATCGGAATTTGACAAAAACCAGAGAGGAACTTGGTGAAGAGAAGCGATTCGGAACACCCGACAGCCGGCAGTGATGAAATTTGGAAGAAGAAAAATAAAAATTGGGCAGAAGAAAACCCTAGATTTTTGGGAATTTTTCTTTTATTTGTTCCACAATCTGTATTTGTGTGTATTCTTTATATATAAATCGTTTTATCGTACAGTATTTAGTAAGATTTTAAACTAAGAAACAAATAAAGAAAAGAAGGAAAATGATTTTATCGCTCTCGGAACCCAAAAGACCGAGAGATTTGATAAGATCACCCACGAAAGTTACAAACTTTTTTGCCACGTGGCGTCCTGTGAAAGATGCCAGCGCACACAGATCTGGGATCTTCTCCGGGTGACGTTATCATAGGTTCATTTTCCTAATTTGTTTTTCCGGCAAAACTTAAGTTAACAAAAGAAGTTTGGGTCCAAGTGACACGCAAGTGATCGGCTGGGACGGGTGACACGTGGTAAACGCAGGGACCATGTTGGGCATCACAATTTGATTTTTCAAATTTTACCAGAAGAAAGCTCGCGAAAATATTTCATCCAACGTAGGAGACATCTCTACTTTTCCCCGGGAGAATTTTTAGAATTACCTTGAACTGAAGTATGTGGAAAATCTTCGAATATCGGTTTGAAGAGACGATTATTTGCTGATCCATATGAATATCGGTCAGTAGTCAGTACGTATGCTTTATCCATTTTAGTTTCTATGTTGAAGCATACGTACTATTACTGACATCTACTTTAACCAAAACAAAACAGCAGTTAGGTTTGATTTGGTGGGGGATTTGTCCTAATCTAATATTAAACTAAGTAAAAGACTAAAAAAAGAGCCTCTTAGCATGCGATTCGATTTCGAGGTACGAGAGGGTAAACTAGACAAAGTCCGGCTAAAGCCCAAAGTCATTGTCTTGTTTTGTGGGAACAGTCAGACAATACCGACATGTAATTTGTGCAGACTGTATTCCATACAACCAAATCCTACTACAAGCTAAAGCTTAAGCCAATGCTGTAAACCTCGTATTATATACATAAAATAAAGGGCCACATGCATTCTAAGATACTCCCACCGTTTTTTTAAGATGAATTTTCTAGCAATTATGTGTTGTTTCACAAAGATAATTTTTTTACCTTTTTGATGCACTTTTTCAGTTTTCAAGAAACATTGATTGTATTTGTTGGATTTTTATTGGTTTAAAATTATAAAAAGTTGTTTTATTGCAAATATCTATGCACTAATGATTGAAAATCAACTTTTTCTTAATTTGTGTGAAAAAACTAGAAAATTTATCTTTAAAAAACGGAGGGAGTAACTAATAGATGAATTGCTAGTGGTTTTTTTTTTTTTTTAATACGAAAATGCCAAATTCAATACACAGATATACTTATAGCTTGTCACATTCATTTTAGAAGAAATTACTCTATTCCACGAAAAATAAATATAAAATCTGTAACCAAACTAAGCATACATGATACATGTACGAAAGAGGGTGACAATCAATTTCTATGTGTCTATCAAGTAGATTCACTTTTTTCTTCACTTTCACTAAGATTTTTTTTTTTTTTTTTTTAGAACTAGAAGAGTATACGAAAATAATATGCAATTTGTTTTTTTTTTCTGTAAAACTAACTAGGAAAATAGAACTCTTTCTCTAGCTAGCAATATCTTTTTATTTCTTACTCACAGAATTTCACCAATCACATTCTCTCAATGTAACGAGATGAGAACAAAGTCGTGATGAGACCGAACTGATGGGATCGATGTCACTCGATCTCTGGTGCGGGGTGGTGTGTCTTATAGGCGTCTTAGAGCATGTGCAGCAGAGAGATTGTGAGAGTTTCTTTAGCCAAAAGAAAAAGAAAAAATAAAAACATTTACCTACGTGACGAGTCCCAAGGCAAGAGATGTCTCTCCAGGGGAGAGATTCCAGAACCATTTTTCTCTCCACATGTCAGCACGTGATTGGTTTTCGATTTTTTTTTTTTTTTTTTTTACGAAAATCATTAAAAAACAAAAAAAAACAAAAAATTAAAGAAACCCTCGTAATCTCTCTGCTGCACATGTTCTTATTTGCTATTCTTTGTAATTAAAAATGTCAAAAAGTTAATATAAAAAATAAGATTCTCAATTTTAAAATGAAAAAATAATTAATAGAAAACCCCAAAAGACCTGCAAGCTTGACCACCGTCTAAACTCTAAAAGTCAGCCGGAGTCCGCTCCTCACATCATCCAACGGCTCTGATTAAAAGAATCACATTCTTTTTTTGTTTCAACGTGGATTTGAAACCTGTAATCCAATAGGCTTAAATATTTCCACACGCGCCCGCCACCTTCTACCGCTTTATCCCGTCACATACGCTGCAGAGCTCTTTAACCTCCCCACTCTATCTCTCACCAGCTCTTCCGGTCACACTAGTTACCTCTCATCCGTTTTCGTTTTTCTTTAAAAAAAAAAAAAAAAAACGCTCTCTCTCTCTCTCTCTCAGCTGAGGTGATCAATCTTATTCCCCGTCTTAGATTTGTACTTTGTTTTTTTACATTTTATCCTTTCGGATCTGGAAATGTGATTCTGTCTTCGGTCCTTTACCGTGTAGATTCAGGTCTGTTGTGTTCCTGATCGCACGATTCGGCTTGCGATCTCCACCCACAGGGTAAGCTTTGTTTCACTGTTTACGGAAACTGGTGGAGCAATTTCTTCGTTAGAAAATCATTTTTAATTGATTTGTGTTTCTCTTTAGAGATAATTCATATCCTGAGCTGAACTCTCAGCTAAGAAGGAGGGAATTCACTGAGTGATTGAGATTTAAGTCAAATAGTTTGGTTTCGTGGAGTATTAAGATTTCGATTTGTGGTTGACTGTTCATTGACTCTTTCCCTGGCTATTATAAAAATTTAATTAATTTGGTTTTAAGCTAGTTGGTGTTTTGAATCATCTGTTCTTAAAGTTGTTTATCTGATTTGGTTGGTGTGAAATTTTTTGTGAGAGAATGAATGTTTGATGAGGATGTTCGTCTGAAGGATACTGAATCTAATGGTTCTTAGATTCGTTATCTTCTGGGGGTAGCAATAGAATTTAATTTTCAGACTCTTTCCTTCAGGAAATTTCCAGCATTTATTAGATCCATTTGTGGACTGGTTTGTTCTTTGAGTCTTACTTATTTCCTTTCCTTTTTTTTTTCTTGGTCAAACTTTTTATTATTAAGATTCAATAGCCTTCCTTATTTGTCTATTTTGATTTTGACTAATATATTTTCATGCTTGTTCAACGTTTCAGGCATACGTTATTGATTGATTCACCAAAAAGTGAAGCTTCCTCTATTGCTTTAAAGCATGTGTGGTCTCTCTAAGAAGGTGGATTCAGAGAGCACTCTTACATCACTGTCTGACCAAGAGAGCGATTCTTTGGCTAAACCAATGGAGAATGCTGAGTGGGAACATTCGTTTTCTGCCTTACTTGAGTTTGCTGCAGACAACAACCTGGAGGGCTTTAAGCAGCAACTCTCCGTCGTGTCTCGTATCAACCAGACGGGTCTCTGGTACATACGCCAGAGGTTTGTTAGGAGAATGGCTGTTGAGCAACGAACGCCGCTGATGGTTGCTTCGATCTATGGAAGTGTGGACATTGTGAAGCTTATTCTCTCTTTCCCGGAAGCGGAGTTGAATCTGTCTTCTGGTCCGGATAAAAGCACTGCTCTTCATTGCGCTGCTTCTGGCGCTTCTGTGAAGGCCTTGGATGTTGTCAAGCTGCTTCTGAGTGCAGGAGCAGATCCTAACATCCCTGATGCTCATGGGAATCGTCCTGTTGATGTTCTCGTTGTGTCTCCGCTCGCTCCTGGTTTGAGAACCATCCTTGAAGAGATCTTGAAGAAAGATGAGCCTATATCCGAAGATCTCCATGCGTCGTCATGTAGCTTGGGATCAAGTTTCCGTTCTCTCTCATCATCACCAGATAATGGCTCCTCTCTACTCTCTTTAGATTCAGCACCCTCTCCAACTAAGGTGAACGGTGCGGATGGAGCTTTTGCTTCGGAGAAGAAAGAGTACCCGATTGATCCATCATTGCCTGACATCAAGAGTGGGATCTATTCGACAGACGAGTTTCGTATGTTCTCGTTTAAGATCCGCCCGTGTTCTCGAGCTTATTCACATGACTGGACCGAGTGTCCATTTGCACACCCGGGTGAAAATGCTAGGAGAAGAGACCCGAGGAAGTTTCACTACACCTGTGTCCCATGCCCTGATTTTAAGAAGGGTTCCTGTAAGCAAGGAGATATGTGTGAGTATGCTCATGGGGTGTTTGAATGCTGGCTACACCCTGCTCAATACAGAACAAGGTTGTGCAAGGATGGGATGGGTTGCAACCGAAGGGTTTGCTTCTTCGCTCACGTGAATGAGGAGCTGCGTCCTTTGTACGCTTCAACAGGCTCCGGAGTGCCATCTCCTCGAGCTTCTTCTGCTGTTTCGGCCTCTACTATGGACATGGCTTCAGTTTTGAACATGTTACCAGGCTCACCCTCTGCTGCTCAACATTCCTTCACCCCTCCAATCTCTCCTTCAGGAAACGGTGTGATGCCGCATTCGTCTATGGGCTGGCCTCAACAGAACATACCGGCGCTGCATCTTCCTGGAAGCAATGTGCAGCTGAGTCGTCTGAGGTCTTCTCTGAACGCTAGAGATATTCCTTCTGAGCAGCTTAGCATGCTGCAAGAGTATGAAATGCAGCGCCAGCTCGTCAGCGAGATGTCCAGTCCTCGCTTTATGAATCATTCCGGTCGTCCCAAGACCCTGACCCCTTCGAATCTGGAGGAACTTTTCTCGTCGGAGGTCTCATCCCCTCGTTTCTCTGATCAGCTTGCTGTCTCATCTGTTCTATCGCCGTCCCACAAGTCTGCGCTTCTTAACCATCTGCAGAATAATAAGCAGAGCATGCTCTCTCCTATTAAGACAAACCTGATGTCTTCTCCAAAGAACATGGAGCAGCATTCTCTGCTGCAACAAACCTCGTCACCCCGAGCCATGGAGCCTATTTCCCCGATGAACGCTCGAATGAAACAGCAGCAGCTCCTCCATTCGCGTAGCCTTAGCTCCCGTGAATTTGGATCCAGTCTGCCCCGTGATTCAATGGCAGCTGAGTCTGGTTCGCCACTGAGTCCGTGGTCAAATTGGGATCACAACCATGGAAACAGGGTGGATTGGTCGGTACAGTCGGATGAGTTAGGCCGGTTGAGAAAATCTCATTCCCTGGCTAATAATAACCAAAACAGGGAAGGAGATGTTTCATGGGTTCAGCAGATGGCTAAGGACTCTGCATCACCTAGGAACAGCAACCGAGCCATGAACATGAATGGTGCGAGGCCACTGGTTCAAGGTGGTTCCAGCGTGAACCCTCACAGTGAGAGTCGTGAGGGGGACATTCTTGATGCGTGGCTTGAGCAGCTGCAGCTGGATCGCTAACTCAGGGCGTGAGAGAGGTTGACATTTCTGTGAAGCTGTGAAACTGATGATTTGTTTATTTGTTATTCAAGAAGGCCTCACGGAAAAGCAAATTCCGGGTAAGCGCTTTCTCGATTCTAATAACCCCTAAAATGGCTCAGTTTTTTCAGACTTCTTTCTGAAATTTCCTTGCTTTTGTTTCCTTTTCACCTCATTAAATTGATTATTGTTGTCTCTCTGTTGTATCATTTGCCAAAGGCCAAAGTGTTCTCTCCTCTTTGCCTCTATAATTATTTCCCGTATTTTTTTGTACCTCATTCATACTTGTCAAAGAACTTTGTACAAGTAAAGTAATAATAACATCTTGTTTCAGTTGATAAGATTCTTTCATTTTCTTTGCTTTACTCTGTTTTCGTATCTTCCAGTTACAGTATATCTCGATTAGCTAATAATATAGCCTAATCATAGGTACTATCGAGTAAGGTGGTGTTTTTACTTAAAACACAGAGAGTAAAGTAGAGGACAAACAAAACTGATGCAAGTTAAAAGAATTGCTTACACCTCAACATGTGAGAATAAAAATCGCAGAGAATCTCTGATTAACTCTTATAAATCCTGATTTTTAATCCCTTCTCAAATCTGAATCTCAAAGCCATTCTAAGAGATTATATGTAAGTAAGGAAAAGAATGAGAGTACTGGTGTGTGGTGGTCCTCACCACAAGCCGATGAACTTCCACCAGGCACCACCTACACCAAGCCAGATAAGAATGTTGACTATTGAAATCAAGAATCCATATCCCCACCATTTAGCCAGCGGCACGTAGTTAGCACCGTAGAAGATAGGCGCAGACCCGATACCATAGTGTGTCAATCCTCCCATCAGGTTCGAGAGGAAAGCAAGAACCAAGGCTGCAAAGTAAGGCGGAGTGCCTAGAGCTGTTGAGACCGACAAAAAGGCAGTGAACATAGCTCCAATGTGAGCCGCTCCACTAGCAAAGAAGTAGTGAGTGTAGAAATACAAGAGGACGAGGATTCCAAAAGATAGTTGCCATGACAAACCCAATCCTCCCACAAACTGCAATCAAACCCCCAAAAATGTTTTAAAAACATATCATCAGCATAATGGTCAAGTCATAAAGCATTAGTCAATGAGGTAATCATTAACAAACCTTGACTACGGTCTGGCTGAACCACTCGATGAGACCGTATTTGTTAAGATAACCAGCCATTGCAATGAGAGCAGCGAACCACGTGAGCGTGTCCCATGCGACCGACTCAGCTAAGCACTCTTTCCATGTCACAACACCCGTCACAAGGAGGACCGATAATCCAAGAATAGCTGCAGTCACAGCATCTACACTCAACTTAGCTCCGAATATCCAGAGACCAACCTGTGTCAAGTAGAGAACTTGTTTAGAAAATGAAAAATCTTGTGCCTTATAAAACACCAAAGCAGAACATTTTCACTCAATAGCAAAATGCCTCAAACAAAAGCAGAGCCTTTGCTTCATCCAAATTAAGCAGAAGCTACAATTGCAGTCATGATAGCATATACTGTCCTCTGTTCAAAAGCAATCCCGGAGAAGATTTAACAAACATAAGAACAGAGCTCATGAAGAAAAGAAGTAGTGTACCGTGAGAAACAAAGTGGCGGCCATAATCAACTCGTTCTTGGACATAGGACTCATCTTGTCAAGCTTTTCCTGAGCCAGCTTCGGTGCATCAGGGCTGCTCTTCACTGTAGGAGGATAAATCAAATACAAGGGAAACGGGACGACAATCAATGACACAAGTCCAGGGACAATCGCAGCTTTAGCCCAATCAGTCCATCCAATCGTCTGCTTGATCGTGTTGAACGCCAGGTTAGCGCTCAACGGATTCGCTGCCATAGCCGTCAAGAACATGGAGGAAGAGATCACGGAAGTCTGGAAACAGGTGAGCATCAGCCATGACCCAAGCCGGTGCTCAGTCCCGTCCCCAACGTTGCTACCGCAAGCGACGCAGAGAGATTTCACCAGCGGGAGGAAGATTCCACCGGCACGAGCAGAGACGGAGGGAATCGCCGGAGCCAAAAGAGCCTCGCTGAAGACGAGACTGTAACCGAGCCCGAGAGAGGAGCTCCCGAAGAGTCTAACGAACTGGTACGCCACGCGGTTGCCGAGACCGGTCTTGATGAAACCGCGGGCGAAGAAGAAGGCGAGAGCGATGAGCCACGGGATCGGATCTCCGAAGGCGGAGAAGGCGGCCGCGAATGTCAGGGTTTTGGTGAGAACGGAAGCTCCTAGTCCCAATAGAGCGACCGCGCCGAGGGGAAGCGGCTGGGTGATGATCCCGACGATCGTGGCGAGGAAGATCGCGAGGAGTTGCCACGCGTTTTGGGTGACTCCCTCGGGAACCGGGAGGAACCAGATAATCACACCAGTGGCGATCGATGCGAGAAGCGGCTTAATCGCGGCTCCCTGCCATGGCGCCGGAGCTGGGACGACGGGGGACGGAGAGGAGGAAGAGGAGGCAGCGGCGGCGGAAGAGGCCTTAACGAGAGTTGATCTCCGGGTGAGATTGACGGGAAGTGGAGATTTGACAAAGGAGTTGAGATTGGAGATGCGGGAATTGGTAGATCGGAGAGGAGGTTTCAACAAATTGAGAGAGGAAGGAGGTCGAGGGAGAAGGAGAGATCGAGATTTGAGGGGAAAGGCAAGAGAGCAGGAGCCGGAGAGAGCGAGAGACGCCATTGTTGTAGCGTCGGCGAGAGAGTAGGAGGTGAAGTGAAGGGGGGGGGAAGAAGGAAGTGTAGTAGGAGAGAAATGTGAAAGGAGAACCGTTGGATGGGGAAATCGGACGGTGGATGCGGAAAAAGGAATCTACGGACAGAGATGAGTGAGTGAGTGATCAGATACGGCGATGAGTTTGAGTAATAAGTCGTGAGGTGGAAAAATTGAGATCTCCGTCTTTGGTGGGTCACCTCAATATCTATTGGCTAAAATACTATCGAAAAGCCATATGGTCTTTTCAAAAGATCGAACGTGAAAATACAAACACACAATGCCAAAATTTCTAGTATTAAGTTAACTTTTATTCTGAATATTCTTAAAAAATAATCTGTGTGTCCAATGAAAAGTTAACTGCAATGGTACTATTATGATGACACACACAAATTCATAGGTTTTGTTTAGGCTATTATTTTTCGAACCTCGAAAGGCTATTTCAAAGAAGATATGATGATGACACACACAATGTCTTTAATCTGCTTGATACAGCTAGGTTTCCGAATTCATCAAATGTTTGCCCACGCATTTCACGGATTGACTTTGAACCCAAAAATACAAATTATTCAAATGTTTTCTTATATAATACTCCCTCCGTTTTTTTAAGATGAATTTTCTAGAGTTTTCACACATATTAAGAAAAAGTTGATTTTCAATCATTAGTATATAGATTTTGGCAATAAAACAATTTTCTATAAATTTAGACCAATAAAAATCTAACAAACCAATTATTGTTTCTTGAAAACTGAAAAAGTACTTCAAAAAGCTAAAAAATTTATCTTTGTGAAACAACAAAAAATGTCCAGAAAATTCATCTTAAAAAAACGGAGGGAGTATGAATGTCTGTCTTTATTTCTTCTTTTATTAATGGATGTTTACATTTCATAGAGTAATCATTACACATATGGCACGTGAAGCCCTAGTACGAGGATATTATTCGAAATACAAAACAGTCTCTAACTTTCATCTATCTATAACAGTGTATATTTGCATTTACGTGTGGCTAAGAATCTCTTAAGTATAATCCGCAACAGAAAAGGAATAAGACGACGTAATCTCATAGGTTTTGTTTGAAGTTGAAGTAAAACGAAGGAACCTCATCAGTGTTGATCAATTGGTCAAGGTCCCAATATTCTTCCATTCTCATACTCTCAGGTACGTTTCCAGCGCCGTTAGTGTTTATATCATTTAAGTGGTTGTTAATATCTGCCTTGTACCAGTCACCTTCTTCACAACCCAAAGGTGGAAAGTAGAGTTCACCTTGTAGCCCTGTGTTTACTGATCCATATAAACCATCTGCATAAGGGGTAAAATCGTCATTGCACGGGTGGCTGATCATGTGTGGTGCTGGAAATGGATTGTTGATGGTTGGTATGTGGGAGAAAGAGGGGTTGAGGAATCCTTGTTCTTGTAAGGACATAAAGCTTCCTATAATGTCTTTAAGCTCCAAAGAAGAGGTGGAATTAGAGGAGGAGTCGCTTGTGTTGGGTGATGAGGATGAGTTGTTGATGGGGTTGGATGTATCAGACATCTTCTTTAGCCTTTTCTTTATTGTTGAGTTCCAAAAGTTTTTGATCTCGTTGTCGGTCCGACCAGGCAATCGTGCTGCAATCTGAGACCACCTATGAAATCAAAGACGAAGCAAGAGAGAGAGTTGTTTGATGAGACGATGTTATGTACAATTTATACAAGTGCATGGTTTTTGCATGGGAATAAGAAACTATCATAAAAAGTGCACAATCATTTTGTACTGCACTGCGTGTTTATAATGGTTTATCAATATCTTGGAATTTTAGCCTTTTGGTGTGTAACAAAATGTTGTTTTGTAGGACTGTAATATGTTTGAACAAAAAAAAAAGGACTGTAATATAAATTTTTACTAATTTTTCCCCTCTCGGAGATTATAAAATTGTAAAAGATAGTCGAAGTTCAATAGTCGATTTATAATAAAACGTTATACAGAAAATATTGAAGAAACATCATCTTTTAATTTTGAGAAAAAAAAACCTTCAGGAAACATTTCATGCGTGTGTTTCTTGAGAAAGTGACAGAAAAAAAAGCTTATAATTAAAAAGATGAAAGTTGAAGTAAAACCCTAAAGAAGAGAAGTAAAGGTGGTAAAGAGACAAAAGCCGCTTTCACTAAAACAAGTGTTTGTTGCACTCTTAAGTCTTACAGCCACGATTAACGAACTTTGACCACTCACATTGTTACATGTAAATGTATTCTCCTACCTAATTTGGTATTTTGCGTCTATTTTCAATTGTAACTATTATTATCTGAATCAACTTTATATCGGGTCAATTTTCTTCACAAACAATCATTTAGACCTTTGAATTTAAACCGTTATCGTGCCAATGAAGATGCGAACCAAACTAAATGTGTGTCTAGCTTAAGAAACATATCAAAAACATATATAGTTTACGATCTAACTCAAAATTTTGGTCGTTTTAAAGTGGTATTTTAAAGTTGGCTGGCTTTCTATGCTTTTATACCTTTCACCCATTAACCAAAAAAGAATTAAGCGAGAGACGCACAAATAAAAAAAACAAGATTCAGCTAAATAATGGTAATTTGCTACACTAGTTAGCTAATTATTATTACTTTTAAAGTTGTTATGTAAAATGATGGTAAAAATATGAACCTGTTGCCGAGGATGGAATGAAAGCGAATGATGAGTTCTTCTTCTTGAGGAGAGAAAGCGCCACGCTTGAGGTCAGGACGAAGATAGTTGATCCAACGAAGACGGCAGCTTTTGCCACATCTTTGAAGGCCTGCGTTTTTGGCGACATCACTCCAACATCCTTGCCCATTGCTTATCATGTATTGCATCAGCTTTGAATCTTCCTCTGGAGACCAAAGTCCCTTCTTCATCTTCTTTACTTGCTGAGTGGCTCCAATTGCTGCCTCTGGCTTCCTCATTTTCTGTTGAGATAATTGTTTCTCTTAATTTTGTTTGTCTTTCTCAAGGATCGATTTATTGATGTGAACGAGTGAAGTTTGGTTTTATAAATGAGAGAGAAAAGAGAGAAGACTTGATGAAGGGAGAATGATGATGATGATGAAAGGGATGGTTGTATGGTTTGCTTACAATTCTGGGAAGAGAAAGAAACCATTTACACACCAATTTTCTTCTTCTTCCTTTTTAATCTTTATTTCTTAATTTTAGTATAATTTTGTTTTCTACGATATAATATAGGTGCGTTGCTTTGGTTTAAAACACATAGATATTCCGAACCGCGGCTCTTTTCAAATTAATTTAATATTTTTTTAGTCAGCTAATATTGTTTGAGGTAAATAAAATACACCAACAACAAATGTATGTTCGTATATAACTAATCTAAGCAAAGGGAGGAACGTTAGTTGATCGGTCATGGACGAAAACGGTTTTGAGAGAGACCCGAAATGCAAACATCAAAGACAAAAAGGAGAAGTGCTCTTCACTTGTTCTTTTTTTTCTTTTTGAATATATAAACCATTTATATTAGTTTCTTCATTCACAAGGTATAAATTACAGACGTTTCTAATTCGTTAACCTTACGTGTGTATATAATATATATATACACACACTACATATATAACACTAAAATATTTTCACGAGCATGTCTGTTTTCTATTCGACGATGTCTTCATTTTTAAGGTAAAGCAAATGTTCTGTTATTATTTCATTAATTTAATTGTGGACGTATATAAGCATATTGCGATTTTATAAATAATAAATGGACGTGTGTCATAACCCTTGTTTGTTTGTTTTACATGAGGCTTAGCCGAGCAAGAAGTTTTGCTTCGGCTTTACACAACCACCTCTCGCGCACCAACACGTATACTTGAAGAAATCAAATTATTGGAATGGAGAATATAGTATACTCCTTTAATTATCGATATAATTTATGTTTCTATTAATATAAACGTGGGTCATGATTTTTAACTTCTCGATTTACACTCATTTATATGATTCATAGTATTAATCTTTTGCCCAGCCATCCGGAAAAAAGGGAACTTTTTATACAATCATAGATAAAGTACAAAAGAAGTCAGAGTCGACCAAAGATCTTAGGTTTTAGGGAAGACGCATATGTTTTGGTGAATTCTCTTTGATTCTCGTTACCTCTTGTAAGAGAAGCTAAAAGATGTCAGGGGTTAAAGACTATATCCGAATGAACACATCCGTTTTCTGTTTTTTTAGTGATTTAGTTATAATTAAAAAAATACGATGGCGAGTAAAAATGTCGGATCAAGAACATGAGACAAAAGTCAGCGTCCTGGACATGACACAAAGAGAAAGATTGAAATCGCATTTTCCACAAGCTCCCGCAATTACACTCTTATTGTCACACCCGTTGAATTTAACCAGTTTTAAGTCCATTAAAATATAAACTTAACTATTAAAGACACGTAAGCTAAAACTAGCCCTAAAGTGTAACTCTAAAGTCTAAACGCAGAAAACTAGAGAAAAATAATCGCATTATAAATGACAATACAGTAGTGTGAGGTTAAATACTGTTGAAAGTGTAGGGTCATGTGTATATTAAACTGTTTTGAGATGATAACGGCAGCCTCAGATAATTTATTAATATTAATCATGCTTCATGCATACAATAATATCATTTTCCTAAATGAAGACAAAGTGGTTACTAACTAGGAAAGCAATTATCACCCATGAGAACAGAGCCCCAAAATAAAGTAAAATTAACAAACTACCATTGAATGAAAGCATTAGCTTAAACTTGAATCTTACTTTACAGGGTGATGTATCTTAACCTATAATTTTATATATGTAATGTATATCTGTTTTTCTTTTGATATATAAAAAGATAATTAATTAAAGTATTACTCACTTCAGGGTATATCATTTTGGTGACAAAATCAAATTGGTTAATCATTATGCATTTTCGTTAAACTGGTGGTGGAGAACTTTTGATTACACTTGTTTTTTATTAGATTATCTTTGAAGAAACACAGACAAATGGACTTGATGTTCTTTCAACTATTTCACTATCGGACACGTCCATATCTTCATTATTATCACCAATTGTAATCTTTAATTAGCAAAAAATACTTAAAAAAAATACTAGCTAAACCAAAATTTGACTAAAAAAAAGAGTCAATTAAAAAAAACAAAAGTGCAACAAAAAAGTCATAGAAGAAACTTCATCTAATTATTTCATGCGTTTTATTAGGCTGTGAACAGCTACTAACTTACAATTATTAAGCTGCCATTTTGTTTTATTTGACCTTTTATTGGATTTGCTTTGAGGCGGTGTTAAAAGAATAAATTAAAATTTGCCTTCTCATACAGCCTACTTGCTGCTAAACCGCGTCGGCCACGACGGTTTCAAAATAATACAGTCAGTCAACACAAAGGAATAAGTCATTGGGTCATAATAACACTTCAACCTTTAATTTAATTTCAAGAAAAATGTACTAAACCTAAAAATGTAGTAGGACACCACTATGTTTTTGTTAATGGAGCACCACTAAGTTGAACGAAGTTCATTAATATTTCCAAATAAGGATTTACAAAAAAAGGGACTATTAGAAAGTAGAAACAAACTGCAAACAATTCGGATAGTTATTCACTCACAAAACGTATACGGTCGATTTCGTACATACGACCTTTCTCAAGCTAAGGTAGAAAACTTGGCATTAATTAATGTTATTACATGAAAGTCAAAAAATAATATAAGAGAATATTGAACATAGGAAATAAAAACAAGAATTGACGAACTTCATCGATCATAAGCTGCAGAATCTGAATCTGTAACCGGAGGAGGAGATGGCGAGAAATAACGGTAAGGAGAATAAGTAGTTGGAGGAGAAGGAGCTTTGTATTTGTAATGTGGGAACTTATGATTTGATGATGAAACAGAGGAATAACCATAAGCTACGGCAATCATGGTGATGACGACTGTGAGAACCATCATGAAGACGAAGCGTGTAGACCATGATCGTCTCATCTTCGAATCCCAAAAAGAGAATTTGAAGGTTTTTAGACTTTTGTTTTGGAAAAGTTCGGTCTTGTGGGTTAGATAGATAGGTTCCTCAATTATATAGAGCGTAATAATTATATTAACGAAGTCAAAGGTTTTGGTGTTATCATCTTTTATTTTTTATTGTTTTGTTTTACCTTTTCTCCTAATGCTACTTGGTGTGGGAGAAGTTTGACTGGATTTCGTAAGATATCGTTAGACTGGATTAAAAATCTAAAGTAATTTTGAGAATTTACAGAAAGAATATAGAATTTAAAGAAAAACACGGGAAAATATATTTTGTGATTTTATTGTTCTTTGAATCTTTGTGCATCTTTCTAAATGCTAATGTATATCCTACTACATGTAACAATATCGGAATTATTCTGTAGGGATTTTTTGGATATTCTTTTTCTTTGATTCATTTTTTTTTGTAGACGATAATTTTTCAATAATTTTATATGTTATTAAGTTTTCTATTGATATCTTTCAATAATTTTTTGGTGTATTATTTAGACTATTATCTTGCAATTATTTTATATTTTTAGCTTCTTTGTTGTAAAAAGTTTGATCAAAAGAAAATGTAAGGGGCGATACACTGGTCAAAGATGTTTGCAAAATGCCTACAAAAAAAGAGAAATGCTTCGTCTTTCCAAGAGTCAAGAGACGTTAAAACATATCACAAAAACAGAGGATACTGAACTTGTGAATTTCTAGTCTCGAAAATGGTAGAGATCTCGAGATAATAAATAACCCACACTGGTTCCTATCCTCATCTTACTTCATAGCCCAAACCCCACACCTTATCTTTTGTTATGTAACTATGCCAACAATGTGATGTGACGATCATCCATATTATGTCACAACACTTGTGTGGTCTAACAACCGGTCATAGTATCTATTCATTTTTCCAATATATGACTCTCAATAAGATGCTTATAACAACAACAAAAATGCTTATATAAACCACCTATGTTTCTTAATTAATTATTGACTTTCTTAACCATTGCATGATTAAGAAACTCTTGCAAACCAATGACAGAAGACCCATTAGTAACTCCATCCTCCATTGCTCCTCTCACCAACTCTCTCACCTCTTTAGCCTTTTTCCTAATCTCTCTCCCAACTCCACTCTCCTCATCCATCACCAATCTGATCTTCGCAACAATCTCATCGCATTTAATATCACATCTCTTCCCACGCGCCACCTCCACCGACACCCCAATATGTTTCTCTACCAACATCGAGTTAAAGAACTGCTCTCCGGCCATAGGCCAACCTAGCAACGGCACACCGTGGCTAAGCGACTCGAGTATCGAGTTCCATCCACAATGACTCAAAAACACACACGTTGCCTTGTGTGACAATATATCAACCTGTGGTGCCCATTTCTTGACAATCACTCCTCTTCTTGATCTCTCGATTCTCTCCTCAAACCCTTCCGGTAAAAACTCTTCCAAATCAAACTCTTTATTCACATCCACACCTGTCGGTGGCCTCACGACCCATATGAAGTTCTTCTCGCAACTCTCTAATGCCTTGGCCAATTCTAACATATGCGTTTGAGAAATCGAGTTCATGGAACCAAAACATACGTAGAGAACCGAATGATCCGGTTTTGAGTCGAGCCATGCCTTCACAGCTTCCTCCGTTGACCTTGATCCGGTCTTCTCCCCCGGAGGAAGCAAAACCGGTCCGACCGCCCAAACCGGTTTACCACCGGTTATTCTACGGAAGTAGGATAATCCGATCTGGTCGATTTCCGCAACCGTGTTGAACAAGAATCCGTCGAAATCAGACCATCCGGGGAGATTCTTCTTCATGAAAACCGACCAATCATCGCTTCCGTCGGCTTCTAACATGAAATAGTTCAGCTGAGTTTTTTCAATCTCCCCTGCTTCTTGGAAATCATGTAAGAGAAACCGATCTTGTGTGGTTTGTTTGTGTGGCAAGTTAAGCCATACGGATCTGTAACAGCCTAAACCAAAAGCACCAGAAGCACTGAAGATCGCTGAAGAAACACCGATCTCTTTGCAAACCTCACCGATCCAACCCAAGAAGAAATCGCCGATCACCATAACCGAGCTCTCTCCATCGTTTTCTTCCTTCAAGATCTTTGTCATCATGTCTCGGAATGGCTCACGGAGCGTTCTTGAAGCTTCTAGAAGGGTGATGACGAGAGAGTAAGGGAGGGACTCGAAATTCTCTCCGTCGTGAGGGAGGCCGTGGTCGGAGCTGTTGAAAGGTAACTCGATGAGTCGTATGGAGGATTTTGGTGGAAGATTGGATCGGATTCTGGGGATGTTCAAAGGAGTGTTGACAATAGAGATGGTGGTGTCGAGATGATTGTCGTCGTCTCTGTTCATCGTAAGCTTCTCTAAACGAAGGGCTAAAGCTACAAAAGGGATGATATGGCCTTGTCCCATGAAAGGAAACATGACTATTTTTAGGTTTCTGGGTTTAGTTTTTGCCATTTCCGGAGGAGAAACGAGATTCGTGGTTGAGTTTTTTACCGTATTGATAACGTTTTCAGGTTTCACACAAGAAAATGATGTGTTTATTTGGTCTGAAAAGATAAGAGAGAGCGTTTCAAAAGATTATCCTCTACACACACACACACTATTTGTCACCTCGATTGGAGGGGCATTTTGGTCAATTCACGTTTCCATATTTCTGCTTTTTTTTTTTTCCTCATTATCGTCCAATTCTTTTCCACGAATTTACTAATGGTGTGTGTGACGTTACGTGCTTTGGAATTTGGACTAAAACAAATATTTTCCAGATTACGGAGTCTTATTTTCTTTGGCCCCACCACATACAAAATGGGCTTCCTAACTTTACGTGTGTCTTTTTTACCCCTATACTTTTGATAATAAACAAATTTCGACTCCTAAAGATTTACAAAAATTGGGGACCCTTTCGTCGTCGCTCCACTTGCAAAACTGTTAAATTCACCCTGTTTTATCTTGATCATGCAATTAATTATGTTCTTAAATCGAAGATAAGACAAAAAAAAAAAAAACTTATAAATTTTGAAAAGAGACCCAATTGGTCACACTTTGTTCGACACGGACAACAAAAGTTAGGGTAATACTGTTACATAGAAAAACGAACAAAATCTATTTGACAACTAGTTCTGTATTCGAAAGTGACTAAAATAACCTATATATCCTTGACAAACATATGTAAAAAACACCACTGAAGCCTAAGAAGTAACACAAGAAAGACATAAACCAAGAGAAAAAAAAAAACAATCAAATTTGATTAGACTAAAAAGTGTGACAATTTTTGTTTTGTGTTTCTTCTTAATTTGGGTTTTTGTGTAAGGTTCTTTTTCAGCCTAATGACTTGTACCTGCAAAGAACCTTACACCTCAAAACCCTATCTTGCACATAAAACCCAGGCATCACCATAACCTTAACCCTCGCTGGTCCACGTGTCGATGATGATCTCTGCCTGTCTCTATCTCCGCCCATATCTTCCATATAACTCGACTCAAACACTCTGTTCTCCTCAACCCTCAAGATCCCTAGCGCTGGATTGAACGAGAAGGCAAGCAAATGAAGCAGCCATACACACTTTGCAGCCACAAAGAATGCTTGCAGCATCTGTTCAGACCAAGGTCTTGTCCAACTCAACGTTGTAATGATCAAACTCATCTTCTCGTCGCAGAATCTACTGAACTCTTCGCTGTAGTACTTTGTACCTTTTTTCAGCACCTCGTTCCAGCTCAAGTTTCTCAAGGAAGCGAAAGACGAGAACTTCGCTTGTCGGTCTTGTTCCGGATCTAGAAGTTTCGGCTTGCCGTTCTTCTGGAAAACGCAGTTCTCGAAATCTTGGTACACAGATTGGCTTATGATCGCTTCCAAGTGGTACTGAATGATTTTGGAGTACTTTGAGGTGAATGTTAAGTTGTGAGGTTGAAGGAGAGTGTTGATGTTACTGATTAGAGTAGAGTCTTCTTCATCGATCTCTGTAACTAATGTTTTCAAGAACTGCTTTATCGACAATCTTGCTTCCGACACAATCTGCAAGAACCCTTCAACCATCACTTCTTCACTCACTGGCATCTCCGTGTGCTTCTTATTCGCTGAGCTTCTTGCAACATTATTATTATTGTTTTCCTGTGAGACTACTTCTGTTGCTTCTCTCAAAGCTTTCTTCAAACTGTCACAATAACTTTCCAAGTACTGAAGCTTCTCACCTAACTCTCCCAATGAAGATTTCATCTCTGAGACTTGTGTTAACGCAGCATCCCTACTTCTGTTTGCTTCCATCAATTCTCTCTTCATCTTCTCAACTCCCGAACCAGAATCCTTCAACACCTCAGAAACTTCTTCTGATTTGTCTGTTCTGTTAGGAGAGTTAAAGATCGAATTGCTCTTTTGCTTCTTCTTTAACTTTGGGAATAACCAAGACATCACTCTTCCTCCACGGTTCCGTGGCTGAGAAGAAACAACAGCGGAGTGAGAATCCGTCAAGGGCACAACAAGATTAGAGCTCTTCAGGCTCTTGGTGTCGAAACCTCTCTGTTTGTACTCATTGCAAGAAGAGACCGATCTGAAGTCAACCGAGCCGCAGTTGCTTCTACCGGAAGTATAAAAAGGTAACGGTGGAGACCTGAGAGCGTCCGACATTGTGTAAACATGAGACGGATGATGATGATGATGAGAAGAATCTTGATGAGGCGTTAAAGTCTTTCTTGAAGTTGAGGTTTTGTAAGAATCAGAGAGATAAGTAAGTCTCATCAAGTCTTGATCTTCATGGTCTCCATCTACTAAACCAACACCAGATTCATCCCAATTCTCAGATAGAGTGAGATTCTTGTGATGAAATGCAGAGACAGGCTCATCCTCATAGCTCTGTTTCAAGAATCAAGACAGATAGATAAATTTTCAGCAGAGAACATGTTTTGTAAGTAACAAGAAAAAGAACACAGTAACTTCTGTCCAAATTCAGAACAGTATGTCAGCTAAGGACAAAAGAAAAACAACGGTTCTACCAAATTCAGGTCTTTTTCTGTTTGTCTTTATACTTCACAGTGGTTTTAAATTATTAAAGTGACTTAACCAAATTATCATCTTTCTGTATCTCGAAATTATAGACGGTCTGTGAAGATCCAAAACGCATAAAGACATGTAAGATAAAAGTTGATTTTAAATAGCAAAAGTAGGATACTGGAATGCAATAATTAACGAGCCTAAACCGGAATTAACCTGATAAATCTCGGGTTCGATGAAATTTATAAATAAGAAAATGTCTTTAAAAATCCAAAAGCTTTTAAACAAACGCAAATTCCCACGTATAATGTCGAAATCAATCAAGTTTGAGATAAGAAAAAGTGGAAAAAACAAACACTCATGGAACCAAGAAGGGAGATAATGAGAAACAGAGAAGGAGAGAGAGAGAGAGAAGTTACAGGAGTGAAAACAGGGTAATCATGAGCAGAGAGGTTGGGGAGAGGACGAGAAGCTGGAGAAGGAGCAGAGGAGGAAGAAGGGTTTCTGAGACTGTAAGTAGAGGATGGGCTTGACTTGTGCAAGAGACCTTGTTGAAACGCTCTCGCTTTCACTCCGTTTGCTATGGCCTCTTCTTTTTCTCTTCTCTTATCTCCTCCGTTGTTCAGTCTTGTTTCAGAAGAAGCCATGAAAGAAGAAGAAGAAGAACGAGGGAGGGAGAGGGAGAGAGAGAGAGAGATTGTGAATGCGATAGAGCGAGGAAAGGGTGTGTGTGTGTGATGAGGATGATGTCTGTGTGAGAGAGAGAGAAAATCCAAAGAATGTTCTGTCTCTCTTCTCTAAAAAGGACTCATAAAAAGAGCGCATGTGAACGGCAGAGACCATTTTACCAAATTTTACATAACTGCCCCGCGATTTTTTTCCTTTTCATTTCAATTTACTCTGTTCTTTCTTTCTTTCTCTATCTATCTTTTGTTTCTTTGGTAAATGAACAATTGAACAGTTTAAATAAAGATTGTCGTCTATGTGTTATCAATCGACAATCAAAACATTTCTCTGAACAACTATTCATTACAAGTTTTGTTTCTATTTTAGAAAGTTTTGTTGGATAATGGATATAGATCTGTAGCTAGATTTACTTACATCCACACTTAATTATACAAGAAAAAACTATAGAATTAAAATGTTTGTTCTTACCAGGAATTCTATTGAGAACTCAATTCTATTACTAAAGAAGTATTGTTTCCATCTCAAATTTTAAAAATCACATATACATGTATACTACGAAAATAGAAAAAACATAAAATAGGGATAAAATCACCACAAAAACCAGAACAGGTAAAAAATCTCTTAAAGTCAATAAGCCAAAAGTTATTGATCTTTTTGTGTGTTTGTTGTTAATTGTTATGTTATATAAAGTTATTGATCTTTTAGTTTGTAGCTAAGTACATGAGGCATATATATAAGTAGTAGATCTCAAAAAGGAATCGAAGATAGTGAATAACTAGTATCGGCAGTTCGGTTAGTGACTTAGTGCACTACAAACAAATTATGAAAAAAGAGAGGTGGATGAGTTTAACTTTTTGCCGTGGAGAAAAAACCCCACTCGTAAAAATAATAACTCGTTTTGATCCCCAAATCTCAGAAGAATTGGTGTTTATATTAGAAAAAAATAGGTCATACCTTAGTTAGTTAAAAGCTAAGAAGACTTTCTGACAAAACCGGATTTGTTTAGTAGAAGATAGAATTCTGTGTGGAATTGATAATTTCTTAAGAACTGTTTTGTAATAATGCTGCAAAGTCGAGTTGTTTACATCATGAAGAGAAGAAGTCAAGAAACTAATAAAAATATAGATATAGTAAAGTATTAATAATTGAAAGATGATAAAATCATTGTTAAGTAATTGGTGTTTAACTTTCAAAACCAAACCCACCAAACCAATATATAAAGTAGAGAGAGCCTAACCTAATAAAGCGTTTTGACAAACCCTCCACATGCGTAAAAGTATGCCTTATAGCCTTTTTCTTGCCTTTTTCACCGATGGAACCGGGAATGCTTTTCATTTTCTTTACACTACTTCTCTGTTACCATGGTTTCTCTTTTCTAAAACATGTCTCTTAACAGTTCCAATTTCCAAAACTGGGATTTGTTTTCTTATCCTTGAGTGTGACAAATGATATCAGCCAAACATTATTGGTCTCTCTTGTAGTGTGCTTAGACCAAAATAGTTTTTAAAATATTTGATTTACTGGAAAATAGTTTGTAATACCGTGCAAAACAAAAATGGACATGACCGACCCAAAAGCATGCGTAATAATATATTAGTATTGGTCCATGCATACTGTATGGAGGACCATTTTATGAAAACAAAATTCTTATTCAAGCGTATGAAGGCGACACAATATATGGAAAAGCCAAGATAATCAAAAGATGTAGCTTAATTCGCATTTATTAATAGAGTTTTCTTGTGTTAATTTGCAGAAGAAAACAGAAGAAGAATTTGTCATTCACAAGAGGATTTTAATTGTGCTGAGTACGTATACTATTTTTGGAACCGATTCAAGCAAAACTTCTATTCATACATAATCTCGTAAATGATTGATTTCAATCTTACAAACCTAGAAGCCCACTCGAGCTAGTAGATGCTACAATTAACCTTCTCCAGTTTCTGATGTAGATGAGCAATGTCTCTGTGCGATCAAAAGCAACGACGCTTTCTGCAGAATCACCAATCTCCATTCAGTTATTCACTATTCTGTGACTCACCAACAAATCCCTTTGCTTCACTGGTTTGTTTTATTAGCCGAGCACAACTAACACTAACCTAAGATCATGTTCATAAAGACTAAAACTGATTGATACCAAACTTGAATGAATACCTGAGTTCCAGCTACGATCATGCTGTTGAGAGGATGTGCAGTGCAACCTGTGACAGTTTCAGACAATGAAACAAACTTGTTACTGTGATTACACCTGTCCCTGTTCTCCTTCCCCTGTGAATCCTCACTGCAACAAAATATCAGCAATATCAGGAATCTAGCCATGAAGTTGAGAGAGAACATAACATGTATGGACACTTTCCAGGAAATCCTTACTCGTAGTCGACGTGACAAGGAGACCTGGAGCTTGGATGAAAATCAAGAACATGAATCCCTTTCTCGCTCATGGATCCAACCACATAGATCTGCAACAGGAAACATGTAATTTGGTATGGAAAGTAAGGTGAGGTCAGGAAATCTGAAGTAGCGACTGTTAATGGTAGTTAGTACAAAGTGCAAGTCTTACAGATGATGTTGGCAGCCATGAAGGTTTCCGCAAGATCAAATCAGCTGAATTGCTGGAACCATCCCTAGTGAACCAAGATCCAATATTTTAGCTTTTTTTTCCGAAGTTTAGATCAACTTAATAGCCTTCTTGTTACTAATTAAGCTGCAAGTTACTGAGTTTGTTTATTAACTTACAACCAAGCTGGAGGAGGGCAATGTACATGAGTAAGCTGAGATTTATGAATGTCAACAACACCGGACCTGCACTAGAGAAACCACACCAAAGGAAAATGATAAATGATATAAAATCAACGAACGAAACGAAACATAAAAATAGTGTTTTGTTTCACCATGAACTGTTGATGAAAGAATGACTTACCAACCATCGTCAAGGTGAAATGCGAGTTGATGAGGAGCAGATGGGTTTACATTAATGGAATGGATTTCCTTTGAGACGATTTCTGACTGTGCCTGCAAATTTTTCAAATTTCGATTCAAACTTTTTCTAATGCTGTCAGATTCACACATGATCATCTGCTGGAAGTTTCGAGATTGATATGATTCCCACATTACTATTTCTGTATTCACAGTAAGCAGCTTTCAGGTTTTGAGAGCATGTCAGGAGTCTAAAGTACAGTTGATTCAGATAAACGAATTCTTGAAAGAAAAAACCAAAGAAGCCAGAAGTTACCTTAAGAGATGCGATCTTCCACAGCATCGGTGCAAGACAAAGAGATACTACAGGTAAGTGGTTCATCTGAACGTCACCAATATCAAAACGTGATGACAAATACATGTTTGGCAGAGCCAAAGAAACACGAGAATGAAGGTAATTTATGTAGACAGAGAAAATATTATGCACTTACATCTTTGCGGCTCTGAAAAGCAGTAGAGTTTCTTCCTCCACGAAGATCCCAGATATGAATGCTTCCTTCTTTACCAGCTCCAAAAATAGTCTACACGGTAGTCACAAAGAAGAAACAAACCTTAAAATCTGGAACCAAATGATTACTGCAGTTTTCATGGATAAGAAGAAGTCTACTGGGCTTGGGGATGTCTTATATTACCTGATTATCTACATGTATCTGAATACTATTGATTACATCATATTTGTCTATTGAAAGTTCGATGCATGGAGACACGCCAGCTCTTCTATCCCACACATGAACTTTACCAGACGTATCTGGAGCATATATTCTGCATAAAGAACAAATACTGAACAAAAGTAGCTACAAAGAAGCTATAACAGTTTTGTATCGCCTTTGTACAAACCTTGAATCTCCATAACTAGTAATGGCAACATCAGATAAACCATTAGATATTTTGCGGCCAACGATCGAGAGCTTCTGTTTAGTTTGCAATTCCTAAATCACAATTGGAAAATCCGTGTGATGATGCGGCCTCAGGAGTTGGAACCAGAAGCAGTTAAATCAGTGAGACCTCAAAATCAAATGTTTCAAAAGCATACCTCAGTTGGTTTGGAGGACATGTAACTGATATCGAAGATAGAGACTTTATCCCGTTTCCTCGATGTGCAAGCTACCTATTGGAAATATTATAGTTTTGCTCATTAAAAGAATGTTATATGAAAATGTAAGTTGTAACAAAGATTGTTGTTGAGGCCATACCTCATTCTGGTTTGTAGGATTCCATCTAGCGACATCGAATTCCTTACCCGGAGGAAAAGACAAATGCACAACATGCTTTTCCTCATTTTCCACACAACCTATCGTTGATGACTCTCAGGATTCAACAACTACAATGCTTGCTATTAAAGAGTAGCTAAGAAGGTTGTTTGAAGCTTCACCTGGGCCAGCTTTACTCTGACAATATAGAGTGTCAAAGTCATGCACGGTCAGGCAACCAGTTCTTGTGACAGACACTATGTATATTCCCTGAAAAATGGTAATAAGAAGAAAGACACTCACAAAGACTTGGTTTTGCACTAAGCAGATGAGAAATGTTGAAACAAGACTGAGAAAAGTGATTGTTGAGGAGAAGTCACCTTGTTGTCAAACTCAAGCCCCGTAACACCTCGCCTGGAAAAACCAAAGCGAACGAGTCCAAACTTGTGAACCATTCAATTACAAAACTCGGCTTCATAGTTTAAATGCTGGAAAGACAAGAGAGACTGACTGACTGACCATGTCGAGTGATACGGGTGTATGTCGCGAAGGATCCTCTCGTTGATCTGAAATACAAAACTCTTAGCTCTCCACAAAAATAAACTGCTCCAAAAAAAAAAATCAAACACCGATGGGAATTCGTACATGGGTTTGACATAGCACACCGTTCGCGTGATAAAGATGTGGAAAATTCCCAATCTTTGGCCGCACAAAACAAAAACCCAATCAAACGAAAATGTCGATTCAAATCAGCGAAAAATAGGAAAGCGGAACGAGAGGGTTAAAGTAAACCTCGGAGTAGGAATGAGCAAGACGAGTGTACAATTCGTGTCGGTACTCTGCCTCCAGTCGCCCATTCAATTCGATTAAAGATCGCTTCCATTGTCGCCTTCAAAAGGGTCGATATTTTGTTTGACAGACAAAGAAATGAGGAAAGGAAACAAAAACCCAGTAAACGATCGAATTACCTGACAACTGGTGTAGATTTTGGCGACGGCGGAGCCAAGAATTTCTCCATTGCTTCACTTCCTCCGATTAACTGGGACTCTTCGTTTTCCCGCCTTTTAGTGTGTGTGCGCGCGCGCGCTTGTGACATATTTTTGAGTCCATATTGTATATTTATCCCAGTTTTATTTTTAGGGTAGTTATATTCATCCCAATTTCTCCGTTACAACAATGTTTAAGGGATTTGAGGAGAAACATCTGATATATAGCCTCGTCAAGAATTCATTTTCAAACACAAAATAACCAAATCAAAAATTCAGTTTTGTGAGAGTTAGTGATATGAAGTCAACATCCTGAAAATAAATAATAATGGAACATATCATACTTTATAGCTACAATATAACAAATTTTTGTTCTGTTCTCAGAAATGGCAAATGAGACTCGCCACTAGACCTCATATTTACTAAACCCATCTCTTATGTGAACCAGAAGAATCTCTTGGGGTGATCTGAATTGGCCTTCTAGGTTTCTTTGAATCACCAGCAGAAGAAGCCCGTCTCGTCCTTGAAGAAGAAGAAGAAGAAGCTGAGACAGGCTTCCGGTTCGTTGATGGACTAACTACTACTGAACTCGGCTTCACAGCTTTCACAAGCGAGGCCGAGGATTTAGCTGGCGCTGACTTATGGATTTGTCTCAGATCTGAGGGCTCCTCCTTGATGGGTTCAACTGGAGCATCCTCCAGCACAGTTCGTCGAGGTGTGTTTGCAGGAGTTTCTGAATCAGAGGATGAAAAAGCTGTAGAAACATCCACATCGTAAAGAACATTGTCCAGTCTCATTGGGAATTCACGGATATCTAGGGCTGCAGCTGAATACGAGGATCTCCGGAGCCTAGTGAGCTGTGTCACCTACACATTTTAAGAACGATTTTTTTTACTTTAATGCTGAAGTTGTTAATAGGAGAAGGAAAATCGAACTTTGTAGTCAAGTTTCTCACCTTTTCTTCTAACACCAGGACGTTTCTCTTGAGCTTCTTGATTATTGTCTTCTTCCTGCGAACAATCTCTTCAAGCTCTGTCTCTCGCTGGTAAAGAGAGAGAATAGAAACATGTTTGTTAGTCCAATTTGTACGAAAAATGTAAGCAAAATCAAAACTTTGTAAAAAAAGTTTCTTACTTTTGAACCAGCTTTGTTGGTTAACTGAAGAAATGAAGTTAGGTCCTTTATGGTTGCATCTTTCTCTTGACACTCCTTTCTGAGAGAAAGCATGTCTTGGTCGAGTGATAGATTATCGAACTGCAATGAACATTCTGGTCTTCATATTGCAACAAAACCAAACGAGATCCACCACACAGAGATTATCGAATAGCAATAAGACATACATGGATTTCTGCAGCAGATGTGACACTAGAACACCAATCTGACATGTAAGACATACGCCTTTCCTCTGGCTCTACGTCAATCGCCAGATTTGCAGGAGCTTTTTCCTAAACAAAAACATAACCAATCAATTCGGTTCATATATAGAGATGCTCAGTGATCTCAATGATTTCAAGGGAAAAGAAGAGAGCGCACACACACCTGTATAGCAGGTGGTGAGTGATGATGTTGATCACATAACCAGCAACCACAATCTACGAATTTAACTTTCTCAGATCCGAAGTTTCCTTTGAAAGCTGACTGTACATCACCATGATCTAAGACCTTGGCTCCATTTCCAGACTGATCCTTGGCAAGATTTAGCTCTTGACACAGACCGTCCAGTTTTTGTTGCATGCTTGAAAGAAGCTGGTCCTGAAATTCCACACCAAGAGATTTACATTAAATCTTACTGTAAAGAATTCTCTTTCTGAATTCAGACACAAAATCTTCACAAGAACACGAATGAAAAAGGTCGAAGAGTTCATCATCACTCACAATTAGAGCTAACATATGGACTTATGATCACTTAAACGTCGAGATCGAGAGAGATAAACACAAACTTGTATTGAAGTAAAGCCTATGCAGGGATTTCAAAATAGAAGTAACGGAAATTGAACAAAATTATGAACTAACCAAATCCTTTAATTAAACAATCCGAGAAAGACGCTAAATTTTTAATCAAATCAACCGTCAAAAGAGCGAATCTTAACGAGAATTTCTCAAATCCCTAGCAGATATAAAAGAAGGAGACGAACCCTGAGATCAACCGATTTCTGGAGCTGCCGAATCACGCCATTCTTCTTCGACTCAGCGGCGGCGGCGCCGATGACCGCCACAATCAGGAACCTCTGGTAAGGCGTAAAGAGCTCCCAGGCGAGGGTTTCCTCTCGGCTCAATCCGCCGCCGATCGACCGAGCCGAGCTGGCCTCATCGCAATTGACGAGCAGGCCCTGGAGAGAAATGTGAGCCAGACGGCGAGACGATTGCACTGGGTTCTGGGCGCGACGAGTGAAGTGGCTTGACAGGAGACGAGCAGACGGAGGAGGAACGAGAGAGAAGGGGGCGAGATGGACTGAAGCGGGCGAAATCGGGTAAGATCCGGGATCCAAATCGGTTTCCTCCATGGGAGCGGAGGAAGAAACGAGGTTACAGAGAACGATTCGTCTTTTTTTCTAAGGCGAAATTGGATTTTTGGAATTTTCTGCGATTTCAAAAAGTGAGATTTCCCTCCGTAGGGAAGGCGAAACGATTGAAGGTTAACGTTGGGGCTGAGAGCATTGTTGGTGGGTCTACACTTGTCTCTCTCTTTTCATCTTTTCACTGGCAAAGTGGCAAGCTTTGACTTTATTCTCAGAAAATCTTTTTTTTCTACTTTTTCGTCTTGAGCAAAAAAAACTTTGGTTATGAGTTATGAGTGAATCTTAAATCTTCTATGATCATTCAATCACGACCAATCTTAGCTTTATGATTAATTGATTATTGTGTACACTTGTCTCTCTATTAGCAAAGAAAATGCATATTTTAACCTGGGTGTATCTGTTATGATTGTGCAACAGCTAACATGTGTGCTTGTTCACGCATGGTTCATGGGAGTCACATTTTAGGCTTTTTAGCTCTCTCTTAACCGGGATTTTGAGACGATGCCGGTGGATTTTATCCCTCTGTGGAGTTGAGTGGCAGAGCGAGAACATACAATTTTGTTTAGTTTAATACCAGTAATGATTTGATTTGAGTTATTTAAGATATCATGTAAGTACATGCATGTGAGCTGTTTAGAGCAACATATTTGATCTCGATTCGACAAATCTCTCTAATATGATCTTGTTTCTATAAAACGCATCTTGGATCAAACGCTGGTAAACTATTAATCAGCAAACATAATAATATGAATAGTATTGTTTTTAATATTCATATCTAATAAATCTAAGTTTTAAATGAAATAAAGTAAGTGAACTTCAATATCTGAGATTATTTTGAGCTTAACTTAGTACTATTTGATTGAATATCCAATGCACGCCTTGCAATATCTCTCAAACATTAGCTAGCTAACAGACATTTTTATTACACGAATACACGTGACGTATCAAGTGATATATCCTCCAGTGAGCTAGACACGTGCTATGTCCTAGTTCTTGGGTTGGGAAATCAACGTTTTCAAAAAGTCTTCTGCTGTTGACTCCCTTTCATTTTGTGTATTAATTATTTAATCTATACAGTATATTTTCCCCAAATCAGAACGCTGTAATAATAATTGGGCCATGAGAGACCTTCTGAAGTATTGCAAAAGTAGCATCTTCACGTTAACAAACAAACAAACAGAGTAATTTTTTACTATAACCGGCAAAAAGTAATGATTTGTGGATCATTTCATAAAGTTAAATTATGATTGTTGTCAGAATCCGATGCAAGTATTTCAATCTATTGGACTATGAATCATATTTAATTTTTTATAAATGCATTAGTATGTATACCCGACCCCGGTTACTCGAGACGAGGGTGATGAAGAAAAAACAGTACTCAAGCACATGCGGGCACATGAGTTATGTTTCAAAAAACGTCAAAGCCATTAATGATGTATCCATCCTGACTCCTTCTACATCATTTCTTGAAACAATCAAACAACTCCCAAGTCTCTCTATCACGTTTACTCTAGCTGTCTCCAAACCTGTCCTCATTTTAGTGCCGACAAATGAACTTTGAGAACTAAGGAAAATATAAGGTTTTTTTCTTTGTGAAAATACAAGATAATGTACATATTCATGAATTTGAAATTATAAGAGAACAGAGATAATCACATTAATATTTGTTTTAGTAGCTTTCATTGATTAAGAAAATGGTTTTAATTGAGAAAAAAAGGAACACTATTTAAAAATATTTGTGAGCAGGAACACCCATTAAGTTTTAGAGTAATGCATTAGTGTGTTGATTACTAATAGTGATTCACTATATAGAAGAAGAAGATATATACTTTTTTTTAATGTGTTGCTTTAAGAAGCTTGCTTAGATGATCGTTGCTTGTCAGATTATGTCAGTAGACCACAACGTACACAAACGTCGGAAAATGCCAGTCGAAAGTTAATATATATTGCAGTTGATAGTCTCTTATCGTTTGTGGAGGCGATATGCGACATGATCAGGGTAGTGTCATACTGTAACGAAACGATTATTTTTCAAATAATTCTACCATGCATTGACTCAAGGCTGAAAGAGAAAGTTGAATAAATATATACTATATCGTTACATGGAGTTGATATTAGTCATGTGTTTAAGTGCTAGCCAGGACAAAGATCACATGTTCATCTACAACGATAAGATCAGTGACAATATATTAATAAGTCATGCATGTGTACATAAATAGCTAGTCCAACCAATTAGAGCATCTCCAATGGACCCTTATTCCTTTATAATATAAGGGTTTTGCATTCCAATGGACCCTTATCCCCTTATATTTTAAAGGGATGAATAGTGCACCCTTAAATATAAGGGGTCACTGTTCACCCTTAAAAATATTTTGAATTTTGCATTTTAGTCCTTGTAATTATACAATCTTACAAATAACATTTATAATACTTTTTGTGATCAGTTTAGTCTAAAATTATAATTTTTTTTTAACATTTACTCTCTCTAATAAGAAATTTAATTACCACCACATAAAATCAAATAAAAACATTCATTGATTGGAAAATTATGGAAACAATATTGTAATTTTAGTTTAATATTTTTATATATAATTTTATGTTTTAATGTAATTTTATATTATTATGTAATGTTTTAATTAATAATATTGTGTAATATTTTATTAAAGTGTTTTTATTGCATTTTATGAAAGTTTTAGTATTATAATTGATTCTAGTTACTTTTAAGGACTATAATGCAAAAATATTTTTTTAAGGGGTAAGGATAAGGGTCTCCCATTGGAACAAAACTTACAAACCCCTTATTTTAAAGGTGTGTCCCTTTATTTTAAGGGTGACCATTGGAGATAGCTCTTGTGTAACATTAACTGCTGTAGCTATGCCACTTGAATATTGTCTTCATTAGTAAATTCAAAGATTCAACGTAGAGTAAAAAACTAAACGTACAGCCGACAGAAACAAACAAAACCATGTTATGAGCAGCATGCAAAAGTATGCGACGTGGCAATAGATGAGAAGCTTCAACGAAGCAGCAAGACCTTTAACAAAAAAAAGTAATATTTCGTCGTCTTTGCACCCAAACCAATACGACTACGACTATAAAATAACACCATAGTCAAGTCTCATTCATGTCAACGTGCTTCAACCTCTGTGAGCTCATCAGAAACACATCACACCAAGATTCTTGGAGAGAAAGAGAGTATTCTTCAGTACTATAATGGATGCTAAGAAGTCGTTAGTGACTGTATTGAGCAACATCGTCGTATTGCTTCTCGCCGGTGGCGCCACGGTGGTTCAAGCCTGTCTACCCTCCGATCGAGCGGCGCTTCTAGAGTTCCGATCAAAGCTCAATGAACCCTACATCGGCGTTTTCATCACGTGGAGAGGCCAGGACTGCTGCAGAGGCTGGTACGGTGTGAGCTGCGATCCCAATACCCACCGAGTCTCCGGCATTACCCTCCGCGGAGAATCCGAGGACCCGATTTTCCAGCGGGCGAAACGGAGCGGACTCATGACCGGCTCCATCTCTCCGGCGATCTGTAAGCTAACTCACCTCTCCAACATCATCATCGCCGACTGGAAGGGAGTCTCCGGTGTGATTCCCAGCTGCATCTCCAATCTCCTTTTCCTGAGACACATAGATCTCGTCGGGAATCGAATCTCCGGCGTTGTTCCAGCGGATATCGGGAAGTTGCAGTATCTGAAAGTGCTGAATCTCGCCGATAATCAGTTATCCGGCGGGATTCCTTGGTCGATCACGAGATTAACGAGTTTATCGCATCTGGATCTCAGGAATAACTACGTCACCGGAGCCATTCCGCGAGATATTGGCCGGTTAAAGATGCTGAGTCGTGTGCTTCTAAGCGGTAACAAAATCTCCGGTCAAATACCCGAATCCTTGACCCGAATCTACCGTCTCGTGGATCTGGATCTCGCGATGAACCGAATCGCCGGTCCAATCCCGGCTTCTCTCGGCGGAATGTCGGTGCTCGCGACGCTCAATCTCGACGGGAACTTGATCTCCGGCGAGATTCCGGAGACTCTGTTGCGTTCGTCGATCTCGAACTTGAATCTGAGCGGGAACCTGATCGCCGGGCGGATACCGAACACGTTCGGACCGAGATCGTACTTCACGGTGCTGGATCTTTCGAGAAACCGTCTCCAGGGACCGATCCCGGCGAGTATAACGGCGTCGTCGTTTATCGGCCACCTCGACGTGAGCCATAACCATCTGTGTGGGAAGATCCCGACGGGATCTCCTTTCGATCATCTTGAAGCGACGTCGTTCGCTTACAATGACTGCCTCTGTGGAAAGCCACTCAGGAATTGCGGGAAATAAATAAATATCGATCAGTCAATAGAGTTTGACTTTTGGATATTTGTTATATTTTCACAATATCATATGTTATGTTACTTATGAACTAAACTAGCCGTTTGAAAGAGGCCAAGGCAAAACAATATAATTTCCCATTTTGGTGTTTTATTAAAGCACACACAACATATAATGAAGTTGTTATTCGAACAAATATCAATGTTTATTAAATTATTTCATATATCAATGTTTATTAAATTATTTCATTCAAGCATGCTTATTTAGGGGTAACAGCAACATAGTGTATGATTACAATAGCCTCCTAAATCAAATCTCTTTTGCATACAATACTCAGCGCAATCTGCATCTATATCCTTTCCTTTGACACATAGACCGTCTGAATGAACTTCGAAACATTGTTCTGTTCCAATACAAGTTTGGTAATAATCATTAAAATCAATATATTTATAAATGATTAAATTATGTTCGGAAAAAAAAATGGAGGGTATAAAAATGACAATACCAGAAACAGCATCAACTACTGTTGTACGAGAATGAACAGAAGATATAACAAAAAGAATAGTGAGAACAAATGCGACTAAAATCTTTTTGTTGATAGCCATTTTATAATTTATTTTTATTTATTTGTTTCTTTGTGATTTTATCTTTACTTATGCTGATCAAACTTATATATAAAACCAACATAAGTCTTTTCATGGTAAAAAAAAACAAAAAATGGTCATAATCTTACAATTTAACTCATTGAAACTACAATAGAAAAGAATATAAATTTTAGATTTTTATAAGATTTGGGTTTTTCTTTTACATCCATTTGGGATTTACTAACATACAAATTTTAGGAGACTTAAAAAAAAAATCCCTATGTTTTCCAACTAATGATTTCTAAATATATTTGTAAATCATATGTTATTAAAGTTGGATATTTTCTCAAATCATTTAAAACAACTTACAAGTGCCTATTATTCAATCAATGATTTGTTAAATGTAAATCAAATCCATTGTTATTAAAAATAAATAACTGTTTAGGAAAAAAATTTATGATTTTTTTTTTAGCAGATTTCACATCTATTTCTAGTTTGATTGATTATATTACATGTGACATTAAAATTCAAAATATTATGTTATGTAACTAAACTAGCCATTTGAAAAAGGCCAAGGCGAAACTATATAATTTCCCATTTGGTGTTCTCTCTCTCTCTCTCTCTCTCTCTCTCTCGATTCGTGAGCCCTCATCAAGGAAACTTTTAATTTGAAACATAAACCTCCCACTTCTTATCTTTATTTTTTTTAATATTTTTTTGCTTTAAACTTCTTATCTTTATGGTCATCTTGTATTCTCGTTAAGCACATATATATATACATTCTAAAATGTTTTCAGAAAAACCACACATATTTTTATTTTGTTTAGTTTGGCGATACTTTTAAACATTTCTTATTAAACCCAATGTTACGAATACTATGTTTATATTAGGCTTGGTCAAATAAAATGATTATTCTCAACACTTTTTAGAAAATTTTATTTTTTATTAAAGCACACACATATGACGAAGTTTGAATATTTTTTTTATTAAAACACACACATATAACGAAGTTGTTATTCAAACATATATCAATGTTTATTAAATTATTTCATCAAAGCATACTTATTTATCTAATGGATTTGGTTGATCTTTGGTTGATCTTGGTTTTTTCTTTTTTGACTTGGGTTGTAAGTTTCTCTTACAACTTTGTATTCTAAACCTTTTTTATCAATACAAGAAGACCCTTTAACAAAAAAAAAGCATACTTATTTATGGGGATAACAACAACATTGTTCATGATGACAATGGCCTCCTAATACAAAATTATTTTTCTTACAAAAGTCAGCGCAACCTTTATATATATCCTTTCCTCTAACACACGGACCTTGTGAATAAAAGCTGGAACATACATCATCACTTTTTTCTGTTCCAATACAAGTTTTGGCAATAATCATTAAAATCAATAAGTACAATGACTAAATTATGTTAAAAAAAATTGCAGGGTAGAAAAAGACAATACCAGGAGTAACATCGAATGTTGTACGAGAGTGAACAGAACATATAACAAACAGAATAGTGACAATAAATGGATTAAAGTATTTTTGGTGATAGTCATTTTATAATTTCTCTTTATTTGTTTGTAATGTTACCTTTATTTAGACTGATCAAACTTATATATAAAACCAACATACATTTTGTATGGTAAAAAAATGAAAATGGACATAATCTTCCAATTTAACTCATTCAATTTATAATAGAAAGGAATATAGATTTTAGATTATTTCCGATGATTTATGAAAAATTAGGAAAAAGATTTTTAGCAGATTTCACATCCATTTTTATGTTAAAAATACTGGTATAAAAATCACACTTCTATAAGTGTGATTTGGAGATTGTTTCCCTTTTTTAAAAAAAAAGAAAGAAAAGATGAATATATCATTTCTTATGTTTATTGTAGTTTTGTATTTTTATTGAGCACAAATATATATTTTAAGGTTACAAAAAGACTTAACATATTCTTATTTTATATTTTTGCATGTTTTCAACGTTTGTTTTTTAAAATTTAGTGCTATGAATTCTATGTTTATACCAGTCTTGGCCCAAATAACAAATTATTCTCAACACTGTTTAAAGAATTTAATAAAATGGTTAATATATAATGATGTTCTTCTTCAAATATATATCAAATTATTTTATTCAGAGCATACTTATTTATTGAAACAACAACACGGAGATCCTGGTCCAAGACAATGTCCTGATGTAAAATGTTCTTCCTTACAAAACGCAATGCAACCTTTCTGCCCTCCATAGATACATGGACTTGTTTTGAAACATTCATCAGCACTTTTTTTAATTCCAAAACCTGTTTGTTAATAATTATTAAATCAGTATACATATTTATACTGATTATTAAATTCTGTTTATGATAAAAGAAATGGAGAATATAATGAGGCAAATACCAGAAATATCATGAGATGTTGTATGAGGGTAAACAGAAGATATGACAAAGAAAATAGTGAAAAGAAATGTGATTAAAGCCTTTTTGGTGATAACCATTTTAGAGTTTTCTCTTTTCTTCTCTTTATTTGTTTGTTTGTGATATTTTTTATACATAGGCTGGTCAACTTTTTATATACAACAAACAAACGTAAAAGTTAATCTAGTTTATGGTAAAAATATGTAAATATAAGGATACAAAACAGCAGATATATGTCCATTTAAATAAGAATGCAATTAGGTAGTTTACTTAACCAAATCTTACTTCCAAAGTGAACTATATACGCAAAACTGGTTTAGTGGGCTTGTGTCCAATGTCGGTGGTGCATGGGTCGTATATAAACTATAAAGGGGAATGGTTTTTGTTCTTAAAATTATAGCACGAGTTCCATATATTTCAGTACTAATACACTTTTTTGTAACCTATTTTCAATTTTCAAAACTAATACACAAGCAATAAACATATAACGAATACATTTTCTCATATTCATTGCCCACACTGGTCGATTTTTTTTTTTGCAAAACCGTGATGCATGCACCCCCTTCAATTTATTATATTACGAGGTACCATTTACGATCGATCAATCATATTATATATACATCAGTTACTGATTTTTGAAGTACTTCATCAAAATATTGAAGTATATATTTTTTTAATCGTAATGATCGATCATATGCTTTAGAAGTTAGAATTAGAAGAGATGCAAATATTCTTTCTCATAGAAATATTTGAAACAAACGGAACTTCCTTCAGATCTTACATACGAAAAAACTCATATATGATCCACAAATCAAACCTAACATATACTCTCATTTATTTCTCAACAATTTCGCTACTGATTTTTGGTAATTAATTAATTTTGACGTTAATTCATCACCATTTTTTTTTTGGAGGACCGTATTAGTTGCTAAGTTGCAAAAAATGTGCAATGAGCTATAATTTGCGATGAAATTAGTCTAAATCTGTTGCTGAATTTGCAATGATCAGTTCTGTCGAAAATGCAGTTTGTTAGTGAAGACTTTCCATGGAGAAGTACAAAACAATATTTGGGATATTTAACGGTTGACATTTTCGTCTCTTCGATATTTCGAAGACAAAGTGAGGATATTTGTCAAAGTTTCTGGTATATGACTCTAAAACACAACAAAATCATCATAGCGAGAGTCAGACTTACACATAAACTTGTTCGTTAACGGGTATGCGTTTTATGTTGATATAGTTTTCTGCTACAAGTGATGATGTTTTGCCCGGTATAGTGATCATCGGAACTATTTAGTTGACATAATTTTTGTAGAAGAACAAGAATATACGACACAAAGAACATATGAATACCGTGCGGGAGAGAATTGCACAACACGTATGTGATGCTTTTAAGTTACTTTCTTATTAACAAGAATACTGAATACCGTACATGAGAGAATTTCATTACAAGTATGTGATGCAAAGTATGCTTTGAAGCATCCTATTAATTAAAGTATATATATAAGGTTAGTGCTGATTTTATAACATATACTTAGTAAGTTTTAATTAAGTTTTAATTTTACTGCCAGCTTTTTTGGGTTCATCTAGTACTTAGCATGATGTTTTATTTATTTTTTCTGTTCTCTCAGGTACGACTAAGCATTCGTTACCTTTGGATTAGCTATGGCCTGATCAGTTAAAGTCTTACTAGTATTTAGGTGCAATTAAAGTCTCACTAGTAATTCACGTTTCAAAATATTTGTGCAATAAATTTAGTAGCAAGATGTAGTTTCTCACCAGCTCGAAGCATTGGATAAAAGCAGATTTTGATCAACTTTTGAATAACTATTAACATGAGTTTAAATAAACTACTAACTCTTCAAAGCAATGTAAACGCATGATAACCTAAGTTTCTAGTTTGCGTTTTTATGTTAAAGGATAATTAAACATAATTTTAATACATAATTTGTTTCTTTTCTTTTAATTTGCTTATATCTGGTGAAAAAATGCTTCAAATTTGTGAAAATCTCATATTATATTATTTCAGAAGTTAGCGAAAAAATCTTCGCAAAATTACTTATGTTATCGCCATAATGTTTCTAATTTGTTTTTGCAATCTATTTACAACATATCCAAATTTTGTTTTCAACAACTCGTGATCATTTTTTGGATGATTTCCTTGAATCTATGCAGTGTACAAGTGGGATGAAAAGTTGCTCGTGTATCCTTTGCACTATACTCGAAAAAGAGACATTTGGTTGTTAACATTTGACGCGTAGATGATGCTCCTTTCTTGAAGCAACAAACTAAACGTCATCATAACATAAGATAGTTAGATATATATACATGTATATGCGATTACCTTAATTTTGAAGAATTTCTAAAATAATTACTCCAAACGATAATTGATTCAATAATAGACGGCAGAAAATATCTTAGCCAATATGAAATCATGAAAACAGATAAATTGTCGGAATGTCCAAAAGATTTGTTTTTTTCTCCTTTCTCAAAATTGACAAATGACGAGTACATCTAACTAACCAGCCATCACTCTCCATAACTACACAACAACTATTTCAGTGTATATCTTTTATTTATAAATAGGGACCCTTATATTTACATCTGGACCATATATATAATAATTGCATGCCTCTAAGTTCAGGGAATAATGATACAATGCCTCTAATTTTCTTTATGCAAGTTTGTCCACTGAAGTATACATTATTATTGGGGTTATTCAAAGTTTTACTTCTTCAAAGTTGCACTGTTTTTCTCGCTAAATAAAAGTAAAGATGTGCAAAAATTGTCATCACAATTTATAAATCTATATTTATTTTAACTTCCAACATACAATTTGTTGATCAAATCGCATAACACAAACCACCTAAGAGGCTAAACTACTAAGCACAACAACCCTTATAGCTATTTTATCATGAGACCTTTTTCTTAATTTTTGCTCCCAATGTACTAAAGGAGTTTTTTTTTGCTTTCTTCGACTTTGTACACTAAAGTTACACATTGTATGTTTCATCTCTAAAGCTGTTCAAAGGTGATAAAAAAAAATTCCCCTGAGTTCTGCTCATCACGAAACTCAGCGGATTATATTGAATCATTGCTTTGCTTAGCCTAAAGCTTGCTCCCCGTTTAAACTTCTCGTCTGTCGCATCCGGATTACATTCAACCCTCAGTTTCATTTCGGCCTTCAACGGTTGATTGCTGTACACAAAACAACCTTTTATGCTCTCTAGTCTTAACGACACGCTTCTTGGCTTCCGGTCAACTCCATATACTAACCGAAAGGTAGAAGCTGCTTGGTCAGTAGAAGAAGAATCCTGAACCGCAATGGAGCTTCCAGTGCCTTGCGTCACAAGCATGCCAGGGAAATCAAACAGTTTGATCATCACCTGGCTTCCAATTAGGTCCTCTGGCCCCAAAACCCCTGCTTCAGAAACAGCAGTCGCCAGGAGCCTGAAAGTCGCTGCAACAGCGGCTTGTGTCTCTGGCTTAGGCAATACTTCCATCGTGATGGTCTGGTTGCTATTTGACAAGACGTAAGATACTTCCCACATTTGTTGTGAGAGTGTGACAAGGTGAGTGTTATGAGTTTCAGGTATAGGGTTTATCCATTTTGCTTACAATTATTGATATTGCTTACTAAAAGAAAACTATTGATATAGACTTTTTTGGTTCAACAATATGCATTAACACAAACCACATCATTCACTCATAAGCTATAGACTTTATCACACATTACGAACACGGCCACATAAGTAATTATCAAGCCTTATCACACATTTGTTTTCTGGCGATATTGCTTAAATCCTTGGAACTCTCTTTAGCTTTATTAGGCTTTATTATATTAGTGGTATCTTAAATAGATGAGAAACCTACCCAAAAATATTTTGAAAATCGCTGAAATCTCCTACAAAAATTAATGTATTGTAAAATAAAAATAAGCAAATTAAAAGAAAAATATAAGCAAATTAAAAGCAAAATATAAGCAAACTAAAAGCAAAAAGGTAAACTGCATTAGAGAATTTATGTTTGGTAAAAATCAATAAAGTAAAACGACATAATGGACTAGATGTAATTAAGTTTCCTTCATACTCCTTCCGTTCCACTATATTTTATGTTTTGAGTTTCTCACCTATATTAAGAATCATTTAATGTTTTACAATTAATGATTTTTTTTACTTAATGAAAAAATGTAGTTTTAAAAATGGATACCATAGATGTATATTTTTAAAATTTGACACCTAAAAATGTGTAGTTTTGAAAATTTTACCTTTATTATTGAAATTCACAACCCAATTTGAAATTCTAATGGATTTGAAAGTATTTTTTAAGACTAAAATACATAAAAAACAAATTTAAAGAAAACTATGTTTTCAAAATCCATATGTTTGATTTTAAAGATATCCAAATTTCAGGAACCAATTAACCTTCATAAAAATCTTACAGAAGAAAAAGGAAGAAAGAATATGTTATTTCTTTTTGTCAACCTAATATATATTTCCTCAGTTTTTTTTTAATGAATTTTCTAGCCATTATGTGTTGTTTCACAAAGATAAATTTTTTATCTTTTTGATGCACTTTTTCAGTTTTCAAGATACAATGATTATATTTGTTGGATTTTTATTGGTTTAAAATTATAAAAAGTTGTTTTATTACAGAAATCTATGCACTAATAATTGAAAATCAACTTTTTCTTAATCTGTGTGAAAAAACTAGAAAATTTATCTTTAAAAAATGGAGGGAGTATTAGTTTGTGTACTAAAAAGTAGAACAGTTAAATAACGTTTGAATAATAATACTACTAGTACACAATAATAAAAAATAAGAATGTTAAATACAATATTAGTTGATTTGACGACAAAAAAAGTTTATTTGAGTCAGTAATACAACAAAAGCACAATTTTTTAGTAGTATCAATTTAGACGGTATGCAATTTAGTAGCATTTTGATTTCATTTGTATCTCTCTCTCTCTCTCTCTCTTTGAACCTTCTTTCTTCTTCTCTGCAACGAAAAACCACTTCCTTTCTCTCTCCGTTTTCGTTGATTAGCGATTTAAAGGGAGTAATCGATTTTTTTCTGTTAATCTTCTACATTTTGGTCATGGTTCCTTTTGTTCTAGTAGTCTATTCTTCGTGTCGAGATAAGCCAGAAACAGCCCACTGATCTCTCTCGAGACAGTTCTTCATTTTTTACAGAGTCAAATACAAAAGCCAGACAGCGAAAGCGACAAAGTATCCGTGACCTCCTCAATTCTTTTATTTATCGGAATTTTCACCCACCAATTCCCTCTTTGTTTCTCTTTCACGTGATTATATTACAATTTGTTTTTGTTTTCTGGTAGACATTGCTTAAATCCTCGGAACTCTCTTTAGCTTTATTACGCTTTATAAATATGTGCTCTCATTAGTCTTCCCTTCCAATTCAAATCTCTTCCAACTGTTTTTTTCTTTATGGGTTCTGAGTCTTTCCATTCTCTTCTTCGATTCTGAAATTTGGGATTTTGAGGGGTTTTGGGATTTGTAACATTACAGAACCTCTCTTGTTTTAGTTTCTTTAAGACAAAAGAAAATGATGTCTGGTCTCATCATAACCATTTCCCTGTTATGCATCAGCTTTGTTCTTTCTGTAGCAAAAGAGTGCACAAACACTCCTACGCAGCTCTCATCTCATACTTTCCGCTACGACCTTTTGCAATCTAAGAACGAATCCTTGAAGACAGAGATGTTCTCTCATTACCATCTAACACCAACAGATGACTCAGCTTGGTCTAGTTTGTTGCCAAGGAAGATGTTGAGAGAAGAGGAAGATGAATACAGTTGGACTTTGATGTACAGGAAGTTCAAGAACTCAGACAACGCCTCTGGTAACTTTCTCAAGGATGTTTCTTTGCACGACGTTAGGCTGGATCCAGACACCTTCCATTGGAGGGCTCAGCAGACAAACCTTGAGTATCTGTTGATGTTGGATGTTGATGGTTTGGCCTGGAGCTTCCGTAAAGCTGCTGGTCTTGCTGCTCCAGGAGATCCCTATGGAGGATGGGAGAGACCAGATAGTGAACTCCGTGGCCATTTTGTCGGTATAAAGCTTGTCTCTTTTCCCCTGATTCAACTTACAGTTTCTTGATCCATGATTTTGATAAAGTTTAGAGATTGCGTAGACCCTTGAAGGATTTGACATTTAAGATTGCATAGGCCTTAAAGTAATTACCTTTTACATGGATAGACCCTTAAAGGATTGACCTTTTAGTACTATGTGGCTCACAAAACTTGACTGTTTGTTTTGTTTTGAAGGTCACTATCTGAGTGCAACGGCTTATATGTGGGCAAGCACTCATAATGATACTCTCAAGGCAAAAATGTCAGCTCTCGTCTCAGCTCTATCGGATTGCCAGCAGAAACTTGGCACTGGATATCTCTCTGCTTTTCCTTCCAGCTTTTTCGACCGTTTCGAAGCTGTAACGCCTGTTTGGGCTCCTTACTACACCATTCACAAGGTGAAAACTCAGACAGACTCTCTGACTTAGATGTAGTCTTGTAGATAGTATATGCCCGTGTTTGCAAAAAAGGTTTCAACTTTATGTCTTAACTGTGACAGATTTTAGCCGGTCTGGTGGATCAATACAAGCTGGCTGGGAACGGCCAAGCTCTAAAAATGGCGACGTTGATGGCCGACTATTTCTACGAACGTGTCCGTAACGTGATCAAGAAGTACAGCGTTGAACGACACTGGCGATCGCTAAACGAAGAGACCGGTGGCATGAATGATGTTCTGTATCAGATATTCAGCATCACTGTGAGTTAAAACTTTTATCAAACTTTCCAAAAATAGCTCCTAAGATTTCAGTCTAGGTCTGCTTCTAATCAATGGTTTTCTGGATTTGCAGGGTGATTCAAAGTATCTGCTACTCGCACACCTCTTTGACAAGCCTTGCTTTCTAGGGGTGCTTGCAATTCAGGCCGATGATATTAGCGGATTCCACTCTAACACGCATATTCCCATTGTCGTTGGATCCCAGCTCCGCTACGAAATCACTGGTGATCCACTCCATAAGGTATTGAAGTTGCATAACCTGGAAAAAGTGTGAGATTTATTAAAGAAAACATTGATTCTGAAATCTGCATTTCCAGGAAATCTCCATGTTTTTTATGGATATAGTCAATGCTTCTCACAGCTATGCAACTGGAGGAACATCAGTCAGTGAGTTCTGGTACTACTACCATTACCTGACTTTAGAGTTCGGTTCATATTTAACACGCATAGCCTTGGTTTTAACTCTAACCATGATTTGGAAATGTTAAACATTTAGGCAAGATCCGAAGAGGATGGCGACTACGCTGCAGACTGAAAACGAGGAATCATGTACTACTTATAACATGCTCAAGGTAAGGTTTATTTAAAGGCTTTTTTACTTCCCTCATATTTGCTCAAGGTAACATTTCAAAATGTTGTAAATTTTCAGGTCTCTAGGAACCTCTTCAGGTGGACCAAAGAGGTCAGCTATGCAGATTACTATGAGCGGGCTTTGACAAACGGTGTGCTTGGAATTCAAAGAGGAACAGATCCCGGAGTGATGATCTACATGCTCCCATTGGGTAAAGGTGTTTCTAAGGCTGTCACTTATCACGGTTGGGGAACTCCTTATGATGCCTTCTGGTGTTGCTATGGCACTGGTAACTTTTTACCACAGTCATCTAAAGACTAAAGTTTCCTGCTTTTCTTTACTTTTACTGACAGGTTTTTGTTTTGTTTCTGTTCCACAGGAATCGAATCCTTCTCAAAGCTAGGAGATTCCATTTATTTTCAAGAAGATGGGGAATCTCCAGGTCTTTATGTCACTCAGTATATATCAAGCTCACTCGACTGGAAATCTGCTGGTCTTTCTCTATCACAGAAAGTTAAACCAGTTGTGTCGTGGGATCCGTACATGCGTGTGACATTCTCTTTCTCTTCTTCCAAAGGGGTAAGCTTTTGGTCAGAAACCAGATGCAATCATGCAAACCAGTTCGTGTGAATAGAGTGTTTGATGGATCCCAATTTTCTTTCAGGGAATGGGGAAGGAGGCGACTTTGAATCTAAGAATTCCGGTCTGGACAAACTCTGTAGGTGCCAAAGTATCTTTGAATGGACAATCCCTGAAAGTACCTGCTTCAGGTGATTTAAGCATTCTCTATTGTATATAACCTTTACCATTATATATGTCTCTAGATTGTGAAAATGAGAATCATATTGGACTTGCCTTTTTGCTTTGCAGGTAGTTTTCTATCAATCAAACAGAACTGGAAATCCGGCGATCAAGTAACGATTGAGCTACCGTTGAGTATCAGAACCGAAGCTATAAAAGGTATACATTGTGCACAACTCTGTTCTGAAAACAGAGCAATAATAACAGAAATTGATTTCACATAAATTGCTTACAACTCTGTTCTCTATGTGTATTTCAGATGATCGGCCGGAGTACTCATCTCTTCACGCCATACTCTATGGCCCTTACTTGTTAGCTGGACACACGAGCAGCGACTGGAGCATCACAACTCAGGCTAAAGCTGGAAAATGGATAAACCCTGTACCTGAAACTTATAACAGTCACTTAGTCACACTCTCGCAACAATCTGGAAACACATCTTACGTCTTGTCAAATAGCAACAGGACCATCACGATGGAAGTATCGCCTAAGCCAGGGACACAAGCCGCTGTTGCAGCGACTTTCAGGCTCCTGACGACTGCTGTTTCTAAAGCAGGGGTTTTGGGTCCAGAGGATCTAATTGGAAGCCTGGTCATGATCGAACCGTTTGATTTCCCTGGCATGCTTGTGATGCAAGGAACAAGTAGCTCCATAGCGGTTCAAGATTCTTCTTATACCGACCAAGCATCTTCTAGCTTCCGGTTAGTATCTGGAGTTGACGGGAAGCCAGGAAGCGTGTCGTTAAGACTAGAGAGCAAAAAGGGTTGTTATGTGTACACCGACCAAACATTAAAGGCGGGAATGAAACTGAGGCTTGAATGTGATTCAGATGCGACAGATGAGAAGTTTAAACGGGGAGCAAGCTTTAAGCTAAGCAAAGGGATGAGCCAATACAATCCGATGAGTTTCGTGATGAGCGGAAGAGAGAGGAACTTTGTGTTATCTCCGTTGTTCAGCTTTAGAGATGAAACTTACAATGTGTACTTCAGTGTACAAACTTGAAGAAAGAAACAACTTCTTTAGTACATTGGGAGCAAATATTAAGAAGAAAAAAGTCTTATGAAAAAATAGCACAACTTCTTTAGTACATTGGGAGCAAATATTAAGAAGAAAAAAGTCTTATGAAAAAATAGCTATAAGGGTTGTTGTGCTTAGAAGTTTAGCCTCTTAGGTGGTTTGTGTTATGCAATTTACATTACAAATGTATGTTGGAAGTTAAAATAAATATAGATTTATAAATTGTGATGACAATTACTGCACATCTTTACTTTTATTTACCGGGAAAAACAGAGCCAATAATAATGTTTGTAGACAGAAGGCATATTTCCGTGCAATGAAACATGCTGTAGACAAGAAAACAAACAAATTGTTCCACCACAAACATTGATTTTCAATCAATTCACTCAACATTTAATGCATCAATGAGGATCAAACTTATAAGTTAAAAAAATGAATGAAAAGAAAAGAAAAACTTTAGGAGAAAGCGAGAGTACAATTGGAAGTGGCAAATAGAAAATAAAGAAAAAGAAAAAGTGAATAAAATAAGTAAAAGAAGAGGTCAAAAGAGTAGGTCCACTAGACGCAGCAGATCTTAGCACCCACATGTCCCCAAATATTCTATTTTCTACTGTACACTCTCTTCTTCCTTCTCACTCTCTCACTCTGCTTCGTTCGCCATCTCATTTTCAACAACTTTCCATTACAAAAGAAATTAATGCATTTCCAAGTTGTCCTCTCTGTTCTTCATTAGATCCTCTGAGGTACATTACCATTTCTTAATTTCTTTTCTTAATCTTGTTGGTATTATATTATGTGTAGTTGTAGTGTTGTTTTGATCAGTTTGCTCAAGTAATATCGATAGTGAAAGAGTAAAAGACACTAAAAACATAATAGTTCTTGTGGGGTTCAACTGTCTCTCTCAAAGATTATTTTGTTTTTTGGGTTACAGTGGATCTTCATGTTTACTCTTTTAGATTTTAACTAAAAGTAATGAGTGTGTTTATTTTTTCTCTAAATTCTGTCACTTTCAAGCTTTGTTTGGATCAGATTAGGAGAAAGCTAAGAGCAGTCGCTCAAATTTTAATGAAGAAAAAGTGAAAAATACTTTTATTGGGAATATTTTATTTATATGGAAATGACTGTCAACATTTTTTGGTTTTGGTAGCTGCTTGTTTGGTGAGAAAACTCCAACAAGAGTCCCAAGTAGCATTTTAAAAAATATAAAAAGATTTACTTTTTCTCTCTTTCTCTCTTTTAAATTTCTCCATAAACATTTTTAACACTACTAATATTATTCTCAGAAGAGTGTAGATCTCAAACTCCGTATTCATTTGATTTCGATTTCGAAAGATTGCCTATTTTACTAATATGTTGTAGCCATTGTAGGTAAACTGTTAAAATCTCTCTGATCCAAAACGTTGTCTTAAGATAAACAGAACACAGCGAGTTCCCCTGAAACTGCTTTTTCTTATGACATAGTTCTTGGATTCTTTGTAACAGAGTTACAGAAGTTTCAAGATTCAGACAAGATGCAGAAACCTGGGCAAAACATAGAGTTTGCACTCAAGGAGACTTCACCAAAGATTGGTGCAGGAGCTGTGACAGGTGATAAACTCTCCTGCACTTATGATTTGGTTGAGCAGATGCATTACCTCTACGTTCGGGTCATGAAGGCCAAGGAGTTACCGGGGGACGTGACCGGAAGCTGCGATCCTTACGTGGAAGTGAGGCTCGGAAACTACAGAGGAATGACTAAGCATTTCGAGAAGAAGTCGAATCCGGAGTGGAAGCAAGTCTTTGCGTTTTCAAAGGAGAGGATCCAAGCATCAATCTTGGAAGTTGTTGTGAAAGACAAAGCTGTTATGTTGGATGATGTGATCGGTCGAATCATGTTTGATCTTAACGAGATTCCTAAGCGAGTCCCTCCTGATAGTCCATTAGCTCCTCAGTGGTATCGGTTGGAGGATCGACACGGGCGTAAGATCAAAGGAGAGCTTATGTTAGCCGTCTGGATGGGGACACAAGCCGATGAAGCTTTTTCCGATGCTTGGCACTCAGATGCAGCCACGGTTGGACCAGAAGGTGTGACACATATCCGGTCAAAGGTTTACATATCGCCAAAGCTTTGGTATGTGAGAGTCAATGTAATCGAGGCTCAAGATTTGATACCTCATGACAAAACCAAGTTCCCTGAGGTTTACGTGAAAGCAATGCTCGGGAGCCAGACTCTAAGAACGCGGATCTCTCAGACAAAAACATTGAATCCGATGTGGAATGAAGATCTCATGTTTGTTGTTGCTGAGCCTTTCGAGGAGCCGTTGATTCTCGCGGTTGAAGACAGGGCTGCACCGAACAATGTAACGCTAGGGCAGTGCGCGATCCCGTTGCAGAATGTCCAAAGGAGGTTAGACCACAGACCGCTCAACTCGAGGTGGTTCAACCTGGAGAAGCATATCATAGTGGAAGGAGAGAAGAAAGAGATCAAATTCGCAAGCAGGATCCATCTAAGAATCTTTCTTGAAGGAGGATACCATGTTCTCGATGAGTCAACTCACTACAGCAGCGACCTAAGGCCAACAGCGAAACAGCTATGGAAACCGAGCATTGGATTGCTTGAAGTAGGGATCATAAGCGCTCATGGATTGATGCCGATGAAGACAAAAGACGGGAAAGGAACAACAGATGCATATTGTGTGGCTAAGTATGGACAGAAATGGATCAGAACAAGAACGATTGTGGATAGTTTCACGCCTAAATGGAACGAGCAGTACACATGGGAAGTGTTTGATACCTGCACAGTCATAACTTTTGGAGCATTCGACAACGGACACATTCCAGGTGGAAGCGGGAAAGATATGAGGATAGGGAAAGTGAGAATCCGTCTCTCGACACTTGAAGCTGACCGTATCTACACACATTCGTATCCTCTGCTTGTCTTTCATCCTTCCGGGATCAAGAAAACGGGTGAAATACAGTTAGCCGTGCGGTTCACTTGCCTATCGGTCATCAACATGCTTCACATGTATTCACAGCCGTTGCTGCCCAAAATGCATTACATCCACCCGTTATCTGTGCTCCAGCTGGACAGCCTGAGGCACCAGGCTATGAACATTGTCTCGGCGAGGCTGAACAGAGCAGAGCCGCCTCTTCGCAAAGAGATTGTAGAGTACATGCTTGATGTGGACTCACACATGTGGAGCATGAGGAGGAGTAAAGCTAACTTCTTCAGAATCATGAATGTTCTGAGTGGTCTCATTGCTGTGGGGAGATGGTTTGATCAGATCTGCAACTGGAGAAACCCAATAACCACAATTCTCATTCATCTTCTCTTCATAATCTTAGTTCTCTACCCTGAACTCATCCTCCCAACGGTCTTCTTGTACCTTTTCTTGATCGGGATATGGAATTTCCGGTGGAGACCGAGGCACCCGCCACACATGGACACACGGTTGTCACACGCAGACGCTGTCCACCCTGACGAGCTTGATGAAGAGTTTGATACTTTCCCGACTTCCCGGTCCTCTGAGATGGTGCGGATGAGGTATGACCGGCTCAGAAGCATAGCGGGACGTGTTCAGACCGTGATAGGCGATCTAGCGACACAGGGAGAGAGGTTTCTGTCGCTGCTGAGCTGGAGAGACCCGAGGGCAACCACATTGTTTGTGTTCTTCTGTCTCATAGCTGCAATAGTGCTGTACGTTACACCGTTTCAGGTTGTGGCACTTCTTGCTGGGATCTATGTGCTGAGGCATCCAAGGTTCAGGCACAAGCTCCCCTCTGTGCCGCTCAATCTCTTCAGGAGGCTACCTGCAAGATCTGACAGTCTATTATAGACATGTTAGTTAGTATCTGTATCTGCTTTTTAAAAAACGTTTGTTTTTCTTGTAAAACATGAGGTTTAAATCTGTTTGGTTAATGGAATTTTAGTTGCTTGACAAAAAGAGAAAAGAAAAGGAGTTCTACTTTATTGACAATGGCGGTTTTCAAATCCAAATACATATATCCCATGAGACTCAAAATCTTTGGTTATGAGTTTCTTTGCCTCGTCTGTAACTCTGAGTCCGCCTAATTTCTTTTTGGTCAAATGAATAACAGTTTTTGCCAGAATATAATCTCTCGGGTTGGATTTAATTCACAATCAGGTGCTCAAACCCTGGTATCCCTCCTTGAGGTGTTCTACCGCCAACACTGATGTTGTGGAGCAGTTGCTGCAGCCATTGCCTGGCAGGTGGATCATCCTGTCCAAGTAAGCAAGACGATTAGCTAGATTAGCCAAAACAGTCAAGTCCCAATTGTATCAAATGAATCGAGACAAGATAATATTTGGTTATGATGCGACCAAGAGATATGACACTTACAAAGAGACAGCTGCTGAAGGTAGCATCCCTCAGAAGATCTGGGAGGCAACTTCCAAGTGCATCGCAGGCTCTGAATGTCATCAATAACGTGTGTAAGCACGGAGTGTATGAAATTGTATCCTAACAAAGGAAAAGGGATAATGATTGCACCTGGCGTTATCTGTCAAGCGGAGATAACAGCGTATGATGTGCTTCAGCAGCCTAGGAGAAGGTCCTTCTGCAAGTGAAGTAACCATATTTCCTAAAACCCGACCCAGAGCAAAGAATCTCTCCGCTGTGGTGCACATGTACTCAAGCCCAACATCGTCAAGCAAAACTTTCTGAACAATGAAGGTAGCAACCTGACATAACCGGCACAAACAAATCAATCAGATGAACCGTGTATGCCCAAAACCAATCAGAAACATCAATTTCAGAAGCAGTACTGATACGAGTAATTTTGTATGAATCAACGATTTCAAACATATGCAAATGAGCGTAATAACTGATAGGAAACTTCAAATACATGTTTCGATAATGTGAATCTAAAGATGAGCATCTGAGAGTAAAACAACTTACAGTCTTTGATAACTCGCTGCCGTTTTCCATTGTCCGGAGGCACAATGGGACAATTTCAGTTTTCAGAAGGAATCTGATCACTTCTGTATCATCAACCTACCAAATCAAATGAAGAATGTTGCAACACAATATCACTAAGAGATACAATGATTCTATGATGTCTCAACAGTATTTTACTCAAAAGGTCTTAGCATGCTACAAACCTTACTGACGTAAACACGTTTTTTATAACTAGAGGAGAAAAGCAAAATCATAAATCAAGACAAACCTTGACAAGTGCACCAATAACCCCCAAGCTAGTGAGACGCAGGTACTCAAAGGGTCTTGACTTGCTTGATGTATTCAAGAAAGCATACAGGTACAATGGTAGCTGAGCTGTATTTTGAAAAGCAAATGCGTAAGCTTTAAGCATATTATAATCTAAACCTTTACTTTAATCACAGAGCAAACGTCGGAAATGATATTAATGAAAACTATGGAAGAATCAGCGATTGTACCTTTGAGGAACAGCATTCTCGTTTCAGTATGAGAAGCAACACACTGGATGTCAAAAATGAGGTTCGAATCAATAGAATTCGGAGTCTTACAACTTAAACATACATAAAAAAGAGAAAATTGACAAGATTTTCTGCACCTGAAGAAGCGCAAGGGCATTGCAGACCCTGTTTGATTGAGCAGGAGTCATTGTTGGAGGAGAAAGGAGATGGTAAACAGCGATAATCTCCTGAAAAGAGGAAAGGTAGAAAATGATGACTAAATCGTAACCAATGCGGTGTACATCAGATCGCAAAAGTTATAGATACAACAGTAATCTAGAGAAGCCATCTCAATTCTCAAGCAATAAACTATTTCTCCTGAAGAATAAAGGATCAAGTGCCAAAAGTAGAGCAGCAAAAATGGAGAGAGTGACGAGAGTACCTGTAGAAGAGCAGGGATGGTACCAACAGAATGCCACAAAAGCGGAGCCAAATCCTGAAAGATTTCTCTCTTCTGAAAAATGAAAGAAAAGCAAAAACACATTATGCATGAGAAATTACTGATAGACATGAATCTCAGTGATAAGAACGCAGACACCAAAATATGCAATCAAAAGTTATGACATCAAACTGAAAATCAAAACCATTTCTAACTTCTCAACTGTTCAGAGATTAGCCATTTTGATATATAAAGTTGCTCACAATCAGGCTCAATCAGAGCCGATGCTTCTAATTCATATACATTTCCGTCCGCTCTTCAGGGAAATTCTAGAATCCCAATGATTATCCTACCAAAAAATTTCTCAAAAATTTGCCGCAAAAAAAAACCAATCGCTAATCAGAAAGCATGTCCTAGATTCACCGGAATAAAAAATCGCAGACATTCAAAACTCACGCAGGAAAAAAAACAAAAACGATCAAAATTCACAATCCATAGAAGCAAGCAAGTCGGAATTCCGTAGAGAAACGGACCTTGGACAGCTCGTGAAGAGCATTCTCCCTGAGTGTGGGGTTGCAGATGTCGAGTACCAGCTGCTCCGCCGCCGATAAATTGCGATCGTTGCCGGAAGAAGAAGCTCCGGAGAAAGCGACAGATTTCAAAGGGAGCGAAGGAGGAAGATTAGCCATAGCTTTCACCGTCACCCACGCGCCGCAGAGAAAACAACACTTGTGAATGAGATAGTGAAGGCCAAATATTTATATCTAGGCCCAGGACGTGTTTCTCACGTGCCTCGTTGCCCCGTTACGGGTTTTTTGTTTTCTTTCGGTTACGGCTCGTTTAAAACCAAATCTACCCTAACACGAGGATGAGGATGAGGATGAGGATGCATATTATTTAACTAATTAAGATAAAGTTTGGGTAATCAAATCTGGAGTTTATATGATTCACATTATGACTAGCTAATGGAGACAAGGAGAGGAAAAAAGTTTTACATTTGATATAAGAAGAAGAAATAGAAATATATTTTTCTTTCTTTGCGCCTAAATAAACTAATTTAACGGTATATTTTTTTATATTTGTTCGTCCTACTAAATAAATTGTACAAGAAAGTTTGTATTGTTGATTTGATATTGATAGACCTGATTTAGAATTACCCATTTGATATTAGTAAAGATATGAGATTATTTAATTTTTGTTTTCGCGCTTAAATAAACTAATTTAACGATATAGTGTTTTTTGATAGTTAGATTAGCTAAAATTATAGCGATATAGTGTTTCATCACGTCAAACAAACTAAAATAAACTTAGATAGTTGGATTGATTCCAGTAACAAGTTTAATTTTTCTTAAAACAAAATATTATTTCATTTTGATCGTCATCGAAAAAAATCCTAATTTAACGGCATGTTCATTTTATAAAGTTATACAATTTTTTTTGTTGGAAAATTAGTTTATTCATCACAATTTTTAGTACAATCACTGAAAAAGATTATGCTTTTGTTTTTTTATTCTGATGGAGTTATGGTTTACAATGGAATTAAGGGAAGATGTTTAGTTTGTGACAAAAAAAAGTTGTAAGGATTAAAGTCTTGACCAATATTTAAGGTCAGCAATTTAAATTTCAACCAATATTTATGGTCAGCAATCTAGTTACTGTGATTATCTTTTTTTTTTTTTGGCACCAACTTGAAACTTATACTCCGGCTTATAATCATATATAAATACAAATTATAAGATCTGGGAAAGAAAAATGTGTGAAATAAGATCATGTAAAGTTATTATTTTTTCCTTTCAAAAAACGAGTTAATTGGAAGTTGCGCTTTAATTTGGCATTTTCTGAGCATCCAAAATAATCCGGCTACAATATTTATCAGAAGATGACAAAAATGCTTCATACGTTCTTCGTTTGGAATGCTACATATTAACGAAGTTAATCATTTTAAAACCTCATATAATAAAAGCTAACAACCGGATTAACAAATTAAAACCCAAAGCTGGAATTAATGTAAACAAGTGTTACAAACTAATCTGTTAAATGTGAGAAACAGAAGATGTAAAAGAAGACAATGAAGGAGTCCTAAGGAGAAGTAAAGGGATTGTGTTTATGATGGAGAGGGTCGGATCCAGTTGGAACTTGTCTTCCTTCAACTTCATTAGCTGATCTTCCATAGCTCTCCCCAACATTAATCTCCTTCTCCTGTTTAATTTCCAATCATTAATCAATCATATATCTTTCCTTTTCGTTAAAAAATAAAGATATAAACGACAAACGACTATCATAGCAAGTTGAATAGAAGCGATTACCAAATACAAAGCTAGAAAACAAAAACTCATTCCTTTCAAAACAATCGCCTTAACATTAATGAAAACTAGGAATCGTTATATGTTTTATAAGAGGACTAAATGTTTTACCTTTTTCATGGCTTTCGTATCTTCTGTTTCTCCAAACCAAAAGAATGCTAGAGAAAAGAAATATAGAGGAGTCATATTTTGGGAACCAACGATCGAGAAAAGATGTATTTAAATGACTTACTTACATTTAGTAGAAGAAGATTGAGCGAGTGGGCACGAAAGAAGAAGGATGAAGAAGAAGATGATGATGATATCAATAAAAACACTTCCTTTGTATTTCATCGCCGTCATTTTCAAAAAACCTCTTACATCATTTTCAAAAAACCTCTCTGTGTAAGAGACGAGAGTGACGAGATTTGCGTCGAGAAGTGTCGTCTAATAAGGAGAAAGTTCCGGTTTTACCCTCGTTTTACAGCTTGGCTATGGAGCGGATGGGCAAATCCGTCATTTTAGGCACTCTTATAGGATGAGCTTTAATCTGTACGGACAGAGATTACCGTTTACAGGCTGGATCGAGCCAGACAAATATCATTCTCGGACAAAATCTCGTGGAGCTATTGCTAGCCGCCACGTTGCTGCTTGCTTATTAAATACTTCGTCGAGCTTCTGTCTTTTTCAAATCAAATCTGAGTATTGTGGGCTTTCTTGTCGGCCCATTTACGAAACATAACTTATAGGGCTTTCTAAAGCTTTGTTGTTGCTGTATCTTCTACCCCAAGCGAAGATGGTTACTTCATCATCCTCATATCGCTTTTCTTTGCCTTAACTTTGTAACATGGAACATGGACAGCTACTTATACGTACCAGTTTCTGTATCATGAAGTCTCAGTATCGTTTAAGAAGAAAGACAAATTAAACAGTCGTTAAATAATAATAATAACTGATCAAGTCTATTTTTGGATGATCAAAACACATACTACTACTACACTGATTGTTTCTTAAAATCTACACGATAAGTTAAAAACTAACTAGAGTAATATAACACTAGTGGATCCATAAGATTCGCTTTTGCTACTTGTACCGACAACAACAGGAAAACTAGACATCCCTGCATTGCAATGAAGAGGGAGGAGGAGGAGGAGAAGTGGTGAATCATTCCTTGTTTCTTGAAGAACGATCTTTCCTATGTCCTCCAAGGATACGAGATATCTGAAGACCTCTACTGAAAGCTTGATTGAAGAGCATACGCGTTTGGAACTCCGACACAAATGGAAACCAAGCCAAGAAGGCCACTGGCGTGAACAGTAACAGTCCCATCACTATCTCATACCCACGAGCTAGTGTCCTCACTGATCCCCAGAATCCTGCTCTGTGTACCACCGGCTTACACGCTTGCGCAATCTGCAAACACACAACACACCAAAATTTCATTTCTCTATCTTTTATCTCCACACATCAAAATAGAAAGCTTTTCCTTTTATTTGTATTACTTACCAAGAGCATTCCCCAGCCTGTAGGCATGAATGCAAGGATGCAGACAATTATGTCTTGTATCGTCATGTGAGCAAGTGTGATTAATATCACAATAATTGCGATGAATGTCATGAATATTAGCCCCTTTATCAACCGGAACATCAGCTGGAAACTGGCGCTGAATTTTCGTCTTCCAACCGAAACAGTCTGAGACAAACAAGCAACTATGTGATTATTTTGAAAGTGAATCCTTGTAATTAAACAGAGATTGATATATATATTTACGTAAACGTACCTTCATTACAAACAATATCAAGAAAATCACCAGCCATGATACTCCATAAACCTGTATTAAGAAGATAATTTAGTGATTCAGTAAACAAAAATCCCAACATCAAGAGCCTTATAGAAGAAAGCTGAAATATTCTGAAAGGTTTTTAGTTGCATACCAGGAAGTTTTTGGTCTTCTCTGTGATCGTGAGGTGATAAACAAGCCCGTATTGATAGATGAAGAACCGCAGCGACAACAATATCTCAACAACTATACCACGCTTTCCAGAATATCGGAGATGTTCTTGCTCTTCCTCCCACCACGATTCCCAACTCTTTTCCGCCGGGACACCAATACCTCCGATGTTGTTTATCCATTTATTCCAATCAGTCCAATCATCAACAATCTTCTGCCACTCAAAGCCGGAAGGGTTGAAGAGGAAGGGAGCAAAAAGCCAAGTCCCGACCATGAACCACATAGATATGGTGATCAAAAGATACGCAAGTATGCCTCTGTAAGCACTTCCAAATATTTGATACACAACAAGTAGCAGCATCATCTCAAGCCCCTTCACAAAATGGCTCCGGGAATAGAGTCTGTAGTTATCAGCGAATTTCGCGTGAAAGACGACAAACCCTCTGCCTGTGGACCTGTACTTGGCTCCGCCATGAAGCAAAGTCCTCCCGTAGTAGTGAGTCTTTGTTCCAAGAGAGAACGTAAAGAACACTGGCGCCAGTTGGAGCTGCATCAGCACAAACTCACTCAAGGCAGTCCTAAAACCCCTCTCCAGTCCAATTTCCATAAGCATAGGTAAAGCCATCAGGAAACCAATCTGAACAAAAGACTGTGAAGCTAGAGCTATTTGCAAAGGTGTATTGTCTCGGATGCCTTTCTGAGTACTTAATCCTTGTTCGAGTCCACTCAAAACAAGATAGAGACGTCCATAAAGGAAGATGTAGACAGTGAGAACCGTAATCTGTGAAAACAGTAGAAAAATGAATCAGATCTGAACAAGTTGTGTGATACTTGGTTTTAAAACAAAAAGAGAACGAAACAGTACCAGGGTGCTGAAGTAAAAACCGACAGTGGTGAAGTAACATGACATCATTCGGAAAAAGTCAAAACGGTGTCCAAGCCTGTAAATGTCCCGACTTAATGTTTGCTCTCCATTCCCGTTAGCAATCTTGGCCTCAAACATAGAGATCTGATTTAGACCAACATCTCTTCCTTTACCAACTTGTATGTATTCATGATGGGTTACATTTCCTTCACGAAGTGTGGAATTGAATCCTGCTCAATGCAAAAACACCAGTAATCCATCAGCAAGGACATCAACACTGAAGACAATGAAAGAAACAGAGTCCTCCTCAAGAGTAGAATATACCTGCAAATATATCTTCACTGAGGTTGATGACCTTGGATGCTTTACTAACCCCACCTCTTGTTAGATGAAACAGTCTATCAAACACATCTGGATGACCATAATGGAAACGAACCCTATAATAGGAGCAAAAGACCAACATTTTTGAGTTGAGAATGATAAAGCATGTGCAATCATCACTACAGTTGATCTCAGTGAACACACTTACCTCAAAGGGTTTGCCAGTAATCTCTGACCAATGGTAACAAAACTAGTCTCTTGATTTGACAT